GGTAAATCTCATCGGCATACTAACATTGGTGCCAACCCAAGAGCGGACAAGGCTCGCCTGACCTGGCGTGATCAAGATCCATAATTCGAAGGCATCTGATCTAGGCTAGTCGTCATCTCAGCGAGATTGGGTCGGCGGGCCATCTCGCCATCTTTCAAGGCCGCGATTGCAACGGGGTGCCACCCGCACACAGCTATTGTAGCGCCGTCGCTGCTTGTGTGTCGGTAGTAAGGCGAGTTGTCCAACTGCCTTTGAAAGTCGGTTGCAACCATGTACTCATAGTTGTAATTTCGCAGTAGTAGTAATAGGCTTGACTCTGTACGAGGAAGGCGTATACTTTTGTATGCACCATCATAGCAGAGGACGTCGTCGTAGGTAGTATCAAAGCCCAAGAGTTGCCAAGATAGATAAGGCGGTGCAAAGAATGGCTGCAAGGACATCTCGCGCATGTCGTGCTTGTGTGTAGGAGCAGAAACTAGCCGCTGAGGGAAGGGTGTCTGCTTGTCAGTCGAGGGGGGGTTTAGTTGGACACTCGCCAACACGCTTCTTGGCCAAACACCCACCTAACAGTCCGTAGTCTGATCTGCCTATGCTTCGGACTGAGTCAAGCAGGCAGTCATAGACTTCGCGATCCTCAGAGCGAATGTTTATAGATGATGCTGCTGGTCATGCCACCCATGAGAGAGGCGAGCATCGGTATGGACCAGATCCTCAGCAGACCACTGGCTGAGGTGACGTGTAGATGCCTATTGGCCCCGGGTTGCTTGAGCTGCGGCCGTCGCTAACCCTAAGACGATGGCCCACCGCCCAGTAGATGCACCAGCATCACACTGAAGAAGCACGATGCACGATAACTAGCATCCCAGGCGAGGGGGCCAGATTTACCGCTCTGGACGATGCTCCGTCTATGGCGCCAAGGTTCCTGGTAGGCGAATCACTAAAGCGCTGGTTGAAGCAAATCGGCGGGTGCTGAGGGCGGCACAAAGCGCTAAATGGGAGCCATTTCGAAGTAAAAGAGAGAAACAGTGCACCCAGTACGGAGCGGGCAGTAGGGCAGTGCTGAGAGGTCGCATTGGGTTGGGATCTATCCGGACAGTGGGCGCAGTATCAGGAAGAGATCGATGACTGTAGGTACTCTGTTTGCGAGTGTCATTGTCGAGCCGCGGCATGAAGAGGCCAGGTCTGGGATCTGGGGGAATGTAATCCTGTCACCGCCCCGGTTCCCGAGATGAAGCGACCGTACACGGACAAATCGACGAACAATCGAAGGACGTTCTGGGTTTGTTGACGATAGATACGTTCGGCGGGTCCATCTCATCTAGAACTGCTGCGAAACTGTGGCAAATGCGACTACTGCCAATGGTCAGCTGTGCTCCTGCATGATGAGGATGTAATAATGCGCGATCCTCCCCGTCAGCCCCTTGGCCTGTCGAGATCGTGCAACCCGTGGATGATGGGGGATTTCTCATCCAGACCTCCGTTGCGAGGAGCCGCCACAAACTCTGCACATCGCACCTTGCCGGTCGCTTCTGAGCTGGCTCTGTTGTCTCGCACGCCGCGAGACGAGAGGCTGACGATGGCGACAGCTGAGCGTCATTCTTTCTGTCGTGAGGGCCTCGTCCTGTCCGGCCACGACTCGTTATCGCAGATTGTGATCGTACCGATGAGGCAGGCGCATCTCACCGTGCCGTACCAGAGCTAAAGCCAGTGGAGCGGCAAGGTACCGAGTATTACCGCTTCACTTGAGGAAGGAACCGAACTTCAAAAGGAAGCCGCATCCTGGCATTTCGGTCTACTTGGAGTGGGCAGGTTCCCCTTAGGTACTCCATACCACCTTGAATCAGGTAAGGGGTCTGTCTGACTTGTCCGTCGCAGCACACTGACAGCTAAAGAGCTGGAAGGTATCGGTATTCCGTTCAGCGGACGTGTAACGTATACCTTCTGTAGACATTTCATGGCTTCATGTGTCTGCGGTGAGGCTGCGCATAATGAAGGTGCTGAATGGGGATGGGCAAGTGCGCTCCCAGACTGGCTTAGGCCAGAGCTGTTGGTTTCTTCCCCGTCATCGTATCCTTCCAAAATCGCTGCTGATCTCGTCTTGGAAGCGGGCCAGACACCCCTGGTGCTCTTTCCGCCTTTTCTCCTGCTTTTCTGGACACAAGTATGTAGGTCAGGTAGGTAGATACATACAGCAGTAGGTGCTACCGGCTAAACGAGTACTGCCGAGTGTGTTTGCCGTTGAATGCATGGTAATGCTATTTACCTAGTATCTGCGCTCTCGCCTTTGGTAGGTACCTTGCAAGCAAAGTCCTCTCACCTCGAGCTGATCAGAGATCTGGCATCTGGCACGGCAAGTGCGAGCCCCCTGAAGTTGAGTGCGGTCTCGAGGGCTCCAAGACCTGTTTAAGTGTTCTGTATTGTACCTACCTACCTAGTACGTGCCTTGAGTAGCGACCTGGCCCATGGTTTCTCCATCATTGATCATCTCATCTCCTCCGTGCTCCATCTTTCCTCATGCATCGCCATCTCTCCCGTCTTTAACCAACAGCGGCTGGCTGGCTGGCTGGCTTGGCTGAATAACCGCGACTGAAATCGCAAGTACTTCGTACGTAAGTGCATGGTGATGGCTGACTCCATCAGCTGCCCGGGTTGTCAGTGTCAGTCGACTTTTTCTCAGCTCCGCAGCGCCTAGGCAAATAAGCAGCATTCTTCGCCGCGCGAACACTCCATATCGTGGCGTCAACAAGGAAGGGCGCGAATCGAGATCAAACTACGGAGCACACCCTACGCGCATGCTGCGACCTCTGTCCTGGCCTGGTCTGGGTCTCGGCGACCAAGCTCCGTTGTATCGTGCAGTCTACCCACACGCCTCCCGGCCCGTCGAGGCGCACGCTGTCTTGTCTGCGAAGAAGCATGGCCTCGTCCATCTCAGCCGCCCCTGCCACTGCCACTGCCGCTCCAAGCATTCCAGCACCAGGAGTGCCGTTAGCAATCGGGGAGGGGTCCGCTGCGCCATCGGTTTTCCAACGCCCACTCCCGCCCTTGTCCATCGTCTTCACCCCTTCGGGCGCTAGACGGCAAGGATCAAACTTCGAAATCCTAGGCTCACACCACCTCCCAGGGCCACGTTATGACCGCCCAAAATCGCTAGCTCGGACGCAGAAGCAAGTGCAATCCAGTACCGCGGATTTGCCTGGGCCGGGGGTCCACTCGCACTCATCTTGCTTGTCCCTCAATCTCTTGTCTTTGGGGCCGGGCCAAGGGCCTCGTTAGGGCATCCTCCCATCTCGAAGGCTGTCTTCGGACCCCTGCCCATTGGTCCAGCCGCCAGAGGTGTACGGAGCAGCCTCCGTACTGGCCCAGCTTTGGGGCCGCCCATCACCCAACTTCTCGACGCCACCACGAGTTTAGATCTCTTGCCTGGGACCCCGGTCTTTGCTCTTGGGAGACAACAGGGCTTGGCCAACTGCGCGATGGGCCTTTATTACGACCTAGCATCATCATTTATACATAGCCTTGTCCTCGCTTCCCGCTCTGCCCATTCATTCCCTCGATCCAAACTCCCAACTTATCGCTGCCGCGCCCACCCCCCACCACGTCTGGACCCGGCCTGCTGATACTGCCTGTACATATTTGTACATACATATGTAAATGCGTGCGTGTCTGCTGCGATCATCCTTGGCCCCGTTTCCAAGTCGTCAGCCCAGCCGTCACTCCACCGCACACGCCGAGCTCGACCCAGCGCTCTGTGCCCCTAGCATCCGTGCTAAGTCAGATGTATCGACGACCCTGAGCGCTAGATCTCTTGCTTGCCACACGCGCTATGGAAGCGGGTGACGTTGGAACCCGACAGAGGTACGTTCTTACTCGTGCATTCCCCCAGGCCTAGCCGCTCCATCGTATACCCCCCCCCTCTCGAGCCGGCGGAATTATTAACTCGCATCTCCCCCCTCGCTCCCCGACAGCAGTCTTCCTTCCACTCCTACGCGACCTGAGCATCAACCTCTGCAACCTCCCCATTCGCAACAGCAACACCGAGAAGCCGTCGACCGACGGTATCTGGACCAGCCTGTCATGGCAGCAGCCTCAGTTCTCGCCCCTAACGCCCACTATCCGCCGCAGCCATATCCCACCAGCTATTCCCACCCGCCCTCATCAGGACCCAGCGTCGCCAACATGATCTCCTCAGAGCCTCGACGACCGTCCCCCGACAACGAGTCCTCGACTCGTCAGTCACTACCTTCAATCTCAGAAGTCATCTCCGGTGCGCGACCCGGGCAGTACCCCCCGCCTGCGCATCCTCCTCTGCAGCCTGGCTCAAGCCTACCGTCGCCATTTGCCCCTTCTGCTCGACAGTATCCCGAGGCCGACAAGCACTCATCGCAGCCTCTGCACCCCGCTGCTTTCCCTCCTCGACAGGAGAGCCACGCTCCCTACTCGGATTCCCCCAGACCACCCTTTAGCAACGGCAGACCCGGCCTGCCGCCCGTGCCTGAGCGCCGGTCAACCCCTCCGACGAAGCACGATGCTCATCCCCTTTCCCATCATATGGCCGAGCCGCCGAAGCCGTCTGACCACCGCTCACTGAATGGCGTGTATTCCCAACCGCCGCCGCCGCCGACTTCTGTTCCCTACCAGCCGGCACAGCTCCCTCCTGGCCAGCAGCCGCTCCCTCCTTACCAGGTTTCGCCTCGAGGTCACCCGGCTTCGCATCTGCCGGGGCAGTACGATGCTAGGCCGGCGCCCACGCATGCTGAAGAGGCCGAGTACGCTGCCAGAGCTCGATACGACAACGGGACCTCCCGATCGTTCGAAAGCTGGAGCTACCAGGAGGCTCTGAGCAGAGTGAGTAACCAACCAACCCGTACACAGCTGAAGCAAGAAAGTTGGGCTAATCATGTCTGTAGATTGGGACCTGCTCGCGTACCATTTTCAATTTCGCCGAGGCCTATGGCCGCATTGCCCAGGAACAGCACGGATCTCAACCCATCCCTGAGCGCCTCCCGACTGAACGGGAAGTGAGCGACATGCTCTCCAACGTCGAGTACCTCAAACGCTCTCTTGAGCAATGCAGAGAGGTGATCGTGGCATCGCTGCAGAGCGAGAGGGCCCGCGAAGGTGCCAAGCCACCAAAGGGTCCTTACGAAGAAGACCAAGACGTCCCCATGTATGGAGACTCCATCAAGCCACCATATGGCATGACGGAAGTCAAAAAGCGCCGAGGGGTAAGTTGACAAGACGCCTATTCCAGCCACTGCCGTCTTGTGCCGAGGGGCCTCCGCTAACAATGGGCAGCGCGCTGCTCCTCCTGGCCGATGCCACAGCTGCAATCGCATCGACACACCAGAATGGAGACGGGGACCCGATGGTGCCAGAACGCTGTGCAATGCCTGCGGCCTCCACTACGCAAAGCTCGAGCGTAAGCGCCAGCTGGAAGCAAGGTCATTACGCCCTAAGCCCGAGGAGCGAAGCTAGAGCGCGGCTCGCATTCGAGAGCCTCGACGAGATCTTTGCATCCTTTTGCACCGTGCTTCCTGATCCTTGCAAGGCGTGGGGACTCTGGAGCAGCGAGCGCATTCATGATCCCAAGAAACGATGAACATTTTCTGAGTCAAAGAAACCAAAATCTTTTGCAGATCAAAATACCCATTTCATTTATTCGAGGGCCTGCATTGAGGGTTTTACTGTACATGTGTCTTTTTGATTGCGGGGATACCTTTCTTTTCGGCTTTCTTTCTTACCCTTTTTCACTGGACTTGGGCGGCACATCGCCAGGGCATCGCAGGCGTTCACTATATATACACATATATACTCCAGGCTCTGGGCAACTTTCCTTCTCATGATGATGGTTCGTCTCGGGGACAATGATGCCAAAACTGCTCAGGACTTTAGACAAAATAGCTTACTGCCTCTGCCATTACCTCGCCGGTACCACTGCCATGGCAGAGATAAAAAATGGAACAAAAAGATTAATGAACTCTGACGTCTCGTCTGTGTGATGGTACCTCTAGGTTACTGTTGTTGGCCTTGTTTCTCATTCTTCTTTGCGTACCTAATGCAGTGTCCATCGCCAGAGTCCTTCTGTTTGGTCTCCATCTTACCACGATGTCTACCTTACCTACCCGTGGTGCGCGTCATAGGTTCGCAATTTAGTAGGCAAGCAGGCGAGGCAAGGCAAGGCAGGGCAGGCTAGGCTAAGCTCTTGCAGGCAAATGCGACGGTGATTGGTTCATCTTGCTATTTTAGTAATGCTAGTACTAGTAGAAGGATCGGGATGGGAGGAGGGAGGGGGGGGGGGCAAGGGGTGGAAGGGTAGAGAAAAAAGGGAAGGGAACGAGATCTTGGAGGGGTGACGGGGGGGGGAGGGGAGGGGAAGGAGAGAGATCAAGTGACGCTGTGTGTGTTTCGGGTAGAGAAGCGTTGGAAGTGAGATTAGGTTGTAGCACTCGGTCCGCGGCTAAGGGAACCGTATGTGTTATTAGTGCTGATTTTTTGTTTTTCTTTTTGTCGATTTGATGGGCGAGGCTGGGTGTAGGTATTTTGGGAGAGTGAGTACGTAAGCTGGGCAGAGGGCAGATCGTGGAGGAAAGAAGGACACACTCTCTTTGTTCTCCTTCGACTGCTTGTTCTATTAGTGTTCTATAAACAGAGTCTTCTTGTTTGTTTGCTTTTTCTTCACCTTTTTTTTTTTTTCTTTTTCTTCTTCGCGGCGGTTGGCACGTGTATGCGTGGAAGGTACCTATTGTTCAATAGCTGGAGGGGGGTGGGCTGGGGGTTCTAGCGCCGTGTTTCTCTTTTCTTTTTTCTTCCTTTTCTTTTCTTTGCTTTGCTCCTGTTACTTTATTTGGTGGTGGGGTGTTGTTTGTTGCAGCAGCATTTGCAGAACCAACATTTGCTTTCGTCAAAGGGATATGGCGTGACCCGCCACGAGGGCTTTGCTTCTGTGGACGGAGATTTACATTTGCAACGGTCCTTGTAGTAGGCTGATCTCTCTAGTATCTTTTATCTTTGCTTTTTTACTTGTCTTGTGGACACGGAAACCTCCTCACGAACTAATACTACTACCACTACTATTCATCGTGATGGGGGCTTTAGAACCGTCTTATCTGTATACGGCATGGAGTGTGTAAAAACGAGGCAACTTCATGAACCTCTCTCTCTCTGAGAGAGAGAGAGAGAGAGAGAAGAGAGAGAGGGAAGAAGGGACATGGGAGCCGACATTAGCGAGGCTTACATCTGCATGTTATTCCATGTGCAGTAGTAGTATACCATTCTCCCTCGCTTGCACCAATCTGCTTCTCTTACAAGAATCCTTCAGCTGTTTGCTCTGCCCCCTCTCATGCAGGCGATAGAACTTGCATCCGGCTACATACGTAAATAGCAAAGACATTAAAAAGGGGGAGTGACCGGATAAAAGAAGGAACGGAAAGCAGAAAGAACATAGAGATAGATAGAGAGAGAGAGAGAGGTTGGGGGCCTCCTTTGACGCGGACAAAAAGGCCGCGGACAGGACGGGCTTTGAAGGGGTGAGAACTGACGGCGGACGGATCGGCAGGCGGGTAGCTGCAGCGACGGATATGCATGGCCTTACGGAATGGGAAGATGGATGATAGGACAAAGGCGAGGAGACAAGAAGGCCTGAGGTGCGAAGGGGAGAAGGGGAGAGAGGGGAGGGGGCCTATCATTGTCCGGCGAGATGCTTTGTGTGAGCGGGAGGGCACCGCGTGCAGAGTGGGGAGAGATGGTGAGAGAGGAGAGAGAAAGAGAGAGAGATAGAGGGAGGACGCCAGTATTGCAGGTGCGATATTGCATGTGTCACTGCTTGTGCTTCGCAGGTGGGAAAAGGGAATCATGACCCTCCCCGCCTTTGCCTATCCATCTCATCTTTCTTGGCCGGTGGTTTGACAACTCCTGGGATTCTTTTCTTGCTCGTCTTGGAAGACTTGATTGGAAGGACGGGCATCATCCCTGCATCATGCAACGAGATGGCTTGTTGGTCCCGGACTTACACTACATCATCTCATATCTCGATGAAGGCCCATCTAGAACGGCACCCCCAACGCACAATGGCCCGGGCTAAAGCAGCGGTGCTACTGCTACTATTACTCCTACTACTAGGTTCGATTCATCTACCCACTCGGCATCGAGCAGTCGTCGTTCGTTCGTTCGTTTTCATCCGGGGCCGTGCCGTGCCTCGGAGAGTCCGATGCAAACATAGCGTTGGCGGCGATTTTCCTTCTTCTCCCCCCCCCCCCCCCCCCCCCCCCTCGCTTGCCATGTGGTGCTCCGTGTACATACGGGGGTGAAAGAACTCGGACCTCTTTCCTAGTCTAACTGGCCGAGATTTTGAATGATGAAATAGGCCACCAACTAGGTAGTGGGCTTTTCCCCCTCGTGGACACGGATGAGAGCACAGAGCAGGGGATGCGCTCTGCTGGCAATGAATCGATCAGTCAATCAATCCATCAATCAATCGCTCTTGTCCATGACGCACGGGAGGAGAAGAGGGACAGAAGCCACGACATGGCTCTTGTTAGTGAGACATGATACAAAATTGACAAGGGACAACAAGAAGATGATACCTTGGAGCTTCGGCAACTTTGGCTCATCGCTAAGTCGGGGAGAAGCAACAAGCGTGGACTTGGGCGGACGCCACATTCTCTGGCACCAATCTCCATTCACTGTCCATCTGGGTGTTGTTGCCGTAGCCGCGTTGGAGGACGACTGGCAGCAGCAACAACAGCAGCAACAGCAAGAAAGGTAGAAGAAGAGACTCGTCATAAAATTTCATCACATCTCATCAAGCAGGGAAGGGGATAAAAGAAGCCACGGGCCGGGAAGAGGTCCGGCGTGTCATGCAAGGGCGATTAGATGAGGAGTGATTGGGCGAGTGAGTGCGTGTGGGAAGACGCATGCAAGATGATACATGGGGGCAAAAAAAGAAAAGAAAAGGGCTGCTGCTGGAAGGAGCCGAGATGGAGGAAACAAGGCAGGTCTTGCTCTGGCCTGCTACTGTGGCGGGCGTACGGAGTACAAGGAGTGCGTGTGCATGCAAGGTAGGTAGGTAGGTAGGTATGTATGTTGCATGAAACAGGGAGCAGGAAGTACACTTGTTCAAGGGCTTGTGTGCGAAGCACAGAGCAGTACTAGTAGTATCTGCCTATCATGAGAGGAAACTGAGGAAAGAAAAAGGATACACCTGATCTTAGAGGTCGTACGAGGCTGGAGAGTGAGGAAAAAGGGAAAAGGGGGGGCGGGGAAGGGGGGGTTCACATAGAGATGGGAGGGGGGTCGCCGAAAGAGATCGGACAGGCGGGGAGCCTGCTGGACTTCATCGGACACAAGACGCGGAATCTTGTCTTTCTTTCTGTTCTTTTCTTGCGTTGCGCTGTGTTGCAAGAGCATCGTTTTTGGGTTGCGTCTGTGGCACGGCTCTCATGCTTTGTGCTTCCTTGTGCCCTTTGGTGCTCCCCCTCCTCGTGCGCCCGTCCCCCTTGTGTGTGTGTGTGTTGTGGTGTGTGCGTTGGCCTTTGGCGTCCACAAGGCTTATTGAGAGAGAGAGAGAGAGAGAGTGAACTACACGTGTGTTACGGGTACACTAGGCTTTTCTTACTTTCTTTTCTTTGCTTTGCTCTTGTAAACATGGGAGTGACGCCGCGGACGAAGTGTTGTGGAACGGTGGTTTGTGGACGTGGACGTGGACGTGGGTATGGGCATGGGCATGGGCATGGAGTTGGCTATAGGTGCATGCAGATGCAGATGCAGATGATTTGTTATATGTGAGGGAGAGATACGTTGGGTCTAGCAGTACCTTTGTATAAGGAGTGTGCTCCTTCAGGGCCAACCGAGGATGTTAGGACGATAGTCGAGTCGAGCTGAGTCAGTTAAACTCGAGTTTAGCATCTCTCCGACTCGCGACTGGGAATCAACTGCGATTGTTTATATAGAATCATTCTAGGTGTAGATCTCATGTAGGATACAGGACATATGTCTCCAAGGTGCCGTCTGGTATCACTCGGTGACGTATTGTTCTCGCAAAGCGTAGGTGAATGGGCAAGCTGCCGTGTTTGAACAGAGTCTTGTTAGAGGTAGACCTAGGGGGAAAGCTGCCCGGCTTGGTGGCGTTAAGCTTGTATTACGGACGGAGCACAGAGAATGCATGGCAAATGCCACGAGATGCTATCTATTTTCTTTTCTTTTTCATCTTTGTTCTAATACCTCACTTTTCTTCAACTGTTGCATCGCGTCCTAGAAGACCTTCGGTTTGCTTCCCGCGTCTTTGCAGGCAGGGGTGGGGAGGGGGAAACAAAAGAGGGCTTGTTGTCTCCTTTGCGCATGGCAATATTGAGAGACAAGAATGCCGTTTTTGGCATGCAGTGCGCGTTTGCGAAGTGCGATTGTACGAATGTATTCCTGTACCCCCGTGTTGATTCGCAGGCGAACAGAAGATGACTGGAGCAGACTGTACTTCAAAGGAGATGCCTATCCCTGGTCAAGAGGCTGAATCTGTGCTTTTCTTCTCTTTTTCATTCGTGGCCCGCGAGTTGTTCATGTATGGGGCTGCGGCTTGTCTAGGCGAGCTGAAGTGGTCTGATTTGCTTGCTTTTTGAAGAGTGTTGCGGTAAGGCAATGTGATATATTGGTTATGAGGCTAGGTATGTATGTGGCCCAAACAATGGAAAGGATCAAGATAAGCTGTTGGGGGACCGCTGATGTTGCCCTTGTACGGGCACGAGTCACAGACAATCTGTACCCGTGGGCCTGCTTTCCCACGCTTACACACGAGGTTGCATCACGACTCCTCGGGAACAGCTGTGAGCCAGGGTCGAATCCCGGAAAAGCCACAGCTTACCAGCCGCCCCCTGCATCGATCGCGAGCAATGGCCAACAAACCAAAACCACGCGGAGCAATACCCTGCAGCGATCGTGGGCCGTCCCACACACGCCTTGCCGTGTGCCTGGAAGACACAGCCTTGCCCTCGTCTCATCTCGTCTTGTCCCAATCAATACATCAATCACATCACATCACATGGATCACATGGAAGACGGCAGGAGACGCTGCTCGGTTCGCTTTGCATAGATTGCGAGTCGTCCTGGTTGTGAGCTACTAGTATTACTAGTATGTAAGTCGTTTCCCGTACGTGTTGGCAATGCTATCTGTCACGTCGTACGACGGACTAACTATAAGCCAAGCAGACAGTTGCACTCGCTCTACGAGTTGACAACAAAGACGGTATAGTCAACACAGGTCATCGTCAAAAAGACCTGTTGGTTTTCGTAGCGACGGCGGTTGCATCGCTCGCGCCCCCTTCCCCGGTTACGCAACGACTTTGCAAACGGCACAGCCCGTTTGATCGGAGTTGGAATCTTGATCTCAATTTCCGTCAAGTCCCGGAGGCTGCCCAGCCATGGTTACCTTTGGGCATCATGGCATATGCAGCAGTTCGATTCGGTGGTATCACCAGGGCATGCGCAGTGCTTTGTGTGCAGTGCAGGCAGTGTATGTATACGCGATATACATACCGTACCTGCCCACCCACCTCCCTACTCTCTACACCATCCCAGTATGCAAACATGCAGGAAACCACAAGTACCTTTCCACCGGCAGGCAAACTACCTTGTAGTATTACTGCTCCAAGCATACTGCCTTGGGTATACTGTATGCACGAGTGCGCGTATGCGTCATGTGAATGGCCGTTGATGGCTCCAAAGCCTCATGCTGCGCAACCCACCAGCCAGAAAGGGGGGTTGAGGGGAGGTGATGTGACGAGCCGGGGCTCAGCGGCAGCAAGGGCAGAGCTGAGGGCATGGTTTGATTATCCCGGGTCCCGTGTGAAGCAGGAGGGGATCTCGAGTCATTTCCACTCCTGGGTGAGGGCATCGCTGATCGTTGACGGCGGTCTCTGGCGGAGCAGCTTGGGTAGAAGCTCGGTTTGGCGATAGTATCGAATCGCCGGAATTCTGCTGTTAGGCGGATGGAGCATCATCATCGAGGTACCTAGGTACTACCTACTTAAAGGAGCCGGATTATCTTATCTGTGCGCCAGTTGTGCTTGTAGTACCTCGCATCACCGGACACAAGAGTGACGGTGCTCTTGCCAGCACAGCGGCAGGTACAGCCCAGGGCAGGGTACCTTCGCTCTAACCCAGCTCCAAGCGAGCGACAGATAGGGAAGGAACTACCTTACAGTTCAGCTCAGCTCAGCTCAGCTCAGCTGCCATTCTCGCCCGATATCACAAACAAAGGCCACTCTGTTCCCTTACTTTGTCATCGTCTTCTCCTACCCTTGGCTCGACTCACTTGCTGACCGACCGCACTGACTGACTGACTGACTTTGATGATATCGGAAGCATCCAGACCTTCAACACTCAAGCCACAGCCAGGATACTGCAGCCAATGGTGGCCGTGAGCAGCTGCCGGGAGTCAACTCCTGCTCATGTTCATATGAGCCCGCAGCCAGCCACGCGGGTCCAGAGTCTCAGCCATGCGGCTTTCTTCGACTTGGCGGCCTCTTTCGCCTTCCGATCGGCGGAGGGCCCAGCACACGAGAGAGGAGAGCAGAAAGCAAAAGGGAACAGGCAATCGTTCTCGAAGATCTGGGAGGGGATTGTTTCGCGGCAACGCTATGCTATACAGGAAAAGCAGCAAGGCGAGGAACAGGCAAACGCCAGGATTTGACAGCAGAAACACTTGTGACTTGGCGCCCGGGTGCGGCTGTCACTGACACGCGCCGGCTCGTGCTGGATACACGGAAGCAAAATCGACGATTTTCTCGTATCGACGGCCGGTTCAGGCGGATACTCGCAGACGAGGAGCGGAGTTGGCCTGGCCTCGCATTGTCGCCCGTACAACTCGAAATGGGCCGGTTTGCTGTGCCTTGCCATATCATCTCGCTGCGGCATCGCGCACCGGTGATGGCCCATCTGTCGAGCACAAGCACGGAGTACTCGGTACGAGAATGCTTTATCGCCATGGGTCCAATGCGAGGAGCTTGCCTTGTATCCCAGCCGATTCCCACTCGACAGGAATTCGGGACCAGGACACACTGCCCTGAAACCCTTTTCACACATGAAAAACCAACCTGCGCCATGAAAGCCGGTGGGCGCTTGCTGGAAGGGGTGGGCGTCACTTGAGCCACTTTTGCCTTCACACCGTTGCCAAGGAGGTTCCGATCCACGGGGTCCAAGGGATTTTGAGCACATGGGAAGTAAGATCGACTCAGATTATGACAGGGGATTCGGACTTTTGGCCACAAGAAAGGGGGGCGCCGGGCAACCTGGAGTTATCGTTGCGCTGCGGCACAAGGGGCGATCGATGCCGTGACGATAAACCATTTCTTGGAGTGTCCCGTCCAATTGTCACAAGAGTTGACTCGCCTGTCAGATATGGGCCGATCGTACAAGAGCATGGACTGCATCTACCCATCCAAGCAACTGTGAGCGGAGCATCGTATATCTGGGGCAAGCGAGAGCGCAGCAAGAGAAAAACTAGCCGACACTAGATGCAACACCAAGTTCGCCGATTCCTCAAGCCATGCACGTTCGGCGAGATTAGCTTCTGACCCGGCCTGGCCATCTCCGAAACATCTCTGGAGTCGATGAGCGCGCCAACACCTTCAGCCGCACAGTGGACCAACGGATCTGCCCGGAGACAAAACAAGATGCATGCGAGCACTGACTTTGCACTGCTCAACTACCTACTATACTGCAGACTAACGCGCTGCCCCGGCCCATTGCAAGTACTGTACATACGCGAGGAGCACATGCCCCTGGCGATGCAAATCCAGGTGCTACGATAGAGCACTGCTCGTTGTTATTGTTGTTGCTGCTGTTGTTGCTGCTGTTGTTGTTGCTATGTTTAGCATCTGCGGCTATTCTCGTCTCTGTCTTCATTCCTTTTTCTTCTCTTCCCTTCAACGGCCAAGTCGGCACGTGGCCCCCGTCGCATCTCCCTTCTGTGTGCCGGTGACGTTAGAACTGGGATTCTGCGGCTGAAGCAACCTAAGACACGATTACAAGGGACCAAATCAGACAGGCCGGCCGGACAGATTTCTCCGCTCGGGCATCATTTCCAAGAGGCAAGGGATATGAGGGTCTGGCAGATGGTCGGCGTCCAGTTTCCAGCTTCAGGCCCGGCTCCAGCCAGACAAGCAACGGACTCTCTGCGCTTCCAAACAAGGCGGCGGCCTGCACAACAAGAGAGACCATACCCACTATCCACAGCGTTTGATGGTTTGCTACGAACACGCCTCCTCTGCTACGCACACCTCGCACGCCCTCTTCCAGTCCCAGCGAGCTGCGTCCAGCCCCAATTGATGGCCGCAGATCGCCCCTAGAGTCCCAGTGGCCAGATCAGATCAGATCAGGAGGTCATTCTTTGTTGCCGCAAGATCTCTGCCGGCGGCAAACTCCTCACGCCCCCCTATCCCCACTGCTCCTGCGACTTCGCGATGCATCAGGACACGGCAACCAGGCTTTATTCCCTGTCAATCAAGACTATTGACGCCTCCTTGCTGCAGACTTGGGACTCGACCGTCTCTGGACTTTTGCTGCCCAGTTCCGTGTTTGCGGTTCATCTCCACTTGGCATGATACATGCGTACTGCGTACATACTACATACTGCTCCACCGACTGCGAGATGTGGAGTTGAGCTGGCAAGCTGGGCAGATGGATGTTGAACAGGCTCCATACGATCAATCGCAATCTCAGCCGAACTGCATCACGAACGCCCGCCCATTTGGGAGGCTGCCGGCGAGACCGGTGTCATTCTTGCAATCCCTACAGACGCCGTATCATCCCAATCATCCCAAGCCACCCCCTCCCTGGCTTACGGTGCTGTACACCTCCTCGCAAGGCACCGCACAAGTCCGATCCACAGCTGAAGAAGCAAACGTGGAGCCTTTGCCTTCCACAACTGAACCTGCAAGCATGGTTCCGTCGAATCATGCGATTTACTTCGTACCGAGTCCTACCGAGAGTCTAGATTTTCAAGGCAGGCCGGTTACCATACCCCCCTTTCAGGTTGCTCTTGTACGAGCCGTCATATGGCACTCCAGCGCTGGAGGGCGAGCCGCCTTGATGAATGGCCGCCGTGTGCTTTACACAGCGGAAGGGCCTTTGGTTAATCCAAGGAAATCAAAAAGACCAGGTAAGTGCTGATCTGTCATTTTTTCTCTGGCATTACTTGAGCCCTATTGCATGTCTTCCTCTTGTTAACCGATACTAACACAAATAGTTGTACTGTGTCCCGAGGTGAAAATCCTTGTCAACGCTATCACCAAGCGAGTTACGCTGTCTCCCATTCTCCCCGGTCATGGGAATGCCCAAATGAAGAAGTCTTTGAAATGACAGGAGCGTGAGAGCCTGTAGCTGTCAGTTCTCACATGTCGGTACTCCAATGTGTTCACTGCCACGCGCTGCCAGCAGAGTGTGAGACATCAAACAGAGACTTCCGATGCCCCTGACAAGTCTTGTTCCTTCTCCCCCACTGGCAAGGTTTCAGTATCGTAGCATTATCAGACACGTCTGTATGCCTTGAGACCTTGCCTGGGGTAGTAGTAATCAGCAAGAGGATTTGTCCAGCGGGAGACACACCCGAGACAACGCCTTTGCTCAAGCAAGGGTCCTCCGCGGAATGCTATTGACCGACAGATCGGTTGTCCTCCGAAACACAGGCTGGTGGGAAAGGCCACCTGACGGGCTCCATTCCAGCCTTGATTTGACAGCAGTTACCGGGGGTAAGGACCGTCGCAAGGCAGCGAGATGCCGGTGCCCCGTCGTGTTATCGCATGCCCTCGTCAGGCTGCTAGGCCGGAGCCGAGCGTCTCGGCGACCTGGCTGCTCTAGCAGTCACGTACGTACCTTATCTGCCTCTTCGGTGGTGTTGAAAGACGCGGTATACCATGATCTTGGCTACGATTTACCGGGTTGCTACTCTACAATTCTCACTCACTCTGACTGACCTGGAAGGTGATCATGCTGCCGTTCCTGTGGGCGATGAGATTTCCGGCCCTCCATCATTGACATACACGACACCAAGATGGGGAGCGGGAGCGATTCCAAGGGACATCGTTTATTGGTCAGTTTCCGATGCCGATGTTTCTATCTTAGGAGACATCTGGTATCTTGACGCAGACTGACGGCTGGAATGGCGGCCGGCACAAAGAGATCTGATGTCAGCCGTGCCAGATGCTCCCCTCCCCTCCCTTCCAACTTATAAGGGCTAGATCTCGCACACCCTCCCCTGTTTGTCTAGTATTTGATGGCTTGACTGGAGAACTGAGACGCTCTTTTGGGGGGTCCCAAGAAGCTTCGGGCACCTGAAGATTGTGAGACATGAGACGAATCTTCTTTTAGCAACGGGTGTTGATCTATCAAGTTGGTGGATCTTGCGGTCTTGGTACGGTGTAGCAGTATGTTATGGTGTACCTACACTGCAAGGACACACTCATGTTCGACTAGTATCGTGTACAGGGGACGATGCAAGCGAGCTGCGACACTATGAGACATTACCGTTGGAAAAGTGCTCGGTTGGGGAAGAAAAAACCCTTATGTTGTTGATACTGACTTGACCGGCTCAAGTGGAGTTTCTGGTGTAGTTGGGGGCCATTAGTATTATCGGGTGACCAGCATATTCGGGAGAGCAAATGCGAGGGGGGAAAAAGAAGGCTTGGAAATGACGGTATCGGGACATGTCGTGCTTTTTCTTCGGTGATGTATTCTGCCTAGGGCGTGCCTTGTGTCTGTCGTGTAGGTAGGGGTGATGGTAGTTTCTCTCTGCATCGGGTCGGGTCTCCTATGTAACAGGTGAAAAGGAACGGTGTGCGCGTATAGCTTTCCGCTCAGACTGGCTGTGTATGATGGTCGTGTTTTGGGGGCGAATATGGTGGGATAGACTGTGTATATTGCGAGTCTTCTGTATGGGGAACTCGTGATTCGGCTTGATTCCTATCTTCGCGTCTAGGGTAAATGTCACTCTAGTTGTACTCAATCATGACTTAGGTACAGTAGGAGGAAGTGGTTGTATGGCCAACTGGGCATCTCTTTGTCCCTTGAAAGGCTTCATGCCCGTTGTCGTAGTATGTCGAATGCAACTAGTTTATAACCATAGGACTAGTATGATAGATGTATCGTTGATATCGTCCTCTTTGTGACCCTTGAATAGCTTCTTACGTCCACGTCTTGTATCGTTATGTATATATATCTGGAAAAGGAGAAGAAGGATATGTCGGAGATGAGTAGGTGACTATAAGCTCCTCTTGTGATGTAGGGGATCGACACTCTCATAATGTACTGTATAGGGTCAATAGGAACATAGTAATAAATCATTAATGACGATGAAATCATTAATGACGATGTCATATGAACTGGTGGCACCAGCTCTGACATTATATGTATATATATAGGGGATAGCTGAAAACACAGTAAAATCATCAACAGCAGAAAACAGAAATTACATGCTTGGTATCCATGAAGTGAACATCGCCAGACGACCTGCTGCTGCTGCTCTCAACGCACATGGTAGGTATCCAAACTCCAGGGCTTCTCTCCATGTTCAGAAAAGAAAGTCTACGCCCCAACCTCGGCCGTTGTTGCCCCGTCTATCCACTCGCTCTTCCGCTTCCGCGACACACGATCTGCTTCTTCGACGTTGTCGCCGGCATCCGGCGCATTCGCCTGCCCGCACGTGGCGCGGAAGTTGCCCAGGAATTTGGAGAGGCCGGGAACGTCCAGCCCGGCAAAGCCCCTGCCGGTGCTTTCCCGCTCGCCAATGGCCACGACGTGTCCGATGAGGTCGTGGGTGATGACGTCGTCGACGACGCTGTCGTGCTTGTAGTTGGGGTGGGCGTCGACAAAGTTGCGAATCCAGCGTGCGGCCGTGTCGAGCTCGCCGCTCGCCCGCTTGCTGATGAGAGAGAGATACGTTGCCAGCTCGCACCGGGTCTGGACATCGACGTTGACACTGTCAAGGTAGCTTTCAACAATGGGGATGAGTCCTGGAAAGTCTCCGTCGGGAGAGCCGTTGATAATCTCATTGATCGTCATTTCTTCGTACTCCTCCTCGACAGGAGGGAGGCTGCCGGGGCTTCCTGGCCGACTGGGCATCGCAGAACCAGGCCGGCTATCGTCGTTGAAGACGGTATTCGCGCGCGACGGTCGGGGTGGGAAGGGGTTCTTGCGGAAGTAAAACTTGTCCTTGAGAACGGCATCAATGCCGTGGGCTCGCTCCATGTTTTCGTCCACCTTCTTGATGGGAATGTAGAAGTTGAGGTCAAACGAGAGGATCGCTCTTGTGATCAGAACCATGAAGACTGAGAACGCTGCGTTCTCGAAATCAGTCACCTGAATCTCCATCGAACGGAACTCGACTCTCCAGCCAATGTTGTTGTCAGCTGGGGGAGGCTTAAACCGCATGTGCTGCCAGTTAGTCGATTGAATGTTCTCAAAGTGGTCCGTCTTGGTCAAATCAAGCTCCTGGAGGTCTTCCTCAAAGATGACGATGGGGTCTCGGATGAAGAGATGGGCGAAATGGGTGGCCAAAAGATCATCCATGCCCCCCTCGATCAGCTTGGCCTTGAGGTCCGGATCAAAGACCAGATTGGGATCCAAGTACTCTGGGCGAAGTCGAGGGTTTGTGGAGATGTACGTGGAGTTGGGGGCATATCGCGACTTGGGTATCCTCCAGCGATCATGCTTCAAGGGCTGTGTAGATGCCAGTCAGTACAACCATTTCAACTCATTCGTAGAGGCGCACTGTGAACCCTCGAGATGACGAAGGAAAAGGAGGGGTCTGCTTACCTTTTCGCCCAGCTCCTCTGGTGTCCTGCAGTCGACCGAGCGACTGATCTGATTCCACCGCACATCAGTGCCCGCCACGAAGCCTTTGTAAATGGGCGTTGCTGCGGTCAAGGCCAGCATGATGGGGCCGAGAGGACTTAGCTGATCATACAGCTCCCTGCCCTCGACAATGTTCTTGGCCTGAAAGGTGATCTGGAGACAGCAGCTCCCCATTCCAAAAGCCATTGCGTCCATGTGGATGAAGTTGTCTGGAGCGGCTCCGTTGCGGACGTCGTCATCTTCGGGCCAGTTGTGGAGATCGTAGTTGACCGTGGGATCTTTCCAGGGGATCGGTGTGTTTTTGTCACGGAAGATGGGAACGTTGACTTGCACCTTGCGGGTCCTCCGGGCGCGAATATTGGCGGCCAAGGTTGGGAAGCGGATGTGAGGATTGGCAATCTCGTCCGGCACAAACTGCGAGCGCAGCTTGGGCCCCGAGGGAGGGTAAAAGGGGTGAGTGAACTGGCCTGGAACGCCAATCTGGGGGAAGGTGGTCAGGGTGATGGGGTACTCGGTGGACAGCATGTGCTCCTTGGCAATCTTCCTCCGGAGTTTCATATCGGGCTCAACTCCGAGGAGTTCCTTGAGCCCAATGCCCCAAGGCTTCCCTGGGGTAGCCTCGAGCATGAAGCGGCCGAACTCGGGGTGAAAGACGGGCAGAGCCCCGCTGTTTTTGCTGTAGGAAATGGTGTCAGATGATAGAGCAAAGACAAGGCGAAAGAGCTAAGAGCCTTACTATGTTTTCGCGATAGGCGCCTCATCCTGGAGCGCAGGCACAGAACCCGCCTCAGCAAGCGCCTCATTGTTGGAGAGAGCCTTGAGGATCTCGGCTTGTCGAAGGGAAAGGAGAACTTTTGGATCATCCTTTGAATACATGACGACAAGATACTCGACCTAGGGCAACGTTTAGCAAAGTGAAGAGAGAGCGGCGCTCTGCCGGATGGAGGTGAGGGCGTATAACCTCATCTCCCCACAACATGGCATCCCGTTCCTTGCCCTTGGCCTTGTTCCATATCTCCAGGAGTTGCTGTGAGGGATGTTAGCGGTTATCTAGGCTCAAAAAGACAGTGGATGTCAAGTCAACCAACCCTGATGCCCCATTCTCTCACTTGGTTTGCGCGCAGCTTGGCTTCTGGCCACTCCAGTGCCGTTCCCAGGGCTCTATTGACACATCCATTCCATTAGTTGAATCACCAACTGAGAAACACCTGGAGAAGACGCACAAGAGACCCATGACTTAGTGGTTAAGTAAAATGTCGGCGGTCGGCAGCAAAATGGCCTGTTGGAAGTACGGCGCTGAAGACCTCAAAAAGTGAGAGTTGTAAGATGTTCAAGCATGAAAACCCAGAGGCGAGCTAGACACTTTATGACGAGTCGAATATGGCCGTGAGCGACAGTAGTGACGATGGAAATAAACAAACAATGCAACGACAAAGATTTGGAGAAAGAATGGCCAAGAACAAGATGAAGCCGGACGAGATCGCCGTGCCTTTCTTCGCCCTCAAACAAAGGCGCCGAGCACAGAGGCAAAGACGTGCTCTTTGAAGTCGCACGAACCCCGTCGATTATTAAGAGGCGCGACGCCGCACGAGACTGCGAGAGCTATGTCTCCAAGCTCGGACCCCGATCAAAGAAAGAGAGAGGACGACGGACACCCTTATGGCTTCTCTCTGCTTTTTCCGAGTCCAACCAACAGAGGAAAAGGGATAATGGCGATACTGGGGGCGTTGGACTGGTTATTGCTGTAAATGAGAGAGAGAAGAAAAAAAAAAGTTCTCGATTTATCAAAAGACGGACGCCCCCACTCCGGGAGAAGGGCGCCAAAAGGTTGGCAGACCAGACCGGGATGCTAAAGGCGGACAAAAAAGATGCGGCAAACGATGGAGATTGAGAGCACGGATCCCAAAGGTAAGGCACAAGGTCAATCAGACGTTGAGGCGCGATGATGGAGGCCGTGATGCGATGAGGTGATGGAAGTAGATGGACAAGAAGAGAGATGATAGTGGGATGATATAATACAGACCCAATTGGGTGTCGTGCCTACTATTTCCATCTCTTCCTCTTTTACCTACTATAAAACTACCACTACATAGATACCTCAGTAGTTTTTACTGTATTATTTCTCCCCCCACCTCTGCGGCTGAGGATTCTAAGATTATCACAGGCAGCGGCTTCAATTATCGCTAACAGTAAAACCACTAATACCTACCTAGGTAGCTTAGATGAAAGAATCTCTGATGATTTAGATCAAAGAAACATCATTCGCCCTGTTCCTTCCTGCTCTCTCTCCGCTCCCGCCCAACCAAAGAGGTCTAAACGGCAGGAGCAGTGGAGCCGCCGCGGCAAGTCGGTAGCCGAAGATTTGTGAAAGCTTAGAAATCCAACTGCCAAACAATGGAGCCCCCCCGAGAAGGCTGGGACGTCGCTTCCTCGTTGTTCGGACTGTCGGACTGTCGGCGCGAGGGAAGGAGCATCTTGATGCAGTGGGCAGTGAAAGAAGGGGCTGATGGGGTAGGAAGAGAGCCGTGCCTTCTTTGTGATGTGATATGCGGTATCCCGCAAGAGGGTGTTTATTGTTGAAGTTGCAGGTTTACTGGGATGCAGTTGCTCCTTGTCGCATTCCGCCAGACTAACTTATCGTACTTACTAATGCAAGCCTCACGCAATGCTCAGTCTTTTTTCTTTTTATTGTACCTAGAAACCTGGTAAACCCTTTCAAATAAGTAGCTGGCAAACAGCTGGGATCTCGCTATATGAAAAGCCCTCCAGGGCTGTCGTCTGCTCCTCCGACAACATCAAACCCCCAGCTCTCGGCTGGGGATGGCAACATGCAACGGATGCATTGCGTCATGTGAATGTATATGATGTGTCTCATGATGAAGAACCAGACAAACCCTGTATATTGCAATCACTCTTCAGTTGAGCATGCGTCCGTTTCCCCTGCGGATATTCATCTCTGCGGATTTGATTCTCCGGGGCTTGGCTTTTCGGCATTCTACTAGTACACGCGCAAATACGCACATACCTTACGCAACATACGAGTCCGCAGCTCGGTAGCTTCAGTCAGCCGTCATGATCTAGAGCAGTAGGTATTATGATAGCCCGTACAGAAGGGGATCGCTTCATGCTCTGTGTATCATCCGCAGGCTTTCCCTTTCGCGTCCTTCTTCTGTAGACAATGAGGCGTCCTTGCCATCAGGGTTCAATATTCGAAGCATCTTCCTTGCATGGCTGGAATGCAACAATGCAGCTTGTCAATGCGCAAGAGATTCAAGACATGCATAGAACCTCCAGATACGGCTTCTCCCCCCTTCTAGAAGAACAGAGGAGCTGGTGGTCCATGCTTGCACTCACCGAAACATTCTCTCGTGGCTCGCCGTCTTTGTTAACTTCTTTCTATATGCACATATCATGCAGATACAGCTCTCATCATCAAGATGATGTCGCGCCGTGGAAAGCCGACAAAAAGCACGGAACCCATGCGGCTCTCAAGTGTCCGCATCTCCGCACCGGAGTTTACAGCTGGGAATATCCACAGATCGCATCTTTCCCTTGCTGCTGAGAAATGCTGTCGACGCCCTGCCAGAGACTGATTACTAGCATTTGCTCTAGGAGGATTCATGCACGGATGCATGGTGGGCTTAGCAGGTGCATGCATGCGTGCATGCATACATACATGCATGAGTGGAAGAGAGGCTGTTCGTCGCGCATTCCTGATGGCTTCTAAGATGAACCGACGAGTTTGGCCACGCAGATTCGGTGGGCTGTTATTGCAATCATTGTTTTCCTCAAAGGACAAAATCTGCTCCGAATGGTGTCGAAGAAGGAATGCAACTCGGAAAATAGATCGTCGTTTATGATTGGCCCATTTAGCAATGGAACCAGCTGGCGTCGACTCAAAAGGAATGCAGCAGTTCTGACTCCTTGAGAGTTCTCAATGAAGTAAGTACTTGTCTGTGTGTGCGTGTTGGCAGGCAGAGGCACGAGTACCTATGGAACTCCATCAGCCAAGTGCGTGCAGCCGTCCAGCGCCCCGGTGCGCGAGACAGCAAATGGCCTCTTACCCCATCGTCCAATGAGCGGAAGAGGGAGGGAGAGAGAGAGAGAGAAAGAGCAGAATGAAGGGGATGAGAATTGACTTTGATGGTTCGTCCTAGTCTCGTTCATGATGAACTCGCGGGACCAGGTCAGGTCTAGAAGGGCGTAAGAGGGGGAGGGAGGGAGGGTGAACGGGCGAGAGGAAGCGGACAAAGGAGGGCTGGGCAGGTTGTGACTGGCTGCGTTGAACTTGAGGTTGTGTTGGAGAGGGGGGCGAGAGATGTGTCTGGGAATAGATCTGACTGGCCCGAACCAGCAAAAGGAAAGAAAGGCTCCGTCGTCGAGCCTCTGGTTCCATCAGAACCGTGATGATGAGGATGATGAGCCGCTCGATTCGTGGGGTAACGAGTTATCTCGATTCGAGCCTTGGCCCCTTGTGGCTAAGTTGATGGACGTGAAGCAGAGAGGGATCGCTCAGATGGCTTGGCAGTGCGAGTTCATGGCTCTGTTAGTCGGCTGCCTCGAGTCCATTCCTTGTATATCAGACGCATTGGTAAGTCAACCAGCAACCACTGCAGTTTCATTCACCTTGAGAAGGAGACAGAAACGTCCATCGCCATCACAGCGCACGACGTCACTTTGTTTGTGATGTTTGGCGGTGGAGAGCGTGACATTGATTACGTCATGCTCGAGCATGTGTCACTGACGGTTGCTTACCTACTATCTAGTATGAGTGCCATGAGGATTGGGGTATGAGAATGCGTCAAGACTGTGTCGTGTGTGATGAGAGTGAGGACAAGCAAATAAGGTATACACAGCACAGTACAGTACAGTACATATTGTTGTCTTGTTTGGCAAAGACGCTCGTGGCCGCAGATCATCATGATCTGCTCTTGCAATACTCTCTGTACGACCCCCGGTGTGTTTCAGAACATTCAGAGTGGCGGCATCAGGATCGTCTTGTCGACTTTGTATGTACAGTTTCTGTTACTGTTGTCGAGGCTTGATCCGGTTCGTAAACGGTGGGCTTGCTACAGCTGTCAGACATGCGTGTCGACTTTCTATCAAGTTCTTTGGGGGCATCGAAGCAGCTGCGCTGGTGATCACGTACCTACCTATCTACCTACCTTGCCAACATTTGATTCGGTGCTGGTCACGCTGCTCCTCTCTTGGCGATGCCTTACGTACGTACGTACATGTACCTATGCAACGTCAATCTCGAGATGTCATCATCGCCCTTCTCTCTAAAACCTAATGGCTGGAACTCTTCGAGCAGCAATACAATGAATATTGCCCGTACCGACCTTGAGAACTACCTTAGAATTGCAAATTCAGACAGTCCTTGAGATTATAAGAAAAATGAACATTCAGTCACTTTCCAAGCGCTGAACCCACCGTTGGGCATGCGGGCATCAAGCCCAGAGACGGCACCCCCAAAGCTGTAAACATGGAACCCAGCGGCAATTGGGCAGTGGCAGCGGTTGCAGCAGCTCCAGCCTCCACTGCCGAACCAACCAACCTTGAAAGCTGAGCCCGAGGTCCCCTAAAGGGTCACTAAAAGGCCCCTAAACATGGACAGTTTGGGGTGGAATCCAATCGACGCTTCAGCTGGGTCACCTGCTCCTTGTCCTCCACCGATCTCTTCCCGCTACAGTACCTTATGTACCTTACCTTGGCCTTCAGGGACCTACTATCTTCGATTCACTCCATCTTACCTTTCCTATTTCTATCTCAACCTTGATAGGTAGCATTTGCCAACTTGACCTTGAATCCAACAACGCTCGACTCACTCTCTCTCTCTCTCTCTCTTTTTTTTTTTTTTCCCTCCCCCATCTCCTTGACCCTTCTTCCATCTCCCTCTCTTCACCAACACGCCCCTCCTCATCAACCTCGATTGACCTCGCTTGTCTCTCCTCCCCCGCATCCGCCCCTCTCAGCTTTTGGCTGGCGAACAAACGACAGCCTGTCTTACCTATCAATCAGCTGCTGTCCCTGGCACACGCAAACGCACACACACACACACAGACGCACACAGACGCACGCAATCCACACCGAACTCGACCTTGACCTCGACGACTTCTCCGACGACATACGAAGCCCGCCCAGAAGCCAACCCTCGTTTGTCTGTGCGAGTGCGACGAGCGACCGATTGATTGATTGATTCCTTTCCCTTCGTTTCCCATTTCCCGTTACCCTACAGCCACCATGAACCCTCACCAGAAGAACAAGGTCGACATCAATGTGAGCTTACCGACCCGATTCCTTACCCCTCCTCCCGCCTAAGCCCAGCAGCGTTGGGGTAGAGATGCCACAAGGTGCCAGATGGGAGCACCGCCACGACGACGCCTACTGGTTGTTTGGCCCGACAAAGGGCGGTCAAACGATGCAAAGAATCCAAAGCATCACGGTGATTGTTGCAGAGAAAGAACAAGGCTGAGCTAACCCGCCAATGCGTCACTTTTTCTAGTCACTCACGCCCGACGAGCAGCGGCTCTTCCGCCTTTACGGCAAGCTGCCCTCGCGATCCGACCACTTCGCCAAGCACCTCAAGGACCGCAAGTACTTCGACTCGGGCGACTACGCCATGTCCAAGGCCGGCAAGGGCGACGGCGTCGATGCGGGCGCCGTCGGCTCGCAGCACCCCGTCCCCGAGAACATCCCGCACCTGACGTCGCCCACCAACGGCGGGCCCAACGCCCCCGGGCACGCGCACCGCGGCTCCGTCCCGGGCATCCAGGCGGGGAGCCCCGTCAAGGAGGGCAGCTTCTTGAACCGCGAGACGTCGGCCGAGGGCGAGGTGAAGCTGAGCGGCGACGACAAGAAGGGCGAGCAGGAGGCTGACGACGCCAAGCCCGTCGACACTGGGCTCGGCGGAACGCCCATCGTCGCCGGAGGGGCCATGCCGGTCCGGCAATAGCCTCGTATGCGTGGTCTCTGATGCATTCGACTATACATTCGATTCTACCTGCCGGGCTGTCAGTGTGGTATATGGGGGAGGGGGGGGCAGCAGAATGCGAGAGGAAGCCTCTTTCATGCAGACCTCTCCCCTCTTCCCCCTTGAGTTCGCAGGCGATGTGGCACGAGGCACAACTCTGCACCGAGTGCCGTAGCAAAAACATGCATGGATGATTTATGTCTTTCTTGGTTTTGTTTTCAGTTCTGCTTCGCATTGCAATGTACCATGACGTCCTCATCCCGAGGAGGGAGAGACGACGAGGCGGCACGAGATTGAGGAAGAAGAATCGACTTTGAGTGGGATGAGAAAATCTCGCGTTGTTTCATGAGCCATAGTTTGCTTCAGCAGTTGATTTCTCCGTCTTGCTTCCTGATTTATTGGCGTTATCTGGGACCTGTTGGAAGGAAATGTTCGATTATCATCACGTCTTCACAGCTCGGGCGTCAAGAGCCTCTGCGCCGGCAAAACTGAAAAGAACAAAAAAAACCACAATGACACCTGGAGCAGAATGGAGGTCTCTGTCACGGAGCTTGTCATTTTATTCTTTCTTTTCTCTTGTTCCACTGCTCTGTATTGCCTCTGTATCGTAGGTATGAACTGCTGCTATAGGGTCCAATTGTCATAATTTCATCTATTTGCATCTAAATCAGCAGGTCGTGACATGTGAATGTAGGTACTGTTATCAAGACTCTATTTCCTTTAACTATCAGCACATTGGCATTCAAGCCAGGAGATGAAAATGGCGTATCATTTCATCAAGAGAGAGGGCCATTTCCAGAAGCTCAAATCCGCAGTCCTTACATATAGTACCTTAGGTATGTAGAGGGGCACCTTGCTGGACACCTCAGCAAATGTGCTTACTAGCAGGGCCCCTCCAATTGGCCGCCTCGCCTCGCCCTCTCCACACAATTTTCTGCTGCCCAGGCCCAAACAATCTTCCAGCCTCATCTCTTTTACCTCTTTTCCTACCTTATTCTTCTTCTTCCCTTCCAATTTCCCCCCCAATTTCGACAACAAACATAGGAGTCTTTTCTTTTTTATTAGTACATGTTCCGTCGCCTCATCACAAAAATGGCCGAATCCGCTCCCAAACGCCTCAAGACCGACTCCCCCGCCTCCGTCCTCGTCGGCACGCACAACGGCCACTTCCACGCCGACGAGGCCCTCGCCGTGCACATGCTGCGCATGCTGCCGACGTACCGCGAGAGCCGGCTGGTGCGCACGCGCGACCCGAAGCTCCTCGAGACGTGCCACACCGTCGTCGACGTCGGCGGCGAGTACGACGCGCAGCGGAACCGGTACGACCACCACCAGCGCGGCTTCGAGACGACGTTTCCCGGCAAGCAGACGAAGCTCTCGAGCGCGGGGCTGGTGTACATGCACTTTGGCCGGGCCCTGATTGCGCAGCGCCTTGCTGAGGAACGGAATAAACCTGCTTCTGCTGCTGCTACCTCAGAAGAACAGAAAGAAGAAGAAGGAAAGGAGGTGGTCAGCGAGGAGAGCCCAGACGTGGAGCTGCTCTACAACAAAATCTACGAATCCTTCATCGAGGCCGTCGACGCCCACGACAACGGCATCTCAAAGTACCCGCGCGACGCCCTCGCCGCCGCCTCCATCGAGCCGCGCTTCTCCTCGGCCGGCTTCACCCTCGGCGCCATGGTCGGCCGCCTCAACCCCAACTGGAACGACCCGAAGCCCGCCGACCCGGACGCCGCCCAGGCCCACGAGGACGCGCTCTTCCTGACGGCCAGCCGGCGCATCGGCGAGGAGTTCGAGCGCACCCTCGACTTCATGGCCCGCGCGTGGCTGCCCGCCCGGTCCATTGTCCAGACCGCCTTTGACGCCCGCCGGAAGCACGACCCGGAGGGCCGCATCCTCGTCCTCGGGGGCCAGAGCGTGCCCTGGAAGGACCACCTGTATAGCCTGGAGGAAGACAAGGAGGACGGCAAGCCGAGCGTCTTGTACGTGCTCTATGCGGAGAGCACCCAGCCCGGCGCCAAGTGGCGCGTGCAGTGCGTGCCCGAGACGGCAGACTCGTTTACGAGCCGGAGACCACTGCCCGAGGCGTGGCGCGGGTTCCGCGACGCGGAGCTTGATGCCGTGGCGGGCGTTGACGGGTGCGTCTTTGTGCATGCCGCGGGATTCATTGGTGGCAACAAGACGTTTGAGGGGGCCTTGGAGATGGCTACCAAGGCGTTGGCTTGAAGGAGGGGTTGAAGCGAGAGGGGGGGGATATATATGTACTTTATGTGTTGTGATGCTGAAGCCAAAAGAAAAAGGGGGATTATGCCACGGAGCTTGGTTTAGACGGGACTCGGGTTCATGACGGTAATGACACCAAAGGAAAGAATGAAAAGTGCTTGTTTCTCTCTCTGCGATATCACGTAGACGGATGTGAGCCAAGAAACTCAGGGGGTCCCGTTGGATTTGGGTCTTGATGGTAGTTCTGCCATCAACACCGGCTGCCCGATACTGGACGGATTGTTCTTCAAAGCACAACGTCACTTAGATTTGTCATGAACCAGCCGGATGCTGAAATCAAAAGCAGCAAACAATAAACATAGAATGATATATCGCAATGCATGTCCTTGCCCAAAAAACGCCAGCCGCTCCAAGAAAATGTTTTCGCAGCTCCAAAAAAGCAGAATAACCCACCCATCTCCTAAGACCTGGGCGGTCATGAAACCTTCCCTCACGCTGTTCGCCTATCCGTCTCGGCAGACGTGGGCTTCTCTCCGTTATCCGGGTTCAAGTAGTCGGCGTCTTCTGCCGCCTCATACTCGGCCACCAGGTCAGACACCACCTGCCTCGCCTCGTCAAATTCGTCTAGGTTTTCGGAAAAGGGCGCCGTCTTCTTGTAGCCCTCGATGAAGGCGTTGCGCTTGCGCATGCCGTCGTACTGTTTCAATATCCTCTTGAAGAGCTATACCAAGTCTGCGGTCAGTAAAGAAGCACAAAGAGGGAGAAACGTAAGTAAACGAACCGTAGCAATGCTCGTGTGATTTGCCAACATCAGCCCGCTCACGCGGTGGCTCATGGGCATGTAAGGGCTTCTCTTGGTCAGCGCAACCTGGATGCTCGCCGGGCCCCACGGGATAAACGTCGCCAGCTTGCGCTCCCGGATACGCAGCAGACTCTTGTGCACGTCCGTCGGATCGACCTCGCCCTGAATCACGTTGAGGATGGAGATGTAGCAGCTCTTCTTGCCCGGCACCGTCGACACCATGCGATTCTTTGGCTGCAGCAGCCGCCTCATCACGTCCAGCACCGTCGTCTTGCGCACCGTCTTGGCCTGCTCCACCTGGTCGCCGGTGAAGGGCGTGTAGGCCGTCATGAGAAAGTGGCATCGCGGCGTGGGTATCAACGAGGCCAGGATGCTCACGAGGTCGTTGTGCATGTAACCAGGGTAGCGGAGAGTCGTCGTGCTCGCAGACATGACAGTGGCAACCTACCACGGATTAGCTTCCATTCCGAGAATTTCTTCTCGAATCCTAGACGCCACTCACCAGCTGGTTCGTCTGCTGGAACGAAGGCTCCTGAACGTGCAGCCTATCCGCCGCAATATGCGACAACGCGCCATTGTCCAGCACGACAACCGAATCAGCATTCTGCGTCAGCCGCCGCATGGAAAGAATGCTGTTGTAAGGGTGGACCACAACATCCGGCGCGTTCGTCGTGTTAGGAAAGACCGAATACGTCTGTATGATCTTCTTTGGAAACCGATCGTTGAGCCGCTCGAGGAGAAACGATCCCAGACCCGAGCCGGTACCTCCAGCAATGGAGTGCAGCATCATGAAGCCCTGCGTAGCAGAGAGTAGTTCCAGTCAGCAAAAAGGTCTTGGCTTTGAACGAAGCAGGCCCAAATCATGGGGAGTCTTTGTCACCTCTAGAGAGTCGCTGCCGTCGGCCTCTCGGTCTATCATCTCCATCACATCCTCGTAAACCGCCTCACCGCTCTGATACCCATCACCCCAGTTATTCGCCGCGCCCATGCCATTCTTGCCGACGTAAAAGTTTTCCGGGTTGTAAATGTTTCGATACGGTCCCGTCTGGATGCTATTCAACACCTATGCCCAGAAGAAACACACACACGAATTAGCACTCCAAGTATTTGACGTAGCTACCCAAGCACACTTGGCAACGCCAAAACAACAAGGGAGAGAGGAAAGGGTCGGTCGAAAACATACTCGGGGTTCGAGATCAATCAGGATCGCCCGCGGGATATATCGCGTATCGTCGCTCTGATAGTAAAACACGTCCTTCCTGTCGCCCCCTTCTGTCGCAAAGTCCTCGAGGTTGCCGTCTTGGCTGATTCCATGCTCCTGGCAAAGCTGCTGCCAGAACTGACTCCCAACTAGACAAGCAAGAGTCGTCAGTACAGTCCAACCCTATCATATCTGGCAGGCTAGCATATAAATGGTAACGCGACAAAGTAAACAACCAACGCAAAGCACGCAACCCCAAAGGGGGGAACAAAAGAAGCCAAAAGCGCAACACTCACTGCTGTTACCGCATTGTCCAGCCTGGATGGTAATGATCTCGCTACACCACAAGGAAAGAGTCAGATGACCTCCAAAATCAATCCTGAGCTTCCTCAATCATAAGGCAAAGCGCAAGAAGAAGAACATACCGCGGCATATCTGATTTCGTTGGTGTTCCAAACTGCAAAAGGCTTCTCGACTTCCCCCCGTGGTTCGGAAGAATGATGAGGTTTAGTAGCTGCCAGACGCGCCAACGCGCAGCGCAACAACCTGCCATTGGGCTTGGGTTTCCCCAGTGCCGCCTATCGATAGCGACCTCCCCGCCCCCACAAGAAGGAAGCTACTCCTACCGTACTTTGCTACTACTGTACCCAAGATGTCTGATACACGTACCTATCAACGTACTATGTTGGTGGTCTACGCATGCAATCGTCCAGCAGACAGACGACCTCTAAAATATTCATTGTGAGATCTACTGGGCTGTTGCTGACTCGTCACGGATAGTCATCATTGGCAACGCATCAGTGTGTATAGTAAACATGGCATGTTGTACATTTGTAAAACGCTAGACTTTTAGATCTCTACACCCCTCAACCACCACATCCCTCAATAAACGTACAACAAACAATTACAGTATCATGATGTTGGGGGGGAAACAAGAACAAATCGTCATAATGAATAGGCATCAGGGCCCATGGGGATATATAGAGCTCATTCTTCACAAACCCTAGCCGAAAATCAAAGGGGGAAGAAGCCAATGGCAGCAGCTTCGAAACCTTCCAACGCCCGCAATGCTTGAGAAAACGACAAATCGCAAGCCCCCTTATCCCCTCGTTCCTTGCCTTAGTGGACAGCCCCAATCGTAAAGTGCATGTTGCTCCTCCGCATTATTTCTTGTTGAACGCCTTATTTTTCTCCAACGCATCGCCCAACTCCTTCGCCAGTTCCTTTGTCTTGACCTGAATCATCCAGGTCTCAAGGCCGTCGCCCGTTTCGTTGGACGTGGTCATCTTGACATACTTCTCGCTCGCCTTGTACGACAGATCCGGCAATACAATGCGATTCATGGCGACGTTGCCCCTGGGCTCCGCTCGCAAGAGCAGGCGGACGGCGTTGGTTTCCTTGTGCTTCAACAAGCGCAGAGAGCCAACGCCCTTGGTGACCCAGGGATTCTTCGCCTTCTTCTCCTCGCCCTCCGAAATCTCCCCCATGGGGACGAACTTGAGCACCTTTGCGCGAACTTCGTGCAGGATGTCTTCGTCCTTCTCCGCACCCTCCGTCAGGCTGATCTGCTCATGCTTCTCGCCCTCCTCGTCATTGTTATCAGCAGCAGCGCCAGTGCTGGACTTCACTTGGGCCGATGGCTCCGGAGTCCCTCCGGCTGGGGTGGTGGCCAAGCTAGAGCCTCCCCCGAAGTTGAATGGAGAGTCTAGACCCGACGCTTTAGCGGGGCGATTTTCCGATGCGGAAAAGGTGACTTACTTGTCCCGGTGGTCGACGACCCACCAGCTGGTGGTGCGAGGTTGAACCCGGCGGCGGAAGGCTGGCTCGATCCAGATCCAAAGGTGAACATGGATGTCGGCGGCTGGCTCGCAGGAGCCGGGGCAGTAAAGGCCGGCGCGCTGCTGGTCGACGCCGAGGCGCCACCAAACAGCGGTGCCGGGGTTTGCGAGGGTTGACTGCTGCTGCCGCTGCCGAACTGGAACAGTCCTCCAGTGCTTCCCGAGCCTGCTGGCTGGGAAGACGATCCGAAAGAGAACGTCGGTGCCGATGCCTGGGTCGAGTTTCCACCAGTAGTGCCGGAAGAGAAGGGGTTGCTGAACCCGCCCGAGGAGGCGGAGGCCCCTCCCGATCCAAAGTTGAAGTTGAAGCCGCCGGCGCTGCCAGTGTTGTCTCCAGAGCCCGATTGGGCATTTGAAGAAGCAGCGCCAAAAATGGGGGCTGGCGTGGGCGTCGAGCTCTTGTTGTTTCCGAACAGGTTGGAGCCCGAGCTGCTGCCCGTCGTGCCGGCTGTGCCGAAGCTGAACAGGGGAGGCGCAGTTGAAGTATCTGTGCCGAGGCCAAACTGCTTCTTGGCCGGCGATGCGTCGTCCTGCTTCATTGGGCTTCCAGAGAACAGGTTAGATGTGGCAGCAGGAGGGGACTTCGGGGCGCCGAACAGGGACTTGGCAGCCGCCTGAGAGGTCTCGGTCGGCTTGGAACCGGCCGCCGAACCAAAGGAGAACAGGGACGAAGGCGCGGGCTGGGTGCTAGCAGGGGGAGAGGGATCCTTCTTCGCCGCCACGGAGGCTGGAGCACCAAACAGAGAAGTGGTAGGAGCCGGAGCAGTACCAAACAAGTTTGTGCCAGACCCGAGGGTCGGCGTCGCCTTTGCAGGCTCGGAAGCAGAAGCAAGTCCAAAAAGATTGGTAGACGTGGGGGCAGGGGCAGGGGCTGGGGTGCCAAAAAGGTTCGTCGGAGCAGCTGGCGCAGGAGCTGCGGGCGGTGCAGAGGCACCGCCAAAGAGGTTGAGCTTAGGGGAACGAGACGGGGCAGGGGGGGCAGCAGGAGGAGCTGGCTTGATGCCAAAGAGGGCTGCAGAATCGCCGGTGAAGGGGGGCGGCGACTTGGGACGAGTACCGCCGGATTTCGCAATGTTCTTCCCGAAGTCAAAGAGGGTAGAAGTGGGACCCGAGGGAGCGGATGTCTTGACATCGCCAAATAGCTTGGAAGTCGACTCTGAGTCTCCAATGGCACCAAACAGGTTGGTGGTGGTTGCGGGCTTTGCGAGTTCGTTGACCTTGGCGGGTTCGCTAGGCTTGGCGGGTTCACTGGGTTTGGCGGGTTCGCTGGGTTTGGCGGGTTCGCTGGGTTTGGCGGGCTCGCTGGGCTTGGGCGGCTCGGCTGCAGCGGGCTTGAAGCCAAAGAGCGAGGCCGCCGAGGGCGGGACGGCCGACACCTTGGGTTCGGAGAACATCTTCTTGGCCGGCTGGGAGTCATTTTCCTTATCAGACTCTCCGCCAGTCATGTCCGTCTCCGAAACAGGCGTGTTTGCCTTGGAGCTCTGGTCTTGCTTGGAAAGGCCGAAAATGTTGGATGGTGCGGTGCTCTTGGGTGCGAAGATGGAGCCAGCAGAAGTCGAAGTCGGCTTGCCAAAGAGCGACCCAGTCTGAGAAGTAGGCGCCGCAGGGGCGAACTTGAGAGGAGTGCTGGCGGGATTCCAGGTCTGATTGAGGGTTGAGGCTTTGGGGACAACCTCCTCCGCAGAGTCGTCGGCACGGATGGGCTGACCATCAGAGCCCTTGGTGATGCGCTCGAACAGGCTGCGCCCCGGGGTGCTTTCTCTGGTGCCCGCAGTGGTAGAGGCACCGGTGCCGAAGAGGGTCGATGGCTTAGAGCTGAACAGATTGGATCCAACTTGAGGCGAAGCCTCACCGGGACCGCTGGGTGTGTCACTCTGAGTGGCTTCTTGGCCCTCCTCCGTCTCCTCGTTTTCATCGATTTCTTCATTGTCGGATTCAGACTCGCTTTCGGCGTCGGCCTCGATTCCGCTGTTCTTGGCAGAACTAGCATCCGACAGGTAACCAAAGATGTTGTTGCCATTGCTGACGCCGTTCGCCGGAGGCTTCAGGCTGTTGTTGAAGACGGAGCGGGAAAGTTTGCCATTGGCGCCGTTCTTCTCGGCCGCCTTGAAGGGGGCTGGAGAAATGGCTGGCTTGCTGGCAATCTTTTCGAAGAGAGACTTGGCGTTGGAAGGCGTCGCTTTCTGCAGCTTGGATGGCGACTCCTCGGTGGTGGAAGTCTTTCTCTTGTTCTTGCTGGGAGCCGGAGTAGCGGCGGTGGGCTCGTCTACTTCGTCACTGACGGTAGCCCTTCGCTTGCCTGCCGTGGCCACATTCTCAGTAGCATCAGCAGTCTCCTTGGACAGATCGTCATCGGCCTTTCGCTTCATGGAGGGGGCTCGCTTGGTGGGGGTGCCGTTCATCTCTTCGGCAGCCTCCTCCTCCTCCTCGTCGGGATCGGGCAAGCCATGCTCTCGTCGCCATCGCTTGAGAACTTCCTTGGACGGCTTGACGCTCTGGAACTCGTAGAGTCCATATCGAAGAAGGATGATGCCTCTGCTCTTTTCAAACTCCTTGGCAAAGTTCATAATGTTGAGTTTCCAGCTCTTCTTGCAGAAGATTTCGTTGGCGGCGTATTTCAGTCGGCGCAGATCGAGAATGCAGAAAAACTGGCGACGCTGCTCGTCGTCAAGGTTGGGGGGGCAGAGGTGGGCCAGGAACTGGTCGGCGTAGATGGATCCCTTAGAATTCCAGTCCTTCGGGACCTTGCTCGCTAGGACCTCGCCCGTCAACTCTGGGGGCGGCGATGCGATGCGCATGTTGAACAGCTCCTTGTCGGAGGCGTTGGCGGCCAGGCCGCGCGGCGTCGGGCGAGCAGTCGTCTCGCGATAGACACGACTCGGCTCCGGAGTCACGCCGGGGGCGAAGACCTTCTTCATCGTGCTCTTGGGCAGGGTGGGAGAGAAGGTGCTCGCCGTGGGAGGGCTGTCGACAGCGGTTGCGCCGAAGAGGTTGGTGCGTGACGAGGCGACATCGCGGTGGACGTTTGCATCGCGGTTGATCAGCAGCTTGCGGGATGTGGCCGTCGTGGGAGTTCCCAGGCGCTTGGCGAAGGGCGTCGCGACGTATGTGCGCTTCGCGAAGGGAAGAGGAGGACGTGACTTGGGCGTGCTGTTTCCAGCGTCCGCGGCGTCATAGTCGCCGGGCAGGGCGAAGGTAACCATGGCGTCAGCCAGAGGGGGGAAGATGAGGAATTGAGGAGATGCAGAGATTCAGAAATGGGCGGGGGTGATGCTTGGGGAAGAAATAGATGGAAACACGGCGCGACGATGGGATATTGTTACTTCGTCGCGTCAAGGGTTGGCGGATGAATTGCGGCCAAGGGGTGGGTGAACAAGAGGCAGCAGTAGTAAGCCCGCAAGGCCAGAGGCGCGGAGGGGGAGGGAAAAAAAAGGAAGGGGAAAAAAAAAAAAGGAAAAAAAAAAAAAAAACACAGTCCGACCAAGGGCAAGCGTTCGCAAACGGGCACCAGATGATGTGGCGATGATTTCACCACAAAAACGGAAGATGCAACAAAGAGCGAGAGAGAGAGAGATGACAACAGAAAATAAGAGGAAAATCGCCGTAAAATACAATAAAAACGGCGACCAGAGAAAGGGCTAGATCAGGGGCTCGTCGAAGAAGTCGTCGCGATGCAGCGGATGCAAGTCGGTGGCATCGAGCCCTGGGCGGCGCAAGAGAGTTGACTCGACAACCACTGCAGCAGGCGGGCGTGCGTTGTGTGTGAATTTTTTTTTTTTGGCGGGCGGGCGGGAGTCGAAAGGGCCTGAGGAAAAAATAAGGTGGTCTGGTCGAGTAATGGCCCGCAAGCTTGCTCTGGCGGCACCGCAGGAGAGGAGAGAAGGGGGGGAAAAGAGAGACGGGCGGCGCGGCAGGAGCAAGTGCAAGGGGCTCTACCAATATACTACTCGTATGTTGCGAGCGCGGGCAAGAGCGAGTGCTGAGTGAGTGCGAGGTGAGTGGGCAAGTGGGTTCGTTCACTCGAGCAGGGCAGGGAAGCAGCGCCTGGCCCCCGCTTTTTCTGCGCCCCTCAGGTCGAGCATCCGCCGTGGTTGGCTGGCTGTCGCGGGTGCCTCAGGCGAGAAGGAAGAGCAGAGAAAGTGAGAGGGAAAGAAAAAGTGAGCTGAAGGACGAGGAGCTGTGCTCACTTAGGTAAGCAGCCAGTCAAGTCAAGTCACCTGTTGTTGATTGCTGCGACCAGACGCAAGTGATCGGCTGACCCTCGGCCGAGGTCACTGCTACCACCGCGCTACCACCTCACGGCACCCTCCAACGTCTTTCTGTCAGGTTTTTTCCCGTCCATGGCATCACACAACGGGCTGAGCCGCTCTCTGCTGCACTGCGCACTCATGCATCGTTAGCCCCGGCCAATCGCGCCGCAGCCGGGCGCACACGCCGTGCAAGTGCAAAGTCACTCTCGGGTACCCCGTACCGAGCACCACCCACCTTTCATCACATCAAGCGCCTGGCACACACAATGGAGTGACGAGCAGAGGGCGAAGAAAGACCATGAAAGGATTTCCATAGCGTCACGAGGCATGCACAGATATCGCAAGACCAGAAACAGTACGGAAATAACAGCTAGCAATAACAGCAGATATGAGCGTCCTAATCCTGATCGAATCCTACAATTACTACACGCAAATCAAACGAGCGTGGTGCCGGCTATGAAAGCCCAGAAGGCTGAGACGCAGGGTGTGCTGGCTGCCAGCAAGAAGGGGAGGAAAGGAGAAGAGTACGGTACTGTGGCCCAATTGGTAGGGAGGAGAAAGGAAACGGTAACGCATGCCAAAACAAACATAGAAATGAAAGCCCATACTCCGTGACAGAAAATATTGTTCATGAAACCCATCCCTTACTTCCTCAGCTTCTTGCTGTCACGGTCCGTGAGGTACTCCTCGTCAGAGGCATCCAAGATGTCGTACTCTTCATCGGTCATGAAGCCGTCATCCGAGCCATCCCATTCGTACTCCTCGCCGCTAGCCGTCAAGGCGTCAGTCTCTGCCGCGGTTCCAGCAACAGACTCAGCCCGGTGCTCTTCGTGCATGCTGGCCTGCGGAGACTCCTTCTCAAGCTTGGGGAAGATCATAACACTGTCGGCCTGAGTAGTCTCCTCCTCCTTCTTCTTGGGCTCTTCAACAGCGGGCGTGGCCGGAGCCTCGGCCGGCGGCATTCGCACGCTGACATCGCACCAGAGACGGTGGCCAAACTTGAAGCCGCTCGGCGTAGTTAGGCGCCAGTAGGAAATGATCTGGCCGGCGCGGGCAGGAGTGCGGAGCAGCACGGTAAAGGGGAACTCGTTCCCGGGAGCAAGCGGGGCGTAGCACACCGTCGACTCCGATGCCGAGACAAGCTCCGAGATGCCGGCAGGGTGGGCAGAGTCGACGTGGCCCATGTAGTCGCCGCCAACAAACTTGACGGAGCATCCAGCGGGCCAAGTGGTGGTGCCCTCGTTGCGAAGCACCCAGGTCTGCTCAAACACGTGGTTGGGAGGCATGATTGTGCCGTCAGACACTGAGTCGCGAAGGAAGACGGCCCGGAGGTCATTCTCGTCGACCGGCGCTGCAGCTTCAGTGACCTTTTCCTCCTTGGGCTCCTCCTTGATCTCCTCCTTGATCTCGGGCGTGGTCTCCTGCTTGATCTCGACCACAGGCTTGGGCTCCTGTGTGGCCTGGGCTTCCTCCATCTTGGGCTCCTCGGGCTTCACGTCAACAACCGTCTGCACGCGGTTGATGGTGTTGCTGTCGCTCAAGGTCGACGAGTCCGAGGCCTTGTGGGCGTTCTTGGCACGGTCACCCATAGGAGGCATGCGCTTGCCATCCTGGTGCTCGCCAGTGGTAGTGACGCTTACATGGCGGACGGGCGTCTTGAACTTGATGAGAGGATGGGTCTTGTTGTGCTCGTTGGCGGGGCTGGCCTCGCAACTTGCGCAGAAGTCGAGGTCATGGCAGACTGCACACTTGTAGCGCACGCCTCGGATGTAGGTGGGATAGCCCTGGTTCTTGGAGCACAGGGGCCCGTCGCAGCAGATGCCCATGTGCACTGGCTGAGCAACCGCCGCGGCATCTGCAAGAGGCTCGTAGATGGGCACGAAGCGATGGCTGACGTGGGTAACAGCTGCGCTGAGCACGCAGGTGTCGCAGTAGTCCCAGTCGGGGCAGTCCAGGCACTTGTGGCGGACGCCAGTGATGTACTTGTCACAGCCGTCGCAGATTGCGTTGTGTGCCTGGTTGCGGCCAGCCTTCATCTTGATGGCGATGTGATCTGGGATACGGCTGCCTGGAACGGCGGGGACGAAGGAGTGCTTGGGATGATGACCGTGAGCGTCCTTGCCGAAGCACGCATGGCAGAGATCATAGTCCTCGCAAGTTGTGCAGTGGAGGAACTCGGCCTCGGGAAGCTCTTGCACGCAACAATTGCATGTGCGCATGTTGCTCAGGCTAGACCACCTGGTGATGGCGCCGCCCACAAACGGGACGTTGTGGGGAGTAAATGCGTTGACGGCAGCGGCGGATGGCTCCTCGGGTGTCGGATTGGCGGTGAAAAAGGCTGGGACCTTGTCAAGGCGAGCAGCCTTGAGCGCCTCAGCTTCCTGTCTCTCAGACGTCTCAATTGATGGGAGGACAGAGGCCGCCTTGTTGAAGAGGTCCTCGACCTGCTTCTTCATCTGTGACTTGGGCTCAATCTTCTCGGTGCTGCTGGCAATGAGCTGGCCGTCGATCATTGTGCGCTTGATGAGCCAATGGTTGTCATCATAGCAGCTGACAGCCGCATCAACGCAGTGCTGGCAGAGATCAAAGTCGCCGTCATCGCACGTCTGGCAGTGGTAGTGCACGTCCGAGACCGTCTTCTCGCAGTTGTTACAGCAGACGGCAAACGGAGCGGCAGTGATGATTGGAGGTGCCTGCACCGGCGGCTGGACGGGAGGCTCAGTGGCCCGGGGAGCACAAAAGTTGTCGAAGGAAGAGTAGGTCGACCTCTGGTCGAAGACAGCAGAATCGATGGAGGGTGCTGTGAAAATTGCCGACAGCTTCTGAGAAAGGTGGGCTTCAGTCTCCTCCTCAGCCTTGATCTCAGCGGTCTCGAGCTGGGTCGATGCAGCGGTTCGCAGAGGCAGGTCAACTCCTGAGAGCAGGGTGGCTGACGATGAAGGAGCTTCAAACGGCATTGACATCTCCGTCGCAGGCTCGTTTGTCGAGGCTGCCTCGTCGCTTTCGAGAGGAGTAGTCTTGTCGGTACTTTCGTACGTCTCTGCAACAGACTCTTCCGGCTCGTCTTCCACTGTGGCGGGCTTGGGCGTGGGCTTAGGCTGCGTCTGAATGGTAGAAACGCGCAGTTTCAACTTCGACTTGGCTTTGGCCGCTCTGTACAGCTGCTTGTAGATTGGCACGTTGATGGGGTCGAGGACGACAAAGGAGCCGGCCGAGTCGGAGTAACGCTCGATGATGATGCGGTCCTCTGGCGAAATGCGAAGAAAGAGTCGGATCTAAAACAGGGGGCATTAGCACGTCTGGAGACTTTTCACAAAAAACGTGTCTGCGGCGGCCACTAGAACCGCGTGGGAAACAGCGGCGTTGCGGCGTGGAAAAGCAGAAGCAGTGGGGTGAGAGGGAAGAGCCAAGCGTGATGGGGTCATGGACAAATAAGGAAATTCTGATGGCACCCACGTTGTCTTCAAGAGTATGCGGCACCATGTCACGCAGCGGCATCTTGACCCGACGAAGAGTATTCTCGTAAGTCACCTTGACGGTGATCAAGGCCTCAGGGCCAGGCTGGGGGATGGAAGACATGATGGGCAGCCTGTGGTGATGATGGCGATGACGCCGTGTTAGCAATGTCGGATGTAAATGGGGATTGCACCTCGATAACCAGACGCGGTGATGGAGGCGGTGGGCGACCGGGGCAGCAGAGACTCACGCGATAACAACCTTTCCCCGTCGGCGGGTGTTATCGAGAGCAGGCTGCTCAGAGTAAAAGAGCGGCCGGAGGAGGGCAGATGGCGATATTTAGAGGCGATGCAAGGCGATGGGATGATGAGTTGTGGAGAAGGAAATGGGCGATGGCTGAAGGAGGAGAGAAGGAGGAGAGATGACGATTGCGTTGGTTTGGTTTTGGCCTGGGACGGTTTGGGCTGGGAGAGAAGCTCCAGACGCCGCTGACTGGGGTAGGCGAAGAGCCGGGGACTGGAGACGTGCAGTGGAGGCGGCTGGCAGTGGCGCGACTGGTGCATGTACTATGTACCGGGTACTTCGGGGCGTCCTCTGCACGCCTCGCCGTGGCCTGGACCTGTGCGAAGCAAACTCGCTCGGGTACCTCTCTGCGGGTAGGTACTAAGGTAGGTACTTCAATAGGTACGTGACTGCTCAGTGACGCAGGCTTCGGCTCTGGCTCTGGCTCTGGCTTTGGCTTTGGCACACCGACAGGGAGCGGCGTCGGGGTGACGAGGCAGCAGTTGAACTGGGGTGACCTGGAACCTTTATTGCGGGCGGGGCCAAAGTAGCGAGTACATCAACGGAGTACTCGTACATGCTCCCCCGTGCTCATGGCGAGTCTCGGCGAAGTCACAGCGACCAGACCTCGCAGACCTCTGCGGCGACGCGGCCAAGCAACTCCAGCTCGGCGCCCTTCAGGTACCGCGGCGGTATTTGGTACGGTACCCGCCCGCATCTGATGTGTGCCACCGACCGCCGGTGCAGCGCTTGTCAAGTCCCAGGTGGGCCGAGATAACTCGCTGCCCTTAGCCGGCTGGGGGGCGGGGCTACAGTGCGAGACGCAGGCAGTCTGGAGAAGGGATTCACGTAAGCAGCAGCAGAGTCACAGTGCACAGCGAGTCGTAGCATACTGTATGCGCCCTGGAGCGGGTGACGGAAGGAAGCCCTGCCGGACTAGCAGCGACCTGGTGGAGGCCGGATGGCGACCAATCACGACGCGGAGCGAAGGGAATCCAGCACCAAAGGCGGTCAAGCGCAGATCGAATCAGTTGTTGCTTGATCGCTGCTTGCTGCTGGCTTGGATGCTGCATGAGGACGAGTGAGCGAGGCACGATGATGAATGACTGCATGGAGGAGTGGACGATGGACAGAGGTATCGAAAGAAAGAAACAGGAAAGGCAAGACAGGAATCACAGCCCTGAGGACAGCTAGTAATTGCCTTGTCTCAGAATGCTGCATCACATGTGTCGCCTTCTGTGTAAGTAAGTACTAAAGTAAATGTGTGATAAGTAACTGTACCAGCTCGTACATAATAGCAGGCAGTACAATGACAGTGACAGTGACAGTGGCTATCGATACTTTGGTGGTGTCGCGGAGGCGGCTTCAGCTTACTCGTGACGGTATCCTCGGCTCTCCTCCATTCCCTCAGCTTCTGCTACTACCTACATACTGCTAGGCTGCCGCGGGCGATTGGGAGGCCAACAATTCAAGGTTTCAGCACGATCATGGGCTGGACCGGTGCTAGACGTAATAGTCTATATCACTTCTACATTGCAGGTACAGGCAATAGCTGCCTGTTATTGCTACTAGCTAGCTGGCTCGGATGCCTGGACGCTGGAGGCTTGCCACTTCTCTCTCACGCAAGCAATCGGATGAGGCGAAGCACTCGAGACGGGACACAGAATGAGTTCAGGCTGCAGACGAGCCACGCCAGCGTCTCTCCCTCCCGTCCAGTCAAGGCCGCCCACACTTCACACGCTGACGCTCACACTGTCCTCACCACCACTTATTACTCTCCATACCTTACATACACCCGCGATGCTGTAGCTCCAAGGCCCTCCCTTGCCTCGTTGGCGCCCCCCCCTCTCAGGCGACAAGCTGAGTACGTGTTAGCAGCACTGCCAGCTAGTAGCACCGTTGGTCCTTTGTTGGCCACCTGCCACCATCCCAGAGACAAAGGCGGATGAGCTCGTCTCCCGGCCAGTGGGAGGTTTTTACTCCGGTTTCAGGACTCGATCTCGACTTGCGGTCGCATTTGCCGCCACTGGGAAAGGCGCAGGATTGTGCAATCATGCAGACACCGACCTCGACAACTCCCAGCTTCTCTCGCAGGTTGCAGGCTGGAGCTTGAAGCGAGGCAGACACTGGGCCAAGACCCGATGCCACCTGATTCGGTGAGCCCTCGTCATGTACCCCATACGGTACTCGCATGCTTATGGTGCAATGCCGTTACTACGAGCACCTGTAATATGACAATCACATTCTACATATTAGTACTATTTGCACAGAAGCATGCGAGTACTATCATCCTAACCATGAAGCATCGCGGCTTGTATTATGGCTCCGCCGGGTCCGCGTGATGCGCCGAATGCGGCAACGCATCGTGTCACATCGACCAGCACATCTCGGGGCATCCCCTAAGCAGGGCTCTTGTTCATCCAGTGACTGGCTGGTTTAACGGTCATTCTGGGAAGGACAAACCATGTCGTGGATCGCAGACGCAGAGCAGCAGCCTTGAAATTCTTATTCATTCTTCAACATCATGCATGGGTCGATCGACTGATGTGCAAACAGGCTTTCCTACCTACCTACTTGTTCGCGGCACCCTCGGAAGCCGCTAATCATGGCACCTGCGCAGTAGATTTAGATAAGTAAGGCAGGATTTAGCCACCTCTGCTTCGTATGTAGCGATACCTTTCCCCAGTGGGTGGAACACGGATCTTGTTGGTGAAGCTGTTGACGTTGGGGAGGTATTCAGCCCTTTGTACGGATACGATACTTCCATCATACGACTCCTACTAGGTTGGCGTATTTGGGAATTCTACTGTTGACTACTACTTAGTACCTCAGGTAACCATTGCGATGAGGTATCTGGAACACTCCAAAGTTCAAATCTGTCTCAATGTCTTACTTTAGCGTTGACTCGATGCATTGAAGTGAGGCCGATGCTGCTAGTAGCTCAATGTGAACAAGGTACGAGCGCGACAATTGTCTCGGACTGCCTCAGAGCCTCGGCCTCTCACATCATGTTATATGCCAATTCAAGGCGTCCTTCCCTGCGCTGTGATTAACCCATTGATTCACGAGAGCATTACACAGAGCCTCGGGGTGACCTGTTTTGCCTCGCGTTGGATCTCATTGCCTGCATGCCGTAAAAGTACCTATCAGCAGCCACTTCGACCTACCTACTAGTAGGTCAATCACCTCAAGGCTCGCATATACTTTGTGTTACCGGTCAGAAAAGCGACTTCGTCTTCACCACGGATCGGTGTCTCTGCTGTGTGCTACTCACACGCAGATGACTGACTACATAGCCCCCTCGATATGTCGCAGAAGAAGTGAACCAGCATCATTCACTGGGGAGAGGAAAGAAACCCTTGAACTGCCATTTGAGTAGCGAAGGGTGGATGCAAATTCACATAGCATGCATACTAATTATACAGGGCGACTCGAGAGTGAGGCAGTAGGTAAGGTATGATAGAGCATACCTGGCAAGCCTGGCATCGGCCATGTCGGTGTCATTCCTGCCCGGCATTTGTGCCTCACCATCCACCCGTCACTTTCCAGCTTCAACTTCATCTCTCTGTGGTGCAAAATGAAGGCATCTCATTAGAGTCTTCAACTCGCGTGTGCCACACACCAATATTCTGCGTATGAGTCAATTGATACTAGACGTTGACAAGAATACCTATCCCCTCCATTCTGCCTCCAAGCTCGCACTTTCAGCGTTTCTCTATACAATTATCCACTTCCAGACAAAATCCACTGCTACCCTATTTTCCATCAACCACCTCCCCTGCACCAAGCAATCCTCTCTCTCAATATCATCAGCTTTCTCGTCATTGATTCCAAGCCATTCAACAAAACCAAACCACTTCTACCTACATCCTTTCTCTCCCTTACTTCAAATCACAGCCCATCGTCCCAGCCGTCCGACAATGACATCAATCCTACATAGACAATCCTCTCTTTTTTTTTTCTTCCAACGCCACAAGTCCAGGAAATATCAACATGCTCCCCTCTTCGCGGAGGCACTCCGGGCAAAATCTTCGGCGAGGCGTCGAGCAATTATCCAGAGCACTTTGAAGAAATTCTATTACAGCGTAGAAAACGTATTCCCCCCAAATTCCCTCCTGTCAGGTATTTACTAGGTAGTTCTTGGATGAAGAAGTGTGTGTGACGCTTTTGAGGGGGGGTGGACGAGAAGGATCTGGAGGCTGGAGTGAAAGCCGCCAGGGAACATGTAAGGGACACTGACATAATGATATAGCTGCCTGCCCAGTCAATGATCTTACGTCCCGACGGATGAATGTATGCATCAAGAGGACTTTATACTATTACTAATTGGAGCTTGATATGTGTCACATGGTGATGAGGTAGGGTGTCATTCATTAGGTAGCCACAGCTCACGATACTGAAACCGTGTTCTTCTGGCTTCAAATACCTTACCTACACACAATAGCATTCACACTTTCACAGTGGTAGAAGTAAGTACCTAGTTCACCAAAGAAAGACACAGCTCACTGCACAAAACCACCATTTTTCTTCAAGAGGCACAGAAAAGTAAGTGAACCCGAATCTCAATAGTAGCATTCAACAAAACACAACTCCCAATTCCCACATGTTTTTAGAAAAGCTACTACATAGAGTTGTCCCTAAAGAACAATGCACAACGCCAAAAAAAAAAAAAAACGCCGCTGCCATGAAACAAAACACGAGGGGAAGCATCGCAATCACCTTGAAAGTGCATGACACAAAGAGGCGAACATGGACAAACCCGGGCTGGCAAGAAAGGGCAATGACCAAATAAGAAGTCGCTACATAATCGCTCCCAGCCATCTGTGCATTTCTTTTTTCTCCCCCCCCTCGAGCTCAGGCCAAGGGAAGAGAGTTTGAGAGGGAAAACAGTAGAGCGTAACAAGTAACTTGCAAGGATGCTCCTCGTCCTCCACAACGCTTCTGGCCCTTCGATTGTCTCCTGTAGGAGATGGAGAGGACAATGACCCAAAGTAACGATGACTTCAACTGATGATCAACACGACAATGGCCATAAAAAGCACCATTTAGCCTCCAACTCCTAATGATTGTTTTTTGTTTTCAAGAAGAAGAAGAAAAGATAATGCCCCAATACAACACGCGCGCACTCAGAAAAAAAGACACGCACATCAACGCTACGGTGCTCCCGGACTTCCCAGCTGGCCGATCCAGGATCTGACTTGAAGTATCAAACATCGAACGGAAAAGAGAAAGAACAGAGAAGAAACCCATGATTTTGAGCACCCAACCACCCAACCGCGCAAAAGGATAACAATGATACGTAGAAGCCCAACCCATGACACCAAAGCGGAAAGGAGTCGATAACAAAATGCAGGAGAATGAGAGAGGTATCGGAAGAATTGCGATAGGGTGATTAAGGTCGATAGGCATTTGGGGGGAGCTGGTAGTCATGCCACCCGCATAGCTCTCAATACTATTGAGGGTAGAAGACCATGCCCGGTGCGGGTTGAGGATAGTAGAAGCCGTCAGGGCTTGGTGTCACCATGCCTCCCATGCCCATCACACTAGGCTGGTATGGCTGCGTGGCGGGGTAAGGCTGATAAGGGTTCATGGACGGCATTTGGGAAGCATCGTAATAGTAAACCATGCCATTGACTTCCTGGGCCACCAGGTTCGTGTTGGGGGGCGCTGGCGGCCCGGTCACAGGAACGCCAGGCTGCTCAACCGGATTCTGGGGCGTGAAGCTGCCAGGCATGCCCGGCTGTCCCCCGGGGACGAATGGGGGTGCGGTAACCGCAGAAGCGGGCATGCCGGGACCAGAGTAGCCGTGCGGATAGTAGTATCCCGGCTGGGGGTGAGGAGGATACACCTGGCCGCCGTAGTAGGCGGGCTGACCATACGTGGTTGGCTGGAACGGCGCAGCGTGTATGGCTCGCTCGGGAATCTGGGACAGGGGCGTGCCCGTCGAGACGTGGGCCGAATACGAGGGCCGACGAGCGTGCGGGTCCTGATATCCGTTGGTCATCTGCACGGGGACCTGCTGGTGGAAGGCTTGCTGGAAGGCGGGAGCATTTTGGGTCATGGTTGGCGACTCGATGTCTGCAACGGAAATGTTCTTTTGAGGGCGAGGCTGGTGCATGGGGATAGACGCCGGTAAGTTTTCCTGGAAGCTTGGCTTCTGCGGAAGGGGATGTGTCTGTGGCTGGGGCATGTCGACAATCGACGCCTCCGGGCCAACCATTGGCACCGGCTCGGGGTGGCCTGGCGGCACGTCGACTCCCGCGGGCAACGGCATATTGAACGTTTGCGGAGCCGGGGGAAGGCGGACAACAGGCCTGGCATCGGCCTGGGGTGCGGGGCGGGAGATGATGGACCCCGTGGGCGAAAAGACGGCGTCCCTGTCATGCATGACGATGGACGACCGCCTGCTGACGGCAGCGCTGGGGGAGTAGATGCTGCCGCCGTAGTAGCTGCCGCCAAAGATGCTGGTTCTCCGTGAAAAGCCGCCCATGGAGCCCCAGGTAGACCGGGGCTTACCTCTCAGCCGTTGCTGGTTGGGGCGTAGCGCACGTGGGATAAAGGTGAATGACCGGTCCGAGGCAGGGAATATGTATCTCGGAGGGTGGTTCGGCAGTGAGATCCGCACAGGCTTGTCCCTACGCAAGGGTGGGCGGTGGTCAGGGAGCTTCGTGTACTGCTTGACGGGGAACCCGGGAAAGACCCTGGACAGCCCAATCACCGGCAGAGCGACGCGGACCTGCGTGTTGCCAATGTGTTTCTCGGTCGACAAGGTCCTGTTGATGGGAGTAGCACTAGGCTCACACGTAGGGATGAAGCCATTGCCATTGGGCGGCCCCTCCTCGTGGGGTGCCTGTCGAGCGCGACGTGGAATCACGTCTGCGACAGTCTCGTGCATGTCGTGCGTCCATGGTGAGTTCGTAGTCGGATCGGCGGGCTGGTGCAGTTGGCTAGAGGTGCGATGTTAGCGAAAAGGGACCAAGTAAACAGAGAGAGGTATGTAGAAGCGAAGGGAGGACGACAAACAACGGCGACGACGACGACGACGGTAATGGTGTTGTAATCACTTACTTGATCGGAGCATACGGCCCCCCCACGCCGCCGCGGCCGCCACCTCTGCCCCGGCCTCTGCCAAACGGCCTGAACCCATTCGCGGCCGGCCCCGGATGCCGATGGTCATGCATGAAGAAGGAACCCCGGTTGGGCACAAAGGCCGGGTCCTCGTCCCTCCGGCGCTTGTAATCTTCATGCTCTTGGCGGCGTCGGTTGGCAGGCTGCACGGGCGGAGGCCGCGAGGCGCTCGAGGAGCTGACAATGACGGGGGCCGAGGGAGACTTGGGTGGCGACACCGTCACCTCGTCAACCTGCACCTCCTTTGCAGCGTCCGGAGGGTCCGCGACAGACATGCCGCGAAGCAGCACCTCCGTGTCCGAGACCGACTTGCTGGTTTCTCCCTGAGCCCCGGCCCTGGAGCTCCTGCGGCCGGCCCCCGCTGCGGTGCCGTTGGCAGACTTCCGGGCGTTGGGGGAGGTGGGCGACACCTCGTCGATGTTGCTGGTGTCGCTGTCGTCGGCACCGTCGTGGTCGTCGGAGATGACGGAGCCCTCCGTCAGGGAGTCGTCATCCAGCTCCAGCGTCTCCGGACGGCCCTCATCGTCGCCTTCGTCCTCGACTCGGCGGCGTTGGCCGATGAGCTTCCTACGTCGGGGGACAGCGGCCATGACGGGCTTTTCTGGTTGGCGGCTTGAGCAGAGGCGATGAGACGGCGGACGAACGGGGGTCGTCGGGGACGGAGCGAGGGGGCGAGGGATGGATCAGAGAAGACCATGCAGCGGCGGGCGGTTTGCGAGAATGGAGCGGCGAGTCGGCGTGGGATTGAGCAGCAGAGAGGGCCGGGAGGTGGAAATGGAGGAGCCCAACCCGTCCCGCGGTGCTAGACACAAAGAGAACGGCAGAGAAGCAGATGGCGAGCAAACACACACACAGGCTCGGCAGGGCCGCGGGGGTTGCAGCACAGGGGCCAGCAGGGGGCGAGGGAAGGGCGAGAAGAAGGCGGGCAGCAGTGCTCCGGCGCCTCGATGATGATGCAAGGGCCCAGGACGGCGAGTGATGGGAGGATCGTGATGGTGGTTTCCAGAGCAGAAAGCGGCAGATTTGACGCCAGCCCGAGAAAAAGTGCTGGTTTGGTGTCTGGCCTGTGAAGTGGTGAGGTGAGGTGGTGGCCGCTTAGCCCAATCCAGCCGGTGCTGCCCCCCTCCTCCCGGCCATGTAGCTGCGCGCACAAGTTGGGTGGAGGGCGACTTCGAGTTGTTCCCGAAGCTCCCCTTTCGGCGTCCTGGGCGTGTGTACCTGTGGCGTAGAAGCCGATAGAGCAAGCAGCGTCCAGGTCATACAACCGCTAGCATGGTGCACTTGCAGCTACGCAGCCCTCCTGGGTGGCCCAGCGACAAGCACCTACTGTACCTCCTAGTACAAGCACCGACAAGCACCGACAAGCACTTGGCAAAGTCACAAAACGTCCGACCACCACCACCAACGACAGACAGACAGACAAACTGATAGATCCCATCTATCAAGTGGGCGATCGCAGCAAATGGGATGCAGCCAGCCTCCTCTGCCCATGTCCGCAGTCCCGGAGCTTCCTAGGGTGCCTTTATCAGGAATTACTAGGTAGTAGCAGCTCAGCTTTCTGACCTGCAGTAATACATAGCCTCTTCCAGTCCAGGCGTTACCGACATACTCTAGGGCTCGACACTCGCCATGCTATTGCTCCAGACGCCCTCGATCACGATGACGGGCCCCGATCACGCCGCCCTCTCGCGCTGTTGACCACCCTCGCAGCCAGCCAGGCCCAGGCACGGATGCATGCGCGTGAAAAGGGCATTGCGTAGGCGAGCTCCTGTCCTGCCCTGTCCTGTCGTCCAGCCAGCCAGCCATCCAGCCAGCCAGCGAGCGGCGCAACCCCTCACTGGCCCTGCTCACGGCGAGTCGCCGACCTCATGCGCCGGACGACGTGCAAACTGCATACATACGAGACGACGGATGCTCCACAGGTGGCATCAATCACGCTCGTCCTGTTGGCCACCAGAGGCCGCAGATGCCGGCTCCGCGCTTTGGGGGAGGGGGGGGGCGTCTGGATGCATTGCTGCCTGCCCGTCCACTCACGCGAATGGCTTCTCGTTCCTTTGCCTGCTCTGCTCTGCTCTGCTGGCTTGAGCTACCCCACGGGTTTTTCTGGACCGCGGACTGAGTGCCTCGAGCGCTCGACAGCGACAGGTAACCAATGCAGATGCTCTCTGGGAGGACCTAGCCTGACCAACCACGGCCCCTTGGCTATCAATGCACATAATACGCAGCACAGAGATGACGCCTTTTGATCTCACGCAGGCTGCAGCTTGCCTGACTGGTGCTCCGTGCCTCCAGCATGCAGTCATGACCATTAGCGAGTAGTACAGCTTCCTACCTACTACCTCAGGTAGGTAGTCCATGGGGATAAGGCCGATCTGGGCGTAATTGACATTCGAACCTCGCCCAGAGCAGCCATGATTGACGGTGATGTTGAATCAAGAGGCGCATCTTCTCAATACCTCTTCAGGGTAGCTCGAACTGATTTCCAATATTGAATTGGATACCTACTTAATTCCCTCTGCGTGCCGGATCCATCGTAGAGCTATTGCCTATCTAGTAGGTATGTTGATTGTTTGGCATTGTCGTTCTAATAGCACAGCAGAATGGTTTATAGGCTGGTACATGTAGTACAGACTTGAGCATGCTCGCTCTGCTGTCACCTTCGCATGGCAGCTCTAGCAGCGACGCCGAGGTGTCACTGAGCCGCTGTCAGAACGTCTCCAGCACTAATTCTCCAACAAAGTCAGTGGCTGCAGTCCGTCAAATCTGATGGAGTCTCCAGTCTCTTTTAGCCCCCCATTGTCTCCCCCTAAAAGCCCTTCCATACCTAGGTGGTGGGCGGTTCACCCACGTTTCCATGACGGCTAAAGCAGCACTAAACTCGTCACTGCGCCGGTGTAAATCTACGGCGAGGTACCTTGTGCGTGGCGAGCTGTACTTGCATGTACCTCATATGCAATTGATGACGTTGAGCTTCCCCTAAAGCTCAACCTTGATTTGCGCCTCGATTCAACATCACCACTCCCGGATGGCTTCTTCCGCCCATTTGCTCTAGGCACGAGCCGCGGCCTCTCACCTGTGAAGCAACCTCTCAGACATTCCAGCAGCGAGACAGATAGAGACACCCGCAGACCCCGCACGATGCCCGGCCTTGCGCGCAAGATCCTCGTCTTCGCCGCCGTCGACGGCCTTGTCATCCAGCCATTGGCGTCCAAGGGACAAAAGCCGTTTCAGTCCGCGAGGATCAAGTATGGCGATGCGTCGGTGTCGGCGGCCCGCGATCAGGCGCCGGACTCAACAAAGCCCGACTCGTGGTTTGAGGCGCTGGGCGTCATAGGTGAGTCGGAGCCAGCGTTGACGTGCTGTGATGTGACGACTTTGTTAAACAATCCCTCCCAGGATTGATCACGGTCTCGCGATTGACGTACCTGGTGACGATTACGCGCCGAGAACAGGTGGCCCAGGTGTTTGGGCTGCCCATCTACGTCGTCACGCAGGTGGCCGTGACGCCGTGCTCGTCGCAGACCGAAGCGGAGGAATCAGTGCGCAAGACGGCACGCCTTTTACGGAGCGAACCGTCTAGCAGCGCGATTCATGATGACGAGAGCAGCAGCGACGAGGACGGCGAGATGCCTATTGGAACGCCTGACGAGGAGGTGGACGATGAGGTCGTCGATAAGGTCGTCGACAAGGGAGGCGTGCCGGCGGATTCCAAGAGCAGCGTTGTGCAGGATGTGATTCGGAGGCGGGGCAGCTATGGCAGATTTGCGCAGCGCTGGTTCAGTCGTAGCGGCTGGACGGCCGATCAGAGAAGGACCATGGGGATGAGCAACTCGCCGACCTCGACGCCGCCCCTTGCGCAATCGGCACCCCAGGCTTCGGCGGCGGGCCTCTCCAGCTTACAAGAGGCCGACGAGAGCCCCGTGGTCCCGCCATCGGCGCTTCTCCCGAAGCTGCTTCGGACCATCCAGGTCTTGTTCGGGTCATCGCATAGTTTCTACTTTTCATACGACCTGGACATCACACGCAGTCCAACTGACGATGCTTCGATCGCCAACCCTAGCAGTCCTCTGCATACGCAGGTCAAGAGGACATTCTTCTGGAACCGGCATATCCTCCAGCCCTTTACAGATGTCGGGCAGGATGCTTTGGCCTTGCCTTTGATGCAAGGGTTCGTTGGCCAAAGAACCTTTGTGGCGGATTCTCAACCTCCCCAGGCGGACGACCCTGGAATGGAATCCATGGAGCTTGCCAACCTTTCGCCGTCCTCGTCAGTCCCATCTTCGCCACCTCCCGGCACGGTGAAGCGTTCCTTGGAGCTTCGTCCCACTGAGAAGAGCTACCTGATAACGCTCATATCGCGACGGTCAACTAAGAGAGCTGGTCTGCGGTACCTGCGACGCGGCATAGACGAGGATGGCTATACGGCGAACTTTGTCGAGACAGAGCAGGTTCTGTCATCTCCTTCATGGGAGGCATCTTCCCCAATCTATTCATTTACCCAGATCCGGGGCAGCATACCGCTCTTCTTCACTCAGACTGCATACTCACTCAAGCCCGTGCCGGTCTTGCAGCATTCCGAGGAGGCCAATTACAACGCCGCCAAGCGACACTTTGAAAGGCTGTCGGCATCCTACGGCACCCTACAGGTTGTCAATCTTGTGGAAAAGCGCGGAGTGGAAGCACCCATTGGAACACAATATCAAAACACCGTTGCGCGTATCAACGAGGGGCTGGACGACAAGGCCAAGATTCCCTTTGAATGGTTTGACTTTCACCACGCTTGTCGTGGGATGAAGTTTGAGAACGTGAGCCAGTTGTTGTCCACCTTGAAAGACCAACTAGAGGAGCTCGGCAGCACGGTGAAGAGCAACGGCCATCTGGTCCGCAAGCAGCAGGGTGTCCTTAGGACAAACTGCATGGACTGCCTGGACCGAACCAACGTCTGCCAGAGCTCTTTCGCAAAGCACATGCTAGAATTGCAGCTGAAGGAAGACGGCATAGACATGAGCGCTCAGATAGACCAAGAAACGGCCTGGTTTAATACTCTCTGGGCTGATAACGGCGATGCCGTTTCGAAACAGTACGCCTCCACGGCCGCTATGAAAGGTGATTATACGAGGACAAGAAAGAGAGATTACAGGGGAGCGCTCAACGACTTGGGAATATCCCTAACACGTCTTTATTCGGGGTAAGAGATTTCTCCTTTCGTTTCTGTTCCTTTTTTCCTTCTCCATGATACTTGGCTCAAAATTGTCATTTTCGCTGGCTGACAACATCTACCCCCGACCAGTATGGTCAATGACTACTTCAGCCAAGCTGCCATCGATTTCCTGCTCGGAAACGTCACGGCCAAGGTGTTTGAAGAGTTTGAGATGGACATGATGACCAAAGACCCGGCCGTCTCCGTCGAGAAGATGCGGGAGCGTGCCGTGGAGCTGTGCCAAAAGCGAGTTGTGGCAGATGTCAGTGAAGAGTTTCACGGAGGCTGGGTTTTGATTACCCCTAACGCAGCCAATGTACTCAAATCGTGGCCTATGGAAGAGGCTGTGCTTCTCTTGACCGATGCTGCGCTGTACCTCTGCCGCTTTGACTGGGACCTGGACAAGGTGTCGTCTTTTGAGAGGGTGACCCTGGCGAGCATCACCAACATCAAGGTCGGCACTTACATCACCTCCACGGTTTCGGCGGCGCACATGGACGAGTCGAGGAACGTGGGCTTCGTGGTGTCCTACCAACCGGGCAAAAGCGACATCCGGAGGAGGAACACCCGTTCGCTCTCGACCAAAGAGGCGCCGAAGCTCACGGCTTCTGACGAGCCCCCATCAGCCCAAGGCGGCGGCTTCGCGGGTATCTTCGGGGGCAACGCCTCCAAGGAGCCCGCCATTCGAAAGCTCGCCTTCAAGGCGCCGTATGCCGATTCCTCAATGTCGGTGGGCGAGGCCGGGCCGGGGCAGACGGAGCTGCAGAAGATTGACACAATATGCTCGGAAATTGAGCGCCTCGCGTCTGAGCGGCAGCTGGTGAAGGAAGGGGAAGAGCGGAAAAAGCTGGTGGAAAGGGGCGATATCATCTCTCTGGATGCGGCGAAACGCAACACGGGGTTGCTGGAGCAGCTGGGGCATTCGCTGAAGAAGCTGGTGTGGGCATAAAGTAGATATCCAAAGTATTCTTGACTGAATACTGTATATAGAGCAACTTCAAGGCAGCTTTATCCATTATATCTTTCTGTGCCATGGGTAGCTATTCCACTGTGCTTTGACCTTTTGTTGGAGGTGCCCTCTTCTTCTGATACAGATGCATCTGGTACCGCATATTCTCCAGCTGAATGGGATAGTGCAGACCCTCTGGCAGACGGAACCAGACGGAATCATGCGACTCGAGCTTCTCCCACTCATAGTCGCCGCGACTCTGCGCCGCGGCAGCCCGCGGATCGAGAAGCGTGTGGTCCAGCAGCCACTGCATCGGATACCGCTTCTTCTCCTTGCCCACGGCGGCCTCGGAGTAGCTGCCCGGGCTGTCCACCACAAGAAGCAGACTATCATGGGGCAGGACCTCGCCCAGAAGTTTGAGGAAATGCGTCGTCTTGCCGATGCCCCCGTTTGTGTAGAGCTCGTTCAGCGTGAACAGCATCGTCACCGTGAGCGGTTCCGTGCCGACAATGGCTTGGAGGGCACTTCTCTCCAGGGACAAGACGTCGGCTTGCGTAAAGGAGGTCTCGAGTTGGTCCTGCTGGAGAAGAGGCGCATTCGCTGCTTTTGCAGCCGCGGAAGCGTATTTTGATAGCGTTGGGGGCGAGGTGATGTGTTTCTGGAGTAGTTGCGTGACGGAGCCCCAGGGGCCTGCGTCGAGTAGAGAGAGGGTGCCGGAGGAGTGCTGTTGTTGGTGGATGTGCGATGCGAAGGCGATTTGTTCGGCGGCGCAGCCTCCTATGCAGAGCATTCTTGTTGTTGGTGTTGTTGTTGTTGTCTTTGTGCTTGAAGGGGATGGTTTTATTGAACCATTGGCATTGAGCTCGTCGTCATCTGAAGCAGCAGAAGAAGACGAAGAGGAGGGGGCCGCATTCATATACTGGGCAATGCCCTGGAAGATGGACGAGTAGCAGAGGGCCCTCGTGGGACTCCATCGCGCGGCATACGCCTGGAGATTCTCCTCGGCGCCAAACGCCGCGCCAAAGTCTCTGTTGAAGAGGGCCTGCTTGATGGACTGCAGGCGGGCGGAGAAGTCGTCGGATGAGAGGACGGGGTTGAAGGCGTCGGAGAAGAGGGTGAGGATGCGCTGCTGGTGGAGGAGGAGTTGGGGGTCGATGGGAGGTGAGGATGTTGATGATGAGGGTGATGGGGATGATGGTCGGGGTGGTTGGGGGGCTTTTTTGGGTTGGGAGGATTTCTTGGTGGTTTGTTTTCTTGCCATTTTGTATTACCGCTGGGTCTGGTCTGATGTTGTTTCGGTTATTATCGTGATGGCTTGGGATGGGATGAGATTGGTGGTTTTTGGTGAGTGGTGAAAATTTGGGTTGTTCGTGGAAAGTGGGTAAGTGAAGACGGCACTACATATACCCAATACATGACTTTGGCAAGCCTATTTCAGCAAACCCATCTTGTTGGACTCAAGCATATATTTTGCATTTTACATATCCCTATTGATGTAGTTCGGAGAGAGACAAGCCTCGTAGACTTTAGCAAAACGGCAGCTTGTACGTACGAGGCTGTAAATACCTACGTAATATCGAGAACTGCTGAGCAGTTCGGTCGGTTTATTACAGTACATGTAGCAGGTAGCCCGAAACCCCACTAAAGAGGTACGAGTATTATAGATACATACAGCCTGAAATCGACGATCCGGCCAGCGCCGCCCAATCTTCTTCACTTCAATCGCCAATTTACGCGGAACTCCGGGATGCCTAGTTCGGGTATTGTAGCGCCAACCGCTACAGGTGTCTGAGCCGGCCCGTCTGATTGGTGGTGGGGGTTCCTTGAAGGCAAAGAGGATTAATTGCATGGAACTGGATTGCTTAGGAAGTGCTTTGAGAGACGCTTACGATGCCTTTTACACATGGATGCATGCATGGGTGTGCAGTATGTACTACTACCAGGTATGTGCAGTAGACAATTGAGAATTGGGCAACGCCGGCCTATCCATCGTATGATGTTGCTTTTGGCTCTGCGGCGTTGACGGAAGCGCATGAGGGCTGCATTGCATGCAATGTGCGGGTTGCCCGGGTTTGGAGACGGAGGCGAGCTCTGCTCAAAAGACTTTTTGCTGGGGTTATCGAGGCTATTGCTATGGCTCGATGGAATCATTCTTCAGTATCTAGGACCCGCATATACTCTGGAATCGGTAGATGCCGACAAAAAAAGGCAGCATGGACGGGTACAGAAGAGCGGTTGAAGTTTGAAGGTACCTTACTTTCCTCTAATACGTCACCGGCCCGAAACGGAGCATCCAGAGATGGAGCCATCAGGTGCTGAGAAAAAGGGTACATGCGAGACCGTTGGCTCCTCCAAGCAGTTGCGGCCGTTTGGGCTTCTGTTTGCCTCTGGTGGTACGAGAATTCACGGCAGTCTCCGCTGTTTGGGAGCCGTTTCCCCGGTGGATGGCAGTGATTGCGTCAAGCGGCGGTAGATCCATTGCCTCAACGGGGCCTCCCAAGAAGGCGAGAGAAGCACTTCTTTACTGTACAGTAGTACCTAGTGTCGTAGGAACTTGACGAGAACAGTCTTTGAAAGGCATCAGCAGCAGCCCATTGATTGATTCAGGAGCAACACGGCAGATACCGAGCAACTCGTAAAAAGCTCGTGTATGTAGATGCCTAAATGCGTTTACTACTACTATCATAAAAGTTCTCCGTCATGAACAAAAAAAAAAAAAAAAGAGGGCGAAAAACTGCATCAAGTTGACGATGGATGGATGCAATAATATCTGACCCTTAGCGGCGACATGGTCCGGACCCGCTGGAACTTGCGCTCCGAATTCCATTTGCCAAACGCCTGGCTGCGCTGCCTCCGGGGCTCCAGTAGGGCGGCATCAGAGGGGCTCGTGGCAGCGTCCTGGAGGGGCTGCTGGCCCTGGAACTGGGAAGCTCCAGAGGGGCGGCCGCTGAACACGATCCCCTAATGCCCTGCAAACCGACGCCGTGCATGACATAAACACCGTGTTAGTACGTTAACCCCTCAACAAAAAGAGGCTCCCTCAACACCAGCTCCGATTCCAAGCTTGCCGCTGCCTTATATTGCTGCCTCCCCCCCCGTCTCGCACCTCCCCATACTCTTCTCCCTCCCATACCCCCTCCAATTCCTTTATCTTGATACCCTATTCTCTGTCATAGCGCTGATCCGACGCCATTCGCAATCATGGGCTACACAGAGGTTGACCAGAAGGCCATCAACACCATCCGCCTGCTCGCGGTATGTTTCTCTCTCTCTCTCTCTCTCTCCCTTTCTCTCTCTTGCTGTGTTTTTTTGGGTTACCCCGCCATTGCCCCTCCATGCGACAACGGGCTGTGGCCTGTTTTTTTCTCTACGCCCGAGAGCAGTGGTGACGAAGAGGGGTTGCCGTAAGCACCGAGGCAGCGGAACACACTTTACGAAGGGGAAAAAACGACAGCAGGAGGCGAAAGAAATGACGGAATTGAAGCAAAACGGCGACGATTGACGACCAATTGACTGACTGTCTCTGCGAACTCCAGGTCGATGCCACCTTCAAGAGCAACTCGGGCCACCCGGGTGCCCCCATGTGAGTCTGCCCACAGCTTCCAGTGACGGCGCAGTTTGCCGCCGCTTCCGCTCTGCTGAGCTGGCTGCTAACGACGACAATTCGCAGGGGCATGGCTCCCGTTGCCCACGTCCTTTGGGACAAGTTCATGAGGTTCAACCCCAAGAACCCCAAGTGGCTGAACCGTGACCGATTCGTTCTCTCGTGAGTGCTATCCCCCCTTTCAAACAAACAAATTGCGACGGAGAAGGACATCTAGGGGAGAAGCAGGATTTCCCCGCACTGCGAGAATCGTGAGACTGACAGGTGCTTTTTTTTTCCGGCTCAATTTAGCAACGGCCACGGCTGCATGCTCCAGTATGCTCTGCTTCACCTGTTCGGCTACGACCTGACCATCGATGACCTCAAGGCCTTCCGAGTAAGTTTCCAGCCTACACGCCGACTCGAGGAAGATGACGAAACCTCGAAAATGCCCCTCCAGCAAAAGGCCTTGATATGCAAGCGGCCGGAAGTAGCCTCGCAGCACTAACACAACATCTCCCACAGACCGTCGACAGCAAGACTCCTGGTCACCCCGAGGCCCACGATACTCCCGGTGTCGAGGTCACCACCGGCCCCCTGGGTCAGGGTATCTCCAATGCCGTCGGTCTGGCCATGGCCCAGGCCCACACCGCCGCCACCTTCAACAAGCCCGGCTTCACCCTGTGTGACAACTACACCTACTGCTTCCTCGGCGATGGCTGCTTGATGGAGGGTGTCTCTGCCGAGGCCTCGTCCCTGGCCGGCCACCTCCAGCTCGGCAACCTCATCTGCATCTACGATGACAACCACATCTCCATTGACGGCGACACCAACTGTGCCTTCACCGAGGACGTGGCCAAGCGCTACGAGGCCTACGGCTGGCACGTCGAGGTCGTCGAGAACGGCGACCACGACCTCGAGGCCATGGAGGCCGCCATCAAGAAGTGCCAGGAGGTCAAGGACAAGCCCTCAATCATCAAGCTGCGCACCACCATTGGCTTCGGCTCTCTCCAGGAGGGCACCCACGGAGTCCACGGCTCTCCCCTCAAGGCCGACGACATCAAGCAGCTCAAGCAGAAGTTTGGCTTCAACCCCGACGAGAGCTTCGTCGTCCCCAAGGAGGTCTCCGACCTCTACGCCCGCCACTCAGCCGAGGGCGCCGCCGCCGAGGAGGAGTGGAACAAGCTGTTCGCCAAGTACGCCGAGAAGTACCCCGCCGAGGCTGCTGACCTCCAGCGCCGCCTCAAGGGCGAGCTGCCCGAGGGCTGGGAGAAGAACCTGCCCGTCTACTCGCCCAGCGATGCTGCCATTGCCAGCCGAAAGCTGTCCGAGACGGTCCTCACCAAGATCCACGACGTCCTGCCCGAGCTCCAGGGTGGTTCCGCCGATCTGACTGGTTCCAACCTGACCCGCTGGAAGGACGCTGTTGACTTCCAGCCCCCCGCCACCGGCCTCGGTGACTACTCCGGACGATACATCCGCTACGGTGTCCGCGAGCACGGCATGGGCGCCATCATGAACGGCCTGGCCGCCTACGGCACCATCATCCCCTACGGCGGTACCTTCCTCAACTTCGTCTCCTACGCCGCCGGTGCCGTCCGCCTGTCCGCTCTGTCCCGCGTCCGCGTCATCTGGGTCGCCACCCACGACTCCATTGGCCTGGGCGAGGACGGTCCTACTCACCAGCCTATCGAGACTCTGGCTCACTTCCGCGCCCTGCCCAACTGCATGGTGTGGCGCCCCGCCGACGGCAACGAGACCAGCGCTGCCTACTACATTGCCCTGACCTCCAAGCACACCCCCAGCATCATTGCCCTGTCTCGCCAGAACCTGCCCCAGCTCGAGGGCTCCGTCATCGAGAAGGCCATCAAGGGAGGATACGTCCTGCAGGAGGTCGAGGGTGCCCAGATCACCCTGGTCTCCACCGGTTCCGAGGTTTCCATCGCCGTGGATGCCGCCAAGTACCTCCTGGAGAAGCACAACGTCAAGGCCCGCGTCGTCTCCATGCCCTGCTTCGAGGTTTTCGATGCTCAGCCCAAGGAGTACAGACTCTCCGTCCTGCCCGACGGCATCCCCTCTCTGTCCATTGAGGTGATGAGCACCATGGGCTGGGAGCGATACACTCACGAGCAGTTTGGTCTCAACCGATTCGGTGCCTCTGGCGCCTACAAGGATGTCTACAAGGTTCGTTTTATTAGTTTCAACAGGAAGGAGTCACGAAACAGATTGCTGACCCATTACTATAGAAGTTCGAGTTCACCCCCGAGGGCATCACCAAGCGCGCTCTTCTCACCATTGACTTCTGGAAGGACGTCCCCAACGTCCGCTCTCCCATCAACCGTGCCTTCCAGCAGCTCATCTAAGCTGGGAGCAAAATGGAAGGGTGATATATATATATACATATCGTCTAGAAATCTAGTTTAAAAGTTTCAATAAATGAAAAAAACATGTGGAAAGAAGTTTCCGTTTGAGACAGGGGGGGGTGTTTGTGTGTTGCGACGACGAAAAGACCCGGGATCAAGGGAAACGTCGGGATTCTTTTTCCTTTTTGTAAAGAACAATTACAAAATAGATGACGAATGTTGAGATAAAACCTGAGAGCAAAGGTAAAATAAAGTCAATTATCTATACTCCAAAACAGCAGCCCCCCGGACTTTTTTTGAAACGCCATTTGGAGCCAACATGCCGCCACTCAGGTACGAGTAGTACTAGTAATCTGTAGATCCCTTCAAACCTCCGGTGTACTCTGCGTGCAGATGGAAGGGAGCAAAACGTCGAAACGATGGAGATACCGAAAAAATCAAGACAAAAGCAAGCCAGCCGTCTTCTCATTAAACGCGCATTATGTGATGTGAAGAAATCTCTCGTCCCTTTTTTTGGAATCTTGGCGCCAACGCTTCCCAATAGATGCTGCCCTATTCTCTCCCGTCGCTCTCTCAGCCTCTCTCTGTGCAGTGATTATTTGATTCGTCGCAAATGCACCTGCCGCGATATGCTCTTGATCTGTTGCTCATGCTGTCACGACTCCGCCTGGTTCGGTGTCGGGACTGTCGCTGATGCGGAATGGCTGTCGTGCATGGTGAAGAGAGTGGTATATATATGTGTGTGTGTAGGTATGTGTGTGTAGAGCGGGCCATTCATTCTTGGTTCTTGGCGATTGTGTGTTCCACCCATTGTGCTTGATGAGCGGGTTTGAATCATTCGGGCGTGCTTCTCCCGTCGGTGTCATCCAGCCCCTGAGCCGCCCACTCCTTTTGAATCTCCCGCCCGATGCGCTCCAGCCTCGCCGCAGCGCGCCTGGCCTCCCTCGCATCGTCCGACGAAGCGGCGACGACGACGCCAATGAGCACGGGGGGACCGGCGTCGTCGACGGGAGTCCTCGCAGTCGCATCATCGACATCGACATCGGCGTCGTGACCGTCGTGGTCGTGGTCGTGGTCGCGCTTGTACCTTGAGACGGACCCGGCCTCGCTCTCCGAGAGACCGCCGCCGCCGCCGCCCGACTCGCGCGGGTCGAGGTAGGACTGCAGGACGACGGCGCCCGAGTCCGGATACTCGACCATGATGCGCTGGGGGCGGCCGAGGCTGGCGCGCTGGGCGGCGGTCTGGGCGGTGATTGCGCTCGAGGCGAGGGAGGTGAGGGACTCGAGGTGGGCGGGCGACGAGGACGAGGTGATGAGCGGGGTGAGGGTGAGGTCGGTGAGGTGGAGGGCGAGGGTGGGATGCTGGGAGGGGAGGTTGGACATGTTGACGACGGTTTTGTCACTTGTCTTGTCTTGATCTTTTTTTTTAAAAAAAAAAGGGAAATGAATAGGGCTGAGGTTGATGGTGTCTTTTGGGGGGGGGAAGAGGAGGGTGGTTGTCGATGCGGCCTCTCTCCGTTTATTGTTTGTCCTGTTTTCCTTTTTCTCGCAGAAGCGTGATGGAGTGCTTCCTTCTTCCTCTTATTTCTTCTGGCTTTTCTTATCGCCCTGAAACAATGCCCGTGACTGAGGAGCCTGCGGCGGAATTTGGGGGCCTCAGGCGTTGTGGTGAAAGGCCGCTGCGGGCGCCTTATCTCGACGAGAGGACGCACCGAGGGAGTGGGTGCTGATGACGTCGGTGTAGCAAAGGCGTATTACCGTCGTGTCATTGCGAATCCATGAGGGAGTTTGACGGGAACATGGCGGAGAGGGAGAGAGAGAGAAGGAGATTCAGATGGAGAGAAGAAGAAGAGAGAAGGGGGAAGAGGGGGTTGGCGAGTCACGGTCTGTCGGTATAATAAGACAGATAATAGAGAGGCAGGGTGAGTGAGGGTATAAGGTCGAGAGGAGGGAGGAGGGGGGTCTCCATTATCTGCCATCACGTACGAGTAGTAGTACTACTGAAGTCACTCTCGCACTCTGGAAGCTACCTAGAGCAGAGCACCAGCAAAGAAAGAGTCGGGGAAGCTGCAACCATGTCGCTGCGGGCCCCCATTATCTCTTAGCGGCCTGCTGCTGCTTTTGCTGCTTCTGCTGCTTTTGCTGCTCAGGCCACCAGGGCGCTAACATGAAGGCGACAAGGCCCTGGAGGCGGCTGACGGCGGCCATTCGCCAGCCCTTTGTTTCCCAGTGCCAGCAGCCCCCCCGCGCTAGGCTCGACTCGGACTGGGTCACCCCGCGCTTTTGGGGCTGGTCTAGCAAGGATAAGTGCTGAGGTACCTACTGCTACTACTAAGTAGGTATGATGGTTGAGGTAATGTAGCATCGAGAGAGTGATGGAGAGACAGAATGCTGCTGTTGTTGCCTGTGCTCATGCCGTGTCATGTCATGTCATGTCATATCTTGTACAATTCTGCGGGGTGACAGTGAGGAGAAGCGGCAAGAAAAGAGGAGAGATGAGATGCAAGGTATGTATTGCTGCAGAACTGAGGGACAGCGTTACTCCAATTGGACCTTTGGCTTGACAGCTTTGACAGACGAGGACTTACAGACCGCAAGTCACCACCACCAGGGGCAGAGCATCAACCCAGCCCCTGATAACGAATGCCCGGAGAGGGCAACACGTGCAGCCAAGGAGCGCATCTGTGAGAATGGGGGAAATAGAGAAAGATGCCCATTGCTGATTGCAAGTTGCAACATTGATTGCCTTATCTCACCATCATGGTCAGGGCCGGTATGATAGCAGCGCGCTAACATGCCGCAGTCGAGTCAAGCAAGGCCGCGCGAACCCAGACCCCTTTGACCCTTTGATCCTCGTGCGTGCTGCTACTAACCTTCAAGGCATAAGTCCAAGCCAAACCATCAAGTCGTTGCTCCCAAAGGAAAAAAAAAAACCTACGTCATATCCCTACTACTTGTACCTTGAAGAACCGGTGATGATGTGGGCGGGAACGCTGGGCAGTTGGCAGCTTGTCAGAGGTGTTGCCTAACTGAGAAGGTGTGTGTCTCCTGTGAGACGCGGCCGTTATCTGACGACAAACTCGACAGATGGTCCATAATGTGACAATGGGATGGAGTCGAATCACCGCTTGTCTCCTCTCTCACTCATCACCATGGCCAGCTGCGAGGACGAGGTCCGCCTGGACTTTGTGCTCTTTGAGAAGACGGATATTATCATGAAATAACCGCTCTAGACGCCACTGCATGCTTTCCCCCGACGAGAATAAGAGACGACGCCAATGGGGTTCCATGGCGGCCCTTTTTAGTCTGTTGTTTCTCCGTTGCAACGACCAACAGCGAGCCGACATGGTAGCTCGAAGAATCGAAGCGGGGGAGCTCGTCCAGATAGTACTCGTACTTTGTGCTTTCTGTGAAGCTGCATGCCAAAACGGCGGGGCAGGGGCCTTTCTATGACCTCTTCTTGTCTTGCTTCTTGCAGCTTGTAGAGTCTGAAGATTATCCATACGTAGGTTTGTACGAAGACTGCCCCCCCCCCTTCCTTCTTGTCTCTGGCCCATGACCCCCTTATTACTTTGGGCCTCGGAACGAACAGGCCATATGATCGCCCTTTTCCCCGATTCGACTGGCAATCGAGATATGCCTCCGTTCGACTTCGACCAAAAGCTCACGCCATTTCCCCGTCTTGCGATCCGGGAAGCCGGCGGTAATAAGAATCATACTCAGTATCTCATTGCATTAGCAAACCGGTTCGCGAAGCTCCAGCTTTGACTTGTCGCTGCGAACCGCTCCATGACTCGCGAGGCGGATGTGCTTGCGATAAGCTTGTTCTAGAATTCGCCGAGCTCGAACTGTATACATAATACTAGAATACTACGTGCGAGGCGGCTGAGAGAGGGGGGAGGGGGGGGGGGGGGGGGGACGGACTTTTAGCTAGAGGACTGTGCTTTTTGATGGGATGAACTGGAGCACGGGGCAATTGGACACAAGCGCCCTGTCGCAATCTTCAGCTCAATTGAGCAATACGGTATGCGGTACTATCACCACCACCGGCACTGCCTGTAGGAATTCCTCCTTGAGGCACATGTATCCGTAGGAAAGCGATGGATATCAATCAGCGCTCGAGCAACAAATCTGCATCTCTTTCGCATTACATGATAACAGACCGACAGCTACCCCAATCCAGACAGCGCCCCAAAGCAGACCAATCACACAGCACAGCCTCCACCTGAGCCTCCAACTTCGACTCTAGGTACTTGTACACTAGCAACGCTCTTATCTTATCGCTTACCCTCGCGCACGTGACCCACAACATCCCGCCCGGAAAAATTCACACACCCGAGCGGATTCGCCAAAAAATCCCAACCCACTAGCGTCTATCCACCGAGAACCTCCTCTGCGGAAAAAAAAAAAGAGAGATCAGAGCGGATTCTCTTTTCGTCAACCACTCAATCTCTTCGACAAATTTTCCCAAATCCCCCGTCGACGACAATTTCGAAAAGATGGCCAAGGAAGCGCCTGCAAAGACCGGTCTGGCCGTTGGGCCGAACAAGGGCCACGTACGTCAACTCGCGATCTCACCTCGTGGAGGATCTCTGCCGCCGCCCCCCGTGCTCTCGCTGGCAGACGATGGACGCTGACGTGTTGGTTTGTGCTTTGCCGTTTTTTCCCACAATATAGAAGACCACTGCTCGTGTTGTCAAGCCCCGTGTTTCTCGCACCAAGGGCCACCTGAGCAAGCGAACCGCTTTCGTGCGTGAGGTCGTCAAGGAGGTTGCTGGGTGAGTTTTCCTGGACTTCTTTGTTCAATCCTTTTGCTGCTGTTTCGAGAACGTATTGAGAAAGAATGAGTGCTAACATAAACGGTTTTTCTTTTCCTTCTTACTTTAGCCTCGCCCCCTACGAGCGCCGTGTCATCGAACTGCTCCGAAACAGCAAGGACAAGCGTGCCCGTAAGCTGGCCAAGAAGAGGGTACGTCTACCTCCAAAAACACACACATACAACCTCCAACGTCCAGCCCTTCGTCACAACAGAATACTAACAGCTGTGTTTCAGCTCGGTACCTTCGGCCGTGCCAAGAGAAAGGTCGACGAGCTCCAGCGCGTCATCGCCGAGTCCCGCCGTGCTCACTAAACGATGTATTTTTCTTTCCACATAAGAAAAGAGAGAAAAAAGGACAGCGAAGAGCGATTTGGGAGGGATATATACCTTTGGTAATGGCAACAACAATAAAAATGACATTCCAATGACAAAAGAAGAACACAAACCAAAACATCTCTGGGCAATCGAGGAACAATCGACGGGGTTTCACATAACGGGATTCGGCGTGGTCATTGCTTTTTCACATTGGGAGGGCCAGGGCGGCGCATTGTTATAGCCTGCGCAATTCTTTTCGTTCTTCGGAATTCTGAAAAAAATTCCTTTCAAAAGAGAAGGACAATCCGTCTTTTATGACCCAGAAACCCGAAACCGTCGTTTCCCCTATTTCCTTGCCAATTGTTCCTGATACTATATCCTTAAAGTGCCCTGGATGTTCTTGGAAAGACTTGTGCTGCCTACGTTCCATGATAGCTCTTGTCTGCTTGGATTGTGTGATCTGTACACTTGACGCTACCCAACATCAGAGGAAAAAAAAAAGAAGAAGAAATGCTAATCTACAGCTCGCTTCCTTTTTGTCATCCATTACTTCTTGCCCAGCTTGAGCCACTTTGGCATCTTCTTCCCAGAACCCTCTCCGCCATCCCTCTTCTCCGGCGCCTTCTGCACCTGCGGCACCACGCTCGGCGCATCCTGGTCCTCCTCCACCGTCGGTATCTCGGGCACCTTGATAGCCTGCCCCTGCTGCGCAAAGTCCGCCTTCAAAAAAGGCCGTTTCCTCACATCGGCCGGCACACCATCGTCCCACACCAGACTGACGAGCACCCTCCCGGAAAGCTTATACGCCCTGATCAGACTATGCTGGGGCGCATCGTCGTCTTTAATGACCGTCTTGCTGCCCGGAATGACCAGATGAAAGGGCTGCTCGCTGTCGGCCATGACATGCCGCACCGCTTGATACAAGAAGGCGCCGGTATCTGCCGGACCGACTTCCCAGTCGCTGCTGGTGTTGTCCGGGAACCGCACCTTGATGAGCACAGACTTGACGGCCGCAATCTTGGCCTGCTCGGCAGCCTCTCTCTCCTCGATTTCCTTGTCGGACAGGAGCCGCTTGTTGCGGGAGCTCTCCTGCAGCCGGGCTTGGTGCAGCTGAGCGTGGGCGATGGTGGGCGTGAAGTCGTCCTCGTCGGCCGGAACCAGAGCTGCGGCGGGAGTCGAGTTTGTGGGTGCCAGGAAGACGCTGACTGGCGAGAAGCGGGACTTTGGTGCAGAGTTGTTCGTTTCCTGCTGTGTTTGTTGGCTGTCGCTTTGTAGTGAACTTGTGGTGGTCGCATCTTGTGTGGCTTGAGCCAAAGCATCGCTTTGTTGCTGGGCTTCTGTCGGCTTGTCCACGGGCTCTGACGGAGCTTCGGCCATGGGTGTATCTGCATCCGCGGGTGGATTCGGGGCCTCGTCCTGCTCAACGCCCGACGTCGCATTCTTCTCTTCATCCTTCTTCTCCTCTTCCTTGACCCTCGCTTCCTCCTTGAAGAAGGCCCCAATCTGCTCCATCGCCTCATACAGCGTCTGGTCAGTCCTCCTAAATGTCAGCCGTATCAGGACGTTGCCCGAATTGTGCCCCAGCTGCGAAAGCGTCTTCTGAAAGTCCGCCAACGACGCCAGCTCCCTGCCCATGATGTTCAGAACGGGAGTTTCATAGTACAGCTGCCCGGCGCCCGAGCTGCCGCCGCCGGCCGTCTCGGCCACGCCCCTGGCCGTGATGTTGATGTTCTTGCCCGCGCTGGCCTCGCCGCTTTCAAACTGCCGCAGCACCTGCCATATTGACAGGTCCGAGGGGAACTTGTTGATCAGCCGGCCGCCGGGAATCTCTTTGGCTTCGGGCTGGGGCAGCTGGAGGGCGATTTGGACGGCCGAGGGTGTCTTGGACTTTTGGACGAGCTCGAGCTTGGCGCCGGCGATGAGGCCCGAGGTGCGGAAGGGTATGGAGAGGTCGACTTGCTTCTGCTTGTGTCTGGGGGAAAACCACAGCTGTCAGATTTATAGGACATTATGCTGAGTGCAGCGGTGGAGGATAAGGGGGCTGGGCCTTTAGACGTACTTTATTAGGTACTTGTTGCTGTCGAGGCCGAGCTTCTTGCAGGCTTCGTCAAGGACGTCGGACAGGTATGTTCCCGGGCTGACTTTGACGGTTGTGCGCCTCAGATCCGTGGCGATGACGACGACGTGCGACGACATTATGGCTGATGTTGGTGGAAGCTAGACAGAGATTGCAAAACCCCCCAGAAGCTGGAGTCGCAGTTTTGTTGGAAGTTGGTCGTTGCAGCACTGGATATGACAGCAGGCGATCGAGGAGCTCTGTAGCATGTGTTGGTGGGGGTCTTGGAGGTGGTTTGTCGTCAGATACCGAAGGTAGGCGGGGATGCAACAGACAGACAGGTTCGCAACAAAGCGCAGGGTTGGCACACCAAGAAAAGCCTGCAGAATCGCCAAATCACGACAAGGGAAAGCGAATCATTAACAAAGAATCAGATATGGCGCTCCGTCTGTTTGCTGTGTGATATCATCTCTGGCCAAAAGAAACAGGACAGCAGCTGAATGGCAGCGTGAAGCTCCAGCCAAAAGCCCAGATTAGATATCAGGGGACCCACCGCGTCAACGGCTCGCTCAGTCAAAGCAGTTCTCGAACAATCCGCAGGCAGCCTCTCAAAGACGACGCGCGAGTATTATGTAAGCTGCAAGATTGCACGATAAGGTACCTGTACTACTGAGCACCAGCCACAGCGGCAGAAGCTCGGCAGCTAGGCCCCCGCGCCACAGGTTGCGCTGCCATGTACTGTACCTATGTACTGTACCGCAAGTGCTGAGGCAAGGCCACGCCAGACCATGTTTGCCTGTGGGAGGAGGAGCTGCTTTGCTTTGGGGCTGGTGCGAGCTTGCCAGGGAAGCTCTGATGCAAGCAACTGGACCAACCTCAACCAAAAGCTGCAACTCAACAACCTCGACGATTACCTACGAAACCGAAGAGCCACGACGGCATTGATTCTCTCAAGATTCCAGGCGAATACTCGGTAACCTGGGAGTGAGACTAGGGTCGCTTGATTTGCTCTGCCCGCAGCAGACTCCAACAACAGAAGCCAGAAGCCATCATGGTACGTTTAGTATAGGCTCATCCCGGCTCTCTCTCCTCGATGGGCATCACCGAGACAAGAAGAAACCGCCGGCTAACTGCTCTCCTCTCTGACAAACAGTCTTCTCCCTTTTCAATCAGTCAGTCTTGTTTCCCCCACCCTATGTCTACCCCAAGCGATATAATCACCACTAACTCGTCCCAGACGGCGGCGCCTGCGTCGCCATGGTCGGCAAGGACTGCGTCGCCATCGCCTGCGACCTCCGCCTCGGCCTCCAGGCCCTGACCATCTCCAACAACTTCCCCAAAATCTTCCAGTACGGCGACGTCTTCCTCGGCCTGACGGGCCTGGCCACCGACGTCAGCACCGTCAGCGACCTCTTCCGCTACAAGGTCAACATGTACCGCCTCCGCGAGGAGCGCGCCATCGCCCCGCGCACCTTTGCCAACCTCGTCTCCTCCTCCCTCTACGAGCGCCGCTTCGGCCCTTACTTTGTGTCGCCCGTCGTCGCCGGCCTCGATCCCAAGACGGGCGCCCCCTTCATCTGCGGCTTCGACAGCATCGGCTGCATCGACTTTGCAAAGGACTTTATCGTGTCCGGGACGGCGTCGGAGCAGCTGTTTGGCATGTGCGAAGGCTTGTGGGAGCCTGATTTGGTATGCGCTCTCTTTCTCTCTCTCTCTCTGCGTTCTTCTTTTTATCAAGTTGTTTGGACAAGACGTTGCTGACGATTGGCTTTGCTTTTGAATTCTTCAGGAGCCCGATGCGTTGTTCGAAACCATCTCACAAGCCCTCCTAAACGCCGTCGACCGTGACGCCCTCTCCGGCTGGGGCGCCCACGTGTACATCATCGAGAAGGACAAGGTCACCAAGAGGTTACTAAAGGGCAGACAGGACTAAGATGCGATATACCAAACCACGTTTTTATAGAGATGGGCATATGAAACTACTTTTCCTTATACATGGGCATCTCCGCGTGTGACTGATTGGCGTGTGTGCTACAGGGGAAAGAAAACAAAGGGTTGTATCTCCAACACGGCGGCGAGTGAACCTCAAAAGGCAGGCAAGGAAAAAGGCACAGATACCAGGAGAAGAACAAAATAACGGACTTCTATCCCATTACATTTTGGGCCTCCATCTTGTAGCCTGTTCCTTTACCATGCCGAAAGCCAATTTGTCCCTCCAGTCCACACCAACAAATGGCACAGTGTAGGCCGAAATGGCACCCAAAGCAATGATAATGAAACCCTCGCCTAATCTCAATACAGTTGCACAGCCATTCGATGAATCAACAGTAATCAGCCAAGCATGGTAAAGTCTTTCTTTCCTCTATATACCTGTATGCATTGTATATGTATAAATATATATCATGTACCCTCTATGTCTCCTCTATTCCTCCTTCTTCGCCTTGATGGCCTTGGCAGCCGGCTTCTGCTGCATGAAAAACTGCCTCTCGATAACCTTGAGCACCTCGTCAATCAGACTAGTAAGAAGAAAAATCTGTTAGCAACCTTGTATACAAAAGACATCCGGGGGCTCATTGTAAACTTACATGACAGGCAGGCTGATGATGGTGACCGCCTTCCACTCCAGCGCATTCAGCGGCAGGATGCCAAAGAGCGTCTGCAGGATCGGCGTGTAGAGGAGGACAAAGTGGAGCGCCATGGACAGGGCAATGGCGTAGACCAGCATCATGTTGTTCCACAGCGGGAGGGTAAGCAGCGACTCGCTCGACGACAGGGCGTTCATGGCGTTGAACATTTCAATCACCACCAGGATCGACAGCGACACCGTCGAGGCGGACTTGGCCATGTCGTTGCTGAACATGTCGCATCCGATCTCGGGGAACTCGGTCGAGCAGCGGTGGAAGCGCGAGAGCTGGCGGAAGCTGATCTGAGGGCCCTCGGGGTTGTACATGAACCACCAGGCGTAGCCCGCAACGGTCGCGAGGCCGACGTAGGTGCCAATGATGAGGTAGCGCAGGAACAGCCATCCGCCAATGAGGGGCTCATCCCTCCTGCGGGGATGGCGCTTCATGATGCCGTGGTCAGGGGGGTTGAAGGACAAGGCCGTGGCGGGAAGACCGTCGGTGACGAGGTTGACCCAGAGCAGCTGCACAGGAATCAGAGCCTCGGGCATGCCAAGAGCCGCCGTCAAGAAGATGGAGACTACCTCGCCAATGTTGGATGAGATCAGATAGCGGATAAACTGCTGCGTGTTGCTGTAGATGGAGCGGCCCTCTTCGATGGCCACCTCAATGGTGGCAAAGTTGCTGTCAGCCAGCACCATGTCGGCAGCCAGCTTGGAGACGTCGGTTCCGGAACCCATGGCAACACCAATGTCGGCCTTCTTCAGAGCAGGGGCATCGTTGACACCGTCACCAGTCATGGCAACGACCTCGCCGAGAGACTGGAGGAGGTCAACCAGCTTGGACTTGTGGCCGGGCTCGACACGAGAGAACAGGGAGGCTCGCTTAGCCGCCTCCAGTTGCTCGCTGGGGCTGAGGTTGTCGAATTCACGTCCGGTATAGCTCTTGCCTTCGAGATCCTCGTGCTGACCAAAGACGCCAATCTGTCGGCAGATGCTCTCAGCCGTGTTGCGGTTGTCGCCGGTGATGACAATGATGCGGATACCAGCCTCCTTGCACTTCTTGATTGACGCGGGCACTTCGGGACGAGGGGGGTCGAGCATGCCAACCAAGCCGAGGAAAGTCATGTTCTGCTCCAACTGCGCATACTGCTCAGTAGTCTTGGCGGATCCAACCAACGGATGCTGAGAGATATCGTCGACGCTGGCCAGGGCAATGACGCGAAGGCCTTGGTTACCATATTCAACAACTTCCTTGAGCAGGAGAGAACGGAGCTTTTCGGTCAGGGGAACTCGGTTGCCGTTGGCACCAATCACGGTGCTCGTGCAGCGATCAATGACAGACTCGGGGGCTCCCTTGACAAGCAGCTTCTTGGCCGAACCATCTTGCACAGCAACCGACATGCTCTTTCGGTCACGGGAGAACTCGTAGGTCGCAAGTCGGGGAAGTCTCTTCTCATGTGCAGCGCTGGCATAGTGTCCACAGTCCTCGAGGGCAGTTCCAGCAGGGGCGCAAGGGCCGATTTTCTCCACAAGAACACGGAGGGCGCCCTCGGTTGACTCACCGACGCTGGAGAAGGTGGCAGTACGTGAATCATAGGCCAATTTCGCATCGTTACAGAGAGCGGCAACCTCGGCCATCTGCCGAATCGTGGATGAGGTAGTGGCAAGATCCTCGACAACCTGGCCATTCAGGAAAATGTTACCCTTGGGAGCATATGTTGTACCCTCGACGGTGAGCTCGGTTAGGTCGGTTCCAGCTTCGTTGAGATAGACGACCTTGTTGACGCTCATCTGGTTAGTGGTAAGCGTACCCGTCTTGTCGGAGCAGATGACGCTGCAGCTTCCCAGGGTTTCCACGGAAGGCAGGCTTCGCACAACGGCGTTCTTAGCCGCCATCTTGCGCGTACCCAGAGCAAGACAAGTCGTGATGACAACCGCAAGACCCTCGGGAATGGCAGCCACACCCAAGGACACAGCAATCTTGAGATAGTAGATGGCGCCCTTGGCCCAGCTGCCGTGGCTTGGGTCGTTGAAGTTGGGAATGTTGATGAGCCAGACGAGGATGCAAATGACAGTAATGACCTTGGCCAGGTTGTCGCCAAAGTCGTTGAGCTTCTGCTTCAGAGGGGTAGGTTCGGAAATCTGGGCGGTAATGCTCTCGTGGATATCACCAATGGCAGTGTTGGGGCCTGTCAGGACCACAACGGCCTTGGCTCGTCCAGTGACAACCGTGGTTCCCGAGAAGAGCATGTTCACCTGGTCCTGCAGGACTGCCTTGTCGTCGCTGACGACGGCGTTGGGGTCTTTGCCGACGCTCTCGCTCTCTCCCGTCAGGATAGCCTGGTCCACCGCAAAGCTATTGCTCTCGACGCAAACGATACGGCAGTCGGCGGGGATGCGGTCTCCAACAGAGACAGACACAATGTCGCCGGGAACGAGCTCGTCGGCCTTGACTCGGGATACGTGGCCGCCATTGCGGACGACGTTGGCTTCGTTGGCGGAGTACTCTTGGAGGGCGGCGATGGCCTTTTCGGCACTGCTTTCTTGGGACACACCCACGACGGCGTTGAGGATGAGAATCGTAAGAATCTACAGACGCAGGAACAGATACCAGTTAGCAGCCCAGACCAAGCCAGTTGCACGCGAGTCCACTTACAACTGCGGGATCGACGAATGCGCTCCAGCCGCCCTCATCTTCAAAGAGGGCAAGGATGAAGGAAACAACGGCGGAACCGAGCAGAATGATGACGAGTTGGTCTTTGAATTGTTCGAGAATCAGCTCCCAGATGGGAGTAGGAGGCTCTTCGGGGATCGCTATGCTGGTGTTAGCATCATATCAAGTTGGGAAGCGGTCTCTCTCCCCCCCGGTCTGGCGGGAGTATTCCAGACTTGGCGGTTCGGGGTTTGCGCACCATTGCGGCCGTGTTTCTTCCGAAGTTCTTCGACCTGACTGTCCGTTAAGCCGCTGCGCTCTTGGACGTTGAAGTTGGCCAGCACCGCGTCGATGGGAAGAGCGTAGGCGTTGTCCATGTTGGCGGGTTGCGCCGAAAGCGGCGGGGCGACGCTCTGGAATCCTTATCGCGGGTATCGATGTGCTTCGGCGATGTAGGTAGGATGAGGCTATTCCCGATGACTCAAGCCACTCTCGACGAAAGTGATGAAGGACGAAGGAAGCAGAAAGAAAAGAAGTATTGATTATTACGGAGTGGGTTGAACAAGGCAGAGAGTGAGGAAGAGGAAGAGACGAGGCCAGTTCAGCGAATTGCCAACATGGGAGATTTGTCAAGAGTCTCCCGCAAGGCTCCACGTGGTGGGCGGCAAAAGAAGGCTAAGGTACCGCTGGCTGTATGTATACCTACCTTATGATCGCCTTAGCAGCACTCGCAGCAGTAATACCTAACGCTAACGTAATAAGAGCGGAAAAGTCGAGGGGCTTCCATTGCCGTCACCGTGGAAAAAGAAAAAGTTCAACGTGTTCGTTTGGAGTCAAGGGGCGGACCTCTTGCATCGCCTCGCGCCAGCCGGGCTCGGGCTTGTCCCTGAGCGGTTAGCTTCAGGGCCCTGTTGCAGCGCCGTGTTTAGGCGACTCGGTCCTGGCAGCAGCCGCTATAAATTGCAGTGGCAGCCCCGGACGGTGCATCGCACAGTGGGTTCGGCGGGCGACGGGCCATCGGCGGCGCGCTTTGGCGGGGGAGCGTGCTGGGACAACGACGCAGCCACAGTGCGATCTCGCATGTCGTGGTTCGGAGGCATGGGTTTAGATTGACGGATGGAGTGGTGGGAGTCGGTTATTCGCAGCCTGGGACGTTCACAGTATAGCAAGACAAGACCCCTGCCATAATTCACATGCTCCTAGCTGAAGAAGCTTCTTTGCAATTTTCAAGGGTATCGTGGAAGATGCTATTTTTGCTTCATGCTCATCTTTGCCCTTCAATATCTCAATTTCCACATATTGATCAAGCCGCCATTCTGCCTTGCATGGTCAAGAGGGCAGTTCTTGGCAGGCATTCTTCTTGCTGCAATGATATCCTTGACCATTACATTATCGTCACAGAAGAGATGAAGTAGTCGATCTGCCTAGAGGGTACGGATGTCAGTCGATATAGAGTCATGCTGTCAACTGAAGCCGGTCGATTTACACCTCTTACTCCATGTCGGTACAAATTTGATCTATGCTCTGTGAAGTGGCAAAGTATTGACCACAATCAACCGATATCAGTTCATGTTATCAACTATCGCCAGCCACCTCAAAGACAATTCGGATGTCTTGATCGGCTGTTGAGATGCTGTTCAGCATGGATATTGTAATCAATGAGGAGGTGAAAGCCTAGCAACCTGAAGTCAGTACTCGCTCGCCGTTACACATCCAGTAGTAGGTATGGATCTTCAAATATCGGGTCCCTCCAAAGTGCTACTCCAATGTATCATGCGGGCATTGTATCAATTGATTCGTATGCTGACGGGCTACCTATAACATCATCATATCAGTTGCCATTCATCATTCATTGCCATGGGTAAATCAAGGTAGACTTGCTGAGACTTGTTGTCCCTCTGTACCTACTAAGATACTTTACCTACCTTAAGGTAGGTAGGTAAGTAACGATCGGACGCACCTTCTTCTCGTCAACAGCAATAGTAGCTTCTCAAAAGAGTCAATGCCCTGCCAACCAGCAGTCGATCGCTCCTGACGCTTCCATCATTTCGGCTGCTAAAAAAGAATACCTTGATGTTTTTTCACTGTTCATCCTGTTTCCGTCTCGATTCTTCTCGCTACACTGTCAATGTTCTTTCTGTCCGTATTATTCTATTCCAGATTTTGCACCTCGCCATGTCCGGCTCTTAGTCCTCGACATCACTTTGATCTTGGCGCATTGGAGCCTATTTTGCATCTTCTTTTTTGGCCTTGTCAATTCATCAACTTCACCCTCCACCTCTATGGAAATGGCTTCCCATGATTCATCAGCCAGTGGCAGTCCCAGTGACTCCGACCCAAGCTCTCGGCGTTCCAGCTGGGCTGCTCTCATGCAGGAGTACGAAGATGCCATCGAGTATCGAAGCGACGACGCCAGATCTGACGCCGAAGTCGTTACCAAAATGGCCCAGCTCGATATTACAGCAAATGATACCCCTTCTTCCACTGGCAAAATAGCCGATGCCGAGTTTCAAGGAGTTATCGAAAGTACCGCTGTGGCTGCCGCCGTCCAGGTGCCTCAGATCACCATTGACGGTAGTAGCAGCGCTTCCGTGATGGACGCGGAATGTCCAGAGCAGCTCAAATCTGAAAGGCCCTTTCACAAATGGATGCGGACGATACATCGTCGAGCACGACATCGGCCCACACTGTCAGACGAAGGTATCAGCCCGCTGCATGAGAATGGCATCCACAGCCGCACATCTCCGTGGAGAAGAACGCATCATCGACACTCGTCCTCTGGTTCCTCGTTTGCCTTTGTTGCGGCGGTTCGAAGTGCTAGTGCCAGCCTCGCCAGTGTCAGTGCTGTGGCACGATCCCGAAGAAACACAGTTCGCTCTCAAGGCTTCTCAACGACGGAGCGTAGCAGCAGAGCTTCTATTTCGGGTCCTCGTGCTTCGGAAGACAGCTGTTTCTTGGAGAACCGTTCTCTAGCCGATTTGGCTACCATCGAAAGATCGTTGCAACGACGCAAGGTGCTAGAGGAGCTAATCAGTACAGAAGAAGGGTATATCGGGGACGTGCGCTTTCTCATGAATGTGAGTCGAGTTGATCGCGATCCCCCGACTACCTACTAGTAGTTCATGTCTAATAATCTCAAAGGTATATGTCACGATTTTGGCCGCGTTGCCTTCCGTTTGCGTCGGATTGCGATCATCAATCAACCAGAACTTGACAGAGATTGTCAAATTACACGAGGAGCTCCTAGGTGAACTACACCGAGTAGTTCCACACTCGGAGTACACGCAAGCTGACTTGGCACCCTCGTTGTCGACTCTGCCGAATGCCGACTGTCTTCACACTCACAGGCGATGGTCTAGTCTCGATGCCATACCAGAACAAAACGTGAAAGCGAGGTGGCTTTTGAAAGCCCCGGGCATGCTATCGGATCCTCAAGTCGCTGCCGAGGTCTCCAAAGTCTTTGCAAAGAAGGTATTTGTTGACCATAACTTTCCAATGCATTCGGGCAGATTGTCTGACACACCTCGACGTGTACACAGATCAGTCGGTTCTTCATGTACGAAGAATACGGAGCCACATACGAGATGATGATCAAAGACATTGCTTCAGCCCAGGAAGCCATGCCTGATTGGGAGACTTATCAAAAAGGACTCGAAGCTCTAGCACTGGCCCTGGGCTCTGCCAAGGGTAGCGAAGAAGGGACAAAGAAGGCCCTCACGATCAATGACCTCCTCGTCAAGGTGCCCCTCTACGGCACTGTTCTTGTTCCTCACCATGGGCTAACGCTTTTGGTAGCCTATCCAAAGAATTTGCAAATATCCTCTCCTCTTTTGCGAACTCCTCAAGTGCACTCCGATATCAGACTGCCCATATTCCCACATGGAAATCGACAACACTCTGACAAGACTCCGCGAGGCAACCACAGAAATCAACCGGGCATCAAATGATGACCAGATCAGAGTCACGCTCGAGAAGACGTGGATTCTACAAGATCGCCTCGTATTTCCAGACAGGGTACTATCTAGCAGTCAAATAAAGGGTTATTACTTACTGTATCAAGACTAACATTGGACTTAGAAACTCGATGCCGTTTCGAAAAGACAAGTACGGTCCTTCGGCCACATTCGCCTCTGTGGAACACTTCACGTATGCTAGCAGACAGACGACGGAGTCGACGGGCAGTACTTTATCTGTCTCCTCTATCGAGACGTCCTTTGCCTTGCCGCTGCAGGCAAAGTCGACCCGATATACACCATCATGGCGTGCATCAACGTAGACGGGATCAGGATCGAAGACGTGGACAACGGACGAGGTAAGACGCACAGGCGCCAACAGAAGGGCTCTCTCCCATGAACGGAGAATACTAACAGTCAGTAGGGCTACAATGCCACACCGCGCCCTTTTCCTGGAAAGTAGTATTTGAATGTGACCATCAACTATACGAAATCATCATGACAGCCTGCAACCCCAAGGAAGAGACAGAATGGAAAACACGATTGGCTCGTCCGATGAGCGAAGGCCAAGAGGGAAAGCCGCTGGATATGTTCAGTACGCTTCATATGGATATGAAGAGTCTGGGGACTGTGTTTGGAAAGCAAGGTGCGCAATTTTGTATCCAGGCATGTCACCTCCATCATCTGACTCAGACTAAAGGCACGCTCGCGCGGCGGATCTCCATTCAACGGGCTACTACTGTTGGAGGCGCCAAATCTCCTCTGTGCCAAGTCATCTTGAAGAATACCAACGGATTGCGGGACAATGGCGGTAATGCGTCTACGGTTTCGACCATCAAGCGTTCTCAGTCACTGCTGACGACCACAACCCGGATCCCGGTGCTTGCACCGCCAAGGGGTGAGAGAGCCCGGCTTGAAGCGCTCCTCTCCGACGTGTGGACGAGAGAAATCCTCCCGTTTCCTGGAATGTCGATGAGATCTCGAAGCGAAAATCTGGTCCGAAGCTCGGCATCTACGGTTATGAGGAAACTCAGTGTGGCCAGCTTTGCTAGTTCATTTGCAAAGAAATCAACCGCGTCCGCTCAGAGAGCCCAATCCATTGAGAATATTGCCCTAGAAACCATCAAACGCCGGGGCACGCGAACCCCAATGGAGTCGGTCATGAGGGATGATGCATGCTTGGACGACGAAGCAGGCAGGAAAGCGAAGCGGCAGCGTACGGCCAAGGAGCTTGCAGGTGTACAGGCACCCGTCTATAGCTCAAGAAGTGGCCCTAGAAGCCTCCGGCGACGAGGAGCGTGGGTGAATGCACCCCCAAAGCAGGATCTTGTCAGCGACGTGTTCTCTTTCCCTTCACGCGCGGCATCTGCAAACATGCTACTGCCGCCCAAGTCGACGATCTCCCGGGCCATGACATCTTTGCCCGAGACCCCAGATAGGACGAGAAAGGCGTCAGCGGAAAGGTTCCGAAGCTTTGGCCGCTGGACCAGGATTGGTGTGGGGAGGAACGAGGGTACTGGCAGCTTCAGGAAGCTACTTTCAATTGGCAAAGAGCTATAACAGCCGTGATACTGGTCTACGTGGAGATTTGAGGCAAGTTGGATGCCATCACTTGGAAAATGGGAACCGCGGGACTGTGAGTGGATCAGCCATCATACCGCCCCGAACCGAGTATACCGTACGATAGGGATAGATGGGCTTAGGCTTTTGTAGGATTAGATGACGCATCTCTACAGACACTGCGGAAGAGAGGGAGCAAAAATTATACATTTTGCAAAGAGATTGCTGCAACAGATGCATGCATCTGGCCCTATAGCGGAATGACGGTGTTGCTCGCATTTGAACGCAATACTACAGGTAGTAGCACTGCAACTGGTACTGTATCACGCATGTCGTCTGCCGCGCCGCGAGCCATGAGCAGGGCGACTAAGTTACCTTAGGTCGGTAAGGTACTAGGTAGGTAGGTACCTACTAGGTTAGTAGGTGTTCATTCCAATTGGTAACGGCCCATGCGTATCGTACATAGAAGACAGAAGAAGCAATTGACAGGCAGCAAACAAGCTGAACAGCTCATGAGGCTCGTCGGTTTCAATTGTTCCTGGATCGCCAGCTAAGACGATCCACAGCGAAGCATGGAAATGGGGGAAGCCTTACGTATTGGCCGTCTGGCCAAGTACCGGATACAGTCGTGATGAGGTCATCATGTACCCGCTGCGCTGCTTCTTGTGGAGGCTGCAGTGAATGCGGTGCGATCGAAATGGGGAAGCGAGACCCGGTACTTGCTGCAGGTGCGCGCAGAGGTACACATTCCGCACGCCACGATGACGTAGTTGGCAGTGACAGCTCCCCTCTTCCTAGAACGAAGGAAAGAGCAGCTTCTTCTGCCTTCTTTTAAGAACAGCTGCTCTGCCCACCTTCTGCCTCTTTTCTTCTTCATTCTCATACCCAATTCTTAATCAAGCACACCATCATCCATCCACCAGCGGACACATACTTTTTCACACGCCAATCCTCAAGCTCTTTCTCTCACTACTCTCACAAGTCAATAACACACAATCGTTGCAAAGCTCAGCGTCACGCGACCCCCGCCATCCCACCAAACAGCTAAACAAGCAATACCCCTTTCGTCTTACGACTTCAATCCACAGCCAAAATGACTCGAGGAGAAGCCACCCAGTCCAAGATCCACTACAAGGGAAAGCAGGACGACTTCCTTGTCTTTGTGGACGATGTCGACACCTACAAGAAGTGGTTGAACGACAAGAGCACTCCTCTTGCTCACTTCATCTCCGCCTTCCAGGTCTTTGTGACACACAGGTAAGCAGAGCCAGAACTTCCACCTAACTGAGTGCGTTGGTTCGTCTCGAGCTGCTCGGTCATCTCGGTGCCGCTGCCCTTTTCTTTGGGATTGGCGGGCAATGGATACGTCGCGATCGGAGACGTCCGTTGAGTGCTTAGAACACCGCGTCGTGCCACACAACTTTTTTCTACCAAAGAGAGTTGGACATTTGGCGGCTAACAAAACATTTCTACAACAGACAAGGTGCTCAGGGAACCTATGACTCGGCATCAAAGATGGCCCTCTCGGCCGAGTTTGATACCGACAACACCGATGATGTGATTCAGAAGATCCTGGAGAAGGGCACATTGCAGATCTCGGAGGTTAGTCCCTTGTCCAAGACAATTTCCCCTTAACAGTCCGCGATCCGGAGAGATGCTGACAACGTTGTGAACAGATGCCTGAACGGCAAGGTCCCACCAACGATTCCATGAACTCGATGAGGGCAAAATAGGCGACTGCTAGGTATCCTAGGTTTCGTGTTGAGCGATCATGCAGGCCCGGGCTTAGACTCAGGGCTCAGAGCCGGGCGACGGGTTCCAGGGCCTGGATGGAGGCTCTTCTCACCTTCAGTGGAGACTTCATAACAAGGGAATAATAAAGCGGTTAAATTCTTAATGACATGCCTGCCTCGTGTGTCCGATATGGATTCGTGACTCGTAGCAATGTAGTAGTAAGACAGTCGACACGCCTTGTGGTTCGAGTGCAGTGGTACCATCTCATGATTATGGACTTAGATAGGCAGGGTCAGCCGTTCTTCAGACCGGGTTCCGCTGAGCCTTTAAGAAACCTTGCATACCTCGAGGAGTAAGAGCTGAAAGACACGCAGATATTGAAGACACCTGGAGGCTACGATGATTTGAGGCGTCCTGTAACATGTTCGAATTGGCCGACTTGGGCTCTAACTGCCTAACATGCGTGATCCGAGTCTTTGACTGGAATTAAACCCTGTGCCTATTGCTCCCCGTCCCTTCCCATCCATGGCCCCTCGTGAGTGTTGTGCGGGCCTTTGTAAATAATGTACATGGAGGATTGATCCTGATCCGAGGCTTGTCCCTTTGTTGCTCTGCTCAAATGATGATTTCCCTTTTGCCTTTTTCTCTGGTCCTACAGTGCGGAATGTTTACTGCTCTTTTTCTCCCCCCTTTTCCCCCTCCAACTCAGACTTTGCCGCCTGAGTTGGGTGTTCGTGGAGGTAGAGTCCATGGCTGTGCGCAGATGACCTATATAAAATGGTTAGCTTTCTTTCTAGGGAGAATACAAAAACAGAGAAAGGGATGGAAGATGGAGAGGGAAAGACATACCTCGCCTTCACTGTAGGCCCAGAAATAGGCGCCCATGCCAATGAGGTAGTAGATGCCCGGGTTGGTGGACTGGTACATGAGCAGGCAGGCGAGGGCGGTGAGGGGCAGCATGGCGAGGCGGAACTCGATGGAGCGGTGGATGCTGGTGCCGGCAATGAGGGGCAGGGGCCACTCGAGGGCGAGCATGAGGAGGCCGAAGACGAGGTTGATGGTCTGGAGGATGGGGGCGGGCTTGACGGCGGCGTCGAGGGACTTTGTGAGGAAGTCCCAGAAGATCTTGGGCCAGAAGTAGCCCTCGATGGCGGCGCCAATTTGGTCTATCGGGGGTTGAGAGTCAGTCATTTTTTGCACGATATTGAGAGGGGAGAAAGAGAGAGAGAGAATGAAGGACGTACAGGTGGCGGCTGTGAGCATGATGAGACGAGCCCAGTGGTTCTTGATAAGCTTGCCCATTGTTGCGGTGTTTTGGTGGAGTGGAAAGATAAGTGTCGGTTATATGGCTTTCCTTCTCTCTCGTCCTTGTTCTCCCTCGTGTAAGGCGTATCTCGAAAACGGAGTCTTTCCAGATGTCGTCGTCCTTTTCTTCCTTTTTCTTCTTTCGAAACCCGTTTCGTTGGACCTCGTCGGATAACCACACAAAAGAGATTGCTTTCCAAGTCGGATCAACCGAATATCCTCCTGACGAAATGCTAAGGAAATTGAAAGAGAATGGAAACAAATTCAATTAAAGCGTCGAAGAAAAAAAAAAGCAGGTAACCGGACCTGTAATGGCAAAAGGAGCAAAAGAAGAGAAAGAAAAAAAGAAAGAAAGAGACACCGAGCAGGCTAGCAGCTGGTGAACCTGTAGAATGGAAAACGAAAGTTGACGAAAGAGGAGAAACAAGAACCCTCGAGGAGGAGGAGAGCCGAAGGGAAGGGCTTTAATCTATACACCACTTGGCCGCCCAGAACCGGCCGGGCCCTTTGGAAGGGGAGGGGGGGCAATGCGGGCTTGGTCTCGTCTGGCGCCGGAGGGTGAAAACCGGGTTGAGAGAAAGGCACTCGTGTGTGTCAGGGCCGAGGAGCTAAATCGTGCCTTTGCCTCAGCTTTTGGGCGATCGCGTGTCTGGCTGGGATCAGAGCGGCCGTGCAAGCAGGCATGGGCGTCTGGGCAGAGACATGGAACGAACGATGGCCCTGATGATTGCCTCGTTCCCGGGGTCGTGGGCGAGGCGAGCGATGAGACTGGAACCAGGGCCGGATAGATCGATATCCGTTTCGAGCAGGGGCCGGTTAGACCTGAGGCACAAGCCTGACAGCCGAAAGAAGCGTGGAGATGTCCGGTCTTCTGTCCACAGACAGAGAGAGAGAGAGAGAGAGAAGACGGGGGGGTGGCTTGAGGTTGAGCAAGATTGAGTTTCACGTTGCTGGACCGGGCGTAGTCACTCTCCGCGAAAGCTCGTTTGCAGCGGCGGTACAAAGTCGTAATAGTAGCAGGTTGAGGCGGTTTGAGGCGGGAAAAGGTATCGATGTATGTAGTAGCGTAGCAGTGGTTCGTTTGAAAAAGAGGTCGTTGGTCTCGTATCAGACAGGGGGGGGCGACAAGCTGAGAAAGCAGAAACAAAAGAGGAGGCCTTTTGCAAAGCAGATTAAACGCTGGGAGAGAGAGGGGAAGGGTATCACGAAGGAGGTGGTTCTGAAGCAGTGGGAGCAAGAGAAATGTGGAAGCGGGAGGGGGGATGGTTTTGAGGGTTACCGAGTACAAGTAAGTAGTGACACAGCTACCTTGCCTTATGGGCAGCTGAGGTGAGGTCTAGCGGCGGTACCTGGCGTGCGGCCGTGGCGGCGCCTACGAGAAAAGTACCGCCGCATATGATCTCACCCGATTTGCTCCTCGCAGCTGCTTCATTTCTGTCGCAAACCGGCGCTGCGTCTCTTCTGGCTCAGCGTCTTGTCTGCGGTGGTGTTTCTGGCTCCCCCCATGATGCGGAATCACAGCGGCGATTGGTGCGTCGTCGGCGGTTACAGAGGCGGCGCCGGCCAATCAGGGCGCATGCCGCTGCTCCTGCGCGTTCGGGCGAACAGGGGGCGGCGGCTCCACCGGGTTGCAGGTCTTGCAGGCGGTCGTGGGTGCTGCTCAGGGACCCCCCATGCCCTGTAAGGAGCTGCTGCTGCCGAGGGGGGTTACCGGACGGCGGTGGTGCGGGCACTTGACAGCTACACAGTCATTACTCTGCTCTCTGCTGCTATTTGAAAGTATACATTGAGTAGCCTTGGCTCATTACGCAAGTCGCTTTCAAACCCACCTCAAGTCCGATGGCTGCCATTGAATGCGATGCCACTGGACGCTGGGCAGCTTCGAGGCACCTCCGCTGCAAGCGTCAAGTCTCGGCATCAGCAGGTCTCGGAGGCCTGTTCTAGAAAGCCCTTGTTCTCTCTTTTTTTTTTTTTTTCTTTTTTTTTTTTTTCTGTTTCTCTTTTGCAGCTCCGGAACACTCGAGATCCGGCAACCTGTTGGTCCGCATGCCTTGCAGGCATGTATATGTACATGTACGTAGCTGCATGTAAGCAAGCAACTGCACGCAGGTACGAGTATACCTCTCTAACCAACAGACACCTTTTAATCATGCATTCAATCCTTCATATCGCAACTCAATTCTTCCTCATGTGACATCATGAAGAAGCAAGATCAGGAGAGCGAAAGAGCACATGGGCATGTTTTTCACACAGCCACTTTTTTTTTTTCCTTGGCCTCTAACCGACGCGCGACCCTCGCAGTCTCACCTGGCAGATTGTGAGGCACGCCACGAAACTTGTGAAGCACGCCGCGTTTGGCCTGTTTCGCCCCTGCGTGAAACTCGCCTAGGGAACATGGGGAGAGCTGCCTGGTCCATGTTTCCAATTACCTTACTTTGAATCAATCAATCTTGTTTCTCCCGATCTTTTTCGATCAAAAGAAGATGCGCAAACAAAAGTGAGGAGTATTCACATGAAAGACAAAATTACAATGACGAATGTCGCATCGAATCAAGCAAGCAATTCACTTGCTGAACGGCGGGGAAAGCAAATATTAGAGGCAGCTACCTTATTTGCTTATGTGCCCAAACCCAAGCTTATGTAGCTCCAATACCAGGGACAGGGATCTCCAAAATAGAAGTGCGGGTCGACACAATTCGATGCCAGTCATTTTTCTTTGCGTCTGCAATTGACTTTTGGTGACCTTGTTGGCCCTTCGCAAGCATCAATCATGTTCATTGGTTTCCAGGCCCCTCTTCGAGATCTCGCTGTTGGTCGACTCGTCCCGTCTTGTTGCTTGATGCCGTAGCATCGTCGTTCCCTGCTTGCCACGATGGCGGGATTAGGCGATGCGACAGTGTGTTTGTTCGCTTGGATCGGTACATACTAGGTATCTGTTTCGCATGAACTCTGCATACCTAAGGTACATATATGAGCTTCTCTTCCTCGTTTGAATCCATAAACAAGTTCTATCATTTACTTTGTGACATTCTTCGGATCCAATTAGATCGTCAATCATCCCCTCTCTTGCTGATTCTGTCTGCATCGCCCGTCACCTCTGCTCGTCACATCGAACCACTCGACATTACCACTAGCATCATGAGAGCCCAGCCATTTTCAGCGTCCCCTCACCGGACGAGATTTCACACCGCCTAAAAGGCTCTTTGATTGACAGCGAGGAAGCCAATCTTTACGGACGGAGAGGCACCCGACACTAAAGATGACTGACAGATGACAATCACAGAATGTTGGCCACTGACGATCAGAGTTGCCCTCTTCAGCCGCAGGGCGGCTCTACGCCCACGCTGATTGGCTCCCCTCCTGGACCTCCCAGCTGACGCCCAGCCAACCACGGCCGCTATCACCAATATATTCACCACTATATTGACAAAATGGCCCCGATTGCAGGCTTCATGGTTCTTTATCCTGCATTGACCGCCATGCCGCAACGAATTTTCATCCGGTTGTCGTATTGATAATAGCACAACTATCTCTTCACGTGGACATGGGGAGAGCATGGACCACGCCCATGGCTTTGGGATCGGTGATGGTCAACTATATAGCGCGGTGACGAAATAATGGTCCGGGACTACCTAGGGAACCATGTGAATGACCAGACATCAGACGATGTGACTCGATACCCGGTTATGGGGACTCTCTCTTTTCTTTGTGCGAGTTGACCAGTGCGCAAGCGCCCACTGTCCCAAGATAGTAGCAGTGACCATCTGATTTGGCACCGTTGACAAAGGAAGGACTGAAAGAAGAAGAACAGAAAGGCCGAAAACAATCACCGTGAAATCGAACCTCTTCCAACACTCTGCACCGCGCCGTCGTTGAGCGCCGCAACTCCAATACCCCAGACATCCAGCCGGCGACTGCTCTCATGGCCATGGGTGAAAAAGGCAATCACCCTGCCGCCCTGCGCATCGCCAAGCAGATCGCGAATCCTTCTCTGCCCATCGGCACTAAAGACCAGCTGTGCTAAGCTCCCCAATCCTGCCGAGAGATCCGTCACGACGTCCACATGCTCTCGAGAGAGCGCCTGCCCGTGCACGCAGTGGGATGCGAGATCGCGCAGCTGCTCCATGCCTGCGGCTTCGTCGGCGCGGCTGCCTGTGCGGGAGAGGTTCGCTGCTGCGTTTGCAAACTGGTGGCGTAGGGCGTCCAGGCGAGAGGCTAGTTCTGATGCCGACGAGATGGGGATGATGGGGATTGAAGACATGCCGTGCGTCATGATGCTTTGGGCTTTGAATATCAGAAAACACGCAGAGGTCCCCTGCTGATGTGTGTGCACATGTTGATCGAGCTCTCTCACCTCATCTGTAGATTAACCAGCGCGTCCACGCAGCCATCGTTTGGCATGAGCAGGATAACGGCCACGTTCCTGCCGCCATCGAGCATCGAAAGCCTTTCGATCCTGGCTTTGGCCGTCGCCGTCTTGGATTCTTCGGACGAGAGCAGCAGCACCTTGAAGGAGCTGCCTGGGCGAGACTGGTCTTGCGGTGGGAGCGCAAAGGAGACGTCATAGCCGTCGAGCTTCGTCTCTGTGAGTGCTCGGGTATCATCAGTCTCTGCTTCATGGAAACGGTCTGTATCAAGGAGTCTTGGTTTGCCTTTCCAGCCCGAAGAGGTGCTTCGTGATAGAGTCGGGACCACTGCCGCCCACTCCTTTCGCTGCCTTAGTGATGAGCAGAACATGGCGGCGACAGGCTCAACAACGCAGTCTCGTTGATGTTGAAGTTGAAACGTCTCTTATTGTTAAGATCGAACTGCAGGGCACTGGCATTGCTTGTGACAGATCCCATGTCTGGACGTGCAAGTCGGTCCAATTGGTTGGCGTGCAATCAATCCGGACAGCCCTGCACGAGCAGACCTGAGACCTGTTACCAGCGAGGCCAGCAACCCGCGTCATTGAAGCCCCTCAAGGTTCTCATGACGATGGTGTCTATCTGCCGCCCCAAACAGTCAGGAGCCACTTTGCTCCTTCTGGGAACACATCCTCCACTCTTTTTTTCCAACTCGATTGTCCCCTTTATAGCCCTTCATCTTTTATCCAACCGGTCTATATGCTGTGTAAATGAAAACTGATTATCATCTTCGTGGTGGTAGAGCGGAGTGTGGAAAGACCCATGGATGCTGCCTGTCCTGGGCCTGCTTGCATCATCACAATGGGTTGGACCGGACCTCGGTCTTGTATCCATATGAGTCTTCAGCATGCATACCATGAGCGCCATCGTTCGTGAGCTTGCCACGAACGCAACTGGTTAATAATCGCGCTGCCAGCGTTTGTTAAGTACCTTACCTGCCCAGCAGTCAAGGTCATAATGACTTCTGGGCAGATTGTACGCGGGTCGCCTATGCATTGGCTTGCAATGACGGTAACAGCGGCTGCTTCGTCTTCGGATCCTTCAACGACCGGAGCGCCTCCTCGAGCGATTCGAATCGTTGCCGCTGCCTCTCCTCCGCCTGGGCCAGCTCCTCCTCCTTCTTCTGGAGCTCCTCGAACCTCCTGTTGAGCTCGTCGATCCGCTCCTTGTTGGCATCGGGCTTCTGCGACGACTTGTAGTACTCGTAAATGATCAAGGCACCCGCCACGCCGAGTATGAACGTGTCGCCGGCAACGTCCGCAAACAGGTCCACCGCCTTGTTCTCGGGCAGCGGCCGGAACTTGCGCTTCCATACGCTCTGCAGCGTGAACCTCGGGTAGCTGGGCTGTTGTTGGCTCTTTTTCGACTTTGCCTTTTCTTCCTCCCGCTTGACCTGCTCCTCCGTCTTGACTGTCGGTGCTTCGGCCTGCTCTTTCGCTCGCCGCTCGGCTTCGGGGTCTCGCAAGAGGGCGACGGACAGCTTCATGTTGAGCTGATGGATGGCCTGGCCGTACTTGGCGGCGAGGGCCCGGAATCGCGGGTGATCATGGGCCTGGGCTTTGATGCGGTTCTAGAGGAAAGGGGCCGACGAGGCATGAGTACTGGAGACATCGTCGTAGAGCAACATTTGGACGGGAGATGTCGAAGGGACGTACCGCGCCATATTTGGAGACGTGCCGCACAAAGAGAGCGGCGAGCTTGAACAGGGGGAGAGGCACCATGGTGATGTGATGTTGGGCGCGGGGGGGAAGGTTGACTGCGGGGTTTGGTGTCTCCTGTCCAATTCGTTGTGTCTCGGCGTTTTGGTGTCGGTTGCCGGCTACTACTTCATTGTTGGCTTTTGTCGTGGGCTCGTGAGGTTCGGGGAGGTGAGCATGTGAGAGGCTCTCATGGAGGCCTTGTGGGAAGAGCTACTAGTACTGGTATTACTAGCTTGAGCTGGATGGCCATCGACGTGGAGATGCCTCCTCTGTTCAAGCCGGAGCCCGCGATTAATCCGGTGCCCACCAGTGCTGGCCGTCGGGAGAGGAGACGCGAGCCCAACCTCAAACTTGGGGTCTGGTGCCTTACCAGTGGTTAAGGTTGTTACCGGGGACACTTTTGGTGCCTGAGGCGCTGCCAGCTCATACGCCTACTATATTTTTGACCCAAGGTAGGTGATTTACTCCCACAATGTACGGATAAAAGCGTATCATCGATTGCAAATGCGAGACACTCCACAGCTGGCATGATTTCAGCTGTTGAGAGTACCTAGGTTGCATTTCACTGTCAACGAATCCAAATGGATCCGTCTTTTGCTGCCTGGGCGGTTCGTAGCGTCCGTCTTCCAGCACGTAGTGGCTGAGCTTCAGTGGCATCAGCGACCAACGTCCACTAAAAGCCCTCCCTCGCAGGGCGCTCAGTCCCCCAATGGGCGCAGCCGATTCGTCCAATGGAAGCCCACCTAGCCCAAGCCAAGGGCGGTGTGACCCGCCCAAGCAGCCACTGCTTGTTGCGTTGCCAGCAGCAACCTGCTCGCACAAAGTACACAAACCACAACAGACGGGGCCGACGACAAGCTGGAACTTGCCAGGGCTTGTTGCATGTGTGCTTGTGCTGTTTTCCGCGGCTGCCCACTGACTACATACCTACCTCTAGTTCTAGGTGACTGGTTGCTACCGTCACTGCGCCGCGCTCGCCTTCTCTCGCATCGCCAGCCTCGACGGTCCTCGAGCATTCTTGCAGAGCGCCGCCCTTGCGAGCCGGATGCTTTTGAAGCCATTCGCAACACACAGAGAGGCCTGCGCCGCGTCTGTCACGGTTCGTCTCGCATGCCGTGCGTGACCTGGAGCATCCTGTGAGTTTTGGCCTCTTTTTTTTTTTTTTTTTTTTTTTTTTGCTGCCTTCTTCCCTTGTCACCAAGCATTCCTTGTCTTTTTTTTTGTGTCTTGATGCGGATTACGCCACAGTCGAGACAGCCTCAGCCATGTTTTGCTTTTTCGGTCATTTCCCTGCCGCATTGCTGGGCCTCGGGCGCACGCGAGGCTCTGCAGCGCAGTTCTCTTGTTGAAGAATCTCTCACAGAAAACTAACCGCGTCGATTTCCTTCTCTTCACTACTAGTTAGGCTCGTCACGGCACGATTCCCAGGCAGCTGTTGATTCCCGCAGCTCGCCCAACCCTCCTTCGCCGCGTGATAACCCGACCAGCTCCGTCGCCCAACCGGCCGCTCGTTCTGTCGCCATGGCGCACAGGCTGGTCCCCAGGGGCGCCCTCGACATGGAGGCGTTGTCCCCTAGGGATGTCAACGCCCAGCGAATGCCCAAGGCCGCCGAAACCAAGACGACCAAGACCGCCGCCCAGCTCAAGGCCGCCAAGGACAAGGAGCACCCGCCGCCGCCGCCGCCCGAGGTCGTCGAGCCCAGCAGCACAGATCGTCCAGACGGCGCCGTGTACCATGTCGGGAAGCTCTTGGGCAAGGGAGGGTTCGCCATCTGCTACAGCGGCCAGCTGCAGCCCAGCAGGCACAAGTTTGCTCTCAAGATCGTCAAGAGCCAGATGCCCTCCAAGATGGAACAAAAGGTTGGTGCCGCTCAGACTCTGGGGAGTTGGCTCTTTTTAGCATCTCGCTCACAAATTTGGCAGTTTCAAACCGAGCTGCAAATCCATTCCAAGATGCGGCACAGGAACATTGTTCAGTTCTTCCGGGCGTTTTCCTTTGTCAACTGCACCTTCTTGGTGCTCGAGCTTTGTCCCAACGGCTCCCTCATGGACATGGTGAAGCGACGAAAGGGCCTCACCGAGCCCGAGGTTCGATTCTACGCCGTCCAGATAGCCGGCGCGATCAAGTACATGCACAGCAAGGGAATCATTCATCGAGACTTGAAAATGGGCAACATCTTCTTGGATCAACAGATGAACGCCAAGATTGGCGACTTTGGTCTCGCTGCGTTGGTGGTCACGGGCAGGGATATGCAGACCATTCGACGAACGACCCTTTGCGGCACGCCAAACTACATTGCTCCAGAGATTCTGGAAAAGGGAAAGAAGGGCCATGACCACATGGTGGATATCTGGAGCTTGGGAATCATCATGTAAGGACTCTCCGAGCAACTACCGCTCCCCAACTGCTAATCACCCGTGATAGGTTTGCCATGTTCACTTCGAAGCCGCCCTTCCAGTCCTCGACGACAGACGAAATCTATCGACGCGCCAGGGAGCGAGACTACGAGTGGCCAAGTGCAGAGGTGTCCCAGAAATACATTAGCCAGGAGGCTAAGGACCTGGTGGCCACCATGCTTGAGGATGCAGATCAGCGGCCCGACCCCGATGCCATTGTCCAGCACCCCTTCTTCACCGCGGGCTACATGCCGTCGTCTCCGGAAATCACATCCAAGCTGCGAGAGGTGCCCCCTGACGCCGATGAGTACTACGCCTCCCGCCTGAGCGGCTCTGCCATGGCTCAGTCTCTCCGTAACCTCCAGGACCAGTGTCGTGAGTGCGGCGTTGGGCCCTGGGCTGCCGAAAAGACGACGCACACTCAGATTTGGAAGGAGATGGCTGCTGAGGAAAAGGCTGGCCTGACTCCGGTCATCCCCCTTTCAGAAGGTGTCGTCTATCGACCGTTTGATGACTGGCTAAGGGAGCAGCATCAGATCCGTGCAAAGTACGCAGCCTCTGTCTCGTCACGATCCACCTCGAGCGAGGGACAGGAAGACTCGACCACCAGCTCGCAAAGGATGCCTCCTCCCACAGGCCTCCTGCGCCAGCCACCCCAGAGCTTTGCGGCTCAACAACGAACGCAGGGCCGACCTGCCACTTCCGCCTCTACGAGGACTCGAACCGCCCCCGAGATTGGCCTTTCAACTTCACAAAGCACACGAGTCCGACCACGTCAAGAGCGTCTGGAGTCGGCTACCCGCGAGACGTCGTCTTCCTCGAGGGAGGCCCTTGATTCTACCGCTGCTGCTTCAACCACCTCTTCCACCACTGCCAGATCCATGCGCATGTCAGCAAGGGCTCAGCTATCATCGACACGATCTGCACCGAATCTGCCAATCACCGAGAGGGCAGGGGCCGTCTCGTCGTCTGTGCCGCTTCATAAGAGGCGAAACTCGGAGTCTATTCGATCAGCCACTTTGTTCAGCCCCTCCGAGTCGCCTATGGAGATGGAGGGAACGAAGCCCGATGAAATTCTCGAACGATTGCGCGAACTCCAGGCAGAGCTTGAGCGAGCTCTCAATGCCCGCACCATGGCCATTATCTCTGCCAAAACGGCTCCTCCGCCACACCCTCACATCGTCGTCAAGTGGGTGGACTACACTAACAAGTTTGGTCTCGGCTACATCTTGAACGACGGCAGCGTGGGGTGCATCCTGCGTGACATTCCCACCACCGAGGGCAGCAAAACAGCTTTGCTCCCTCCGGCGGGTGTCTTCATCCGTGGCGCGGAGAAACACATCCTTCGTCGACAAGACGAATCCTACCCAGACCGCCATCAACCTGTGCCCATGATGGAGCCCATCCAATTTTTTGAAAACAACGGCGAGGCCGGCCTTTCGCAGGTCACAATCTCACCCCATCAATTTCGCGTGTCCATCAACGAGGATGGAACGGCCGGCAAGATGGCACCCGGCAAAGACGTCTTTCAACATCGGAAGAGAGAGCGGATCATCCTGTGGAAGAAATTTGCTAATTATATGATTGCTTACGGCCGGGATGAGATACCAGCCCAAGAAGACGAGGAGGAGTCCACAATGTCCCCAGGACAAAGAGGCACGCCCGCGGAGCTCGTGACCTTTTATCAGAGGTTCGGAGATGTCGGGTGCTGGGTGTTTTGCGACGGACACCTCCAGGTAGGACGGCCCCTAAACATGATCCCTGGCTATGTTTGACGAGATGCTAACAGAGTCCTTCTTGTGTAGTTCAACTTTCCCGATCACACCAAGATTGTTCTTGACGCAACAGGAACATGGTGCCACTTCTGGCATCTCCCTCAGGAGGCGGCGGAGAGGCTCGCCAGCACGGGTTCGATAGGTGCCACCGCGCTAGACGACCGCGCCACGCTCTCCTACCCACTGCAGACGTTGCTCAACTTCCAGACGAGATCGTCGGCGCGAGCCTCGACTACGGCATCGAGGAGGCGGCCCGAAATCGACCCGGAGATCCAAGGCATCCCTGCAGCGAACGACTTCCGCCGAAAGGTCGAGTTCATCAAGAACGTCGTCAAGGAGTGGGTTTCCAACGGCGGCCTCGGCAACAGCTCGATGGAGAGGGAATCTCGCCTGAGATGGACCGGATACCGAGAGACGGTGCACGCAACGGCCCCCCAGAAGCACGTCTGGGTCACTATCGGTGCCCGCTGGGGCGACCAGCGCATATCAACACTAGTCGACCCATGCAAACCCTGGGAGCTAGGCGAAGAAGTGGAGAATTCAAAGAAATGAATCTACCGCGGTGACCTAGGTTATGATGAAGCAGGCCGGGGCAAATGGATTAAGCCCCTTGCTTCCTTTTTGTTTACAACTCGGCATCATCAAAGGGAGAGAGAGGGAGGGCAGGGAGGGAGCAAGGCCATTATGAATAAAGCATTGTCTTCAAGTATTCAGGAGGTCTGGTTGGCCTCGATTCGCTTTCTCTTCTCTCTTTTACTTGTTCATGAGCATAAGCCGGCATTGAACGGCGTCGACGGACTTGGTCTATTGAGGGTTGTGTTTTTTTTTTTTTTCTCCTCTTTTTGCGTTGATGTTTTTTTGGAGGGGAGAATGCTGGCGTTAAAGGGGGAGGGTTGGAAGGACGGGACGGTTGGTTCAGTGTCGTTGGTAGAGCCATTATGGCTTCCCGGTTTTGTTTCCTTTGCTTTTTCTTTACTCGGAATGGATAAATAAGACTTGGTGCATGGTTTCGTAGACTGTTGGTTCAACGCTTGTTCTTGTGATGAGAATCATATCAAAGTGTTTCCTTGTAATGATGTACTTTTACATTAAGAAGAAATGTGCATTATTGCTAAAGGCTCATCTAATGATACATGCATAACATAATGAATGGAAAACCCAGCGGACATCACATCACCGTAGACATATAACCAAAGGCTACCTTATGTTATGTACAAGACAAATCTCATCATCCATCAGCCGACAAGCCACATCACGCTTCATACATCAGAAAGATAAAAGAAGAAAAAAACACACAAACTGATGCCATTCATCACATCTCCCGTCTCATATCTAATCAATTCATATTACCTCCTCTAAGCGGGTGATATCCGCCATTCGTGTTAGCCATCATCAGTCATCCACCTCCCCCCACCAGGAGGTTTGACGCAAGAAATAGAGAGAAAAAAAAAAGAGGAAGAAAATAGATAGGTTAAAGGAGTACAAAGAAACAGAATACACAGGATACAGACGACCAAAACGACCTCGCTCTCAAGCATATGCCAGGATGAACAAGACTCTGCTGTACTAAATACGCATATGTTGCACATATGTATTCCATTATTGTTTTCCGAGAAATTAACATAGAAACAGGGTAAAAGGGGGAGGTACAATATTATTAGGGTGTCACATCATCATACTATGCCCACAGCGGCGTCAATCAAGCGTCAGAGAGATACTCCTCGCTGTGATGCCCAGGAGGGGGCATGGCCCAGCTGTTGGTGCTGCCACCAACAACATTCTCCCTCGATCCCCAGTAGCCGCTCTTTGCTCGCTTTTCGCGCTCGAATTCGGCCCATCTCTTCATCGTAATCTTGCTGCTGTCAAACTCTCCCTTGCTCTCGTCGTGGCCGCCCTTGCCCTTGTCGCCATCCGTCTTGCGGGTTTCACCCCACGAGAAGTCGTCAAACTTCCAGAAGGCGTAGGCCGGCAAGACAAAGTTCCACACGGGAAGAGACACGAGATAGATGAACATCCAGACGACATAAGACCAAGAGTGCGCGGTGACGATGATGAGAACACCGGGAAGACCGAGAATGAGACCGAGGAGCACGAGCGGGATAATCTGCGGTGGCTGGTGGATAATCGATGTGATGACTATAAGATCGCGTTAGGTCAGTGGCTGCAATGACTACCAATTTGGGAAACACCTGGTCTCATAGATAGACCTCTCATGTGATACTTACCGACATAGAAGGTGAAGGCGATGGCGGCGGGAAGCACAAGTGTACCAATGAGTTCGACGAAGACGACAAACTGCATACTGAAACAGAACGTGCCACAGAGATCGCGGACCAGCACCAATTCCATCAGGTTGTGAATGGTCGAGTTGATCCAGCGACGCCGCTGAGAGAGCAGAACCATGAACTCGTCCGGGACCGTGGTCTTGCAGACAGCCTGGGGAACAAAGACCTGCTTTCTCTTGGGGAAGGTTCGCAACATGAGCGTGGTCAGGTAACGATCCTCTCCAAGCAGATACAGGTTCTTCTCGTGAAGAGTCTCAACCACGTTCTCGGAATAGTGCTCCACAATGTCGGGGTTGGCCAGAATGGGCACCCAGTAGTTTTGTCCTCCCTTGGGCGCCTTGATGCGGTACATGCAGAAACAGCCGGGCAAGCAGGTGACACCACCAAAGACCGACTCGAACGACTTGGCGAGATGGTGAGAGATGAAGTATTCAAAGACCTGAATGGCCGACACCCAGCTGGCTCGTTTGTTGGCGATCTTGGTCTCGCCGCAGAGGCCCATGATATCCGGATCCTTGACCATAGCAGACACCATGTGCGTTAGACTGTCGGGGAACACCTTTGTATCGGCGTCTACCATGAGAAGAATTTCGTAATAATCGGGAGATATACCAGTGACCTTCCACAATCCGTTGAACATTTCGTACTCGAGCTCCGTCATTCGCTCGTCGAACATGACCTTTTGGAGAAACGACATGAGGATAATTTGACTGTCACGCTTGCCTCGGTTGCCGGGCTTGGATGCCTTTTCTTCGTCAGGGGTACCACACTTGACAATGGTGATCATGGGCACACGCTGCTGCTTGTCGGCTGGAATTCGCGACGATGACCCATAGTCGTAGAAGCCGCAGTATACCTTGGCCATGTTGTGTCGCTTCGATCCGCTCGCCACGGCGACGTACGAGTAAGGCTTCACAAGCTCGCGGGGAATGGACAGATCCTTCATCATACTCAAGCAGACATCCGGAGTAGACACTGTTTCGCCCGCACCTTTGATGATGCCGTCACAAATGACAACAATGACCTTGTGGCTGTTTGGGTAATCCGTCGTGGCAATAGAGTCCAGGGTGGTTCGGATACCTTCCGCGCCCTCAGAGTAGGCCGTGACCAAGCACATGGTGTGAGCCAGAGGGAAGCCAAAGGGCATCCAGTCCGAAGGGGGCTGGGGCACGACGGCTTCGTGAATGAAGCCAGCTGGACCGGGCCCCTCGGAAATGGGGCCAGAGCCGTACGGGTCGGATCGAAGGAAGCTCGCGCGGCTGTCGTTGCTCTGCTTATACATGGGAGTCGGCGGATACAGAGTGCTGGAGCCGCCTTGACTGGCCATCGTAGTGGGTACACGGCGGGACGAGGAGCTTCGATCGGGACCATATACACCAGAAAAGCGAGAGGTGGTGGGGAGGAAAGAAGATGTTCGTTTGCTCCTTTCCGAGGTCACGACAGTGCTGCCGTCGCCGGGGAGCCTGACGGGAGCACGGTAAATGTCCTCTGACCAATCCTCAATCTGGCGATTACGCTTTCTTCGGTCGGAGCTCTGCGACGTCTTGGCGGCAGCATAGTTGCGGCTAATGAACCATTGGAAGATGAGAGCCAGAGCAAATCTGGCTCCGACGACAGAAAGAATCAGGATGAGGGCGCAGTAGAGAACGACCTTGGAGGCAATGCAGCCAACAGTCTCGGTGTCGATGGAGCCAACCTTGATGATGTCCTGGAAGCACTGCATATTCTTCTTGTCGGCCGATGACTGGAACATTCGCGTCACATCGCGACCCCGGATCGCCTTGTTCACGTCGGAGTTTGTATCTCGCAGTTCCTTGAAACGGTCAGGGATCTGCACCTGGCTTTCATTGAACCAGTTGAGCAGATTGAGATCCAGAACGCTGCCGGAGTAAGCAATGAGGTTGCGAGAGCTGTTCTTGATGTCGTCCCAAGTAAAATACACATCAGCCGTGCCGCGAAGGTCGACATAGAAGGCATTTCGAGCATTGGCCGAGGTGTGGCATGCATAACCAAGGTAGTACGGAATCGTCAAGTTGGGCTCCGAAGAGCCGTCTTGGTTGAAGGTTGTGCACGGGAAATACCACGCCAGATCGCCAGAGGGGTCGGTCGGAACGTCGGAGCCCTCGGCGAGGGTGATGAGACCCTTGCAGTTGCCATTGACGTTCTGGAAGAGAAAGCTGCCATCCTCGCCGGAGTGCTTCTGGGGAAGATCGAACAAGACGTTAGCACCGAGGCCGTCCTGCCTCAGGGGGATGCCCTCGGCAACGGGGTGGTGGGAATTGGACAAGTCGTAGGCCACGCCGTGGAAGATCATGTAGCCGCCAGAGACCTCGTTCACGCGCAATCGAACTGGGGGAGCGCTGCAAACCGCAGCGGTGAAGCCAAACGTCAAAAACCCGACAATGGCCATGATGGCCAGGATGATGCTGATCAATCCCATCTTTTCTCTCCACGCCCGACGCTGGGCTCTTGTCGGTTTGCAGCATCCGAGGATAAAATCAGGGCACCAGAAAGTCACAATGGCGCAGTAGACGTTCCAGAAGCTAGGCGGCCGCAGCTCTTCGATAGGCTTGCTCTTGCGCTTTGAGGATCGTCTGCTATTCTCCTTTGTGATCTTGCCAGACTTTCGGCGCTGCGAGGTCTTGACTGCGGCGCCGGACTTTTCGTGGTCGCCGCTGGCGGTGCGGCTGCGGGACGGGCGCGGAGTCTCGTCGGTGATGCTTTCACTGTTGGCCGATCGCTCAGTCGATCCAGCCAAGTTCTCCAACAAGGGGTCATTTCCGGTTGACGAGGGCAGAACGTTCATGTTCGCCGCATGGCGATGATAATGGTAGTTTCTGTGGTCCTTGTCGATGCGGTTCCTCTCGGGCCTGATGAGACTCCGCTTGCGGGTGAAGGTAGGGTCGGGAGTTCTCGACGAGGCATGTTGCTCCGTGGGTGACAGAGGCATACTCTCTGTATTCACATTAGAGTTCGAAATAGTCTCTGCGTACGAGGAGACGGATTTCCCACGAGAATGCTGACCGGGAACTGACGACTCGTACGTGCCGGTTTCGATGTCCATAGGTCGCGGGCGTCGCGATGCCGGCGGGCTTCGATAGCTGGTTCGGCGATCGTAGCTGGGGCTCGCCCCGGGCCTCTCAGGCAGAGACATGGCGCTTATAAAAAGGATGTCAGCGACAAAGCGTCCTGTTGCTGCGGCAGGATGGCCCTCGGAAACAGCATTCCAAAGCGACACACAGGCAGAGGGCCGCCCTTGCGCTGCAGGCAACGAGGCAGTGGCCAAAGCCCAAGGAACAAGAAGGGAACGAGCAAACGCGAATGGGAGGGAGACGCTCGGCCTGCCACTGTGGTGCTCCAGGTCCCTTCTTGCAGTGAAGCTCGCAACGATGAGGGTTTGAGAGGGGAGCAGCAGTGAAGCGACGACAGGGGAAGGAAATAAACACAAAATGCTCACCCAATGCGAACAAACAATGCGCAGCCAATTGGCTTGCTCCTGGCTGTGTGGCGGGTTGTTTGGGAGACGGGCGAGCGTCGTTCAGCCTGCCAAAAAGAGAAACAGCGCTAAAAGAAGGCGTCGCAGGTGGGGAGGGAGAAATATGGAGGCCGTGACCACACAAGAACCAGCAGCCAAAGAGCGCCTGCTGTCTCAGCAGTCGTTGCAGCTCTGACAGGCCTAAGAAGCAGCTGGAGCTCAGCAGCCAAAGGTCAATTGATCCGGGCAGGCGACGGTTGGTCAGGCCAAGTCCAGCTTCCACCACGGCGGCCCACTCGCAACGAGCTTGCGCTGGCCGTTGAGAGCCGCTGAAGCAACTCGATCCTGAGCGATAGTCGGGCTGGGGGCCGAGGAGAAGCCCTTAGAGAGAATGAACAGAAATCGACCGCAGCAGGGAATGCAAAACGATCGATGGTTCCCCAGAGTACAACAAGCTCGGCGCTCAGACGAGAGGGTCAAGCGAGAGTAGGGGCGCTGGCAGCGAGCGACACGAGCCGGCGAAAACCGTTTCGGATAGAGGGAAATTTGGACAGGCGATGCGATGCGATGCGATGCGATGCGCTCCGCTCGCGACAGATGCAGGCGCGGCGAACGAGGCTCGCGCCGACTTTGCTGCTGTTGACGAAGGGGCAAACGCGCCGCGAGAACGAGAGTGAAGACGAGAGAAAACGACTGAACGAGAGACGAATGAGCGCGGCCTCGTCCCCAGCGCTCGCAGAGAGATGCGGTTGGGTTAGGGGGGAGAGTTTCGACCAGAGAGAACCAGAAAGAAAAAAAAGGCGAGTACCTGTACCTGTACCTATTCCTGTCCTCGAGCACGCGCGGGGGGGGGCAACTTGGGGCAGCATTTAGGCGGTGGTCTGCTAGGAGCCCGCTAGAAGCGCCGAGCCAGCGTTGGACGGCTTGGGTCGATACGACATCCATGGATGCGCCTGTCGATTGACCTCAGGTGCTTTGTGTGGGATCCAGACGGAGGGTACCTCGGACGTGCACCCGGCACGGTCATGCATGGCCCAGGAGTACCGCTCTGAAGCCCTGGCTTTGGCCTAAACGGGCGGTACAGGCGCAGTGCTTGGTACCTGCCCGTCTGGTCCAACCCGTCTCGCTCGCTTGGTTCCTGGACCGTGATTCCGTGCCCTCAGATGCTTTTTCCCTTCAGTGGAGAATTTGAGCAGCTGTCTTGTTGGTTGCGGGGCACTCTTTGGCGATTGGTTTGTTCTTCTTCCTGTTTCTCTTCTTGCCGTCCCTTTTTCCTGTAGGTTCTCATCGAGATTCAATGTTTCAAATGATCCATGCACGGGCGAGATTCTCCACAGGCGTAATATTAAAAGACAACCCCAGCCTGTTGATCTCCCAGTACATTTGTACTGTTCCAGTGAGTACCTACTATGTATGAATATCTAAGGTACCTAGGTAGGTAGAGATCCGATGGGTAACGGTAGCGGATGCTACACGCGCGTGTTCCTGGACTGCTGGGCGGGTTCCGTGTACTTTGGCCTTTCGTCTGGGAACCATTTTCAAGATGTTCCGTCTTGTTTGTATGAGTACATCAGTCAGCCGGCGACTGCTTGTATCAACTCCCCAACTGCTACCCGGGACCTCAAATGGTGTAGCAAGCCCTGGCATTGTCCACTCTGAACGCTGAGGTCCGACTTCCATCGTGAGATTGAAGCAATACGCGTACGATCATAAAGATATCCGGACATACATAGGTAGAGTAAGGTGGCCTTGAGACGTTGTCATGCCAAGTGCGGTTAACGTGGTGGCAGGCAGCCCCAATTGGCAAGAATGAGGTTTGCCAAACCATGCGCGCCTACCTAAAAGATCGGGTGACGCCACGCCCGCTGCTACACGAGCTGCCGCTGGTTGCTCTTGCCAAACTCTAAATTGCTGGTAGCGTGATGAAAGTGAGGTACGAGTTGCCTCGCGCTGGCTTACCTAGACGGTACAGGTGACCGAATGGAAGGTGCAGCTTTTGGACCTCGAGGCACTTGCCAGTCTAGGACCATTGGCCTTCGCCTGCACTTTGAGAGTCGGACTCGAAACTCCCTCCATGCAGAACTGCACTTCTCCACCATGCAGAATGCGAGACTTTTTATGTTGCAAGTCAAGGGCTTGAAGCTGGCCAGCAGCAGATTCGTCAAGGTCAGTTACTGCTACCCAAGCTGAGCATCTAGTTGTGGCGTCTCAGATGCTAGTCACCAGCCCACGACAAGATATTCGAACATGTCAACACCCAACGCCCAACCAGGCATATTCTGTGAGGTGGTCCAATCACCTGCACTCGCCAAGCCGCTGCAGAGATCGGAAGGGAATCATTGACGCGGGAATGTTTTCCGTGGACGAAGGATTATACCTTGGTCTAAGCTGCACTCTATCCCTATCCGTATCCTGACTTGGGGTAAGACGACCCAAAGCCCCATGAGAAAGCGCCGAGCTTACAGATCTCTCAACTAACAAGCGCTAGTAGGTCTTGCCATGCCGTGATTGGAGCAATCGATTCAACATCCCGTACAACCAATTTCATTACCTATGCGACAACTTCAAAAGCTTACTACGGCACCTATATCCCACTATCGGTATAGTAGCGGGCGGGCGGCTCAAAATCAGTGTTCAACTCGAAGTGCGTTCCTAACTGGCACTGGCATCACCAAGACCGATCGAACAAGTACCTTTGCTCACAGCCCGCGCGAGATACCTACTTGCAGGAACGCTCGTGTTGCCTCTGAACTCTAGCTGAGCACCCAGGCAGCAGCTCACGACAGCAGCCACCTGGAGCTCGAGTTCAAGGCCACTGACAGGCTCCAACAAACATCAGTCATTGTCATCTTGTGTCCTGCACATGGAAATTCCAGGCATCGACATGAGATGTTGACTGAAAACCCCTGACCGGCATAGCAGCTGGCGCACTGTCCGCCACTAAGCTAGGCTCGGCCAAGAGCGCTGCGAAACCGCTCGAGGCGAGCATCCTAATGCACTCACTTGCAACGAGCCTCGTCTCTTTATCGAACCCTGTCCATTTTGCCTTTATACCTACAATCTATTCTCGGTAGGCATTCTGATTATTATCGATTCACGTCCGGCATACACGACTGACCGAGGATTGGTCGCACAACGTGGCGCAACGGAAGCCGACACATGCAGTCCTAAGGAGCACCCCAACCAGAGCCCTTTCCCCCAAAACCGAATCCTCTACTACGAACTACGGCGACTCAGTACATACGGGAGCGCCTGCATCAGTACGAGTATGACGTTGTCGTGAGGGCTGGCTCCGCTTGACATTCTTTCCACTGGTGTCCGTCTCTGGACCGTGTGCTTGATGTAGCCCAGTCAGGCAGGGTGATGTGCAGCAAAACGGACCACAAAAAAAAACGACCCATTGATGGACGCTCTTATTCCGATGTGCTAGGATGAGGGAACGCCAAGACCTTTGCCCTGTCAAATACGAGGCCACTTGGTGGTCTGGCAAAAGGGGGCTCCGCCGAATCACGAGCACAGTGCAGGCATGCGTTCGGCAAGATCTGTTGCACCCTTTGCAGTGCTTCGCTCAGACCCTACCCCTGGCTCTATGATTCCCAAGCAGGACTCTTCCTTGACGCCAACATGAAGACTTTGAATCCCACATTACAAGGCCTCGTTCTGGCTGGTTGATCGCTGGCCGCTCTGTAAAGGGTAGAATGACTACTACCCAGGTACGAGGTCCCTCATGGCGACTAATACTTTACCACCAGGAAGAAGTCAAAGAAGCCATCAATGAATCTGAGATGCCGTTGCTTCATGCTTGAAGTGTTCGGAATGCTAAATGGATCCTGGAGCCTTAGAAAATCAGCACTGCCCGTCCCCAAGGCGAGTTACGTCCAGTGAGCGGTAACACGCCCACTTGCTTGCTGGAGGACTCGCACGGGAGATGTGCATGAAGGGGACGGCTGGATATGCCCATGTGACCAGAGGGCATTCCACCATCCGCACCGATTATGAGAAAATTGCCGCCATTGGCTTCGGTTCGCTGGAACAGAAGGAAAACAAAAGTCCTCCTGACACGAAGCATTACATACAACCAACCTAGTTTGAGGATAAATCAGGTTTTTCCAAAGACAAGTGCCTCACAAATTATGAGGTACCTGCCAGTAAAGCCCAGTATCGCCAAATGGCGGCTGGATCCCTCTACACACTGCGATTATCTCCACGCACTTTCTACGGAGGACCTGGCTTGATAGATTGCAGTGTGCAGGCAAAGAGAGCCTCACCACTGCGCGCTCGGCAGAGTGCTGCAGTGGAAAGAGCTTGACCACCAGTAAGGCGCCTTCGCAACACGGGCAGAACTGACAGGTCATCGGCTGAGCTCTCACTCGGGCAGTACGAAACGCCGACAGCATGCGTCCGTTCCAGAAGAAGCAAACTCGCTCTCCAAGCAGGCTGCATGCGCACCCACCCAAAAGGAAGCATCTCCACAAGATGCTGCGTGCTGTCGAGAGCTGGCGCCAAGCGGGTAAATCGCAGTGAGAGGCGCACTACTATTGCGATGGCGCCTTGGGATTGCAAGCCATATGGCGGATGCCGAGGGGATTCGTCTGAATCGGGGTTGCCGTGTTGCCATTTTGTCCAGATTCGTTCACAGGGCGGCTTGATAGAAGAAGGTGGTCCTCTAGCAGGATTTCGGACGGGAAACCAAGATGCGGGTGGCAGTCCTTCCCTTGGCGGCGATCCATTATGTTGCCTGGAACCTCTTGTTTTCCACCAACGACTATTCCTGATATACTTCGGATAACCCAATCAACAGTCGACCTCAGGGATCTCACTTGGCCGATCAAGGGCTCTCTCAACGAACCAGGAGGTGCCACCATTTTCTGGATGTTCCATGCCATATCTACGAGATCTGAGCCTTAGGAGCAGAGGAGTACATACACGAGGGCTAAAAAAAGAACTGAAAGAGGGGACACTTGAGAATGAAATCAACAACGAAAAGAAAAGAAAAACTCGACAAATGCAGGGACCCAGAGATGATCCATTGGGGAAAGTGGGCATACATGGGGGGAACTTCGACTGCTTTGCGCTTAGCAGATGCAGGTGGTGAAGAAGTAGCAATGCTTCCAGAGGACTCTGTGGCCGGTACGGACAGCGGCAGATCTCCGCCGCAAAGGGGAGGTAATACGGATCAGTGGGCGAGGCCTTGGTCTGTACGAGGTTTGGCAGTGTCGGATGACCAGCAAGCCTTGGATACGACGCGGCAGGATGCCACTACTAGTATGTTGATGCTATGTCATGTTGCGGAAAAGGGGGGGCGCCCATTTCTGATGTGATGCATCCTGGAAGACGAAAATTGGCAGCGTCTTGCCGTATGTACATGCGAGGGCACACAAACGGTGCGCGAAAGTACATGCGAAGCCCTGATATGCTCCCTTGAGCGGCACCGAACTTGCAGGCATCGGTTGAACGCCATGGCGGGACGGGGTTCCGGAGTTTGAGCGTGGCTGTAGCCCGCTGCTCCAACCTGAGGCGCAGAACGTCGTGTTTCTCAGATCCAGCGACCTGGCACCGCGAAGCCGGCGTCCCGCGCCAAGAGAGCAATTGACTGGCGGTGGACCGCATTGCGTATCACGTCCTCATTCTCGTACTTGGGGCCGCGGCCACGGAGCATGCCGCTCTTGTACGAGTACAGGTGGCTCGCACGCAATAGTATGGGTACCATCATGGGTAGGTACCTACCTACCTATGCGTATTACAAGTGCTCGTGCTGGGACGTTGCATGACGGGGTCGGCAAGAAAAGGTTACGAGCCCAGGGTCTCGGGGTCTGCGTCAGACGTGCATGCGTCGACCAAGGCTGTACGAAGTTGTATTACTCGTACTTGTACTTGGTAGGAAGGGTCTGGTTGGAATGCCCGCACCAGGCAACGCGTGTGAGTGCGGCGCCTTTGATGTACGAGTGTCCGCTGCAGCCGCGACTCGGCGATGGATTAACGGCTTCACTCCGTCAGCGGTTGAGTCGAAAGCGTTTCGACATCTCCGAGCTCGTCTGCGCCCCCGCTGCTTGATCGTCCTCGAGGCCAGATGTGGACTCATCGCCATGGGGCCTGCTTGGCATTGACGCAAGAGCCTGCTTTGGCGCTGCGGCTGTGAGTCGGGGCTGATGTGCAAGTTGAAGCTAGAGGCCCGTCTGAGAAGGCATGGAGACTTCGCTAGCTGCTTAGTTGAAGCCTAACAGCACGGCCGGACAGTCGACGCCATCGGTAGGATCTTTGGTGTTTCGAGCACATATGCAAGACCGATATTTCGCTCCCCTCTTGCGAGAGGGGCCACGTATCAAGGGGCATTGGGACGCAGCCCAGCCAAGGCTCAATCGCGCTCAGCTGGAGGCTCTACTGCCTCTCCGACCGCCGCCTGTCCGTTCGACTGAGGCTCTTTGTCCCGGTGTTCGCCCTGCCCACTACGGAGTATGTGACTCGGCGCTTCTGTTTCCCCTCGTCTTGCCTAGCGGGATGGTGAGGCTCTCTGCTCAGGACAACCCCACCGCTCTAGCATTCAGCTTTGCTGGATGGAAGCAGTAGCACGGAGCTTATAGGCAGCCGGAGCCGCTGCGGCAGCCCTTGGAGCTGAACTCGAGTCAATGGCGTGCGTCGGCAAGCCTTTGTCTGTCATCTTGCTGCCCCTTGGACTACTAATTATCCTTCAATATCACCGGCCTCGGTGCCTGGCTCTAAGGCAAGGTTAAAAAGCAACAGGCTAGCCCAATTGCTGCTGTGAGGGAATGGTGGCAGCCCTTTGAAGGTCGACGACGACTGGCCCGTTGCTGAAAGACGGCCAACGAGCCCACCACCACCACCACCACCTACCTACCGAGACCACCAATCCTCAACGGCCGCCCACCGAATCTCACTGAATCGCCCGCTGGCCGAATTCAAATTGAGGTCCATTTATTGACGACCTTTCTCGGTTGAGATCTGACGTGTGGCACGCACTCGTGCTGGGTACCTTGCCGGTAAGAGAAACACGACGACGCATTAAACCCTTTCCGAGATGCGGTTGTGCAAGCCCGAATCTGGAGGCGCTGAACCTTGCCCACACCCCGTATTGCCCGCCAAACTCTACTCCATCCCTTATTCCCGCTCCATACAGTAATACTGTATTTCGCGCCACCGCAAGCCGTCAAGGATGGATGGGTGCTGATGGATGCTAACGCCAACCAACCAATAGGTCCAGTACCTGCCAGACTACCTATACCTGAGCCGCAGCAGATTCCAGATTCCTGTTGTGGTGGCTGCTCGCAGGATCATTGCTAGTAACTCCTGTGGAAGGGGTCCCTTTGAAGAGGAAACACTGCAGGTAAAGAAAGAGGTGCTGTTACTCGACAGATGCGAGTCTCTCTGCCTGTCCGGGCGCAGTATCACAGAATCGACTGACGTTTGATGGAATTGCAAAGCACCCGACTGGAAACTTCGAACAGCACGAGCGTGGAGTACAGGCACCTTCAATTACAGCGCGCTCCAGCCTGCTCGACACCCACAAGGTACCCGCTAGCCGGCGACCTGTAACCTGCCTGGGCGGCTCCCGTGCTCTAATAACACAGGGCAGCAAGGTACCAGGACATTGTTACATGTACTACTTGGCTGCTTGAGTGCTTGCACCCTCGCTGAGCCGTACGTACATACAGTAGCGCTCCCTCCACTTTAACTCATTTGGTAGGTACCGGGACCTGGGCCTTGTCTTTGCCTGTCTCGGGCTGTGGAATTTTCCCTCCTTCGCTGAATATCGCTGGCCCTCCCCCAACCCGTCTGGCAGCCGCTTCTCCTCCTCCTCCACCCCCAGCCAGCCAAACCTCCAGCTTTCCGCGAGCTGCTGCTGCCGGGCCAGTTATTACTCCCACCACCACCATTCACTCGCTGATTCTCCTTGCCTTCTAGCCTTTGCGCGCGCCCTTTTCCTCTCGTTCCGGTGCAGCTTCGTCGCCGCAGCCCTCACCAGTCGCTCGCTTTGTCCGCTGCGTCTTCCTACCTAGACGCCGCACCACCGACTCAAGAAATCGCAGGCTTCGGCGCGCAAGAGAACTGCGGTCGACACCGACAACGCACCGGCTGCCTTGAGGGGAGAAAATATTGTATAATATCATTATTCCCCCCCCCATACGACCAAGAAAAACAGAGCAGAAAAGAACAAGGACAGAGACAAGTCGCAGCGCCAGCGGCCTTGCTCTCGCATTCGTTCCCGGATTCGCCAGCAACCGGCGGTCCTTTCGCGGCAGCCTCTCCACGGCTTGACGCACTTGATTGCTACAGAGCTCTTTCTTTCGCTTGTGCTCCTGACACCTTCGGACGTCCAGGAACCGACGAGCTTTTCAGAACGTGAACGGCCCGCCCGCCACCATCATGGCCGCAGTTACTGCCTCGCCGCCACCAGCTGTAGCTTCTCCAGGCTCGCCCAGCCCGCGAAACTCTGTTGTTATACCCCAGCCCCTGTCGCCGCCGAGGAAGCCTGTCGCAGGAACTGTGCGCAAGCCTGTTTCATCGGCAGCGGCACTTTCTGAAGTAGCAGCAGCAGCAGCAGCAGCGCCGTCGCCGAAGGATGCCCCGGTAACGTCTGACAAGGCGCATTCGCGGCTGGATAGCTGGAGCAAGCCGCTCGATCTGAGCCTCAACCTGAGTCTCGACGATGCACCTCAGGAGCCGCGGATTGGACTTGGCTCGAACCAGCAAAGGCCACAGGAACAGGAGCCTTACGCGGAGCTGTTGAGCAGTCCTGCCTCCGGTGGTCTGGACTTGCAGCTTCCGTTCATCGAGACCTCAAAGCAGGAGTCATCCAAGGATGGCATATCTAGTCCCGCGGCCGAGAAGGCCTATCCTACACCTGACCGTGCTCCCCCGCCCGCTCCGATTGCCAAGGTGGCTGACAAGACCGATTTGACTGCTGCCGGCTCTCGGGTTTCGTTGGGTAAAGATGATGTCTCCAGAAACAGCCGCGAGTCCGATGAGGCGACAAATACCTCGCAAGAGCCCATTTCGTTCAAGTCTTCGGCAACGACGAGCGCGAGCTCGCTATCAGGCATCAACGAGGGACCCGAATACCTGCCCGATGAGGACTCTCCCGGGAGCTCGATTATCGAGGGAAACTTGCCTCGAGGCCAATCGTTGCAGCACCTCCAGAACCGCAGGCAAGACTATCCACAACGCGTATCGAGTGTGCCAATTGACGGCATTCGCGCTCCGTCCAACCCGGAGCTGGTGGACAGCGCAGGCAATATCAGGCGCCACCTGACTCCCATGTCCAACAACATGAGCAGAAGCTCCCTGCCGCGCCCTCAGTCTGCGTACTCGGTCGTCTCCGATGTACAGCGAGGCCGCTCTCCTGGCTTGATGCCTGGCAACTCGCACATGCGCGCCCCCTCGGTGCAGTCGCGAAAATCGCCCGATGTCCGCCAATCAACATACGCCGAGCTTCTCAACACGCCTTATCCCCAACAGGCGCCCCCTCCCATCACGCTGGACAATTCGGGACTTCGAAATGTGGTGGGCAACAACGCTTCGCTGCTTAGTGTCCAGAAGACGCTCGAGATGTACCGCCAGAACGTCAAGAAGACGAATGACTTTGCGGTTCAATATTCTTTTGCCGTCTTTCTCATCTCTGTGGCCCAGGAGCAAGGCCTCGACTTTTCGGACCCGAAAGGGCGCAAGCACAACCCGCAGCCGTTCCGCGACCTGGATAGCCCCGTTGTCGAGGCTACCGTGGCCAGCCCCTATGAGCTGGTCCGAGAGGCTCGACAGATTCTGCAACGGCTGGCCAGCGCAGGCTATCCGTTTGCGCAGTACTACCTGGCCGATGGCTTTGCCTCTGGCCTCTTCAACAAGGGCAAGGAAGACCACAACCAAGCCTTCCCTCTCTTTGTCCTTGCCGCCAAGCACGGCCATGCTGAGTCGGCATATCGAACTGCTCTCTGCTACGAGTTTGGCTGGGGTTGCCGGAAGGACCCTGCCAAGGCGGTTCAGTTCTTGCGCTCCGCTGCCTCCAAGAGACATCCGGGAGCCATGACCCGCCTTGGCAAGGCGTGCCTCTCCGGAGACTTGGGTGAAAAGCGATATCGCGAGGGCATCAAGTGGCTGAAGCTGGCTGCAGAGTCTGCTGACGCGCAGTACAACGCCGCCCCTTATCATCTGGGATGCCTGTACGAGACGGGCTATGGCGACGACATATTCCAAGACCTCAACTATGCGGCCGAGCTGTTCACGCAAGCCGCAGAGCTTGGACACCCCGAGGCCAACTTCCGCATGGGCGACGCTTACGAGCACGGGCGTCTCAACTGCCCCCGTGACCCAGCCCTCAGCGTTCACTTCTACACCGGCGCTGCCGAACGAGGACACGCCGCCGCCATGATGGGCCTGTGTGCCTGGTACATGGTTGGGGCTCCGCCCATACTGGAGAAGGACGAGGAAGAGGCGTATGAATGGGCTCGCCGAGCGGCCGATATGGGTAAGTTGGAGGCCTTGTGTTACGGACATGCACACTCTCTGCGTTGATTTGCGGCTGCTAATGGGAGAACACAGGCTATGTCAAGGCTCAGTACGCCGTCGGTTACTTTACGGAAATGGGCATCGGATGCAGACGAGACATCCTCGAGGCCAATGTTTGGTACGTCAAGGCCGCAGATGCTGGGGACGAGAGAGCCAAGCAGCGGCTGGCCATCATCCAGGCAGCCGTCAGCGGCCAAGGGACTCCCATGGAGGTTGCCGCTCCCCGAAGCGGCAAGCTGGCGAAGGGAAGCAAAGATGACAAGGACTGCGTTGTCATGTGAGGAGTGAACATGAGAGTTGGAGAGGCAGAAGAAGAAGACCCATTATACCACACGCGAACGAAGATTTGGGGGGGAAACGACATGACATGAACAAAAAGAGCAAAACCATACGAATACTACCCATTAGCGAGCTCGGATACTTTCCCCCCGACGGCTTCCTTTTCCTTTGGATATCTTAGAGACGGAGTCGTCTCTCACAATCTCTCCCTGATAATGTTTCCGGCCATTCGAGTCTTTTGCATACCGGCATTTACTTTTACCTGATAATCACCAGTGTGGCTACCTCAACGACGTTTATGCCAAGTTTTCCTTTTTGGTCTACATGCTTTCTGGATCGCATACCCACTTTGCTGCTATTTTCTGGATCGGGCCGTCTAGAACACGCGAGTTGGAGCGAAGGAGGTGAGACGAACGAGTCTCAGAGGGAGGCACAGAAGGGGAGAAGGAGAGGGATGGAGTGGGAGCAGGACGGATCTCCATTTGGAGGTCATGCCCCCCCTCTTAACAAAAATTAGCCTGGCCAAGAGGGAAGAAGGAACAAAACAAAACAAAATAAGGGCTGATACAGCAGGCATTGTTACAGTTGACTGAATTATTTCTTTTCTTGGGCTTATATACGAGGAAGACGAGACAAGGGTAGGACGAGGAAACACCCGGTCGTCTCTGATTAATGTCTTGTACTTTTTTCTTGTCTCTTTTTCTTTTCTTTTCTTTCCTTTTCTTATTTGCTGTCATCGTCTCTCCCTTTGATATATCTTGCCTCTTATTCTTTTTCTTTTTCAGGGCGGCGTCTGGGGAGTTGCATTTGGGTAGGATAATTTGCTGTTGACTACCTACTGCTGCCGTTTTTTTGTTTGGCACCTTATGTTAGATGAATTAAGCAAGCAGAAGCAGAAGCAGAGCAGAGCAAAGCATAAATACATAATCGAGGCGGATTTGCATTCCCATCTTGCCTTGAGCCAAAGTCATATCTGTGACGATATGGGTGCACACATCCATCTACCTACCTATGCACCGTTAGAATGCTGGTCTTTTCCATGCCGGATCTTACCTTTTCTTTTGAGCCCTGGCTGGGGATAATATCCCTGAGGTGAGGTACATTGCTTTGTCGCCCTTTGTAGTAGAGACTTTGGTGAAAACCGCCATGAAGCTTGCATTCATGCATTGGTATCACAGCGTAAAAGGCCTCCTACCTAGATACTCATCCCACCGAGACCTGAACTATAATGAAGAATCACCACTCGCCAAGCATTCTCCAAGGGTATCACAACAAGTGCCACACGCCCTGTCAAATGGGGTTGGCTGAGAAAATGATGGGCACCGCAGAGAATGCATAAAGTGTCCTGCATGGCGAGAACATCATGGGATCAGAAGACTCTGCAGTACAACATACATATGCCCGCTCGTTCTGTCTTTGAGTCGTACAGATGGAGAAAGAGGAGTGAGAGCACAGACAAAAGAGAGGGTGACGCTGGCGCCACTCCAACTGTGGACTGCCTTTGTGATTTTGTTGCGGGCGAGGACTGAGGGAGGACAGGACATTGGCGTGGTCGTGTGGGATGGCATATTATCTTGCGAGGCTGGTCCAACCTACAAGATTATGCGTTTATGGCAGTGCATTTGCGTTCAAAAGTTCACAAACGAATGTTTGGTGCTGACATGAGAGGTCTCGCAAACATGTCTGCAATGACACGGATCGGGACTCCCCGAGCGTCACACACCGGACTTCATCCTCCGATGACTTCCCGTCAGTCAGATGACGGCATTTTTTCCCGTCTGTGTACGGTCGAGGGCAGGGCTTAGCATGCGGGGTGAGGGCCGTTGTGTGTCTGTGAAACGGTGAAACGAAACCAGGCATCACGGACCAGCTCGTCCGTGTTGGACCACATCAAAGTTCAAAGCGCTCCAGCCTCATTGGTGCCGTAGAGTGCTACGAGTATCAGCTACTCGAGACCAGGCTGCAGTTGGCGCTGTAAACTCAAGATTTTTGCAGCTTTTGTCTGGCAGACGTTATCGTACGTAGCAGTTAATCAACGACATGTGTCGTCACTGGAGCGCCTCGATTGGACGGACCACGAGACGGGAGTGCCTGGCAGAACAGCATGTGGGCTGGATTGAACCTGCGTCGATAACAGATTGCGACTGTAAAACGGCTGGACCGGCGACTTACGCCTTGACACGTGCGGGTTGTGCAGCTGGACCCCCTGCAAGCTCCACCAAAGATGAGACCATCATGGGTCCATCTCATGGCTGTTGAAGGAAGCCCGAGACCCATCTTCAGAGTCCAATGTTTCCTGTGTGGACTTTGTAGGGGCTTTGGATCATGGCAATGGCGCGAGAAGGGCTGAATGCGCCGGGAGAAGCCATGTCATCATGGACAGTCTCGGGAATCCTTGCAAGCCACAGCCGTTTCATCGAGAGGCTTCCATGACATGCAGGTCGACCAACGCCTCAGGGTCCCCCTTGACATGCGAACCGGCGGCCGTGGCTGCAAGCTCTTTAAGCGGAATATGACGAACAAGGGGGGGCTGGTCGCCCAGTCCACAGAGCTGCGAGGCATCATTGGCCTGAGCCTCTAAGGCTGCGTCATTAACAGGGCGCGTGCGAGCGCGTCAGACACGCGTCGAGGCGCGTTTCCATTGTCAGCAGATCATGGCAGCGGCGGGTATATCGATAGCTAGCTTCTTGGTGTGCGGCAATTCCTGACTGGTGAGCGGAGAGGGGGCCCGACTTTCGATGCCTTTCGATGAAGCCATCAGGCAGTCGAGTTGGTGTGTAGAAGACATGGACAAGGCGGTTCCTGCAGCGTCAATTTTTGAGCTGTAATACAACGATTGCCGAGTGCGAGCGGCCTTCTTAAGACACAATGGCAAGCGGTTACCAGACTGGAACTGTCCAAGCTGCTGCCCCGTATGTAGTAGTATAAGATAGAGCAGAGGATAATCGGGTACAGGCAGCTTGAGCATCATAAAGCAGACCCCTGAGCAAGAGCTGGCGAGAAATGGGTGTCGCCCAAGGCAATAGTGGCCAGCTATTGACTGCAGAAGGAGAGCCAGTCGCCCTCCCTTCGGCCTGTCAGCTCGGCATGTGCTCGTCATTCTGAGCCACTTGCATGCAGGCAAGACAAACAGGCGAGTCTCCCAGGGAGATTCTGCGACCGAGACTTCGACAGCCAACCCAACACAGCTAGCAACGGCCAAGCCTTGGTCAGCTAAAACGAGGTGTCAAGATGGGAAGGGGGAAGAGAGATCGAGATGAAGAGGCCTGCACTCCTCACAAGGGTTCTCGGGCTCTTCGGCCTGACTGTCGTTATCCTAGGGCAGGGCGAGCATTTCCAATGTTGAGGGAGACGCTGACCTCATTGATGACGCTGCCGATGTCGTGCCCATCTGTGTCTTGAGGGACAATCGGGACCATCAAAGCGGTCATCACCATACAGTACGAGCAGCCAACCGGGATACATGGGGAAGAGCAAGCGAAGAAGAAGATGGAAGAAGAAGAAGAAGAAGAACATGATCTGTCAGCGACGCATCCTGCCGGAACCTGGCCCGGGAATCTGCATGATTCCTCCGAAAGAGCTGGGCAATCCCAACGGGCGTAGGGGCGTTGGATGGCCGTGTGTTGTAACTGCAATGGTGTATATCTCCTCTGGGCAAGACTGTCGAATCGTCATTGGGCAAGCGGCCGATCTCAATTCATCAGTCCAGCCCATGTCCTGGGCAATTTTGGTCTGCTGGCACCGCTGCATGTCCCCTTTAACGTTGAGTGATGGGAAGAGGAGTGAGCTAACAAGGGCGAGCCGTGCCTCTTGGTCCGGTGGCACTAATAGTCATGCCACACACTTGACAGCTGTTAGGCTGTAGCTAGTGTGTGTGTGTGTGTGTGGAGAGAGAGAGAGAGATAGTAGATAGAGAGAGAGTAGAGGAGAGACAGAGCGTGCAAGTGCAAGTGGCCGAGACAAGCAAGACAAACGTGTCTTTGCTTGCATGAGGCGTAGCGGCTGTTGAAGAAAGGGGAAAGGAAAACGAGGAGGGAAAAAAGGCGCACGAGAGACAGAGAGAGGGACAGCAGCCCCCCTCAATGGACCAAAACTAGCACCTTTGGCTCACATCGACTTGCCTGCCTCCTCCTTTCTTGTCTCTCGCATGGCTCCTGTCCGCCAGGGCGTTGCCGTGAGACAGCGCTGAAGACGAATCCCCCGCAATGCTCTACATATGACGCCTTGACAGCCATCGACAGCTCGCCTCAACGAGACAAGCCCGGTAGGCTTGGCGAGGGAGAGGCTTAGAAGGGCCTCGACAGCGAGGGACAAGGCGAGACAACGAAGCGCAGAAGCGTGTCATGGAGAGGTGCTCGATGATGCGTCTGTCTGTGTTCTGCCATGCGGCGGCACAGTGTTGAAGCTGGAGCGAGGGCAGCGAACGAGGGTGGGATTCGTACTGTAAGCTCCGCTGTTGTGTTGCGCCAGGCGGATCGTGACCCTCATGGCCCTGCAGGGCGCGCGTAAAGTGCTTGCATGAGGACGCTTTTTAGGCTGGCTGGCTGAGTTGACTGAGTGGCCGAGTGACTGAAGCTGGGGCTGGCAAACGAGACAGACGAGGCTCGTGCGAGAGCAGAAACACGATGAGGCGGAAGCGAGTTCGCGGGGGAGGCGGTGCGGCTGAAAGCGTGATATCAGTAGGAAACCTGGGAGTCACAGAAGAAGAGGAAGCAGGTAGAGGCATCACGAAAGTCACGTCACGTCTGATTCGGCCCTTTGCGGATGACGAGACGCGCTGGATGTCCGCCGAAGGGAAGGATAAAAAGGACAAGAGGAGGAGGAGGAGGCAATCAGCCCTAGAGCAAGAGGAGAGAGAGAGCGCAGAACATTGACATCTCGGAAAAGAGGGCAATTTGGGCGGCTTGAGAGAAGTCGAGATGAGACAAGCTGGAAGACAAGCTCGAGGTACTACCGCCGCATCTGGACGCTGTGGGGCCACTCACCGGGGGAAGGTGCCTGACAGCGGACAGTGCACAGTGCCAATTGAGTCCGTGTCCCGGCGCAGCGACGACACTGTCTGTGTGCCTGTCTCTCCTTTGCGGGTTCTGTAGCTACCAAGTACCTAGACAGGTATCCCGGCTGTAGGCTGTCTTTGCGCAAGAGAGTCGCGTTTCACATGGCTTCCACGCATCCGGCTTGCGCAGGTACTGAGCATGCTCGCAGACAATACCCATACGGTACCTACCTGCTGCCCCCGACCTCATCACCTCGCCTTTTGCACCAGATCCAAGTGGCAGCCGCATCCGGCCACTGTACGACCGCACACTGTGCAGCGCATACTGAACCCACGAACCTGAACCCAATGCGCTGCCACCCCTGTTCCAGGGCAGCGAGCTGGCCTCGTTGAGGCTTCTCCCCCCCTGAGGAGAAGAAGACAGACAGAACCCCCTGTCTGCTGAAATATTGATGCCTTGAGCTCACTTGTTGCTTGACTTTGGTACAATCCCTTTTGCGTCCTCACATGGTACCTACACTTATTGCAGCCGTTTGTGAAAGTACCTAGTAGTACCTAGATATCTACGGACCTATTTTTTCGCTCTCCTCACCCTTTGACCCTTTCCCGCTGCCAGTGTCTCTAGTGCCTAAAGGGTCCAGACGGATGCCCTCTAGCCCTCCAGCACTCAAGCGCTAAACCACCCGCCTAATTCCACTTGCACAGGGCACCAGCGCCTTAGCTGCTCAGGCCCCCCCCTGCTCTGTCGCACCCATTATAGCCCATCATCCCCTCCCCCCCCAGGGCACCGCTCAGCGCTCATATTACCTTGCGCATCGCCCTCCCGCTTCCCGCATTTCCAAGTTTCTGCAACCGCATTCACAGCAACAACATCAACAACACTCTTTTGCAACAGATCCGCACGACTTGCGGCTGCTGACATCCGATCACGATCCATCAGTCTACCTATTCCACCCATACGAACACCGCCTCAGCGTCATTCACTTGCCTCCCGTCGCCTCTGCCACTCGACTTCTGCTTCTTGGCTTATTCGTACGCGCATCCAACCAAACAGCCCAAAAGTCGCGACAACAACCACAACCACAACCACAACCACATACCACATACCACAACCAAACCTCACTTGGAAATCGCTGCCCAGCGCCAACACGGAATTTCCATCGCCATTGAACACTCGAAACACCACCACCGAGACAAAAAAAACGCGCCTCGTCATACCCAACAACATGCTCCTCCCATCCGCCTTCTCCTGCGACGGCGGAGCGCAAGCCACGCCTCTGCCGCGATCCCAACCCGCCCGCTTCGCATCGCCGCCCACGAGCCCGCCGTCGCTGTCCGCGCAGTACTCCATCGACAACATCATGAACACCTGCCGCTCGCTCCAGTCCCTCATCTCCATGACCGCCGCCCCCGTCGACCACGGCGCACTCGCGCCCGCGCCCACCCTGACGCAGCTCCCCACGCCGCCGCTCGCGCACGCCCCGACGCCCATGAAGCTGCGGCTGCGAGCGCGCCCCGTCAGGACAGCCACCGCCACTGATGGTAAAGGCGACGAGACGCCCGCCGCGAGAAAGAGAATCGCCAGGCGCGCGCCCCCGCGAGGCGCCAACAAGCGCCGGCGCGCAGACAGCGACGACATGGGGCGCGACGACGACTACTCTTCCTCCTCCTCCTCCTCCTCCTTCTCATCCTCCTCTTCCGACATGGACACCGAGGCCGAGCTGGACGCCGAGACGCTGCGCAACATGCCCTCCTTTACGGTGCCGTCATCGTCGCCGCAAGCGCCGTCGACGCCCAAGCGCGCGCGCATCTCGCCCGAGCAGCTGCCCCTGGGCCTCGAGCGGTCCGACTTTCACACCGTGCACCTCCTCGAGGGCCGCTCGCTGCTGGACCAGAGCGCGCGCAAGCCCGGGACGGACGTGCAGGTCGAGGCGGACGGCGCCGAGTGGAGCGTCGAGGACGACCGCGTGCTGGTCGAGCTGGTGCTGGAGAAGCTCAAGCTGTCCAAGATGGAGTGGCAGGACTGCGCGCGCAGCCTGGGCAGGGACCGGCACAGCGTGAACCGGCGCTGGAAGAGCCTCGTCATGAACGGCGACATTGGCGTCAAGACGCGGAGTCGCCGGGCGAGGCTGCCTTCTAGCTGGCGGTGATGAGCGACCACATTTCGTCGCATTTACACAGTCTTTTTTCCTTCTTTCTTCTTTCATTCATTCTTATAATATCCCTTTTGTGTTTTATTTGTTTCGTGGGAAGGAAAAAGGGCGTCGACTTTTGTGATCAAGGCTAGCGGTGTATCATCATCTTATCATTACTGTGTCTGTCTGTCTTGTCCCGTCTTTTTGGATACCTAACACCTATTTTCCTTTGTCCTGGTTTTACCTTTCAAACCAACTGACCAGCTCTTGTACCAACATCACCACCACCCTATCTTACATCCTGTCAATCTCGGTTCTACCATGTACTACATTACCTGTTCACCATAACAGCGCATTATTTGAGGGGGGAAACAACTTGGCGTCGAGGGGGAAAGCTCAAGGCCACTGGGAGGGAAAGGCAATCAGTGCCATCCGATACTATATGTACGCTGTCGAAAGTCTTTCTTCTTCTCCAAAATCCTTCTTCACATCTTGGATTTTTCTTTTACAACTTTCAACTTTGGCATCTTTGGATGTTTGGATGCCTTGCTTTGGGTATGAACTCTGGGATTATCATCACCAGTCGCGGCACTGCTATCTACTGCCTCAACCCACTACTTATTATCTATTACTACGATACCAATCTGAGTTTATCTTGATACAAGCTGGAACAGCATAATAAAAACTACTGTCAAATCACTATTCCTTCAGTATTGATTGATTAGAAGAAGTGTCTCCCCTCATGCGGCCATGATGTACGAATTCCCATCTCATCTCATCAGCACCCAACATCGAACAACCGCAACAAACCCTACCCAACCCCCTTTCCTTTCATTCATCTTGACAAAACTGTTGGGAGCACATGATACATCAAGTGATCAAAATTTAAAGACATGAAAAAAAAAAAAACAGCCACGTTCTTGTCTCAGCCTCTCCTCCCCTCACGACGTCGTCGTTGGTCCAAAACGTCGTCATCGATTTTTGCAGCAAAACCGTCTCAGACACACACTCTTTACAATTAGCCCCTCGTCTTCCAGCCTCCTCCTTCGTGTTTGCGCGCCCTTGATCCAAGGTACCTAAGGGAGGGCAGACAGATCTCGATCGTCAACTCAAACTAGGTAGGTAGTTGATGGGAAAATTCAGGCTTTGAATGGTATCTCTGGGCATGTAGATTTTGGGAGGACATCCTTTTGCTTGCGTCAGGTACTAATAAAATGGAAGTGGTTGTTTTGTTTGAGAAAGGGGTTCTTGTATGGCATAACCTCAGCTTCGCAGCAAATTCCTTTCTCTTCTTCTTCAATGTAATGAAGAGATGGGGAATCATGTCTGCTTAAGAAAAGACGCACTTGAATTACAGACAAAGTAATAAGCGTAAGTCCGTGCAGCAAGTCCCCTTATCTTCCAATGTCAAAGGAGGCGAAGAGAAAAGGCGATCCATCTATTACAAAGGGAGACCCTCACTCTCAAGTCCCAAGCCTATCGAGAATTTTGTCAACGAGGCACCATCTGATCTTACAAGCAATAGCAGGGAAGCTCCTTTATAGGCTATATGTACTTACCTTGGGTCAAGTAAATTCAGTTACTCCTCTCGCTCCCTTTAACGTTCGATACCCAGCCAGACCTCTGCTTTCTTACTCGGGTCGGGTGCACGCCTTAATTAACCGCCCTGTTACAACCAACTCATTGAGATTACCTAGGCAGCCCCTTGCTGTTCGTCGAGATAGCCTCCATCAGCTAACCTACATTACTCACTTTATTATCTACACAACACCTTCATGCATTACAGTACACAATAGCCTTTTCCTTGTGTCACGTCCAGTTAATTGCCTGGAATAGACCCTATATCTCGATGTACAGCCAGCTCAAGCCGCACATGGCTCTCTACCAAAATTCAGACTTCCGTCACAGACACTATTACGATATGAACAAAGAAAAGAAACATATAGTGGTCGTGCGTCAACGTAATCTTCGTTCGCTTTCTATATCTAAACTACCGTAAGCCACCATCACCCCCTCTCAACAGGAATATAAAAAAAGCTCGTAAATAGACATCATGCTTCTCATGCCATCTACCAAAGTATAGTAAAAAAACGCAACCCTTTACTCCGTCCTCAAAAGCACTGCATCATGCACGCACGCAATGTACCGACTCGATACTCGTCAAATCATGCCCACCGCACGACCGACCAGCACCTTCGTTCGATACAAGAGTATATATAGCCTATAAGACAGATATAAAAAGAAGAAGGGGGAAAAAAAAAAGAATAGCAAAACACGCTCATGGTGCCAATGCCCTTGGAAGGGAAAAAAAAAAGGCCAGCAATGCTCAAAACGGAAACGGACTGCCCTCGTCCTACGGGGGCGTCATCTGCTCCTCCTCCATCATCCTGCGCACCTCCTGCTCAAGGTTCTTGCTCGCGTCCGCCGCGCTGCTGCTGCCGTCGTCCTCGTCAATCGCCCCCGTCACCTTGTTGGCCAGCTCAATCTTCTTCTGGCACGCCTTGTAAATCAGCTCCTCGATTGTGTGCGTCGAGATGAGCCGGAGAACCTCCACGTCTCGCTTCTGGCCCAGGCGGTGCGCGCGGTTCTCCGCCTGGATGTCGTCCTGGGGGTTGTCCGACTGGTCAAAGATGATGACCTTGTTCGCCGACGTCAGGTTGATGCCCGTGCCGCCCGCGCCCGTCGTCAGCAGGAACGCGGGGATGCTCGTGTCTTGGTTGAACTCGTCAATCAGCGTCTGTCGTTCAGACACATTGGTGTTGCCCATGAGCACGCGGTGATCGATGCCTTGACGCGCAAGCACCTCTTGCAACAGCTCAATGATGCGTGAGAACTTGCTAAAGACGAGCACTCGGTCGCCGTTCCCCCGGTACTGCTTCAGGAGCTCCAAAAGCTTTCGAATCTTGCCGCTCTCGAGCTCTGTCGACGCCGGAATGTCGAAATCCTTTAGCAGGCGGGGGTAGTCACGGCACCAGAGGTGAAGCTCGAAATCGGACGAGTTCTTGAGCTCCTGAATCAGGTGCTTGATATCCGGCTGATGAAGCTCCGACTGGGGGAGCCTGTCCATCAGTATCTTGGCCATCTCGGTGACCTTGTCGTCCGTAAACTGGCGGCGGAAGAGCAGAGGGTGCAGCGCCGCCTTTCGCAGCTGTATCCACACGTTATTCTGGTCGTTTTGGCGACCGCGGGAGCCTCGCGCGGTACGCTGTGACGGCTCCATCTTGAAGAGTTCTTCATATTCATCATAAACCTCCTTTTGCTCCTTGGGCATATCGCAGTGAACAACGGTGCAGATCTTGCGCGGCATGTCTGACAGAACTTGGTCTTTGCGACGTTGAAGGATAAAGGGTTCGAGAATCGTCCTGGCACGCTTGACTCGTTCGCTGTACAGGAAAGCGCCGTTGGTGACGTCGCGGATTGTCACTTTTTGACTGAAGATGTACTGAATCTGGCTCATGTAGCCGTCAAAGAGCCTGGGGTTGATGAAGTTGAGCAGTGAAGTCATCTCCAGCAAATTGTTCTGGACGGGGGTGCCTGCATAGGATGTCGTTAGCATGTCAAATTCGCTCCCACGTTTGCGTCACTGCAGTGAGATAGATGTACCGGTCAGAAGCATCTTCCAAGAAGACGGAATCCTGCGAAGGTCCTTGTAAATCTTGGTCTCCGGGTTCTTCATCTTGTGCCCCTCGTCGAATATGGCCGCGTTGAGGTCAAACGACCGCATGGCCGCAATGTCCTCCTCCGAGTTGATTTGCGAATACGTCGCCAGAACGACATGGTAGGCATCGGGGTCGTTCTCGACTTCGTAGGCAATCTCTGCGCGCTCAGCCTGAGAGCCTCGGTATCCTATGACGGATAAGCCGGGCGCAAACTTGTTGAACTCGCCGAGCCAGTTGTTGTACGTGCTCGGGGGCACGACAATCAGGTTCGGCCACGGACGTCTGTCTTTGGGGTTCTTTTCGTCCTCCTCGACCAAATGGCAAATGAAGGAAATGACCTGGCAGGTCTTGCCGAGACCCATCTCGTCGGCAAGGATACAGCCAATGTCATAGTTGTAGAGGACCGACATCCAGTTCAGGCCATACAGCTGAAAGGGTTTCATGACGCAGTGACCGTCCATCATCTTGGGCTGACGAGGGACCAGCGGCTTCGAGTACTTGGTGCTGCTCAGGCTCTTGGGCGTTAGGGGAGCATCTTCGTCCGAGGGCGTCGACCGCGTGCTGCGTTTGTTCTGGCCAAACATGTCGAGGTCCCAAGACTCCACAACGCCCTTGACTGCCTGACCCTTGATTTCGCACTTGGCCACGACCTGATCGATGGCGGTGACAGCGTCCATGAAGACTTCAACGGCATCGACGACGGTCTCTCCGATGCTAATCCTGGCGGATTTGCGAGCACCGGGCTTTTTGTTGACGCTAACCTTTCTGGCCTGCGAGAGGTCGGCAAAGGGGCGCTTGTCAATGATGGGTTTCAGCAGGTCCTCCTTCATGCCCGTCATGGCGGCCAGCTCCTGAACGCTGCTCTCGTTGATACACACAAGCACCTTGTCGTCGTCTTCCTGCGACGCCTCGGGGGATTCCTCAGCCTGGTACGAGTCCTCTCTTCCATCGTCCACCAGGTCTATAACCAGTGGATCGTCGCTTGAGACAGGCGCCGGCGGTTCCTCCTCGGCAGGCTCGAGCGAAGAAGCACGTCTCTTTCGCAATCCTTGAATAAGGCGTCGTCTGGGCGGCGGGGGCTGCGGCTTCGGAGGGCTCGACGTGATGGAAGTGACTGAGGGCGAAGAGGCACGAGGCGTCTGTTTCCCGAGAGTGAGCATCTGGCCCTTTGATACGAGTCGTCGGTTGGCAGGCTGAGCAGCCGGTTTCGGAGCTCGGGGCTGTGCCTGTCGCGGCACATTGCGCTCCAGCCAAGCGATGGTGTCGTCGAGGTCGTTTCTGCACGCCTTAAGCGCTTCCTTGACCTTGTCCGACGGGTATCGCGAGCCAAAGATGTCGAAGATTTGCCGCATCTTGTTCCTTGTCACCTCTTCGTTGGCGGGCGGAGCAGGTGTATACGCATAGCTCGCGATTTGCGCCTTGAAGTTGGTAGGACGGATGTTTCCCCGGGGAGGCGTGATATCGTCGTCGTCGTCGTCCGAGATGAGATCGATGGGCTCTGGAGCTGGCTTCCGCGCGGGAACAGCAGCGGGTTGTGGTCGAGGAGGGCGAAAGACGGTGCCAGCGGGCGCCAGTCGAGAGCCCAGTCGCGTCTGTAGCTGCTGCTGCTGCTTTGACTGGAAGGGAGAGGACGCGGGGACCTCGATGACGCTGGGCGCGGGCGACGACGACTCGGGCAGCGTCAGGCCCGGACGGCCAAGGATCTGGGTTGCCTGGGTGGCATCGCGATCTTTCATGAAGGCGGACGGCGAGCAGGGGATGGTGTCCCCGGCGAGCTCATCCATGTCGTGGGCGGGCAGCGGGACTCGTCGAGAAGGCGTTCGCGGCACGATGCCCAGTTGCGATAGCGGCGGCAGTGGAGATGAACTTCGTGCCATGATGTGAAAGAAGGAGGGAAGAGGAAAAGAAAGAAGACGAGGAATTGGCCCTTTAGGGGAGGGGGGAGGGGGCGAAAGTGAGAAAAGCAGTGTTCCAAGACAGCAGGCTGAAAAGTCTAGAGACGCGCAACCCAGATGCAAAGCTGAGATGAAAGTGACACAAACGTGAGGAGGAGGAGCAATTGAGAAGCATTCAGACCAGAGAAACGCTCAATGGCACAACCAGGACAAAAAAAAGAGAGAAAAGAAAAGAAAGCCGAGACAAAAGAGGAACTAGGGACAGCCGCTCGCCAGATCTGTTGTAACTAAAGTGGCGTAGTATCCGAGTCGGTAGAGAGCTACCTAGGTAGTATTACCCCGTACTTTGACAGATGTGAGGTCGAGGAGATGCAGCGCAGTGGAGGGAGGCATGAAGCCCAAATGGCCGCCACTTTTTTTTCTCTCTCTCTCAGTCCGTTGTTTTTTTTCCCGCCCCAACTTTTCGTGACGATCCGGAGACGCGCCGTGAGTGTGAACACCAAGTCGCGAAGTCACATGACCACTTTACCGCTCCTGAACTGGTGCATCAAGACAAAGAGGAAGGACAACATACTAACATCACATCACATCAACTCTTGTTGAGAGCCGTCATCTTCTGGAAACCGACCAAAGAACAACAGGCGGGAAAGGGCCAATACTGGACTATCATAACTCAACAAAGAGCAGAAGAAAAAAGGACACGGACAAGATCCCATTTGCCCTAACCACATTCCGCTCTTATCATACATAGCTGAGACCCTCTTCTGGCGAGAGCTCTATCCCATCTCCCTCATACCTCATTGGGCCCCATCTCAGCTTAACTCATCTCAACCTCATCTCACCACCGACCACAATCAAGAATTACAGACACAACGCGCAACACACACACACTTCACCCTCGCAACCAGCTCAACACCACCTGAAACAAAAAATGGCAACCCGCCGCATCATCGCCTCCGAAAAGACAATCCTCGAAAAAGACGACACCGCCCAGGAGAAATCCAACATCAGCCCCGCCGTGCCAAAGTACGCAAAACTCACATCAACATCACCTTTCCATCTTCCTCTCATCCTGTCATCCAAAACCCACACCTTTCTTACCTATACAGAAAATATAGATGCACATGTTTTTTTTTTCTTATCTTTTTTATCATACCCTCATTCCATTATTGATTCTCTAACTACTCGTTTCCTGTTCTCCTGATACAAATTAACTGACAATAACAAATCGCAGAGATGTCATCTATAAGCTCCTCGGCTTCTCCGCAGCCATGATCATCGTCCCCATTGGATCTTACTTTATGACCGTCCACACAATCTTCAACGGTCAGGCTTTCTTTCATCTTTTCCCTTTAAAAAACCAGGAGATCTGACTCGACTGACACGTACATTCACAGGAAACTCATCGCTGGCTGGCGGCATGGCCGCCGTGCTCGCCAACGTCGTCCTCATCTCATACATCATCGTAGCCATGAAGGAGGACCAGACGGATCTACAAAAGGACGGCAAGCCCGACAGCAAAAAGACACAGTAACCACTTGATCATGTACAAAGTCGCATCGTACCCATCGTTTACAGCAGCACACGTTTCACTCTGCATGGCACAAAAAGGAGCAGAACATGTCCAACGAGGCCAAATGAATTCAAAATAAGAAAACACGAAAATAATAATAATAATCGTCTCCTATTCATTATGTTTGTAGAGCCCGTCGCCGAGACAGGCTGTTCTGGTCGTCTCTCTTCCGGGAGACACTGTCTATATGCCACAAGGAGCGTCTTGACTGGGGAATGCAGTGGCACCACTGCCATGGACCGAGCCATGCCTCTTTGCCGCGCATCTCAACAGCACATGATTATTTCTCCTCCAGAGCCAACGGGCAAGGATTCATCAACACCGCAACGCCGCATGACGGAGCTTGTCCGCGTATATACCGTTCCTTTCCACAGTGTCATGTGCTAAACGCTCGTCTTACAGAGCTTTCAAACAAACGAGATTCCCAATCGTCCAAGAAAAAAAAAGAATAAATGCAGGAACAGGAAGAAACAAAACAAGACTGACATCCACCCAATTCGTATTCGTCTCTCCCCGGCCGGCAGTAAAGGCGTAATTATAAGCAGCAAGCAAAGAGATGCTCAGACCCAATCGTGAAGCAACTGAATGGAGCCGTTTCCATCCACGCCGCCAAGAGGAAAAAAAGAAGAAAGAGAAATGGGAGAGTGAGGGAGCGTGTGTGTGTGTGTGTGTGTGTTAGAGTGCGTGGAAGAGACTCGGGTCCAGGAACATGTACAAAAGAAAACGCAAGGGAGAGTGTGTTAAACGGGGTATTTGACTTTCCAGAAGACTTAGGAGTTTTTACTAAACCGGCGGGAAAACCAGCTCTTTCGCTTCTCGCCCCCAGACGGCGTCGTGGAAACTTGTCTCTTAAGCAACGTAGCATCCTTCCTAGGGATCGCTGACTGAGGATTTTGGTAACTCGCGTTCGGCTGCGTCGGCATCTTGCTGGCCGGGGCCGTGAGGTTGACCGTCAACATGGGAGGCTTGTAGGACTGGGACTGGCTGAAGGCGATGCCATAGTCGTTCACTTGCTTGGCTGGGGAGGTCCGGTGAATCGAGCTGTTGTCACTGCTAGTAGGGTCGGTTTGATAACCTGCAGGATCCGAGTTTCCACTGGCGGCTGCCGATGTCACTGTCTCGTAGGAGCGATCCTTGTGAGGCAAGGGGTAGACGCCCTGCTCGCGGCCGTACGTTCGGAGTTGCGGCTCAGAAGCCATGGCCATCCGGGAGGTCTGTTCGCGGGAAGGGCGTCGCCCGCCGCTGGGGCCTGCATTCGTCGTATAGTAGCCGCCGTTGCTGCTGTATTGTTGGTTGTCGAAGTAGCTGTTCCTCGCCGACATGGGTGGTGGTGGCCCAAACTGGCTGCCCTCTCCTCGAAAGGAGGCGGCGCGGCTGCCATAGTAGCTGTCCTGAGGGAAACGGGGTTGGTTTGCTATTGCGAACGTTAGAATGGCCGCCCTGAGAGCTGCGTTCACGAGTACCGCGCCCACATACCTCTATAATAGCTGTTTCTACGGCTAAAGTTTGCTGAAGGGTCCGTTTCTGCTACGGGGTTAGCTCGAAGCGCTCTCCTCGAGTAGCTGTTACCGGATATCAAGCTCACCTGAGCGATGCATGGACCTGCGGGCAAAGTCGCCTTCAATTGCCGCCTCGAAGCTTCGGATAGTGTCGAGAGGTCGTTCCCAGCGGTTGCGAGTAGGGTTGGAGAGATCGGGGTCCGCTAGAGGAGAGCAAGAATGTGAGCCAGAGTGGTCATTGGCAAGCATTCCAGAGCATATATCATACCAATTACGTTTCCATACGCATCCTTGTGCTGAATGGAGCGCAGAGGCGGGCGTGACGACGCCGTCATCATGGCTTCGACAGCTAAACAACACCAAATGTCAGTGAGAGAGACAGGCAGAGAGAGAGCACGGCGCCAGGCGCGATATGGGACACAACGTACAGGGCTCCGCTTCGTTCATGGCCAACGTTGGATCAGCCTTGCTGTGGAGGCGTCTAGTTTCCTTTTCAGCGTGCGTTTCGTGCAGGTCGATCTTGTTGCTGGCAGAGTTCTTGCGAGACTTGTCGGAGAGAAAACTAAATCTTCGCGAGCTCGGCCTCTGCTGGTGCTGTTGGTGCGGTTGCTGCTGCGTCTGAGTCTGGGACTGCGCTGCTGGCTGCTGCGGGAAGGCCTGCTGAGTGGGCGACGGCAGACCGCGCTCCTTGTCTCCTGGAGTCGCCATGGCGCCTGCGTCTGGGACTGCAGCTTCTTTATCTCTGGATGAGCTAGACGAGATAGCTGGGGCTCTGTGACGAGGACGCCCAGGGCATTCGGCAGGTTCGTGGAGATCGAGCGATCAGTGCGGGTCGCAGACCGGCGGACGATAATGTCCCAGGAGGAGACTGGACGGTCGTCGTCGCACAGCAGTGCCAGTAATTAATGTTCAATGTTACGGGGGGCCCTGGCCAAGGCACAGGAACGGGGCGTGCACGGCTCGACTGCAGCCTGAGTCGAGTAGTGTAGAGACGATGCTGGGATGCCGAGAGAGCGGACGACGAGCAGCGCGTGTATCTCTGCGAGGAGCCCAAAAAAACCACGACGGCCAGAGAGGCAATTCCAGGCGGTGGGAGACGGGGAGGGAGGAAAAGAAGCAGCTCGCGATGGTTGTCTGACGAGGCCGCGAGCGAGCTGGGCTGGGAGAGAGAGAAGAAAAAGACTGGAGGTTGGCGGGAGAGGTTGGGGGCGAGGCGAACGATGTTTCCGGAGCCTTTTGGCTATCAGCAGGTGGAAACCGGGCAGCCTGTAAGAAGCTGTCGCCCAGCAGCTTGTGGTGCCAGAGCTGCGTGGCAGCGGGTAACGATAGAGGGAATCTAGCCCTAGCAGCACGGCGGGCCAGGGGGGGGAGGGGTGTGTCGAGGCGCTGCAGGCCAGGGAGCTCCGTGGTGCAATAACTAGTACGCGCTAGGTACCTGGCGACCGGGCCTATGACGCCAAGCTCGGGAGGTCGAGCGCTTGTAGTGTTTGATTCGCACTTGGGGAGGCAGTCAGACTTGAAAGGTGGATGGACTGTCTGGTCCCGGAAGCTGCTGCACAGGCGGAGGAGGAGGAGGAGGAGGAGGATGGAGGATGGAGGATGGAGTGGTTCTGGTCGCGGCGCCGGGGATGTGACAGGGCACAAGAAGCGGCGTGACGTTCGCTTTGAGGAGAGGAGAGAAGAGGCCTGAACCCTTGGATGGCTGGTGGATGGATCGATGGACGGGCCGTTGGCAGGGGGAGAGATGGAGGGGGGAGGAAAAGAAAGAGGAACAGAGAAAGAGAGAGAGAGAGGACAGAATAGGGGCGCAGCGGGAAGAACGAATGATGAGAGTGAGAGAGAAAGTCAGAGGGAGAGTTTGACAGAGAGTGTGAGTGAGTGAGAGAGAGAGGGGGAGAGAGAGTCGCAGAGGCAGACAAGAAAGAATGGATGGCAGAGAAGATGGACGAAAACGAAAGAAGAAGGTGGACGCAGCCTAGAAGCTCACGACCAAACGAGCAGCCGGCTCAGCGCAAAAATGGCAAAAATAGCAGCCGGGACGGAGGTGGGAGGCCCCAAATCGATTCCAGAGCCGGCACGATGAAAACGACGATATAGTGCTTTTGCGATAGAGATGGGCTTTCGCAATACGATGCTGCCAAATGCCTGCAAACATTGACTTTGGCCTTGTGGCTGAGCTGCCTTTACCGCAGTTGGCCAGTGGCACCGGTTCCTGTCAGCTGGAGGCGCTCTTGTGGCCGCTGCCTTTTCGTCTTTGTTTCGATGTTATTGAGTTTGCCTCTCCTTTTCACCTTCTCCTCTCATCGCGACCCAATTGAACGACTCTCGAGCCAAGCAAACACGCCGCCTTAGACTACATCGTTCTCTCGTTCCTTTCTCTCCTACGAGAATTGATTGAATTCTCTGCCTGACAAACAGACCGTCCGCGATCCGTGTCTCGTACTGTACACACGCTCAGCGACGGGGTGCGGCTAGTGAATGCACGCTCGATTACGAGGCCTGCTTGATTGATCTCCCTCTGGCGCAGTGTGGCTGGTGTTGTCCCAGTCACATCAAACCTGTGCTCTGACGCGCTGCCACCGCACCAGACCAGACGCCGTTGCCTCTGCTGACGTCAATTGCTCAGTTTCCTCTCGCTCTCCGGCTCTTGCGTGTCCGACCCAGGCTCGTACGTGTACTCGCTCGTGGTACAGCCAGCAAGGGGGGGAGGGAATGGAGGGATGGACAAAGGAGAAGCTGCCTGGAAAGGCTAGAAGTTCGAGGCTTGCAAGAGAGAGAGGAAAAAAAAAAAAGAAACAAGGACCAGCGCCGCGAAACTCCCTGGATCCAGCTTGACCCAGCTGGACGAGACAAGCTTGTCGACGCCTCTTGACTCTCCGTGTCAATCGCTTCTTGTTCCTCTTCTCTATTTTTTCTTCGGCGGGTGGATGCGATGCCGCGACGTCGAACAACGACTGGCTGCCGGCCAACAGGCTGCCCACCACTACAGGGCTTGGTGCGAAATAGTACGATGGAGCTGCTGGCTGGGCGAGACGGAGTTCCTGGAGCTGGCCTGCCGGCTCCCCTTGGGTCTCCCCCCCCCCCCTGCTGCGTGTCCACCGGCGGCTTCTTGGTTTTGGGCGACGATGACACAACCGCCCGTTGTCTCAGACCGCATGCGGCTGCTGGTTAATATAATCAAGTGGAGAGCGCAGGGTGTGCGCTGAGGGAAGCGTGTGTGTCTCGGCGCCACTTGGGGCGAGGAATCGAGATTCGGCGGCTGAGCGAGATGGGAACGGGAGAAGGGAAAACGGAAGAGGGCCAGAACGACTGACGATTATCATCAGTCCAGTCCAGCCCGGCGCGACACGACATCGATGCTGCGATTGGCACGAGATTTTCCATTAGTCGCTGCTGCTGACGATGATGATGCGCAAGGACCGAATACGAAACCACCAGAGAGGGGGGAGGAGACGACAGAACATCACGAGACAGGCGAGAGGGAGAGAAAATCAGCAGAAGCAGAAGCAGAAGCAGAAGCAGAAAAGGCTCGTAGCAGACGGGGACAGTATTGCTACTACCACAAACTCTCAATGGCTGCTGGGTGGGATTGGACAACCCCAGGCCTTGGGTGAGGTGCCGAGATGCGTGATGCTGGCTGAATACGAGGTGGGCGGCAAAAGCAGACAAGACGGGCTGCAGCATCCCAGCGCGCTACTGTACTCGTATACATACTATGTACGGAGTATGGAGTCACCGCGTCTGCTATGCGGGTGCGGCAGCTCGAGGACGAGCTTCGAGACATCGGAAGACAGCGCCAGCAAGCGAGCACCGCCAGAGCGCCGTGATGCCCGCGTGGCGCTGGTTGATCCTCTCCCAAGGTCCTCGTCCTCTTGCTCATGCTCTCCGGACTTTGTACATACATAGTATGTGCGTATGTGCATACGTACGTCGGTCGATCGCGAGTGAGATATGATGCGATTTGAGACTCGCCAAGATCGACCAGGTGTGCGTCAACCTGAACTGTGGCTGATGGCCGCCCTTTGCCTCCTCGACACCTGCTGGTTGTTTCACCAGGCATTTCCATCGCAGCAAAACATCTCTCTGCGCCTCCTCTCATTCCTGCATACGATGCATTACTCTATTGATTTTCCCCTCTGCAGCGTCACGGCAATATCTGCAGGAAATTCCAGATAGAGAGAGAGAGAGAGTGAGAGATAAGACGAGAGGAGGAGCAAATTGCGCCAGCCACGAATCCATGCTTGCTTCGACTTGCCCAAGTCTGGCGTGACCCGGGAGCCATGGAAGTGAGTGCTACCTTGCGTCTGCGACTGCTAATACTGTACAGCGCAAGGAACGGAGCATCATGATACTAGTATTACTATGGAGCACCCAAGGTTGCAGTGCTCGTATCACCATCCATCAGCTGCTCTGTTGGCTCGGGCATTCCCCAGGCCTCCGTCTTGTCCGTCCCCACGGCTCGATACGCTCCTCATCGACATCGTGCTTGTCAACCATCCTGCAATCGTCCATCCCCCCAAGAATCGCATCCAGAAATAGACGGCCGGGGTCGGCAATTGGTGGCGTGGGATCAGCTCTCAATGCCTCCACGTCTTGAACCAAACCAAACCAAACCTTAATGCTTCGAACGAGGAGCTTACTAGTAGAAGGTATCGTAATGGATCTTGACGATGGTCCGTCTCTTTGCCTCTCTCTGCCTCTCTAGGTACCTACCCGCTCTTTTCCCCCTCATTCTCTCTGGCATTTCGCCCTGCTGGTTACCTCTCTGGATTAACCTTTTTTCTCTCTCTCTCTCTTCTGCTTATCTTTTCCTTCTAATTTTACATGTCGCGGGACGTCGTGTCACTTGTGGAAGCTCGGATGTCACGATCCGTACATGGAGGTTTAATATGCGCTCGGCCAGGCACAGGGCCAGTTCTGAGTCGTCGGTTGCACATTGTCTCTTGTCTATCATTTTCTGCTGTCTCACGGCATCACGGCGTCACGACTCAGGACGACGAGGCTCAATACTATTACTACCAGTGACGCCCGTTATCAGCAACTTGAATGAATGCCTGCAGGCTGCAGTGTTCCGCACAAGTACACAAGTACTAGTCTACCTCATGTAGTGCGACCATTTGCGGCCACGGCTACAAAGGTAATCCTACCTAGTACTGCACGATACGAAATGGTGTGCCTCTGCCAGAATGTTCCTGGACAAGCGCGCTTCGTGTTTCTGGCGCCGCATCATCAAGCCTCACACCCTCCCTTCTTTTTTTCCCTTTCTCTTTTTTTGCCGGACAACCCTTGCAAGCGTCGCTCGTTTAACAGCTTGGGAGCTTGGCCCACCGCTCCGTACCTATGGGGGCAAGCCTTGCTGATAGTAGTAGTGACTTGCTGATAGCAGTGTTACTGCCGTATTACAAGCTCGTACGGACCGGCATCTCATCTCTGCCCTCCCCCCTCTGATGTTCGGTAGGTGGGAGCGCATCATCGCGGCGTCATGCAGGCATTGTTCTGCTGCTGCTGCTGCTTATCCTAGTCGCTGCCTCTGTATGGACAACTACCTATCTAGGGGCAACAGTCTCCCATAACACGACATACTATGTATCTAGGTGGCTTGCTTCCTTTCCCTCGCCCTCTCTTCTCTCTCTCTCTCTGTCTCTCTGTCTCTCTCTCCACAGCACCGACAGTGCTACTAGCAAGATGCAGCTTGCTGAATCAACAACAACAAAGCAAGAGACGTCTATCCAGTTGCTGCCTCGGATACATGCGTGTGCCGCACCACCATCTACCTCTAGTATCTATCTACAGCACGCCAGCCACAAGCTGATTCGACCGTCCGACCAGCTGCACCTCGACGGCGCGAGCAGCCACCGCCAATTGCCTTTGTTCCGCGGACAGTTCCAGATTACTGTTGACGTATCTCCCACCTCATCGTGCCTCGGAGCTTACCAGGCCAGGCCGGGCCCAGCAAGGCCGAGATACCAGGATGCTGGACCGCTCTCTCTCAGGGGCAGCTTTAGCTGCTCTCTGCCGTCCAGCCAGTTGTGTTGTTTTGGTGCCCATCCCGCCGGTTTTTATTATCTTTGCCCCCCCCCATGTCCTGCTTTTGTTGCTTGCTTGCTTGCTTGCCTGCTTGCTGCTGCTCTGCCTTTTCTGTATTCGTGCGTTGTCTCCGATGGGATCGCCCTGTTGGCCCGGTCGCGAATCCCTCCCATCCTCTTGGTTTGATTCTCTTGCACACCCTGTTATTAGTAGTAGTATTGCTGTATGTTCTTTACACCCCCCCAGCACTGTCCAATTGTCATGTTTGCGACAAGCTGCATTTCGCAATTGCCCTCCGGCAGCAAAGCACGCAAAAGACAAAGCCAGCCCAATGCCCAAGCAGCACCAGCAGCACCAGCAGCACATGGTCTGAAATCGTTGATCCCACGCCCCTCCCAGCGGCTGCGACTAGCCACGTTTCAATCCTTTCCTCCTATGCCCGAGACAGGAGCATCGTCGATCGTTCCGATCTGTGAAAGCGCACACAAAGAACCTCTGGCTTCTTTCTTCTCGTTCGAGACATGTTAAGCTGTTCCGTTTTGCCGCTAGGAGGTGCCTCTGCATAAACTAGTGACCTCATCTGTCGACATTTGGCTGCTTTCCTCTTTCTCTCTCTCACACACTCTCTCTCTCGGCTTTTGTTTAATATCCATCTGCCTTGGTGCTCTTGAAGCGGCGGTGATGAAATCCTGGCAACGGAGGGGCGCCAGCGAATAAATCCGTGGATGGTTGGATGCTGCTTGCTAGGCTTGAAACTGTGACACCAACCAGCTCGGGACCGAGATAAGGTACCTAAAGCATCTACACATTAGTAGTACTACTACTATGTAGTAAGACAGCAAGTAGTACTAATAGCTGTGATGCTATTCTTGGTTCATGGAATGGAAAAAAACACGCGGTTTTCCATTCATGTGCCATTGATCTTCCTTATGATCTACCTGTCTAATCGTTCTTTTAGAGCGTAATTCTTTGCTGTGGCGCGTCTTAGATCCGGGGTATTACGAGTTGCTCCATTTTGTGACGAAACAGCACTCGAGATTGATACTACTACATGTGCTTCGTTAGGTAGGTAACGTAAGATCTGCCGGGCGCTTTCTGTAGTCATCTTGACTAGCAGTACTCTCCGGAGTAATTCGTATCGTACTTGAGCTCCTTCTCGCTTGACCTCGAACTTGCAAGAAGTTGGTCACGATAACCAAGAAAACAACATATCCTTCCAAGGGGTTGCAGTAACCAATGAGAAAGGGCAATATGCATCAGCGCCCAAACAAGCCACACACACACATTATCATCTATCACTAGATCACTCCACGAGTCCAGGCAAGCAAAGATGGCGTCTTCTGTCTCTCTTTGTCGTCCCCGAGCTTCCCGGACATTGAATGAAGTCGAGACTTTTCTTCTTCTTTTTTTCGGCTCTCCAATCGCGAGAGGCAATTGGAGAGAGGACAAGGATCTTTAAGGGGGGGGGAAAGGGCGGCAAGGCTAGCATAACAAAGCAAAAAGCAAGGAAAGCAAGGAAACGGGAAAAAGGTTGCAAGGGGCGGACGAGACCTACTCGGGGACTAGGCCGGGTCTACTTTCAGGTTTTTTTTTTTTTTTTTTTTTTTTTTTGGTTTGTTGCTTGTAAGATAACTCATTAGCGTTCCATCATAATAATGACTGTCTTCCTGTTTTGTTTTGTTCTGGGCTGGCCCAATCCATTGAGCTGGGTCGGGAGACGTGGCTCGACCTGGGTTTGTTGTGGCTGGGGTTGATTGGTTGTGAGGTTCTTGTTGGTGAGGAGAGAGGTTGGCGTTCCTGGGCAATGTGTTGATTGCTGGAGTGTTTTGACGATGACAACTTGCAGATTTCGCTTTGGGGGGGGACTGCATCACGGGTTTCCTGTTTTGTTGGAGGTTGGGAATGGTGTTTGATCTAGTAGTTGTCTAGAGTGTTCCATATTCATGCACTCCTGTTTTGGAGACTTTGAATCGAAGGGATTTGAATAAGCGCCGGTATGGGCTGTGAAGGATCGTATCGCGCTGATTGTAGCTGGAGTTGTGCAAAGTTCATGGGATTGAGTGCCCATGTTGCAGAACAGGGAGGCTTAATTGCGGGGGGAAAGCCTGCATATTCAAAAGGAGCTCGCTCAATCTGCAGCCGATTTCAAAAGACAGGAAGGGTGTGCGGTTATATCGGGATATGCTAAGACATGTAAGAGGCTGTGAAAAGTCTGAGACATGTTTTTGTCTCTCTGTCCCTTGCGTGTTGTTGCTCATTATAGTAGTATGCAGTGTTGTAGGCTTGTACTTGAGGGAGGGGACATGTATGAGGCTGCGTGCTGATAGATAAGCCTTGCGAGGATGGATGACTAGTACTACCTATATGAGATGTTGCTTCCATCTATATGTTATATATATAACGTTATCTGGATTTTGAGCATGATATTGAATGCCTTTTGGCTTGAATGAGAGACTTTGGTCATTTTGGGGAGAAGATGCCCTTGAGAGTGAGCAGCTTGTACTGTTTCATACTCCGTAATGGTACGATAGATCATGACCAGTGCCGATGTCTTGGTCACACTGAACCTCAAGCGTGTGAACTCGAAGGAATGATTCAGTGGCGCGTCTTGCACGCGATGGAATTTGGGCAAATACAGTAGTAGTAGTACTATATTGCTGGTTTGAGACTCTGATGGCAAGGGTTCCTGGACTCTGCGGTACCTCTGACTTGGATTCTGGGGGGGGGGGGCCCGGCAGGTGGCTGAGACGAAGAACAATGGCCATGGAAGAGATGTTGGAGATGAACAAGAAACACCAGATGATGTTGGAATTGGCATTTACGCGTATGTTTGGCATGTGGATATGTTGGAGGCTGTAGAATACGTGTGTTTGTGGGCTTTGATCTTCTTTTTTTTTTCTTTCTTGATTCATGAGTGGACGGACTGGGTGGCGACGGGAGAGGAACTTGTTAGTAGGATCAAAATGTGCTTGATGTAGTGAGCATCAAGGAGTGTTGCCTACTTTTGTGATTGAGGGGGGGGGGGGAAGTGATGCTGAGCTTGAGCCCGTGCGTGTCTGGATGGGTTCGCCGCAATGTACAGGAAGTAAAAGTATGTGGATTGAGTGCCTAAGAAGGTAGGCAGCGGCTGGTGAAGAGGCGATCAGTCTTGGGCGTGTAGACGGTGCTCGAGGCAAGCCTTGGCATTGATGATGAGTTCTTGATGATGGAGACTTTGATGATGATGTGTACTCGCCCATGGATGCACATATTCCTCCTCGGCGTAGTAGTTTGTGGTGCTGTGTGACAATCTAATGAGTCTAGCACGAGTGAGGATCCTGATATATCGTTCTGGGATTTGGTCAGGTAGTTGAAATTGGCCTCTTTGGTGTTGCATCGATCATACATGGATGAACTCTGCTCCCCTATATCTCAAAGTTTTGCCTGTCGCTGTTCATTTATGTATTGGAAGCATGCTCGCCAGCTACTCACACGAAGCGTTCATGTAAACTTGGTACCGCACAACTCTTGAATCGTCTCTTGGGTGTATATCATCGAGTATCTTGCTTAGAGACTAGAGCCAATAATGTCGACATCGACTGCACAAGCAGTGGCTGCTGGGTTCTTAGAGACGACTCTATCTTGACCAAATATGATAGATACCTCAAACGAGTGGCATTGAAATGATGGGTGGACACCGACGGATCAATGAATGTCATTGTGCTCTTGACTTACATGAGAACCCCAAATATGCCCATCCTGTATGAGTACGACAGTCCCTGACAATCTTCCATGTCAGGCGAGAACAGTATCACGATAGGTGGGGGACATCTTCACTTCCATCCCCTGGCATGAGGTCGTCCACTAGCGAGCGGTTGAAATGGGTAGCAGTCTGATATGCTCGCATTGTTGAATGGGGAAATGGCGAACAGACAAGGGGAACACAGGGCCGGGGCACGGTCGTAACACTGGAGCACATTTTCCTCTCTATGGGAGAGCCGCTGCAGACAAGCTTCTGGACTGTCATTCTGTAGTTCAAGTTCCATTTAACGCCAACCCAGAAACACTAAGCGGGTATTCCTTCACGATTCGCCCGCCATATGTCGTGTATCATTTGTTTTCTTTTCTTTATATGCGCAATCCCTTCGAGTTGCGAGCCGCCGTGACCGGCGAATCCTGCTGATAGGATACACGAAAAAGAAAAAGCCCAGAGACCGAGTAACAAGACAGGCGCCAATTGTCGGAGTAATGAGGGAAAAAGGGGGGGGAGAAAAGAAAGAAGAAGAATTGGTTTGCCATAGCCTCAGTTCGTTTCGTTTCGAATCTCCATTTTCTGCAGTGTTCCGCGAATCTTCTCTGCCCACATACGTCAAAGAAAAAAAGGATCACAGATTGCTCCAAGAATTTGTCTGATGTTGTGTTTCTGTTTCCTGCACCGTTTCGGAGGGGGGGGGATAAAAGGGTTGGGAATTTGACGTCTTTTTTAATTGAATGCCTCAAAGCAAGGCGGTATGCTTTATCCTTGCCTCGACCAATGCAACCAAATGAGAACCGCCCTCACTACCAACTCCAATCCGAAATCCGGTTTTTTATATCGACGAGGGGTACAACATGACGCGAACGGAAGCACCGAAAGACTTTGAGGGAAGAGGCTTGGCGAACTTGGCGCGGACAACGCCAGAGTTACCTAAAAGTTCGAGAGCGTTAGTCGGATCGAGTTGCCGTCATAAAGCAAGCAGGCGGAGTTGATCATTACCGTGTGGTCGGGTAACCTTGCCCCAGATCACGCGGATCTTAGTGCCGCGGATCTCCTTCTGGCCACGGTAGACGAAGGCAACCTTCTTGCCGAGGTAGAAGCTGATTGAAAAGCAATGTCAGTATGGACGTTCCTCTCCCCCACTTCTCATCGTTCCGGCGTTCGCGCGACTGGGAAATAAACGTACTTGGCAGCGGCTGTGCTGTCAACACCCTCGATCTTGATCAGGCTGGTGCCAGGGTGGGTGATGTGACGAGAGCGCTGGTAGCTCAGGTGACGTCCCCTATGGTCATTGTCGTTAGCCCAAATTGTTCGCGATGGTCTGTCGGAGTTGCTCAAGCAGTCGAAGGTTTTCGAAAGTCAAGGGGAAACGCGCGTTTCGAGACACGAAGAAGCGGCTCTCGCTGGAACGGAAAAGGCGCCCGCTCTGCCCTTCGCCATCTCTCCTACGCCCTCTCCCTTTTCCCTCTCGGTGTTCGCTGCGATTTCGAGGTTCGCGATCGGAATGACTTACTTGACGTATACTGCCGGAAAGTTAGTACAATCAGCCGCCAATATCGCAAAGTCCAGCAACGAGGCAACTCACATCTGTGACCACTTTCGGAAGGCATCGTGTCTGTTGTGTAGCTTCCGCCCTCAAGTAACCGGGATACTAGGAGGTCTGGTGCTCGTCGTTTGTCGTGATGTCGAACTGAGGGCAACGGGGTGGATGCGATATGGTGTGTGGTGGCTCTAGCACGAAAATTTGAGCCCTGGGCATCACGTGGTGGCTTAGGGCATTTTTTGGTGACAAGCGATTGTGGCTGAAACGGCCGTGCACCGCCGCATGTGCTGCAACCGGGCTTATCGATAGCTTGCGATTCTTCTCCTACTATCAAGGTTCCATGACTAGCCGATTTGGGCAGAGCCTGCAATCTGACCACGGTCTTTGGACTGAAAGAGATGCTTTCTTTTCTCTGGAGATATCGACTGAGGCTATACTTCGGATTCTTCCGTCAATGCTGATGGAACTCGCGGATCTTTGTCCCGAGCTCTGAAGCATGAGTGGAAGGCCAAGCTCCGGGGAGTGCCCATGGGTTACCTACATGCATATCATTCAACAATAGGTAATCTGTTGCAGTTCATCGGCTCCCTGCTTGTATGTACATACATCTAAGTATGCGTGTACGGAACAGGATGCCGTGAATGCACTCGCTGCTCTCTTTCGTTCTTCTTCCATCGGATTTAATCATCATCAGTCAGGGTCCATGCTATTTGCCTCTCGGCGAAAACTACGTCATCGAGTCAAATGCGGGATGCAGACACTCAAATGCTCGACAGTACTTTGGACTATCACGCACCGTAATGGATCCTTCTAAACAGAGGAGACGGATATCTCAAACGTGCTAATGTTGCTACGGCCATTGTTCTCCAGGGCGGTGACAGGAAAGCCGGAGAGCGGAGGATGCGGCATGAAGACAGGACTACAGGTATATAGACCCTGGAAGGGCCGGTATCACAAATAGCAGCTACCTACCTACCTAGGTAGCTCGGGCAAAGTTTCCATCAATTCGCAAGAATCGCCGAGGCCACAGCTAGCCCGGCCCCGGGCAGTTCTCGGAAGATGCGGCGACTGATCAACCACAGGCCGTGTAAAAGTTCCCGGCTCTTGGGAGGGGTTCCTTGGGAGGGCCCAGCCGGGGCGAGCACGAATCCAGGCAGACACAAGATTACCAATCCCCTCATGTGGTCTGTACATATCACCTTACTCGCAGATACTTCGTACATGCGCTCTGCTCTCGGCCCACCGGTGCGGTGTTAGGGGGAGAATGGTTGCGGTGCCAGCGGAATTATCCTCGAAGTCCGTTGATATAATCATACAAAGCGACTCAACGCTGGGAAGCAGAGAGAAGGGTGATCAAATGTCCCTTGACTCTGGGGATAAAAAACGAGCACAATCGATGGTAGGCCTATTTTGTCGAGAGTCATAATACATCAATGTCAATATCAATCGCAAACCGTTCACCGGGATCGGCCGTCGCTATCTAAGCTGCGGTTTTTTCTTCATGCTTTGCTTGGTTCATGTTCCCAGTAGGACCAGCTTTTAGTCCAGCATCGGGTGGGTTCTCGCAGACTTTGTAAGCAGCATGGCTTTATTAGAAGGACGATCCATTTGATGGATTGCGAAGCGCCGGATACTATGTATGTATGTAGTAGCAGAATAGATCTCGTCCTCAATGACCGCAGCGGTGCTCTGGCGAGTGCAAGGATCAAGGGGCCGCTTTGGGTAATTGGTGTTGAGGAGAGGCGTTCATGTCATCTCCAACTTAATCTGCAGAATGACCCCCTCAGTGCGACTCTGTGGTACCGACGAAATAGGCATCTGGTGCCCAGTGGCGGCTATTGCCGTTGAGCGTCCCGGAATGTACCTCGCGCAGTGGTTGAGATTGATAATCCTGCACAAGGATGCGGAGCCCAGGGACGCCTCAGCGGCAATTGATGCTCATGATGTTTTTGGAATGTACATAGTATGTATTTACATATAGCAACACTGAATCTGAATTGCTTGCTCTCAACACGACTCAGCTTATACCCTCAAAGTACCTCACATACATCGCATCCATGTAAGTTGGATGCGCTCTGCAGCGGCTGCATTCCAAGTCTCGCTGTCTTCCACCGTCCGCCCGGTATCGCCCAGGCGCCGGAGCCCCATCTTCCATTGGCCACCGGCCAGACTCAAGCCGGGCAAAATGACCGACTAAAAGGCGCTGGACGGTGGAGAATGAGACCCTCGAAGAGGCGTCCCGGGCCAGAGAATTGCAGCTTAGCACAACCTAAGCTTCGATGATGGCTGGACTGGGAATGAGCTCATCAGCAGCGGCAGGTAAGGTAAAGGAAAGGAACCGTGAAAGGTGATACTATTCCATCCATACGAGTAAAGTACATGCTTGTACCTGGAGCGGCACCGACGGAGAGCGGACGAAGGAGTGGGCTAAATGCTAGCATTTCCCTGTTCCTCTTATTATTTCCAATTCCCATTACCTACCTAGTATAGGTACTAGGTATTGATTACCTACCTTAGGTACGGGCTACATTGCTGTACTGGAACGTAGCAGCACCGCACAAGGTACATACCTAGGTAGGTAGCCATCAATAGCATGGACACCTGATAGTAGTAGCACCTCGTCACCCTCTCGGCCGGCCTGGGAGCACTAAATCGCCAGAGCTGTAAACTCCGTCAGCGCAGTTGCAACCCCATCGCCCTAAAAGCCAGAGCCCACCGCGTCCCTCCCACCCTCTGGATCCCCAAGCTCTCTCTCTCTTCTAATCTCTCCCCCCAATCCCAACACTCTCGACCTGAAACCTGCTGCTCTCCCCCCCGGCCTGGACCGACGACCGCGCCCTCGCCCTCGGTTTTCGATTAAAAGAACAGCATTCCGGCTGTTTCTCCTCGTCGTCTACTCAGCAACCCTCCCGATCCCGATTTGCAGCGTCCCCGAGTTCAAACCGAAGCAACCAGCAGCCGCAGCAATGGACCACACCCAGCCGTAAGTACCGGCAACCCCACCATGACACCAGCTATCGTCACTGCGACGCCGACAGCTTCACAGCGCGGGGTCGAGCCGACAAGGGGAAAAAACCATACAGAACTGCGGAGGAAAAAGAAGGCATCGGCAGCAAGGCACCTTGCTAACAATTGCGATGCAGCCAAACGCGCGAGCTCAAGGAGAACACGACGATTGTCGTTCTCGGTGCCTCCGGAGATCTCGCAAAGAAGAAGACGGTAAGGGACAGCTGCTGTCCGGCCTCTGCAATGTTGTGCTCGAGATCTCGTTGCGCTGACACTGGCACCTTTGCATCTCGCAGTTCCCCGCGCTCTTCGGCCTGGTAAGCAAGCAGCCCAACCGCCCATATGTCAACCGAACACCAAGCTATGATGCGGTTCTTTTATTAAAGACGGGGGAGAAAAAACAAACGCCGGCCTCGAAAAGAGTGCATCATCGGCTGACCGTTGTGATTCTCTGCTAGTACCGAAACCAATTCCTGCCCAAGGGCGTCAAGATCGTCGGCTATGCCCGGACAAAGATGGACCACGACGAGTTCCTGCGACGGGTCAAGTCATACATCAAGACGCCCACCCCGGAGATTGAGCAGCAGCTCCAGGAGTTCACCGAGCTGTGCTCGTACATCTCCGGCCAGTACGACAAGGACGAGTCGTTTACCGTCCTCAACGACCACCTCAAGGAGCTGGAGAAGGGCTGGCCTGAGGCGCACCGGCTGTTCTACATGGCACTGCCCCCCAGCGTCTTCACCATTGTCTCCCAGCACCTGAAGCGATGCTGCTACCCAACCAATGGCATCGCCCGAGTCATTGTGAGTTGATTGCCAACTGTTTCTTTTCTTTTCTTTTTTTTTTGGCCTTTGGCCTTTGCCTGCCTCCCACCCATCTAACCACTGCGTGCAGATCGAGAAGCCCTTCGGCAAGGACCTTGCCAGCTCTCGCGAGCTGCAAAAGTCTCTTGAGCCGGACTGGAAAGAGGAGGAGCTCTACCGTATCGACCACTACCTCGGCAAGGAAATGGTCAAGAACATTCTCATCATGCGCTTTGGCAACTCGTTCCTCGGCGCCACCTGGAGCAGGCAGCACATCGACAACGTCCAGATCACCTTCAAGGAGCCATTCGGCACCGAAGGCCGGGGCGGCTACTTTGATGAGTTCGGCATTATCCGAGACGTCATGCAGAACCATCTTCTCCAGGTCCTCACCCTCCTGGCCATGGAGCGCCCCATTTCATTCGACGCCGAGGACATTCGAGACGAAAAGGTCCGCGTCCTCCGCGCCATGCCCGCTATTGAGCCCAAGAACGTCATCATCGGACAATACGGAAAGTCGCTGGATGGTAGCAAGCCGGCGTACAAGGAGGACGAAACCGTGCCCAAAGACTCGCGATGCCCGACATTCTGCGCCCTCGTCGCCTACATTAAGAACGAGCGATGGGACGGCGTTCCCTTCATCATGAAGGCGGGCAAGGCCCTCAACGAGCAGAAGACGGAGATTCGAATCCAGTTCAAGGACGTCACCTCTGGCATTTTCAAGGACATTCCGCGGAACGAGCTTGTTATGCGCATCCAGCCCAACGAGAGTGTCTACATCAAGATGAACTCTAAGCTTCCCGGTCTCAGCACCCAGACCGTCGTCACCGAGCTCGACCTGACCTACCGACGCCGATTCTCCGACCTCAAGATCCCCGAGGCCTACGAGTCACTTGTCCTTGACTGCCTGAAGGGCGACCACTCCAACTTTGTCCGCGACGACGAGCTCGATGCCAGCTGGCGCATTTTCACTCCCCTGCTACACTACCTCGAGGACAACAAGGAGATTATCCCCATGGAGTACCCCTACGGTAAGATTCATCCTCTGCCGTATGTCTGGCTTATATCTTTGGCTAACGCATCAATATAGGATCTCGAGGCCCTGCCGTTTTGGATGACTTCACCGCTTCCTACGGTTACAAGTTCAGCGATGCTGCCGGCTACCAATGGCCGACCACCTCGGCTGCCGCTCCCACCAAGTTGTAAGTAGCCGGAGCCTTTGCGTTGATGCAATGTTTTGTCATGTATTGCTTTGGATCCCAGGCGGAGCAAGCATAAGTAACAAACCTTGCAGTTAAAAAAATGAATATCGATGATATAAAAAAGAAAAGAAAAAATATCTCTCATATAAATGTCCATCTCCCAATATAAGATGACAAAGTTGGAAGTACCTACCATTGGGGTGTCAGGCAAGGCATGGCATGTGAGGCAGTGTGGATTTCATGGCAAAAGTTGAGCGTCGTCTAAGCTGTAGTGGCATGTACTGGATTTCTCGGAGCTGAAGCTCGAATTTGAAAACATATAGAAACGAACAAACTTGCTCTAACTCGGACTTTTCGATGATTGTCTCTTCTTTCTTTCCAGTGGATGGCATACTTGGGATAGTCCTGTATAAGGCACTAAGTTCGTTATCTGATGCTACTAGGTGGGTAGTAGGTAAGTGTCCAGCAAAACTTGACGACTATGACGGAATCCAGGCGTGATGCAATGATGGCTTTGAGCAGCTCGCTTACGAAGTAACGAGTACGGTGTGTTCTTAGAAAAAACTGCCCAGCCTTCCCCATCCATCTGGGTAGTGGTACCGGCACGAGGTCTTGCATCGTCATCATCCAATTGCCAGAAACGTCCCCCGAATTCCATGGTCGGAATCACCCGAATCTCATGCCGCCAGCTTGGAACCTGCAGAGGCACAATATACCTGTACCTACAGGCACACGAGGTACATCGTGGGGTACTTTGTCTTGGGCGGTGATTGTGAGCGTCCTCCAAGTCCACACGGCCCGTGCACCCGTCGCTCACGTGACCGCAGCGCCCAGCCCAGCTCTCTCTGTCAGCAAGTCTCGGCGTCCGCCTTGCCCGTGTTACGTCGAAGCTGTGAAAACGGAGAAGGGCGGCTTTGTTGGCGCATCTCCCGTCACACACCCTCAACCCTCTACCCTCTACCCTCAACCCTAAACCTCCGACCCCCGACCACGACTCAATCCGCGCCTCTCGCCCAAGCCCCTGCAGCCTCGCGCGCACTGAGCCCCGTCACGACAGCGAACCGCCGAGCGCCGCAGCATCCAGATCCAGTGCCTGAGACTGCGCCGCGTTCCGACCACTTGCTGCCGCCTTGGCAGATACCGTTTTCCCGCTCGCAAGGCTTCCCGTCTTCGAATCGAGCCATCCAACACGTGCCGACGCTCTCGCTCTCTCTCTGAGTCCTGCTACCCGTCTCCCATCGAACGACCCTTCGCCCGCAGCAGCGTCTCCTGAACAGCTGCTTGGCCTTCGACGGTGCTCTTTTTCCCTTTGGATGCGATACGATCTTCAACGCGCCCTCGCGACTGCCCGCATCGGTGCAGAACGACCTTGACGGTCGTGCTCCACTGCCGCAGCTGAAGACACCAAAAGGCAGAGCTCAGCCCTTCCATGATACACGCGCCATAGTGTGACATTAGCTTTCGGCACACGCAGATTGCGTCGCTAGGGGGACGCGGGTTGCTGGCAGCAGCAGTTTCTGCGTGGAGGGCTGCGGCGACTTTCCTCTTGCTTCTTACAGCTTCTCGCAGCTTCGATAAATGCCGGGCGTCGTCAAGATGGATAGCGGAGGCCAGAATGGCGCGCTCTCCGACCACCGCAAGGACTCGGTCGTCAACGGCGTCAACGGCGTCAAGAGCCTCGATGGGCCACGAGCCGCGCCGGACAAGGGAAAGGCGCCCGCTACGGCCGCGGCCACCAATGGCAGCAACGCCGTCAATGGCGGAGGAGCCGCGGGAGAGGCTCAAACAGCACTCTCTCCGGTCGGACAGCCATCGCGGATGAACAACCTGCCCGACGAAATCATTCACATCACCCAGGGCTTCGTCCCACTCTCCCTCCTTCTCACACGCCTCGCCCAGTCTACACACAACATGGTCCAGGACAAGATCGCCGAGCTGGCAAAGATGCCGCTTCCCGCTGCCGCCATGAACGGGAATACAAACTACACACAAAGCGCTCCTGATGACACGTCGAACGAGAACATTAGAAAAAAGGCGGCGTTGCTGCATTTCGCCCAGGACATGCATGCAAAATGGGTCAAGGCGCTGGTCATTGTGGAATGGAGCAGGAAGGCTTCCATGGTCAGCAAGCTCATCGATCTCAAGTACCACATCGACCAGCAGCGGATCCTCTACGATGCAGCCCTGGACGGCATGATCAATGTGAAGCGAGACCTGACGTATGCCCGGATACCGAGCCCCGACCTCAAGACCGCACTACAAGTGCTCTCCACTGGAACTGCGCCCTGGATGCCTGACGTGAGTTTCGAACATATCGAATGAAGCTAAAGGGACGTGATTTTGCTTACAAGTTTGTGTTTCACAGCTCAACTACATCGAGCCGCCCCCGTTGACAGCAGAGGAGCAGCTGAGGGGCATTGGCGATCTGGATACGCTGCTGTCCCTGCGACTGAACCTCGATGACTTTGACAAGATCCCGCCGCAGTTCAGAGATTACACGATAGAATCAGGCCGGGTCACGTTCAAAGTTGCTGGAGAATTCGAGGTGGACTTGACGATTGCTGATGAGGATTTCGAGAAGCAGTTTTGGTTCATTGATTTCAGATTTGCCTTCCGGCCGGCGTCCACATCTCTACCCGACTCTTTGCGAACGCTCTTGGAGAACTGCGTAAACGAAGCGCTCGCGAAAGATGGCCTAACCGGCTGCTATCAGTTCCTTCACGAATTCGTACTGACCGCCAAGATCAACGAGCTCAGGCGTCAAGCTTTGCATCTGAGCCGAACATCTTGGACTGGCACTCTGGCGGTGGAACGTTTGAATCGGGCCGTGGCCATCCAGTACTGGACATCCCGTTCGCCCGCCACAGGCCTGAAGAGCTGGGTTATCGTCGCGGTGAACAGCGGTCGTAAGCAAGGAGGCAGGCCGGATCCGAAGGCGTCAAGTCACCTGGTGGCAAAATGGTATCGCGATGGCAAGGAGGTCAAGGACGCCGAGATCCAGTTGAACGCCGAGTCTCTGTCTGCGGAATCCTTGCTAAACGACATTGTCGGACGACACATTGAGTTCATCTTGTCAAGTATTCACACTGGATTGTTGGCGACCCCCAGGTTCAAGAACCGCGAAACCGGCGTGGTGCTCAACATCTCCAAATCCGACCCAGGGGCGTCCTCCCTGACTCTGCAGGTGGGATACGGTGGCACGGTGTCGCTCTTGATTGAGCCGACGAGCGGCATGTTCGCGATGAAGCCGCATTCAAGGTTCTCCATCCAGCCCGAGCTGCAGCTAAACAATGGCAAAAATCCAGCGGAAGACGGAGTCACCTTCTTGGAGCACCTGCGATGTGCAATCATCGAAGATGAATTGGGCCGAATGGGAACTGCTAGGGGTTGGTCTGTCCGGAAGTCGCCCATCAATGTCGACGAGTTGAGATCCATTACCAAGATGCGCAGATGGAGTCGCGCTCTATGGCTCCAGCACGGGGGATGGGGGCCAACGTGGTTTGTCGGTGTCATTCTCAGCCTGGACGGGGATGAATGGTGGTTGATTGAGACGTGAGTTATCCGCCTGCGAGTGATGTTGCAATCTTGTCGTCTCTTGTACGTCGTTATTGTGTTTTCCACTACTAAACAAGCATTTTTAGGGATCCCGCTCATCCGAATGGCGCGTCCAAATTTCACACACGACTTCCGCTTAACAAGGGGACTCCCCAGCTGTCAGGAGCCTTCTGGGATAACCTCAACCAGTTTGCAGCCAGCATGATTACCCAGTCAGTGGATATGAGAGAGCTCCATCGACGAAGGATCAAGTGCCAGGCAAACGGAAGCATCGATCTGTCGCTACCGCCGCAGGTTAGAATACCAGCAATCGAAGTGGCACTGTCGGCCATTTTCCCATCAATAATGCCAGACGACGCAGAGGATGCGGGCTCTCAGAACAGCAGCAATCTCGAATTGCATAGCGACCGGGACATGCTTGCGCTGTTACGGTCAAAGGCAGGAATCTCTTCTTCAACCAAGGAAGCCTGGGCCGAGAACGTGGTGGCCATCAAGTTTAAGCGAGCCGATTCGGAATTGAGACAGGCAACAGGCGACGGCGGGCAGATGATGATTCACGACCTCGTTTGCACATCAGAAGTGGCAATCAAGGTCCGGCGGCCGATGAAGTTCTTGGCTCTGGAAGGCTTGAGGAGTCGAGATGTCTGCTACAGCGTTGCAACAAGCGAGTTCATCCTGCGCGTCAAACGGCGCGCCACGGAGCCGATATTCGACATTCTCAAGTCTCGAATCAAGGCCATTGACAGATTTGTCAATTTCCTCGAGGCGATGGAGAAGGCCAAGGGCTCCATCACGAGCCCCTCGATGACGCTGAAGAAGGTCGAATTTTCTTACAAGGCGCCGACGTCTGAGCCGGCGCCGCCGCCGAAAGCGGACGAGGAAGATGGTACCTCTGCTGCTCCGGCCGCCCCAGAAGAATGGAGAGTTGAGTTGGATCTGTCGAGCGAAGATATCGATATCCACATGGACCCGAATAACCCTCATCTCAAGGTCATCGACATAGCAAGGACATTGGCCAATTCAGATAACGGCATCAGCCTGCTCATGGTGTGGCTCCCCATTACTTTCTACGCGGTGAAGGCCATCAAGGACCTCGACGCACAGTGGCTCGAGCCATCGATGAAGGAACTGGGCTACCTCAATTTTAGCATGGAGTCCATGGGATGGATCGTCATCAAGTACCACACCTTTACCAAGGGACGCAACAACGGCGAGAGGACGGCGAGAAGGGTCGTCTGCCTGCATCTGCGGATACGGCCGCGTCGCGGAGAAGGCTGGTGGCACGCTCAGCGAGTTGGTGCTGCTGCTGCTTCTGGCGGTGGTGCCAACCCGCCGCCGTCATCCGACGACGAGTTTGATCAGGCGCTGAAGAAGACGGTGTGGGACGGTAAAGGAAAGCACTGGGTTGGCTTGTCGAGCGGTGCGGCGGCGGCGGCGAACGAGGGCGTCATGGAGATGCTGTTTGCGATTGATGGGGCGATTCGGGCGGCGTTGACTGGTGTCAAAAGAGAGGTGATTGCGTTGGATTAAGGCACACCTGGGCCTTTTGCAGCGGACGCAACAAGGGATACACGATATATATCTTTACGCCTTTCCACAGCCTTTACGGGGAACTGATAACAAAAAGGGGGTTTTGCATGCGCCAAAAATCCACATGGCTATATGAGCTCGGATGATTTGATTACGGGGTGTGTTACAGCGAGGAGGGCGGCGGTACTCTGGCTCTTATTTATTTTGTGCTTTTTAAAAGTATTCACACCTAATGATACCTTGACGACGAAGCAGCGAGAGATGACAAAAAGGAAAAAAAGCATTGGGGATCATGGGAGAGGGGAGGGGGGGGGAAAGGTGGGAACTTGGGAAGAGGTTTTTGGTCTGGGCCATATGTGGACTTTGGGTTTAGTATTTGGCCTTGCTGGTTGGTGTGACCAACCTGGAGAGGCTTGGGAGAGCGAGATGCTTTACGATAGATGTCAGTGAGTAATTGTATGTCGATGTGTACAGCGCGCATTTTTCTATCTACCATGGCATGGCATGTCATGGCTCTCTACCTTCTTTAGTGTTGAATGTTTCTATGCGAAGCAGGACTGTTGATGTCAATGATTCCAACGCCCATTCATGTTTACAAGGTCTGTTTACTGAGAGAAAAGGCCGGGTAGGGTGTGTTTTGAGGTGAGCAGACAGAGCCCCCAATGGGATCTGATGAGGAGCCGAGCTCCGGGGGGGGGGGGGGATGATGCTCGGTTTGAAAGTTGAGTACAAAGGTTACTACTTACTGTCCACTACGTCCAGTTGTGTCTGTAGCCGCCTCTTTTATTATCTTTCTTTGGAATCATCCGTGAGACTTCAAAAGTCTTGTAAGGCAGGTTCTTGTCTCTCCATTAGTATACATCTACCAATTCTCGTGAATCGGTCGCAGTCAAGACTTGTTATTTGGTGTTGCCCCATGTTGCTCAAAGCTAGATTGTCAAGATTTGACATGTTCCTCCATCGTACATCTAGATGTGTATATGGTATATAATGAAACAATTCAAAGAACCAACATGCCCTTTTCTTTCTTCTTTTTTCCCTTTCGCATCATCTCTCCCCCCATCATGATCCATCATCACCGTCTAGAAAACCTCCTCACGGGGATCCTCTCCGTCGGCACCCCGCAAAACTGCGTCGGAAACTCCAGCTGCTCCAGCCCCGTCGTCAACCAGTCCTCCCTCACCACCGTGTTCGCAATGTCGTACCCGTTGCGCAGCGCTCCCATGGCGCCAATCTTGGTGTACGACCCCCCCGCCACGGCGAGCCTGCCGTCGAAGCTGTCGCGCAGGTCCTCGTCCGCGGCAGCCATGGTGTCCTGGTGGCCGCACACGTACTGCGGGATGCACTCGCTTGCCAGGCGGGCCATGGCGAAGCACGGCGTCGACTGCGGGATGCCGAGGTGCCGCTCGAGCACCCTCTTTGCCTGCTCGATGGCCTCTTCCTCGGACGGCACGCGGACGGACGCGCCCGGCTGCTTCTTGTCGTAGTAGTGGCCGCCCATGAGCACGAAGAGCTTCGTGCCGGCTGGCTCGTCGGGGCCCCTGACGCCGACGTCGGAATCGAAGAAGACGCCCAGGGCGCGCTCGGGGTTTTGCTCCGCGGGCACGGAGAGCGGGATGAGGTAGCCGAAGCCGGGGGGCTTGAGGTTCGTCTGGGGGTACCAGATGTTGACGGTCATGATGGACACGGCATGGGAGGAGGCGAGGCTGGGAAGGGTGTCGGTGATGCGGGCGAGGTGTTGTGAGGGGAGGGTGGAGATGACCTTGTGGTATTTTTCAGCGGGCGAGTCGTCTTGGCCTGTTGTTGTAATCTAGGTTTCGGGGTTAGTGAAGATGGACGATGATGGTGGAGCTGCCTCATGTATTGCATACCTTCATCATCTCAGTCTCAGACTCATATTCGAGGCCGGTGACCTTGGCCCCGAGCTTCACCTCGACATTCGCCTGCCCGTTGAGCGCATCAGCCAGCGCAATCGGCAGCGTCTCCATGCCTGCCTCGCCAAAGTTCAGCAGCGCGCCCCTCGGCTGCTGCGCCAGCTTCCGGATCAGCGGGTCCTGGCCCATGGCCTCCATGAAGACCTGCTCCGACAGGGCCATGTGGCGCACGTCGGGCCCCAGGGCCGGCAGATAGTGAACCCAGTAGAACCTGTCGAGGACGCTCCGCGCGCTGAGAGTGTAGATGTCGCCGCCATAGATGCCGTGGACCATGGCCGAGGCCAGGTTCTCCGCCACGGCTCTGCTGCCGGTGATGTGCTGGATCCAGTCGGCAATGGACAGATCTTGTACCGGAACTCCGGCCTTTCGACTAAACAAACGTCGCAGCACGTATCCAAAGCCTGCCCAAAGTGACTCGAGAACGAGGGGCTCGCTGGCAAAGGCAGCCAAGCTGGTATGTGGTGGAAGCGGCACGAGATGGTCGGGATAGTAGATGTATCGGGGCTTGTCGGGCGGCGAGACGACCCTGAGGCCAAGGTCCAGGGCCTACAAACTTGCTCCATTAGCCTTCCGCTCTCTCATCACACACGCATGCACGCACGCGCGCACGCACGCAAGTCCACCATCTGTCATCGCGTATAGACGCACCAGATCCCACAGCACCAGGTCGTCAAACCTCCACGTGCTCTTGTTCAACGACGACAACGACCGCGGCCCCCTCTCGAAACTCACGACGCCCTCCACGCCGCCGACCTTGACCGGCACCCGATCCGTCTTGATCCAGCCGCCCAGGCGATCGCTCGCCTCCAGCAGCGTAATCTTGGCCGTCGGAGGCAGCCACTTGGCAAGGTAGTACGCCGTCGTCAAGCCCGTCAGGCCGCCGCCCAGGACGGCCACGTTTGCGTCGGCGGGCAGCCCCCCGGCCTTTTTGCGCTTATCGAATGTACCCGCGCCGTCATCGCCGTCGATGCCGGTCGCGCTCGTCGACGAGCTGCTGCTGCTGCTGTAGCTGCGGACGGAGCTCAGGCGGTGGCCCGGAGAGAAGCGCAAGCTACTGCTCGTGGGCGAGGTTGTCGTCACTGCTGGTGGGAAACGGACGGGGATTCTTCTCCTCCCGCAGACGGCCGACGACAGCCTGAGGAAAGCCATTGCAGCGCCATCCGCGCGCTTTAGGCTCATGGTGCTGCGGCGGCTCAATTGCTCATCTTTTGAGGGCCTTCCAGGTTCCCAGATGGTGCCACTTGTTGGAGCTTCTTCCGGTGATAACATCTGAGATAATCGGAGATCGGGTCCCACTTTGATCCGCGAAATCGACGTCTCCGCCGTTGGACATGACTAAGACGAGGCACCTTCAAGAGGTTGTTTGCTTGTCCGAGCTACAAATATCTTTGATTGCCTCAAGGAACTAGGTACTCTTCATACACATTCACAAGCCATCAAGTTTGAAACATCAGTTCTAGAGCGACAGGAAGAAAGTAAAACCTCTGTTACCATCCGTCGCCGGCCCTCGTGGCTGAAGCCAACTGCCCGAGTCCCCTCCGGCAGCAACCTCAAAGCCAACCGAGCACGCTGTATAAAACGCTTGTCATCAAGCTTCACACTCTCTGGTAAAGAAAAGAAAAAACAAGAATAGAAAAGATACCATCATCTCCCGGTCCAAAACGCCTTTCCGTGACACGCCCAGCCTGACAAGAAACATATACGTCCAGCATAATCGTACAGGTCCCCCAAGCCCCAAGTCAAAAAAAGAAACTTCATACAAGAGGCTGTAGTGCCCGTCTTTTTTTATAGCAACCGAAGCAGAAAAGAAAAGGCATCACTTGAGCGATGCGCGGTATTCAGAGACTGTCCGTCTTTTGTTTGGGAGAAGATTTTGCTGTTTCTCTCTTTTTGTTCCCGTCTCTCTTCGTACCGTTTTCCCATCATGTTCCCCTAAGCCGTGATTTCTTGATCTTGTGCCATCTCTTGCTTGTTCTCCGTGTCTGGCCGAATCAGCTGCTCTTCGGCATTCTCATCCACAAACTTCCTCTCGCTGACGTGCTCCTGTCCCTGGCCAGGAGTCCAGACCTTGTCCTTGAAGCCGCCCTGCTGGCCCTCCTCGTGTGCAAAGGCACAGGTGGGGTTCAGGCAGGGATTGAACTTGCATTTTGTCTTGACGTGCGTAAACTTGCAGTTTGGCGTCGTGCAATCCGCGCCGTTGCGGCACAGGGGCATTGACGGGTGCTTGAAGGGGCACCGGGGGTTTTGGCAGTTGGGGAAGAACTTGCAGTCCTGCTCGCTCTGGTGGGCAAGTCTTGCGGCCGGTGAGGGGTGGCGCCCGACGCATTTGCGGTTCTTGCAGGCGGCGCCGAAGCTGCAAACATCGTTGACGTCGACCGAGGTGCCGGGGGGCGCGGCCGGCGACTGGTGCGCAAATTTGCAGTCTTTGTTGGTGCAGTGAAGGTTGTATTTGCAGACCGTCTCGTCCGGGTTCGGAGGCTCACGCTTGCCTCCCATGTCAACATCCTCACCCTCGGCACCACCCTCCATGTTCGAGTCCTCCCCGTTGGCATCGGACTGGCCCTGACCTTGACCTTGACCCTGGCCACGGCGAAAGTTATTCTTGTGGCGAGGATCCTGAGTCCTCTCAAACAGAGACTTGCCTCGTCGCTGGTGGCCAAACCCTCGGTTTCCGTTGTTCATCATCTGCTGAGAGAGCTCCAGCATCATCTGGCTCTGCTGCTCCAGCAGCGCCATGACGTCCAGCTGAGAAGGGTGGCCCTGCGGCATCGGCCACTGTGGGAATCCGGGGGCTCCAGGGGCGCCGCCCATGGGGCCGACAGGCATGCCCCGGTTGTTGTTGTTGTGATTCCGCATCATGCCGCCTCGGCCGCCACGGGGGCCACTGGGGGGTGCACGGCCGTGGGTGTTGATTCTCTCGCCGCCTGTTTGTGTGCGAACGCGGTGGAGGACGTTGTCGTTTGATCGATCCATGGCTTTGGACATTTGGCCAAACATTCGCTTGTCTCGGCCTCCCCTCATGTTGCCGTTGCGCATCGAGCGGGGACCGGTGGGCCTAGAATAAGAGCTTCGGTTAGCTTCAGCAGAGCAGGACAGCGATGAGGCATCGAGGCTTCATCAATGGCAAAATCAACAGGATAGAGATACTTACGCATTCAGCTCGGGGGCGTTGCTAGAGCCCATCTCGGTGTCCATTGCCCCGGCGGCATCGCCTTGTGAAGTGTCGCCCATGGAGTCACCGCTGTTTCCCTGCGCGCCATGCGCGTTCAGCAAGTGGATCTGCTCAAAAAGCCATCTGGAGAACTCGTGGACGACGGGGTCGTCGAGCGGAAGGTTGAGGAGGTCTCCTGAAAGCTCGGCGGCAATCTGGTCTTGCGTCTTGCCGTTGACGAGCATCAGGATGATGTATTCGGCGAGGGCGGATTCATCGCCGCCTCCCGTGCCCCATCCGACCTCTACCAGCTTTGGCTGGATCGCAGCACTGAGTGCATCCGCCAGCGGGGTGCCGAGACCAATCTCAACAGACATGGTGTCGAGGCGAGGGGATCGCTGTCGTTGCGTCTTGGGCAACCAGTGCGACGGTGGAGTGTGTTGCCCGTGTCCGACTCTCTCTTTGAGACGCGTTGGATGTATGCGGCAGGAAACGAGGACGCGACAAAGAGTCCCTCGATCCTGATGGTATTTCTCGAAGCGAGCGTGCGTATGAAGGACTGTCGCGAGATGGTGCGAAGCCGCGGTAGGAGTGAGATAAGACTGTAATGGCGGATGTTGGTAGCAGAGGAAGTTCACAAAGTTCTTCGAGAGTGCTAGGCAAGGCAAAAGAATGGGTCAGAATGGCGTCACGTGACGCAGCGTCGCTGGTGGCGAAGCGGTTTGTCATCAATACAGCCTGTGGCTGTGCAGTTGCGAAAGCTGCTAGTAGTAGAATGCAATTAGCAGCCTCGAAGCTTGTATTTGAAAAGGTGCCTAGTACTACCTATACATAAGGTACTACAACCTATGTCTCAAGGTGGTAGATGAGGTATCAGCATCCAGTTTGTTTTCTTTGGCAATTATTCACATCAAAAGGGTATCAGAGGACGGTCTCTGCGCACGCTTGTTTGCTCTATCTTTAACAAATCAACCCCTTTTTCCCAAAGCATGCACCTCGATGCACCTGCAGTAGCCTCACGTGCCAGCATGCGCCTTATGTACCAACGAATGCGAGTTACCTGCTCTCCTACGACGTTGGGCAGCAATACAAGGTACCAAGTGTGTTGGCGTGGGAAAATCAGCGTTTTGTGTTTCCTGCTTTGAAGACTCCACGTGGGTTCAAATATCTATTATAAGTACCTACTACTACTATGTATAAAGATGCGATGAAACCAACGAGGCACATGCAAAAGGTACAAGGCCAGCATTATGACGAAGAAGTAAAGCCCCTTTGTTCTCGAGACAAATAGGATAGGCTGCTTAGTTACAGCTCCATTGTTCATGAGGGCTTGTTGCTTCTTTGAGAATTCTCGTCAGATGTTTCTGAGGAGCCGTACAAACCATTTCTCTTCTAGAACCGAGCGCTTACACGGCAATCTGTGATATCAGTACGAGCTCTCCCCACACTCTCCGAGTTTGCGCGGGTTCATCACAATCAACTGGGTCCGATGGTACATGTAGTATTTTTCAGTAGATACCCACGTGCAAGTAACTTCATACAGAACCTGAATCAAGGCTTTTTGCAGTCCCGGGCCACAATCCTGTTACATATGAACCCAATCCCCAAGAGTCTAGTATTACTTGTTCCCCTCAATTATCGTCTCGATGGTAGAACACAAAGGTTTCAAAAGCAATTGAGATACGTAACACGGTGCATGCTGTAGCACGAAAGTCGGTAGGTAGGTACCCGTTTGATGCTCTTTGATGCTGTTGTTACCTGTGCTTCATAGCGGGGTAAGAAGACGGATGAAGAGAAAGATGACCCGACTTGGCACAGAGAGTAATAGGTATCACTATGCGCTTGGTCATGAGATATACTAGCACAGTCAGGTATCAATGGTGATTGCTAGGTGTCTATCTCTGGCATCACGAGATAAGATGGGGGTAGGGGGTCATGGATGCATTCAGCTTACAATAGATCCAGACTTTTTGGGGACCAGCAGTGATGGCATCGTGAATAACAGAGCTGAAAGGGACCACGAGCCAGTGTTACATGCCGCGTCGCCGGAGATGCCCATGTCTGTCTGCCCAGCGCCATGGAGGGAGTGTAACCTAGCAAGATGAAGCCATGTAGGGTGCTACTACTAGTACTGGTGTTATTAGTCAATGGGCAAAGCGTCGATGTTGCCGGATACTAAGCTTCATGTTCCTACCTAGACGGACAAATAACGACAAGGGCTGCATACATGGACGCCAACGCCACAGGAGGGGCTGGAGAGGTTGGAGAGGTGAGGTTACAGGCGTGCCAAGGGTCGAGATGCCGCTGCTTTTGCATCGATGCAGTAACGAGACGGTGTCAATATGGATTCCATTCCTGCATTCAAGATGGATAGGCATACTATCCGGTACCTACCCATCTATACAGTCTCTATCCGTCCTTGAGTCCATGACTCTCGAGTATCACGACAGCTTCAGCAAAAGTGCTGTAAGTACATACCTACTAACAACAGATTATACCTACAGGATGATAATACAATGAAACAGCACAATCACCACCATCATCACCACTTGTCAGCATTTGACCAGTAATTTCCGGTCCCCCCCCGCAAAATGACCCGGCAAACCACCGAAACCCCCCCCCATCAAGATTCAAGACCGACGGCTTGACAATTGACAGATGCCTCATCGAGACTAACCCCGTGTGCCAACGGACCAGGGGTTTATCCGGCCAGTGATTGGCCCGCGATAACGGCCCGTTGGGGGGAAGAGAGAGGCGTCCCCGCATGACGATCGCAATCAGGGATTCTCCAACCATTTTTTGCTGGCTCTTCCTTGCTTCTTACAGCAGCATTATCACAGCTAGTAGTACTAGTATCATGATTACAACCACACTTGCGAATGCTTTTATTATTACTAGCGACCATGGCGAGGGGCGACAGGAGACAACACAGAAATTTGAAGGAAGAAAAGTCCCGGGGCTGCAGCGGCTTACAGGGGACGAGGCGTGCTAAGACACCGACATCACCACTAAACTGCATTTGCCGGCTCCTACAGGACAGTACAGTACTGTACAAACGTGCCTACAGGAAAGGGACCCGACAGCAAGAGAAGAGGAAAAGGAGAAGCAACGTCGGCTTTACGGCGGTCTGGCCCGCCCGCGAATAGGCGACCCGCGATCGGTCAATGGCTGGTTGAATGGCCATTCATTCAGAATGACCCAAAGGTCGGCATGGACGCAGCTGGCCCTTGGCGGCCATCATCGACCAACTACTACTACTACCCCATCCATAGCACAGTCGCACTGCAGCTTCAGCTCGCGGCCTCGATCGGTCCATCGCCTGGAGCCGAGCCGCTTCAGAGATGGCAGGTTCATTATCGTGAGGTCCGGTGGGTTCAGCACGGCGTGGTCAGGCGGTGGTGCCGTTGCATACCTGGTAGGTTGCCCTATGGAGATCCATTACGGAGTGACTCGTTGGATCTCTCGTCAGATCTCACCCCTGGAGATGCCTCATTGGTCTTGTTTCAGGTTCCCGGCTATAGTGCATACAAGACAGGCACAGCCTTGTAATATGTGCTGTGATGCTGGTAAAAGTGCACGATCTGTCCGGCATGACCAACTCGGCGGGTTTCTCCTCCCTCGATCACGCACCTAGTACAACTACTACCTGAGCAGCTGAGGTATGCACAGGCCCGGTCAAGTCGACGACAAGTGACTTTTTCAGCATCTGCATTTGTCTCTTCTTCGTCAATCACGCAAGCACAGACGAAGCCAACGAGGCGCACATGCTGTTGGTCGGCAGCCGTGGGGAGGAGTGCTGCTGCATGTGCAGGCAACACCACCAAAAGAACGAGAGGTCAACTTAAGGTAACGTTGCCCTCACCAAGCCATCTCGGCCCCCGGCAGACAAAAGCGCCACAGGACTGGACCGGCTTTCACCACGCAGACAGGGGACGGACGGGCTCCAGCTCCATATCCGGAGCACCTGCGCAGCCTCTGCCTCTTGGAGCAGTGAATTTGTCGCTCTCTTGCTGCCGACCTGCCGAACCGCTGGAACCAGGGCTGGAGCTGGAGCTGGAGCTGGGACTGGGCATGGAAGCATGGAACCTACTAGCAGGACAAGTATGTATCACGACGATGCAATTCAGTAGGTCCATACATGGTATTGCCATGGACAGGCATCAGCTGCCATGTAGCATCGCATTGGGACGGCCCTGAACCGGCCCTGGACTTGGACCTTTCACTGGATTGGGCGGAAACTGGCGGCTGCATCATCGAAATTCGACAGTCGCGTGGCAAGGGTCGTGCTCCCGCCCACCACGGCTGCTGCTTTGGGAGGGATCGCCTTGGCCACTCGGCACAGGCATCCCTTGACCTGACGAGCCCAGGCATTCTTGGTCAATAGTACTACCTACTTATACCGCTGGACCCTCGCGTCGGGTTCTGGGGATCTTCAGCGGCGGTTCCCTCTCCACCGACGAGTTGCTGTTGCCGGTCTGCTTGTATCATCATCACCTATCGCGACTCGCAGTAGCAGGACCATCGCCGCCATGATGCTGCTGCCCAAGGCCGTCCTGGCCATTGCCGCCCTGGCCTTCAGCCCTGCCAATGCGCTGTGGCCCATTCCCCAGAAGATCTCGACCGGCGACGGCGTGCTCTTCATCGACCAGGCCGTCCGCGTGACGTACAATGGAGTGCCGGTATGTGGACGGTGAAGAAGAAGAAGAAGAAGAAGAAGAAGAAGATGATGATGATGATGATGATGATGCTTCTGCTGCTGCTTCTGCTGCTGCTGGGACCAGATTTGCTGACAGCCTTCACAGATCATCACCATCGGCTACACGCCCCCGGCCAGCTCCCACTTCGACAGCCGGCAGATTGTCCAGGGAGGCGTCTCGCGCGCCCTGCAGTCCATCTTCAGCACAAACTACGTGCCCTGGAAGCTGCATCCGCGCAACAGCAACTTCGAGCCCAAGCTGGCGCTGCAGAACCGCGTCCAGACCATCGCCATCCAGCAGACGGGCAAGGACTCGGCCTCGACCTTCAAGCCGCGCGCCGGCGACGTCGACGAGTCATACTCGCTGACCGTCTCCAAGACGGGCCAGGTCAGCATCACGGCCAAGTCGTCGACCGGCGTGCTGCACGCCCTCGAGACCTTCTCCCAGCTCTTCTACAAGCACTCGGCCGGCCCCTTTTACTACACCACCCAGGCCCCCGTCTCCATCACCGACTCGCCCAAGTACCCGCACCGCGGCATCATGCTCGACCTGGCCCGCAACTACCAGACCGTCGACGACATCAAGCGCACCATCGACGCCATGTCCTGGAACAAGCTCAACCGCCTGCACCTGCACATCACCGACTCGCAGTCGTGGCCCCTCGTCATCCCCAGCCTGCCCAAGCTGTCCCAGGCCGGCGCCTACCACCCGAGCCTCGTCTACACGCCCGCCGACCTCGCCGGCATCTTCCAGTACGGCGTCGCCCGCGGCGTCGAGGTCATCACCGAGATCGACATGCCCGGCCACATTGGCGTCGTCGACCTGGCCTACAACGACCTCATCGTCGCCTACGAGCAGATGCCCTACCAGTACTACTGCGCCGAGCCCCCCTGCGGCGCCTTCTCCATGAACAGCTCCAAGGTCTACGACTTCGTCGACGCCCTCTTCGACGACCTGCTGCCGCGCGTCGCCCCCTACAGCGCCTACTTCCACACCGGCGGCGACGAGCTCAACGCCAACGACTCCATGCTGGACCCTCACATCAGGAGCAACGCGACCGACGTGCTGCAGCCCCTGCTGCAAAAGTTCCTCAACTTTGCCCACGCCAAGATCCGCGCCGCGGGCCTGTCGCCCTTTGTCTGGGAGGAGATGGTCACCACATGGAACCTGACGCTCGGGAACGACACTGTCGTGCAGTCGTGGCTGGGCGGCACCGCCGTCAAGGACCTCGCCGAGAGCGGCCACAAGGTCATTGACACCGACTACAACTTTTACGTGAGTCTTCTTCTACTTCGTTTCCGACTTACATTAATTTACACTATTATACAATCTTGATTGCACAAACCAATCATGCTAACAAATGCCAAACACAGTACCTCGACTGCGGCCGCGGCCAATGGGTCAACTTCCCCAACGGCGCCTCCTTCGACACGTACTACCCCTTTGGCGACTGGTGCGCCCCGACCAAGAACTGGCGCCTCATCTACTCCCACGACCCGGCCGCCGGCATCTCCGCGTCCCACGCCAAGAACGTCCTCGGCGGCGAGCTCGCCGTCTGGAGCGAGATGATTGACGCCAGCAACCTCGACAACATCATCTGGCCGCGCGCCAGCGCCGCCGGCGAGGTCTGGTGGTCCGGCAACGTCGATGCGGCCACGGGCCAGAACCGGAGCCAGCTCGAGGTCGTGCCCCGGCTCAACGAGTTCAGGGAGAGGATGCTCGCCAGGGGCGTCAGTGCTATGCCCATCCAGATGACGTATTGCACGCAGCTCAACGCGACGGCCTGCGCCCTTTTCCCATGAGCGTCGTCTGCCTCTTTTTGGAAACATTGATGTTTGTGGTCTTTTTATTATTAGTGCATAAGGGGTTTATAAGGTATGGATCAATGAGTCTGGGAGGCATGCCTTGAAGCGTATTGTATATATCATTTTTTATTCTTAATGAGTATCACTGTGAGAGTGAGCATGTTTGGACAGGACATCTTTTTTATTTGCACAACGCTCCCAAATCTCCAACATTGAGGCAACAATAGCTCGGTAAGCCTTGTGTGATGCTTTCTAGTGTCTGCGTGGGTGTATGTACCCTGTCTGGTTACAAGACGTCATCCAACGTCTCTGATTTCCTACACACAACTTCTTCTCCCTGATGATTTTGTACTCTTTCAGATAAAAAAGCTCCCCAATTCCACGCCATGCTCTCTCCTTCTCTCTCACCTCCTTCATCCACCGATTCGTCAGCCTATTATAAATGAAATGCCATAACCACATCATCAGAGAAGAAGAAAAAAATCCATCATCTTTCACTCATCCCAACTACCCGTAACCGAACAACAAGGACAAAAGCAAAACTGTAGAGACGAATCCATGCCATTACAAAACAGAAACCCCAAAAGTCTCCTCATCCCTCCCCCCCTTTCTTTCGGCTCTCAAACGAAACTTCACGCATCCGCCGTCCCCGTAGTCGCTGCCGTCGCCGCCGCCGCCTTGACAGACCACAAGTCCCTTGACCAGCCCGACTCGCGCTGCTGCCTCTTGCTGCTAGAACCCGACGGCCTCTTGTCCCCGGTGGCAATGGCCAGCGCCTTGCTGCACGCCGCAAGCGCCTCGACGAGCTCCGTCATGCGCCTGGCTTCGGAAAAGGCGTCCTTGAGGTCCGACTCGCGCTCCGCAATCCTGGCCGCCAGCTCCATGCACTCGAGCAGGTTGTCCCGCGACAGGCCCGTGCCGGCAAAGTGGAGGGCGCTGATGTACGCCAGGATGGTCTCGGGCAGGTAGGCGGCCCGGATCTCTTGCATCTCGACATCGCCAGCTGTTGTTGGAAAGAAAGAACATTTGTTAGCAGACCAGATCTAGACAATACGGGCGAAAGATAGGTAGTCAAGTCAAAAACAAATACCTTTGATGGCGGGTATCAGCCATCCCTTCAGCAGGGGCTGCATGTGCTCCTTGAGCTTCCTGAAAGTGTCGGCTGCTGGGCCCCAAAAGTCGCGGTCTCCGTGTGACAGCCTAACACCCAGCAGTTTGTCAGTAGGCGTTCTCATTAATGTCTTTCTGGGGATGGCAGACAACATACTCAGTCGAGAGAATCATCAATGACGCAACCGTCTCCAGATCATCCAAGGCACGGACGAGGGCTTCGAGCCCGCGGAAATTTCGCGCCTCGGCCAGCACCTGCTCGGGAGTCATGTTGGAGATTTCGCTGCGCTCCATCAGTCCGGCCCAAAAGTCCACGTCCTCGTACCAGCAGTCGTCGGTCTCTTCCTGTCCAGATATCCCCTGGATGATCTTATCGAGGGAGATCTTCTCCATCAGCCGTCGGGCAGAGCCAAGCCGTCCGCTCCCTGTCAGAGATGTCAGCCACGTATTCCCCCAAGACCAGTAGTGCAAATGCGGTTTTCACGTACGCAAGAAGAACTTGTAAACCTTTGTCCCCATGGCAAAGACATCCGCCCACTTTCCGTCCACCATCAAGAGCCACTCTAGCGAACGAATCACATGGTCGTCGTCGTCCTGGGCGGCGCCCTCCTCGTAGCCAAAGAAGTCGGCCTTGATCAGCTTTCCAAACTGCGGCGCTGCCGGTTCGTCGCTGACGATGCTAAAGGGGGCTTGCTGAGCTGCCTTCTGGCCCAGTGCCTCGTAGAAGAGCAACACCTGCCTATCCACAAACTTCAGCACGTCGATGCCGGCCTTTCTTATCAGTTTCAACTGCAGCAAGCGCTGTTCTGGGTCCTCTTCGTGAATCAGGTTCCAGCTCAAGACGTCGTACTGTCGGGGGGCCTCCAGTATTGAGCAATACAGAGGGATAAGCTCCTGAAGCCCGGCACGGCGCAAGTAGTCTGTGTATCCCGCCAGGATACTCTCCTGGGCAAATGTCCACTGTGAGCTGGGGATGTTTCTCTGGGCAGCAGCGGTCTTATTCAGCAGCTTGTTCATGAGCGTTATGAGCACGTAGACGTGTGCTACAATACGGAGTCCATCATGCTGATCCAGGCTAAAGTATTTTTTCTTCACGACGGATAGGTTGACGCCCTCGGGAGAAGAAGATGGCAGAAGTATGGATTTGCCATTCGCATTCGCATCCGCCGTCATGACCAGTCCCTGCTCGTACAAGTGCCGCTCGACGTCCTTGGCAATGAGTGAGGCCTGCAGAGCTTTACTAGGCTCCGTCGCCTCGTCGTGGGTGTTGGGCTGCGCCTCCAGCGATCGAACAATGCGCTTCTCAACGCCCTGTGGTTTTCCCAAGAACTGCACGGCGTCAAAGGAGGAGAAATTCTGTGTCAGTGTCGAGCTGACATTTGCCGGACATCGACTCAGCAAGTAGGTGTCGAACTGGGTTCGCAAGAGTGCGTTGTAGTTGGCAAAGAGGAAGTCGTCCCACCTCCTGGCAATTTTCTCGACGCTGCTGATATCGCCCGAGAGCACGCCATATACGGCACGCTCGTAATCATCCGAGCCGCCTTGACGAGCCAGGGCAAAGCACATGCGCCTCCAGAGGGCCAGGGACTCGGGCTTCAGGTCGTCCATCGGGGCGCTTTCGTCGTCTACGGACAGGAGCATGGGAGACATGGACACAGCTCGCCACATCTCGGTCCGTTCCTGGCACCATTCGCGCAACTCCTCCAGGCTGCTGCCGCGGCGAAGATGCTCAAAGCAGCCAAGCCAGATGGCGCGCTCAAAGTACTCGTCCGCGGGCTCCAGCTTCCGGCCCTGGCGAGTGATGGCGTCGGGGTCCAGCTGGGTGATCAGTGGCGCGCCGTCCTTGTTGACGTGAGACTCCATGACTCTGGGCGCTTGGCGATCCAGAAGCCCATGCCACGCCGTCAGGTTCTTCCGTAGCTTGATTGTCGCGCGCGTGTGCAGCCAGCCATGGGCAATGATGTCCCCTCGATCGGCCTGCTTCAGCAGATCTCGGGCAAGATCATCGATATCCGGGCCAGCAGCCGCGTTGCTCTGGAGCCACTGCAGGACAGCATGGCGCTCTCGGGCTGTGGGGTCCGCAAGGAGAAACTCGAGCAGCAAGTCGGACTGTGTTTGGTTTGTTGCTTCTATCGATTGCCGTTCGTCTGTCTTTGGTTCTTGAGGCGCGAAGCGTAGGGGTAGTAGTCTCCGTACCAGGTCCCATGTCTGCACCTCTTTCTCCAGCTGCTTGATCTCATCGGCCTCTCCAGCGACGCCCTCTCCATCCGCCGTCTCAGCGTCATCGGCATCCATGTCGACATCCTCGTAGCCGCTGCGAGCTCGCTTCGGCCTCACCTGCTGCAGTCGTCGGGACGCATTTTCGTAGTATTTTCGGGGGAGGTCGAGGATGCGGGCCTGCTTGTCTTCTGGCGATAGGTATGGCGAGAGGCAGTTGTCCAGGGCGTTGGCGAACTCCTCCACCTCGGGGCCGGCATTGAGGTCGAACGAGAGGCCCTGCTCCATGGTTGAGTTGGCGGAAGCGGCAAGCAGAGTCGCCTGCAAGCTGCGGTGCTGTATGATGAGGCGAAAACACACGTCAAGAGCTCTGCGATGTATCAACCTTCGCCCTCAAATCGTCCCCAAGCAGCGACCACAAAGAAAGTCTGGCTGGCGTCTAGGTGCCGACTATTCAGGGCGTTGACGTTGGCCGCATAACCCGAATGTGCGTCGCAATCGGCAGTTGAGTGGGGATTCGATGCCGTCACAGTCGCGACTGAGGCTCTCGTCGATTTGAGGAGTTGGTGATGCTTGTTTGGCGGAAATCGTGGGTATGCGAACGCAGAAACTCGGCAGCTCGATATTTTGTTGCTTCACGCGCTCGAGCTTGCACACGAATGGCCTGCTCGACGCTAAAGGCAGCGCTAGACCGCGATAGGTCCTCGGTGGATCTGATCTCGCATTACTACTACTATGTACTACGATATGCATCAAAGCGGGCTTGAGCGCACGAGGTGAATCCGACTACTACTGCAAATTTTCGTCGCGCTTTTTTTTTTTTTTCCTCTTTTTCTTCTTTTCTTTTCTTCATCATAATGTCATCGGCATTCGTATTAGAGTCTCGGAACAAGACGCTTCGATGCTTGTTCAGGTCCCATGAGGATCTCTCGCGTGCTCAACGATCGCCTAGAAAAACTCGCTCCTCATAAACGTTGCCTGAAATTCTCTACACTGGTTGACACACCATACGATGAGCGTACAAATCCCCTCTCTAGCCTCTCAGAATTATTGTCGTCCCCCCCAAATCTGGTAGAAGTACATTCTATCTATCTAGGTATATATCGTAGGCTTTGTGCGTATCTACATGCGTTGCAATATGACTCTGGCCGCAGAGGCTGTAATCCTTGGTCTGCCGCCACATGAGGTGTTCATTTGCCCTCGTTCTGCTGCTGGAGCTTCAACCGGAGCAGTTTCGGTTTGGGACAGCTAGGCGAGGAAGCATCATCGCCGTAACGCTTGTAAAAGGCGTCACAGCACTCGTACAATGCCTTGACGGCGTCCTGGCAGCGAGCCTCGTTGTAGTTGTTCTTGGTCAGACAGTCTGTGTGGCATTTCAGCTCCCGTCTCGTGTCTTTTCTGTGCGCTGTCCTTGTGATGGATGGGCCTACCCTGAATAGCACACTGCGGTTCGAGCAACAGGCAAAGGGGCCTCTTGTCAGCTCCAGAATGTCAAAGTAGGATGTCATACGGGAATGCTCACTGCTCGTGGATGACACGGCGGACGTGCATCAACGTCGTCTTTGGGGGACGGCTGCAACCTCAATGTTTGCCATTATTTCACATGATGCACAACTGAGTGTTTCAATGATGTGAATTGGTGAGACGAACCATGACTGAATAGAGGCGGACAACAGACCACGCCTCAACAAGCCAAAGATACCTCTACACTCAAACAAAACTGGGCAACGAGTACCGACAATCCCCCAAAGATTCACAGAGGTATGATTCGAAAGCGTCCGTTTGTTGCAAGAGAAAGACCGAGTTCCGGATAATTATATCGTCCATCCAAAGCAGGTCAAAAAGACTCGTTGAATGTACTCGTATCGTCGACTGATGTCATCAAATCCCAAGCAGCCGCGCCCTTTCCCATCTCCCCAGCTCCACAAAACCCGCGCCCGCCGCATCCAAGTCACTCAGGTACCGGCCTCTCAGCAACTTGCAGCGCTGAACAAGAGCGCTAACAGCACTGACCCCCCAGCGCACTCCAGCGTGCCTCGGCGCTCAATCACCGCCGCCCAGCCGTGCAAGACACTGTACCTCCTGCTAGCAGCGCAGGTAACCCCGAGGCAGCCTCCTCAGCCGCCCAATCAGGAGCCTCTGCTCGCCTTGTCCCGCCCCCACTGTCCTCCCCCAAAAGAAGGCCACCCTCTTTCATCGCCTTTGCTCATCACATCACTTTTCGCCCAGCCCAATCTTTCATCAACTTCAACTCCTCTTCTCGCATACAACTCTCGCCCTTCACAAGACTCACACAAGAGCCCTCAACCCATAAACACCAACCTTCTCCTCCAAGCCAACCGCTCTTTCAAAACCAACAAAATCGCAAACGCGCAAAGCCGAACAAAAACAATGGCCGAAAACGACAACCAGTCCCCCCAGGACAACGTCCCTCCCCCCAACACAGAGCACCTCAACATCAAGGTCACCGACAACAACAACGAGGTCTTCTTCAAGATCAAGCGCAGCACCAAGCTCGAGAAGCTCATGACCGCCTTCTGCGAGCGTCAGGGCAAGTCCCTCAACTCGGTGCGCTTCCTCTTTGACGGCACGCGGGTCCAGCCCACGGACACCCCGGACGCGGTATGCTCCCCTCTCCTCCATCTTTCTCTCCATTTCCCCTCCATCTGTTCATTGCGCGTCTTTCTCAAAAGAGTCTCTAGAGTACTCTTAAGAGTATGGGTGAGCGTTGCTGACGTGTCCCGTGTCTGTTGCGATGATAGCTCGAAATGGCAGATGGCGACACCCTCGAGGTCCATCAAGAACAAGTCGGCGGGCGCCTGCTAGGATGACGACACTCCCATCACGGAACGACGCATACGGAGAAACAAGCCAAAGCACGAGAAGACCGAAATGATTGAACGTTTACGAAATCGGAGACCCAAGGAAAAAAAAGAGAAAAAAAAGAGGACAAACGGAGTGGGACAAGGCAAAAAAGAGGCAGTGAAGGGAAACCACAGGCGTCTGAGCTGGGGGGGAGTGTGATATTTTTTTACTATCCTCAGGGTTGCGCGCTTCCCGCTCGATTTTACACCCTTTCTTCATCACATCTCGTACCTCGCACATAAGGGTACTGCGATCTACCTACCTACTACCTACCTACGGAGTCATCGTGGTATCTGTAATACAATAGAGCAGAGAGACAAAAGTCAAATGTCACAGATGGAGAACTCTGCCGTCCTCTATAATGCCGATCTACCACGTCTCGTCTCCCCTCAAGCCTGCTATCATACAAGTTCACTGCAAATCAGAATCACAAAGCCAAGGTTCACCCCGGACACGCAAAGTCTCGTCTTCATTCCATGCCTATGCTACCTATCGTATCCATCCCTGTGCTTGCCTGTCTCCTTGAATCAATCAAATAGAACGCCCCATGCGAAAAAAAAAAAAGCCAAGTAAAGAGAAATTCACGGCATCCGTAACCAGCATGAATCGCATGTTCCTCATTCTTCTTTCTATGTCTTCAAAACTTGAGCTCCCTCTGCCGGCACTTGGTGCATAGGATAACGGCCCCCGTCGCCGTCTCCTTGGGGAAGATCTGCCCGTCATCGAACCCTCCCTTGCACTCGGCGCAGCGGAAGCAGTGCTCGTGCCACTCGCCTCCCAGCGCCTTGATGTACTGGCCGATGACGGCCGTCTTGCACATCTTGCACTTGGGCGCCCGCCGCTCGGTCCGCTTCGTCTGGCAGTTGATGCACCAGGCGTAGCCATCCTTCTCAATGTGCGTCATGCCGTGCTCAAACGGATCGCCGCACTCGGCGCAGAAGAAGTGGCCGTAGTGCCAGTGTGCTCCCAGAGCTACAATGTGCTCCCCGAGGATGGGAGTTGTGCAGTGCTTGCAGCGAGGGGCAAAGAGCTCGTGCCAGTCGAGGTGGCAGTAGAAGCGGAGGCGCTCGTCCCCGTCCTCCGCCATGGTCATGCCGGGCTTCTCCTCCAGTACCTCTCCCGCCGCGCGACGCCGAATCCGATCCAGACGCTCTGCCCGCGCCGCTTCTGGCTCGGGGCTGATCTCCATGGCCTCCAGCCTGGTGCTGCAGGTGTAGCAGCGGAAGCAGTGAGGGTGGAAGCGCTCAGAGAGGCCAGCCAGCGCCACAAACTTGCCTTCGATGGGCTGCTCGCACTGATTGCAGATCGTTCCGGTTCGCACATGGGCACTCGAGGCTGGCGACCAGTGACCGCGCGGTCTCGGCAGGTCCCGCGCGCCCTGAGGCCCTCGGCCGCCCGGAGTCGGCAGAGGACGAGAGCCTCTTACGGGCGAGTCCCTCACAGGGGAGTCCTTCACGGGCGACGTCGAGATGCTGGGAATGCCGCGGCGGGTCGGCGTCTCGTCCACTGAAATGGACGGGATGTTGATGGCAGGCGTCGGCCGCTTTGGGGCCTCGTCTGGCTCTGCTATCGAGATGGACGGCACACCCGTGCTCGTCTGCGCCCGTGGTCGCGGCGAAGGGTCTTCCGCCACAACGATACTAGGGATATCCATAGGCCGCGACGGTGTTTGGGGTTGGGATTGGGGCTGGGTTTGAGGTTGGGACTGTGGCTGGGACTGGTAGCGGTTAGATGCTGGCGTGGTCGGGTCTGGTCGTCGGTCTGAGCTCGCATCAGTGGACTTGGCCTCCTCCGGGGCTTTCCAGTTCGCATCGAAGCTTACAATGGGCCTCCCAGGGCTGTCGCTGACCGCAGTAGGTTCCGGGAGCTTGGAGCTGCGGTCCTTTAGCCTCATGCTCGTGGCTTCGCGGATGTCCTGGCTGCGGATCTCGACGCCGTTCAGGTGCTGTCCCTCCGGGAGCTGCTGCGCATTGGACACGGGCGTGTTGACCTGGTACGGGGCGGTGCGCGATCGACTCGGAGGGTTCCTGTGGATTTCGATCCGCTCCAGTCGCTTCGTCGGGCTCGTCTCGCCCTGGTTGCGCTGGTAGGGAACGCGGCCCATCGTGTTGGACGGCTTCTGATGCAGCGAAGCGGGCGAATCACCGTTTGGAGGAGTCGATGTCGTAGGGCCGTCGCCTGACTGGGCTTCGGGCTCTTCCCATATCTGATCCCCCGAGAACGGGCGCTCGACTTCTCCGCTGACGTTCCTCTTCATGCTGCTGCGCCGACCGCCCGTGAAGCGCCCGCCGACGCCTCCATAGGACTTGGTTTTGCTGGTTGGGGACTCTTCGGCCTGGGCGCCTTTCCTCTCGGGGGATCCGTTGAGTCGGGCACCGTTGTCCTCCTCGGACGAAGTGGCCGACGATGAGCGGAAGGAGGCATATGAGTTCCTGTTTGACTTGTTCGCCCCCGGTGAGTCCTCTCCCTTGGCCAGAGCCGCCGCTCGGGCATGTGCGTAGCTATCCTTTCTAAGGTGTGAGCGGTACCGGTACGCACCCTCTGGCGGTCGAGGCTTGACTCCGTTCTGGTGCTCCCAAACGAGCTCGGCTGCCTCATTAAGAGCAGCGTTGTAGATGCGAGTCTCCTCGTCCTCGGCAGCGGGGTCGACATCGGGCGTGTTCTTTCTGCTCTCCCGTAGGTCCATCTCCTCCATTGCGTCTCGCAGCGACGAAGCCTCTTCTCTTTCCATCCACCGCCGGCCGCGCTCCATATAGCTAGCCGTAGGCACCACGTCATCCGGCTTCAACGGAGGAGGCGTAGGTCGCGAGGGATAGTAGTCACGGCTCCGGGAGCTGATTGTCGAAAGGCGACTCGATACCATGCTCCCGCCAACGAGGCTCGGGGTGAAAGACTGAGACCGCTGATGGCCGACATGAGGGGCGGGAGACGGAGAGTCTCGAGACGGTGCCGTCGTTGCGTCGAAGCTAATGTGGCTGAGACTGTTTCGATTTACCTGCGGCCGATTGCTGGGAGGGAGCGGCCTGGCACCGCCGGGCCTGACCACGGGCTTGTTTCGAAGGTTTGCGAGGTAGCTTGCTGCTCACGGCCATGTGCATTAGCGATCCAGCTCCAACACCGTCGTCTCGGTCCAGATTCACGATCCACGCCGCAAGTTCGTACCAAACTCGTCTTTTGTCATGTAAGATGGTGATGGCGGCGTCGCCGTCCGCGACCTGACCTCGCCCGATTGCCTCATATTTATTGGTTCCTCTCGCTCGCTCGCACGCACGCAACGCTTCTCTGGACGCGGAAATCGAATCGGATCGAGGCCGGGACTGTGACCGTGACCGTGACCGTGACCGTGACCGTGACCGTGACCGTGACCGTAACAACTTGAAGATGAAGGCAAGGTAGGGCCACCTTGGGCGGTACGGGGGGGGGTTTTATGGGTGCACTCGGCCTGCTGTCGAGGTACCGCAGGCTGGCGGTGACGGGAGGCTAGAGAGGTCGCATGCGAGGCGTGACGTTTTGTAGGTAGTAATAAGGTAAGGTATGCAATGCAGATGTGAACAAAGCCGTGCAGTTGTGCAAGTCATCGATCGTCCCGGCCAATTGATGGTTGGGGGTTGACGGGGCAACCCTGGGCATGTTCCGAGACAGCTGGACCTGGACCCCAGACTCAGACCAGGGGGGCGCCTAACGCCTCCTGCTAATGGCTGCATCGCAGCGGCTGGCTAGCGGTCTTCAGTGCTGCCGTAGCGCTGCGTGTGCCTGTAATCCGCACCGCTAGCCGGCACTAGCCCGTCCAGCTCAGCTATCGACTGGTGCAACGCCAATTGGATCCAATGGAACCCAAATCTCTGCATGTGAGCTGGCATCCCATCCCATCCATCCATTCGCACAAGGTTCGCTGGCTGCGTATAAGTGACGAGAGAGACACAACTTTTTGTGTAAAGCACGGTAATAATACCACTGATTCGAGAAGAAGAAAAAAAGGGAGAGGAGAGATTTGCTAGCAGGGGGGGAGAGAGAGCGCTATGATACAGCGGGCTTGGAAAGTTCCAGATCGCTGCTAGCATAAGGCATGTAGCAACATAGTATGTACATACAGGGACAGATAATACGGGTTGGGCAAATGTCAACATGGGAACGGCCCAATGGCCTCAATCCTTCCCTCCCCCTTTGCGACTTTTGTGCCTGGTCCTGTGCCTGTGCGACCCAGGGACGCCTTTCCGGCTACGGAGTGAGATGCCCACTCGCCCTGCTACCACCGGAGTTCGCCTTTGACGCCCTTTTCTGGCTCTGCCGGGGGCTCCGCGAAGCCCAGGTTCTTGAACTCGTCGCGAGCCATCAGGTTTCTTCGGATTTGCAAATACGTTAGCCCACGGCAACTGTCTCACTGCTTCTGCGTCTCGTCTCTTCTCGTTACCTGTCCATCCTGCAAGTGAGATATGCCTTGGCCAGGTTGCGGCACTCATCCTCGTTGACGCCGCGGACCTTCTTCATGCAGGAGAGATAGCTCATCATGGCCTTTTTGCACTCGCCTGGTCCAGTTAGATTTCGGCAGCTGAGCAGAGCAATGCTATTGCAGCTGAGCATGCTTACCATCGTGGTCCAAGGGGAAGCTCCCTCGCTGAGGCCTATGGAGAACGGCGGGTCAGCCCAGCTCCTGAGCTTCAAGTCATGGGCGAGGGGACAACGTACGGGGTTGGCTTGGTTGTTGGCAGCGACCCAGGGCTGCCGAATGTACTCATTTCTCCAGGTGCCGCAACAGGGGCATATCCCTTTTTTTTTTCTTGGTCTCCCTTTACTCTTTTTTTTGCTGGGTTGGTTATGAGATGAGACTTCCAGGCCGTCTGTCGCGCATGATGGTTGTCGAAAAGCGGTGGGGCCGGACCCCGATAGAGCGGCACGCATTGCTTAGCTAAACATGGGCCTAACACTGGCTTGCAACCCGGGTGGCGAATCAGGTCGCATAGCTGCATAACGGGCATTTGTCGCCTTGGCCGCATTGGGAAAGACGGCACCCGAGAAGACGGAGGATTTCTGCCGGGGAGGCTTTTGCTGGAACTTCTAGACGAGATCTTGACTACCTAGGTATTCTACTCTACCTTACTGTATGTACTGTACATACCTCTCGAGATCTGCTGCTGCTCATCCGCCTCTGTCCTCGTTGTCTGTCAAGACGGTACTCGCACTTGGCCAGTATTCTAACGAATGATAGCAGTAGGATACCTACGAATCAGCGCTACAACCGCCATGGGAGCAACGCAGCCGTGACTCAAAAGGTGGTCGGCCGAACACAGAGAGAAATTCTCTTCCCTGCAGGGCCTCCCTCTCTGGGCCTTGGAACGGACGGACCATTCGCGTTGTGACACACTGCAAGCCAGCGCAACCGCTACTAGCTGCAGCAGTCGTGTTCTTTCGAGCACTGCGGGAGGGTTCCACAGGCGCCCAACCAGAGACAGGGCGTTTGAAGCAGGCGACTTTCGTCCTTGGTTGGCTGGTTCAGGAGCGCCTCTTGTCGCAGGTATCGATCGGGTCGCAAAGCATTGTCGGCGGGGTGGTTGTAGTGCGGACGAGACGGCTTGATGCCCTCCATCTCCTTGATGAGCAGCGACCTGGAGGTGTTACACAATCAGGTGAGCAGCATTGTGCGCAGTATGACATCTTGTCTTGGCTCCGAAGGCATCTTTACGCATATCTATAATGCAAGCTGTGATAGTCAGAGGCATTTGTAGCCGAGAGCTATTAATCAAGGATCTTGACTTCAGCGGCCTGTTTGAGTCTTCGATGTGGCGGACAAGTGCTAGTATTACCTATTCCTCGCAAACCGTCGACGACTCCATGTATGAAGTAGGAGCGCGCTAGAGCTTGCTCTAGGCTGCAGCACCGTTGCTCCCCGATGTCTTGGAATACTCGAGATGAATTGCCAATGGATAGTAAGGTAGTGACACCGCTGCAGCTTGTCTTGGGACATCGGAAGCAAAGCATGTCGGCTTGGAAGGGCGAGCGAGTCTTGCATGATCCGAGGATAGCCCTTATCGCAACTATCAGCGACCTGCGGTTGTCGATACTAAGGTAGATGGAGGCGATAACGATATCGCTCAAACGCAGTCTCAAATCTGCACCCTCTTTCCAACTGACAGTCCCATTGCCTACCGGCCTCAGTTGGCCTCGATCTTTGCCAACATTGCCCCCTCAAATGTTGTCTTCTAAAGTAGAGCCTCTGTAGAAGAACGTCAAGCCACTTGTATCCCGCCCGATTCTCCCAGATTTTGGGGGTGGCGGATGGACAACCTTGAAAAGAAGGCAGTTTAGCTCTGTCCCGGGGGCGAGGTCCTCTCTACCGCCAACAACCACTGATCCTCCCACCCTCGACCGAGTATCCGGTACCTGTGGCGCTGAATCGACGAGCCCCACCGCCCACACGTGAACTCGGTACGTACCGGCTCGTAGCCAAACAGCCCGACAAGAGCCATTGATTGTTTCGGCCTTGCTTCTGCCCTTCAATCTCCAATCGCCCCAAAAGCCCAGCCCAGCGCAAGCCGTCGCGTTGCGTCTTGCTGCACGAATCTCACCTGGTTGGAGGCATCTTTGCTCTGCTGCTCTGACGGACCCGGTAACTGCATCTCCCTTGCGCCGCCCGCCTGACGATACGCCCGCCGAAGCGAGACCCAGGGCCGGAAAAAGAAGGCCAGACGAAGAAAAAAAAAGGCTTCCAAAAGACGCCCGTTGCAATGGCGGCCCTCGGCGAGGATCTGCTCACCACGGTCAACAAGCTGCAGGACCTGGTGTTCAACACCATTGGCAGCGACTCTCTCGATCTGCCGCAAATTGTGCGTGACCAGCAACATACACACCCTTGTCCCTCGCTTGATATGCCTGCCTGATATGCCTGATTAGTATGTCGATACTGTCATTAGATATGTACTGACGCTCATGATGCCCCGCCAAACAGGTCGTCGTTGGATCCCAGTCCGCCGGCAAATCCTCCGTCCTCGAAAACATCGTCGGCCGCGACTTTCTGCCCCGAGGCAGCGGCATCGTCACCCGCCGGCCGCTGATCCTGCAGCTCATCAACATCCCCGAGGACGAGACCGTCCCCGATCCGTACAACGACCCGTACCGGTCCCCCGGTGCTGCGCGGCGCTCAGAATGGGCCGAGTTCCATCACATCCCGAACCGGCGGTTCAACGACTTCATAGACGTCAAGCGGGAGATTGAGAACGAGACCGCCAGGGTTGCCGGTACCAACAAGGGCATCAACAGGCAGCCCATCAACCTGAAAATCTACTCACCGCATGTCCTCAACCTGACGCTCGTCGATTTGCCCGGCTTGACTAAGGTGCGTCTTCAACACTTTAGCCCGCTCAACCGCTTCTTGAATTGCGAGTATCGACTAACCTGGGGATCAAATTGTTGTGGATAGGTCCCGATTGGCGACCAGCCATCTGATATCGAGAAGCAGACGAGAAATTTAATCTCCGAGTACATCGCCAAGCCTAACAGTATCATCCTGGCTGTTTCCCCGGCCAACGTCGACCTTGTCAACTCGGACTCCCTCAAGCTTGCCCGGCATGTGGATCCTCTCGGCAGGAGGACGATTGGAGTCCTCACCAAGATCGACCTGATGGACCACGGCACCAATGCCCTCGACATCCTGTCTGGTCGTGTGTACCCCTTGAAGCTCGGCTTCATTGGCGTGGTGAACCGCTCCCAGCAGGATATCCAGGGCAACAAGCCCATGGACGACGCTCTCAAGGCCGAAATGGACTTTTTCAAACACCACCCGGCTTACCGTAACATCGCAAGTCGATGCGGCACCCAGTTCTTGGCCAAGACGCTCAACACAACGCTCATGGCTCACATCCGAGAACGCCTGCCGGACATCAAGGCTCGCCTCAACACGCTGATGGGCCAGACGCAACAGGAACTGGCCGGCTACGGCGACATGCATTTCAGCGGAAAGGAGCATCGCGGTTCCCTCATCCTGCAGCTCATGACCCGATTCGCAACCTCCTTCATCTCCTCCATTGACGGCACGTCCACCGAGATCTCCACCAAGGAGCTCTGCGGTGGTGCCCGCATCTACTACATCTTCAACTCTGTTTTTGGAAGCTCACTAGACACCATTGACCCTACCTCGAATCTGTCAGCGTTGGATATTAGAACGGCGATTCGCAACTCTACCGGTCCCCGGCCCAGCTTGTTCGTTCCCGAAATGGCCTTTGACCTTCTCGTCAAGCCCCAGATCAAGCTCTTGGAGATTCCCAGCCAGCGCTGCGTCGAGCTCGTCTACGAAGAACTCATCAAGATTTGCCACACCTGCGGCTCAATAGAATTGTCTAGATTCCCCAGGCTTCAGGCCAAGCTCATCGAGGTGGTGTCGGACCTTTTGCGAGAACGGCTGGGTCCCGCCTCCAACTATGTCGAGTCTCTCATTTCCATCCAGCGCGCATACATCAACACGAACCACCCCAACTTCTTGGGTGCCGCGGCGGCGATGAGCAACGTCGTCAGTGCCAAGCAGGAGCGGGAGCGCAAGAGGCTCATCCAAGAGGAGCGCGAGCGCCGCGAAAAGAGACGCATCAAGGAGCTTGGTCCCAACGGCACGGAAGGGCAAGAGGACGGCGACGAGACTCCCGCCGCGGAGCGACCCGACCGACCCGAGCCCAGCCTGCGCAAGCTCGCCACGTCAAAAACTTCACGGAGCATGTCGCCTGCCGTCCACCAGGACTCCCTGGTCGGCCTCGGCGCGTCCGTCAACGGCATGCGCCCGTCGTCTCCGGGCATGAACGGACAAGGCATCGGCGGCGCCCGCGACACATTCCTCAACTACTTCTTTGGCAAGGACGGCATGGCGCCGGTCAGCGCCCCCATTACCCCCACAACCAACGGCAGACATAGCAGCCACCCCTCCGAGCCCAACTTTTCGCAGAGCCTGCGCCGCGAAGAGAAGCTCCCAATCCGGACAGCTCCCCCCTCCGTGACGGACGAGTACGATCCGTCATCTCGGAGTTATGGCCTGGCATCACATCTGGTAAGTTTTTTTTTTCTTTTCTTTTTTTTTCCCTTTTCGACTGTACACCCATCCCCAGAATATGAACCCTCAGAACCAACAAACAAAACTTTCGACTAACTGCAAACTGTCCTTCTCCCAGGGCGAATCCACCGAGCCCGCCATGACGGAGCGCGAAGCCATGGAGGCGGAGCTCATCCGCGCCCTCATCTCCTCCTACTTCAACATTGTCCGCGAGTCCATCGCCGACCAGGTCCCCAAGGCCATCATGCACCTCCTCGTCAACCACTGCAAGGACGTTGTCCAGAACCGCCTCGTCAGCGAGCTCTACAAGGAGGCTCTCTTCGAGGAGCTCCTCTACGAGGACGACGGCGTCAAGAAGGAGCGCGAAAAGTGCGAGAAGCTGCTCCAGACGTATCGCGAGGCGGCCAAGATTATCGGAGAGGTCTTGTAAAAAGGGGGGGCCCGGGGAAATCGTTTATGCATGCTGGGGGATCCACATGAAGTTCCTAAAAGAAAAACAAAAAGAAGAAATTGAGGAAATCGGGAGGTCAACTTGTCTGTATACAAAAGAAAAACAGAGCGGTAGGTTTTTTTTCCTTTCCTGTTCTTTCCTTTTGAAAGAAACACGATAAGGGGAGGGGAAACGAATCAATGAGGCGTCACGGGGAAATTCTTACGACAAGGCTTTCAAAAAGGAGGGGCGGGAGCAGACGAGGCAAAGAGGAAGAATGGAAAAGATGAAAAACTTGAAAACAACATGGGAAAGAAAGAAAATCTCCTGAGAGGATGGTGGCGAGAGAGTGGGGGATGACTTCAAGATGGGGAGGGTTCCTCTTGGATGTGTAAACACAATCTGTACATGATGCTTCAAGACAGCTGGGCGACAAGGTGAGAGAGGCAGGAGAGGTTGGATGGAGTTCCGCAAACCATGGCTGGCTGCTTCAAGCGATTCTATACATAACTCTACGACTACACTGCTCGACTTTTCGCCATGTCTTCAATGTTACGAAATATACTCAGCGCTGTACTATCAGAGCATTGCTGTGGTGAACATGATTGATTGATTGATTCCTTCATGACTCTTACATAGTGCTCGTAACTCTTACATGGTGCTCATACAAGCGTGCCCAAATCTTGCCGTTGGCTATCCCTTGCCACGATGTCGAGAAGACGACTCCCCGATTCGAATAATCCGCACGCCGTTTTCGATACGACCCCTTTTTACTGCGCGACAAGTTGTAGAAAAAATATGAAAGAAGAGTAGGCCCCCTCCCGTGTAGCGTCTCTACTCTATATCAAGTTCCAACTCCCTAGACACTCTTTCAACCAGTTGATATCTCGAGGGATATTCACTATACACCCGTGATGCAGGTGCTGTATCAATACGGCTCCCAGCAGGTATAGTTGATATAGTCGGCATCGGGGTCGCTCTCTGCCCGTAATAAATAACGGGACGTTCAATGTACTGTTCGTGTGGTAAGTTTCGCACGTCCACAACGCCATATCTATCATGGGACCGAGTGGGTTCAGCATAGTGGTAGGCAGCTGCGGAAGACATCGGCGGATTGTAGTAACTGGTCGTCCAGGGTTGCCGGCTGGCGTGACGAACTTCAAGTGCCGCGTGGGCCTGTTGTCTCTGCCGCTCCATGTGAGGATAATATGGATAGCTGATCGGGGGCTCTCTTGTGTGAGGCTCGTGCTCACGGTGTACGTAGTAAGTTTCCACATGGCTTCTGGACTCCGGGACAGCATGTCTTGAATCGACAGTCCTCGATCTGACGTGTGCTGTTTCCCATGTCCCGCCACCTCTCGCCTCAATCTCTCTAGCAGAGATTTGAGCGGACATTCTTGCTGGTGCTTCATGGACTCTGAACCCGGTCTCTTCAATATGCGGGTTTGACGAGATGTTGGTTCTGTATGCCAACTCCCTGTGGGCCGCGTCTGGTGGAGAGTACACCGCACTTGCCGGCACAAGGTGAAGCGATTCACCAGGCTCTTCGGTAGGGTAGAAACGTGTTGCCGGCTCAGTTACAGCATCTTTTGTTCCTTGATTTGCATGGAGAAGAGGCTGCTGACTCTGAAAGAGAACGACATCACCCTGATCCATTCCCTCCTTGTCCTCAAACAGCCAGGGTAATGCATTCGAGACCAGCTCGAAAGCTCGCTTATTCTTTCGGATGGCGTCTCGAATGTCCTGCGATAGGTCTGGCACCCAGATCATGCCCGTACGCCAATCAACGTGCTCATGAGTTTGGTGAAAATGATGCGCCAAGCCAGATAGCTTAAACGTCTTGTTCGTTCCCATGGGTGACTTTTCCTTGCAAACCTTGCAAGCCAAGCATGCTTCCACGCCGATGATGTGAGGACACTTCCCGATGTACAATAACTCCCATGGCGCTGGCTGCTTATATATCTCTTGATGCCGCCTGGCGATAAAGTTGATCGCGGCACTCACTTTGACCGGCGTGGGTATGTTTCGAACCGATGTCAGAGCACGCCAAGCGGGTGCCAGATCTTCGGCCAGAATGGCGGCCCTTGATTTAATGGCCTGGTAACCCCCCTTGTTTGTGTTATTGAGTGATTGGCGTTCTGCCCCCGGAGCTGGCTTGAACGGAAGCTCCGCAGTCCACTCTTCTTTCCAATGGACAGACATGTTCGCCTCCTTTCCACTGTGTTTGTGACAATAATGCTGGATGACGCTTGGCAACGAGTAGCGCTTGGATGTTGGGCATTTGTTGCACGAGAACACTTCTACTCCAGGTCTCTTGGCAAGTGGCGCGATTTTCTGAGTGAATATCCATCTCAAATCATCCAAAGTCAGTCTCCGCATCGAAGATGCATTGTTTTTGGCAGAGTCTGCATGATATTGATCGCGGACGCAGGTCAGCACTTGTGTGACGAAAGTTGCAAGGTTTCTCCCTGTGATGCTTCCACCTCCATCCCATTGACCATTGATGACTTTGTCCGCAAGTTTGGATAAATCAGCTCGTGTGGTGGAGTCAGTATGATCCTGACCTTGAGATTGAGCGGCCTGGATGCCTGCTGCTTTGCTTCGAGTTGGATACTTGTGAGTGGCCTGCTTCTTCGGTGCAGCTATTTTTCCTCCTCGTTCTGCCTTGTCTCGCTGGTCCAGGAGTAGTAACTTTAATACCTTCCACTGCTTATCATCAAGTGGTGTAGTCATCTCAGAAGCCACCTGAAAGGCTTCAAGTTGATGGAGAACGCCTGGAAGAATGGGAGGATGGAGCCGCGCAGCTCGAGCCTCTATCTCCGCTCGCCTCTTGGATTTAGACTCTTGATCTTCCCGGGGTTTTCGACTCTGAGATTGTCGAACCTGTCGATCATCGGAGGAGGGTATGATTTGAGTAGAGGAGGATTGTTTACGCATTTGACGGACTCCTCCTGATAGGTACCAATTATCCCATCGAGAAGCGTCACGATTGGCTTTGGCACCGCGACTGTCTAGGCCTTTGACCCATTCTTCAACAGCTGCGGTACCAAATCGCTTGGCGTCTCCAAGTTCTGCTTGAAGGCTCTCCAGCTGAGCAGGCCAGAACACTTTCGTCAGCTGAACACCAGTCGGTATTGGTGAATTTCGCATGATTTGACGAGTGACGACATTCAAGTCAGCCGTCACGAAGACCGTTGGGGCGCCGGCTGCGATGAAAGAAGGTTTCGACGGTGACAATAGCAGATCGACTTCCTGTAAAACTCCGTGTCAGCCAATAAGTAGCTAGGGGGGCCACCCACCAAGGGGAGGCTTGGTATCACACTCACCTTGATGCTGTTCTTTGCCAAGCACTGTCCGCATGAGGCGACGAAGAACTGGAAGACAGGCGACACGGTATCGTTACCGGGTCCGCGGCTCCATCGCAGGGGATCTCCGGCGTAGTCGGTTTCATCCGCCCGGCAGCCGCAGAATTGGCAAGACCGCGAACAGGCAAGACGCCACATGTCCAGTTCGGATCTTCCACTGAGCGGCGAGGGCATGCTTGGCCAGTGAAAACGTCTCGACGCTCGCCATATGGTGTTTGGTGATTGCTTGGGCAACGAAGAAGGCAGATCCGAGTCTGGGGCAGAAACCTTGAAGGTGGAAGCAGGATCGAGATATCTGTGAAACAGCCGGTTGACACACATCAAATTCCCAAGTGAGCGTGGAGGCACAAAGGAAAAGATGTGCTGCCACACCTCTGCTAGGACGTGCTGCGACATATCGTAGCGAGACGGCTGGGCAGTGCCAGTGACAACAAGGTCTCGATCAGTAGCAGCAATTCTGACCCTCTTGGCAGCTCCGTCTTCGCTTGAAGCTGAGATAGCCGCTTGTTTTCTCTTCCTGTCAGCAGCACTTGGGTGAACCATGGTGCTGCTGCTGCTGCTGCTGGCGGCTGCTGAAGGAGCGAGTGAACGCCGGGCGTGCTTGGGCTTCTTGCTCAGGACTCGCTCTTCATCGAGCCTCTGCGGAGACGGCAGGCTGGCATCAGCCTCAGGCCTCTGCGGAAGGCCATCCATGGCTCACAGACGAGGAAAAGCAGCGTCGTATGGGAGGCATGAACAGAAGTAATGCTTTGTGGGTTTCACAGCGCCTGGGTGAAGCTGCTCGAGAGGTGCAAGGCCAACCTCGACTATACTGTCCTAGCAAGCAACTGGCAGGTTGGTTGAACTGTAGACACAAGGAAGATGACAAGTTCTGGTGATGACCATCAAGGTGTGGTGAAGGAGAGAAGAGAAGAAGAGAAGAAAAGAGCGAGGAGGGAATAAGGCTGAAAGGAAAGGTAAATACAAGGAAGGAGGAGCCCTCGAGGTTGCCTTTTGGAGCTATCTGGTCTGTGCCTGGCTGCAGCAGTGAATGAGCCTTGGATCCCCTATAACGCCAGCGCTCCAACAGGTACTTAGTCAAGAGCCAAAAGAGCCCCGACAACCGATTCAAGGAACTGCAGCTTTATAGATTAGAGATGATTAAGCGACCACAGACAGACATCTGATCCATTGACGTCATGCAGCTTTTCGGACGTGATACATAAGGTACATTCCTATGCCTAGTAGATTAGTACCTCATCAGAGAGAAGAGAGAGAGAAGGGAGAGGGAAGAGAAAGAAGCACGTCGACGTCGGCTTTGTGAATTAGTTTGAGGAGAGAGAAGCGAGACTTTGTTAAGGTAGCTATAGACACTCCTGCCCCAGATACACCTGGCAGGCCATTCAGTGATCATCAAACTGGTCGATATGTCCAACGAATGTGCTCTATCATACACAACGAACGAACCCCGATATACCTGTTCGTACATCCCGAGTTACTGCTGCCCGCTGCCAGTCCCATTCAACATGCCATCGCCGAGCCCTTGGTCTGTCGACGACTGGTCTGTGTTGCCGTAAATCTGGAAACTCTGGTCGGCTCCCCAAGTCGTCATCTGTGTATAGTTTTCAAATGCGCCCTATGAAGAGGATATATTAGCTCGCGTTCATCCACACAAGGAACAAGGGTTGTGGGAGATGAAGCCTGCAGACTTACCCAGTCAAAGCTGGCCAGGTCGCCTGCCCCAGTGCCGCCCAGGTTGGTAAACATGGACAGCGGAGAGGCGGGACCCCCGGCATTGAGAGCATCGAATTGCTGGAAATCGGCTGCGTTGGAACCCCGAAGACCAAAGTCCATGCCCATGAAAGCATTGTTCTGCATGAATGGGTCTTGGCCACCAACACCAACGCCGGGTATCCCCAGGGGAGAGCCGAGGAACGACATGGGTGTTTGATCGATTTGTGACCCCACGATGGAGGCGGACAAAGAATCAGTCCGACTCGACAATGGATCGCTGTTTGAATCCATGGTATCTGTAGGGGCGACTTTGATCTTCTCCATCATGATCTCAATGATTTTGGTGGCTTTGAATGCTTCCATGGAGGTGTTGGCAAGATCAGTCCAGATCGCCTTGGCGGTCTCGAGAGCACCAATCATCTTGTTGCGTTGCTCTTGAGTGTACAAGAAAACGCCTTCTTCTGGAGGATTGTTTGCCTGTCTCGCCATGTTGTCGTAGTGAAGATCCAGGACAATGAGCATGGCCGGTAGAGTAAACTCCTTTGTGGCAATCGATTTGATGTACCATGAAACAGAACGCAGCCGGCCATTGCCTTGAGACTCGCGATGCAGCTTGGCTAGGTGGTCCAGCGCTTGCAGCGAGGCCTCGATGGCACTGCGCCGTGAAAAGGCATATCTCGGGTTGTGCCGAGCCTTTGCGAGGTATTTCCGATGCAGCAGGCAGAGGATCTTCTGATACAGAATATCAACGTTGTACCTGGCAATTATCAATGTCACGGGGTCTTGGGACGCTTCCAATGCGCCGAGTCGGAGGTGAGGAGGGAGTTCCTGCATCACCTGGCGGAGCTTTGCATCGAAGCGGATAATCTCGTCATAGGGGACAGTCTTGCCCACCATGGTTGTCGCTTGCATGATGTTCCCCAACTCAGAACAGAGCTTCACTTTGGCAATCATGTACGAGATTGGTGTCGGCTCCGAGGCAGGGCGGGAAGGCGGCAATTCCTTGCTGTCTGGGTGGAACTCGTCGTCAAACAGGTTATTCGGGAGCTGAGTATCGCAGTCGTTCTCGTAGATCATGTTGGGCAATGAGACCTGATGCGAAAAGATGACATCGGACATGCGCACAAGCGCCCACGATCTTCTTCTCATCTCCTGCATTGTCTGACATCAGCCGCCGCTTGTCTGAAGATGAAGACATCTCAAAAGGTCCATGACTTACAGCTTGAAACGGGGTAAGATTGGGAAACCATTTCGCGTCTCGATGGTATCCCATGCGGAAGGCTATCCTGGTGATGACGGAGACAATCAACCACAGCCCAAGGTCGGCGTCCCACCGAGAGGAGTACTCTCCAAAGACGTAGAGAAGCATGGCCTCGACGGTGTATTCCACCGGCTTCGTATAGTCTGCCTTGATCAGACACTGCACCGTCCTCAGCCGGTATTGCGATGCCAGCTCCAGGGTCCGGCCCCTCCACTCAGGAGGCTCATCGCCAACTTTGTGGTAACTCAGCATCGCAAGGGTAAGCACGGAATATAGCAGCCCTAGCCACATGATTGGCGTTTTTGATGGATCCTCCCAATGACTCTTGAGCTGCTTGAAAAAGGTCGGCCCGTGTATTATACAAACGGCGTTGTCCATGGAGTTGAAGTAGCGGCTGCACAAGGTCAGGATGCTCGACTTGGGAGGCAGTTCGGCGCGGAGCTCGATCTCGGATGCCGGCAGGGCGCCAAGCAGCAGCGTCGGGCCTTCGCGGGCAGCCATTGGCTTGGACAGTCTGACGCGCTCGTAACTTGTCTCCAACTCCTTCTTGTGAAACATGAAGTAGTTCTTGACCTCGGCAATGTCCGCTAGCAGCGTATGCCAATGCTCCTGGCCGATATACATCGACTTGCCCTTGTCGGGGTCAACCTTCAAGACGCCCAGTGAAGCCGCGAGTCCATCTTCCGAGTCGCTGTCGTCTTCGGCCATTGCCACGCCCTCGCCGCGGCCGGCTTTGGCGGAGGAGCCGCTGTCGGTCAACGACTGCGACGTGGAGGCAGCACGGCCAGCCGCAGCGGCTGAAGCAGGGTCTACATTAGCCCCGCCATGCATCAGGGACAGGACAAGGCCTTCTAACCGATCGATCCTGTTCTGCATGTCGTCGGGAGTGGCGTCGACCTGGTTCTGGCTCTTCTTCCGAGTGGCTGGCGCGGCATATGAGCATGACGACGTGTCCATGCCCTCTCGCTTGGTGCAGTTGCTGCACGGGTGGTTCCGGTCGCATTTCCTACGCCATGTTAGTCGGTCGAACGTTCACGAGTAAACCGCTCGCTATTCAGCTCGTCAAAGTCGTCTATTCAAGCGCGCAAACTGGCACTCACAATCTACGTGAGAGGTTAGCACACGCGCATTCTCGTCCATGGCCGATACGGAGATAACAGCGTACTTTCTTGTCCTGCACGGGTAGCAGCTCAAAGGCACGCGATTCCTCTTCCTCACAACCCGAAATTGCTCTTCAGGGGAGCGGCCCCCGGTGGAAGAGTTGGTCGAAGGCGGGGTGGGCGTCATCGTGAAAGAATGAGTGGGAGACGCCGAGGAGTTGTCGTAATTCCAAAGGGCCGCCGTTGGCTGCTGAGGCGATTCGGAGTTAAGGATCACACCGCGATGCTCTGATCTTCAGCCGGCCTCACAAGCGGCTTGCCGGGTATGATTGATGCGGCGCATATATTAGACCTCTGAGGGCTTCGGAGGGGGCGGAGGAGGCAGCCTGTCAATTGCTAGAAAGCAGCCAGGCCGGGTAATAGGGGGCGAAATCGAAGCAGCGACTCGATGCGACGACAGATAGAAGAACGCTGGCCCCGTCTAGAGGATCAGTCGACAGTCGGTACGAAAAGACAGCATCCGCCGAAACCCAAACGGCGATCCGCAGCTTCGGACAGCGACCGCGACGCAAGACAGGAAGCTGGTCGGCTGGACTGGATATGCCCAAGTTGCGCGGCTTCGATGAGAAATCAGACGAGAAGCGGGCGGGATTGCCTTGGTGGCTTGATATGGCAGGCTATCAGTTCAGTTGGAGAGGGGCGTCGCAAGGCGTTTGCGGCGGACTTGGAGACGGAGATCCGAAAGCGGCGGAAACGATGGAGAGGAGCTGGTTCGGTCATACGAGAGACTCTATCGAGAGCCGGCGAGGACAGAGGGGAAGGAGAGAAGGTTGGAGGTTGGAGAGGAAGAGAAGACGTCTGCCGGAATTGGAGGTTCAAGCACAAAATATAATAAAGGAACCCCCGAGAGTCGCGGTGGTGGGGGGGGAGCAGGGAAGTGGTGTCGAGCCCGGGGGGGCGTGAGAGTCGCCCGATCCAGTTGCTTGAAGAACAAGCCTCGAAGGTCGAGCACTAGGAGATGGTACATGCAGCTTGATAGTACATCAGAACCTACTAGGTAGATACCGTCTCGGGGGCGCCCGACAGCAGCTTTGCTAAGGTAGCAGCTCTATCTAGAGCCTACATAGCCCCAAGTCTCTCATTCCATGCTGGCTCAAGGCTATGATGCAGCTACAAAGGTTGACTGCGAATGTATGCTTCAAGTCTTTCGAGCAGAAATGAGTAGGTAACAATCTTGCAACTCTTCTACATCATCGAATGCGTCTCAAGTGGTCAGTCTGTAACTGCTCAACACTCCGCTTGACAAAACCCCCCAGCAGCAGGCATCATTCTGAAGCATTAGGTTGGAGAGCTTATCTCTGTAAGAATACGCACAACCGCTTTGTCAGCGCAACCACCGCTTGTACCCCGTGTTAGTGCACGGCATTCGCATTTCAGAGACCAACGACGGACCCGAGCTATGGGGAAAAGCTCTAAAGGCAGGTGCAGGTAGGCGGTCCGGTTATTCGATCAATCCATTGGCACTCTGAAGCCACTGCGACCTGCACGATGCAGATGTTCCATGTACTTCCAGGCAAGCCCAAGCAATGGAAGAGCTGCTCCGTCGAGGTGACCTGCACCACCGTTCTTTCGAAACAACTTAACCTTTTGACTAAGGGTATTAGTAATGCAACACACCAGACATATTGTTCGAACCAAAGACCTCGACAATAGCGTTGAGTGATTTGTCGCGGTGCATAATGTCCGCTGTGGCCTACGATTTTCACTGAAACACCTCGCTCACCATCGTTTTCCGGCGGGAAATTCAGCAGCAGGAGCCACAGGCTCGGAAGTAAGCCGATCCAGAGCCCAGCTCATGCGGAACCTCGCACGACGCGAAGAGGGGAAATCAGAGAGTAAAAACCCCGGTTCGACAGGGTCAAGGAAGGTAAGGTAGGGTAAGGTAGGTAGTGTAGCAACAAGGCTGCTGCTGGTTGACGTACTCCAGATGGCGAAGCCTCCCTCTCACCCTCCCTACTAGTAGTACCTACCTTGACTTAGTAGAGGTAGGTATGGTAGGTATCTTAGCTGCTGCAACCTCAGCCTCTCCAAACTGTGACTCACTCACCACATGCATGCATAAGGGGGAAAAAAAGAGAGCTGTCGATTCTTAGCGCGCCGCTCGTCAGCAGCGAAAAAGAACCTTGACCCCTCTTATAGCACATCCGTCTGGACGTCGCTCCCCGTCTCCTCTTTTCTGCGTGGCGGCCTGGATTGTTCTAGCGGCAGTTGGATTCCCGATGCCACGGGAAGAGTTCAGGACGAAGGATGATGGTCCCGGCTTGCACCTGTGAGAGTGCAGTAGAGTACTTTGCATCTGCACTTGCACCTGGTGTCGCATCGAAGGCGGCTTAAGGCTGAATGCTTCCAGATTCTCACCTACTAAGAAGTTGGGTGAAGACAGGTCTTTCAGTTTCCAGCGTACACTCAGTTCCAGTGTACACAACTTACAACAACCAGCGGGGCAGTTGTCAACTCATGCTCCAACATAGTAAGTAGGTACTCATCCATCATAGATCATCCCGACGAATGCTGGCTATCAGGGTCCCTATCAGGTTGCTTCGGCTTTTGACTTTGTTCAGTTCGTTCTTTTGTTCCTCCACTGACTAGATAGTCCCTACAACACACAGGCTTTTGCCTCCTGCCCACGCATGCTTAACTCTCATGACACAGTTGTGGACGCCTTACATAACCACAGGTATAATCTTCCAACAACTCCCAACTCGCTCGTCCAACGGCTCAACACGGAGGGGCATTTTGCTTCCCATGATCCCATCCTGTGCCTTTGGCCTCCCGGCCCTCCCCGCACAACAATGGCACGCAACACGACGTGATGTAGGAGGCCGGTTCATTTCGGAATCGGTTCGGATCGCAGCTCTTGCCGGTTGTTGAGACGATTCGATTCTCCAGTGCCAAAGATGGATGCGTAAGAGGCGTTGCTGACAACTTTTTCTCCGTTCTCGTCTTTATGCCGCCGTCTCTTCAGAGTTGACGCTGTACGGCTTGAAAAAGTCGCTGTTGCTGCTGAGTTCCTCCTTGACCTGTACCAAACGTCAGCCGGAAACATTGTACAACTTTGTCATCACGGCACTTACAATATCCAATCCACCGACAAGCTCGCCGTCCACCCACAGCTGCGGGAATGTCGGCCACTCGGCATACTCCTTCAGACCCTGTCTGACATCGTCATCGGCGAGGATGTTGAAGAAACCGTATTTAACAGAGTGATCCCGCAAGATGCCAACCATCTGCCGTGAGAAGCCGCACTGGGGAGCGCTAGGCGTGCCCTTCATAAAGAGCATCACGGGAGCCGCCTTGACCAGGTCGTCCAGGCGCTTAAACAGCTCCTCCTTCTGCTTGGCCGGGTCGACGGCAGCGGCATCAGGCCGGGCGACTTCGGCCGTCTCAGCGACCCCGTTAGGCGCCGCCGCCGCATCTTGTGCCGCACTCCCGTCCTTCTTCGCGTGCTTCTCAATGGCCGTCCGCACCTTGACGGCGCTGCTGCCGCTGACCGTCTCGACGACCTGGCGGTTCCGCAGCAGCACCAGGTAGGGAACGGCCGTGACGTCGTAGGCTTCGCTGATGTCGCTGAGTTCCTCGGCGTTGATGGACACCCACTTGGTGCTCGGGGGCTCGGTGACGGGGTATTCGGATGCCAGCGTTGACAGGACGGTGGCCATCTGCGCACATGGTGCCGCCCAGGGAGCGTGGAAGGAGGCGATGATGAGGGTCGAGGGGGGCGCAGTGCTGAGCAGCTGCTGCCACTGCTCGTCGGTCTCGATCTCGGTAATCGTCGACATCGTGAGGCTTGTTCGCAGTTTAGAAGGGTTGCGATGGTGACGGATTGCTGATTACGGCAGATCGTGGGCAAAAAGACGGCGAAAATCGGCCTTGTCGTGGTAAATGGTAGTATTGGAGTACTATCGGAAGTTGGGTTTTTAGCGGGGTAACGGATGGCGCAAGTGCTGGAGGAAGTAGGTCATCGCAGGCATTTCAAAGCAGGGCCGTTGATAGCTCGACACCGGTGTGGCGCCGGCGGAGGCTCTTAGGTAAGGCGACGGGGTTTCCAGGTGGCGAGACGGTCATTGAAGAGACAAAGTTTGACACAGCATCTGTGACTTGATCTGATAAGGTAGTTGATTGATAGATCCATTTTTTGAGAGCCTCTCTGCGAGGTCCTATTGGGAGGAAGGCCATGAAATGATGCGTAACGAGAGCTAAATGTATATCTGCCCAGTCGATAGATACCTGCGTACCCCCTCAGGGTCGAACTTCCGTAAGGTGAGGTAGGTGTTGAGACGGTCAACCGAGTGCTTGGTATTCTTATTCAGTTAAAAAATATGAGAAAATTTCAATATCGATTCATCATATTAAATTACTACGGGCGAAGCTCACCGTTGTGCTTCTCTTGATATATCCATCTTAGGGTAGCACCATGAACTACATGAACTACACCTTGACATCTGAGGTTTATATGCTGAGCCAACGCTGATTCATCAGCTATCTACGACATTCCTATGAGGGATATCGGGTTCGTATCTGGATTACCACTCGAAAATAGACTCAACCCTTGACTAAAGCCACCATGCTACACAAGCAGCATTTCGAGCGCCTTCAAACATGTTCAGGTTCAGGTTCAGCTGCCGCTTCCGCTTCCTGATTTGGTAGGGCTTGGGAACTCTTCCGATTGGCTGTCAGTTCCGCAATCGCTACATGTAACTGTGGGAGTGCCTGGAGGTACCTTACCTTACCTTGGGACGTGAAAACAGGTACTTACTATCTGCGGCGACATTAGAATGCTGCATCTATGGATGTATTTGGGCCTTCTTCAAGGTACTCCAATTGCTTATGTTGCTTCGTGGCTTGCTGGTAAAGGCTGACATCGCAGCATCGAACGTTTATCACCTCTACACGTGCGACGAAGCGACGAAGTAGAGCTCTTCGACCACACTTCGTGCCGTTGCCGAAGTTCAACAGCTTCCAGGGCCAATATAAATATACCGTATTCGAAAGAGGTGCCAGGGTGCCGACGGATCTTGCAGCACAAGTGTTGATGAGGACCCCCTGGCATTCGTCTCGGGCTAGTATGTACCAATCCCATGCATTGGGGCAGCAGTGACAAACGCAAGGCAAGGCGTCGTTACGTCTGACTACCTACTACCTTGTCTGGATGGATTCAATTCCTTCTCAACGACCGACCATCTTCACTGTGAGCCAGAGAATCAGATTGCTTATTGGAAGCGATGAGGCCTCCACGAGCGTACCTTGACACTACCTGCTACCAAGTACTTGTGTTACTCCGCCATGGACATTACGTGGACTCCGGGCTTCCATGATGAAGGACTCGGTAATGAATGGACATGGACATGGGAAATCTCTCACGTTAGGCACCAACTATTGTTGCCGTTGCTTTTGTTAATAGTACTTGTATCACGTTAGGCTGCAGCATTTGCACCATTGCCCCTGGATAGGTAGCCACAACCTTGATCTGAGCTTAATTTCGAATGCTCTCTCAGGCATCAAGAAAACAAGAAACAGCAGCCCAGAGATTAGCGCTGCCTGGAGGCATTGACCTCAACTGCTGCTCGCCGCAATCCAAGGCCAAAAAAAGGACCCGAGAGGTGGCACCGGCTGCGTCATTTGAGCTCCCCCTACCAGGTACCTCCTCAGGTACCTCGCAGCTGGTCGCGACCCGGTACTTGCATATCCCCACTCAATTCCCCCGGGGCTATGCACCTACGCAGCCTGCCCACGCTTATTCGTCCCCGCCTCGGCGCCACGCAGCGTCGACGCATGTCCCGCCATCAGCTCTGCTCTGCCAGCTCGGCTCAGGCCAGGTCCACGAATCCCCCATCATCCCCCCCCTTTGCTGCCCTTTGTGCCCGAATACCATACAAATTACCTGCACTCGACAGCGTCTCCCCCTTCTCTCGTACTTCAGCACCTCTACGCCGCTGCTATTTATTGGCCCGCTGCAACGAACCCGCCGCTGCTGTGAGTGCGTGAGAAGCCAGCCTTTCCCCGACTTCTGCTAGTCTCCCCTGAGCTGGATGCTAACGAAGCCTCACCACCTCAGCCACTGCTAAGCGGACCTTTCTGGGACGCAATCCCTCTCCAGCCATCCTCTCGAATCACACGCTCTGCGTTCGTCTGCGTCGACTTTCCTCCCATTGAACATTGCCCTCACGTCGCCATACGTCCGCGATCAACCTCCCCCGAGATGGCGTCCCTAAACACCTCTACAAACGGCGCCTCCATCAAGAGCAGTTACAATGCTGTTGTTGGCGGAGAAGCGCCCTCATCCGGCTCGCCCACGCACGCTCAATGGGCTCTCTTCTCTGTCCAAGCGCCCCTAGTAAACGCCTTCCAGGACAGCGGCGCCAAGGAGAGCGTCCTCAAGGTCCAAAGCACAGGCGGTACGCGAGCCCGATGACGAGCCCTTGCGCTTTGCACTCACCACCGATGTCCACGATGCTAATGATGTGTCCAGATGGCGAGCTCTCCGAGTTGTTTGAAGACTTCAGCGAGGGCCGAATCCAGTTCGCCTTTGCAAAGGTCAGGGACCCCAATTCGGGTCTTCCCAAGTTCATCCTCATTGGCTGGTGCGGAGGAGGTGTTCCTGAACGCACAAAGGGTTACTTCACAAGCCACTTGGCGGCCGTGTCCAAGATCCTCCATGGCTACCACGTGCAAATCACCGCCCGCTCCGAAAGCGACTTAGATCCGGAAGCCATCATGCGCAAGGTCGCCGACGCATCGGGCGCCAAGTACTCGGCTGGATCCTCCGCGGGAGTGACCGCATCAGCTCCTCCGCCTGTCAAGTCCAAGCCCGTCTTCACACCCTCGTCATCAGCCGGCCGCCCCGTCGACCCCATTCTTGCTGCTCGATCACGGAAAGAAGCCAACGTCGATGCGGATGGATGGGGAGCCGACGCCCCGCCCGTCACCCGAACCCAGATCGAAAAGGTCGCCCCTGCCTATCAGCCGACCAAGGTGAACATGGCAGAGCTCACAAGTCAGAAGCAAGAGCCTTCGCGTTTCGCTGGCGTGCCCCGACAGGAGACGGGCTCGTCTGATGTCGTCGGGGGTGGCTACCAGCCTGTGGGCAAGGTTGACATCGCGGCCATCAGGGCACAGGCTCAGAAGACTGGTGACGACAGGCCCACGCCGGTCAAGGGAGCGTATGAGCCTGTCGGAAAGGTCGACATTGCCGCCATTCGGGCCAAGGCGCAGAAACCGACACCATCGTCCGGAGCAGGAGAGGAGCAGCAGGAAAGCCAATCCTTGTCTGAACGAGCAGCCGCGTTTTCGCAGCCGAGTGCCGGACGGCTGACCTCCCTCCCCAAGCCCACCGTTGCGAAGAAGTGGTCTGGAGCCTCTGCATTCACCGGCACCAAGGCCCCAACTCCCGGCGGCCTTGGATTCGGCGGCCCGGCTGCCCCGGCTGCTCCTCCGGTTGGAGCTGCCAGCCGGACGTTTGCGGATCAAGGCGGCAAGACTCCTGCCCAGATCTGGGCCGAGAAGAAGGCCAGAGAGGGCGGAAGCGTCCCCGCTCCGGCAGCGCCATCGCCAGCTGCCCAGCAGACTGGTGGCTCCTCCTGGAAGAGCGGCTACACAGGCAAGAGCTGGGCTCCAGTGCAGACTGGAGGTGCCACGCGTGGTGTCGCCGACTCTTCAGATCAACAGGAGCCAGAGGAGCACAGACAGACCGAGGCAGAGGGCTCGGCTCCCTCGGGCGTGTCCGCCCTGCGAGATCGTTTCAAGAACACCGCCCCTATTGGCGCCGGCGCCCCTCCGCCGACACGAGCAGTGGAGGAGGAGCACCATGCTCCGCCACCCGTCCCAGACAGCTCCCGGCCAACCGGAGGGTTCGCTCTCCCCGGCCTTCCCAGCCGGCCCGTTCCTGCGGACGAGGAGGAAGAGGAGGAGGATCCCACCGCGTACCAGCCTGTGGAGGAGCGCTCGCCATCACCGATCCGTGTCGCTGCCCCGGTTCCCCGTGGCCCTGATCCCGTTATCGAGAGGCCTGAGGATCGCGCTCCTCCGCCTGTCCCCGTTGAAGAGGTCCCTGTTCCCAGAGAAGAAGAGCTTCAAGATGAGCACGAGGCTGGCCACCTTGCACGTGCCGCGGCCGGCGCTGTGGCCGAGCAGACGTTTGAGCATGCGTCTCACACGGCCGACCGAGACGACCAGCAGGGCGGCAAGCGCGCGCTTGTGCAGTACGACTACGAAAAGGCTGAGGACAACGAGATTGACCTGGTAGAGGGCGAGTACGTGACCAACATTGACATGGTCGACGACGACTGGTGGATGGGCACCAACGCCAGGGGCGAGAGCGGGCTGTTCCCCAGCAACTACGTCGAGCTCGTCGAGGGCGGAGACTCTGCCCCCGCTCCTCCGGCCGCCCCCGCTGCCACACATGAGCCGGAGCCGGCGCCGGCACCTGCGGCTCCCGCCGCCGCACCGGCAGCACCGGCCAGCGCGTCTGCAGGCCCGACAGCGACGGCTCTGTACGACTATGAGGCTGCCGAAGACAATGGTGAGAAGACTCCTGACTGAATGAATAAATGAATGATGATGATATGTGGGCATTGCTAATCTATATCGTGCAGAACTGAGCTTCCCCGAGGACGCCACCATTACAAACCTGGAGTTCCCCGACGAGGACTGGTGGTTCGGCCACTACGGCGGCCACTCTGGTCTCTTCCCTGCCAACTATGTCAAGCTCGACGAGTAAAAAACACGTCACAGCTAGATGCCGGGAAACGGAAAGGATGTCGAGGCCAATGCAAAAGTGCTAGTGGAGGGTTTGAGTTGAGGGAGAGAGAGAGGTATATGTACAAACAAATATATCATCAGTGTTTTTTTAAAAAAATGCCAAATCGAGGCTGGTGTTTTGTAGTTTGGTGGAATGCTTTTCATAGAGCACAGGGCTTAGCAGGCGGATGGCGGAACCAACAAAGATGTTGTTCTTCTCTCGTTACTCTTGACATGTGAAAATGAGGCATGGGCGTGCGTTTGCGAGTGTCACTGAGTCATCAACTCATGAACCAATATCAATCTACAGGGACTGACTGCAAAGAAAGGAAAAGCACAAGTCTTGCGGCATATGAGCATTTTCTCTTGGATATCTAAACGACCTGCTCTCTTTATCTTTTTCCCCCTTCTCTCTTCCAGCAAGACATATCTTAACAAATGCACCAGATTAAGACAGAGAGAACCGCCTCTCCCGGTAAGTGTCTCTCTTCCCATCCTTTGTAAAAGATAAAAGCAGAGGGGGTATGAGATGAATAACAACAATTAAGCTCAAAACATGTTAAAAAAAAAAAAAAACGAAGCAGGAGAAGGCGGCGGCGGCGGCGTAGTATTCCAATTTTCAATGAGATGATAGTAGTAAGGTAGGTAGGTATTCCGTGTGATTCCCAGCGCAGACCCCTCTTGCTGTGGGCACGACCAGATCGAAAGGGAAGGGATGGGTGGGCTTCCTCAATCATCATGATTTGGACCAATGTTGAACAAGCTGGACATTATTCGTTCTTGCGATATGTTCGCCATGTCGTCCAGTTACGGTTGGTAGGTCGCTGGCGTTTAGAAGAAGCATTCGCAGAGATCGATGCTAAGACGTCACGTTAGCCATCAGACGAGACTTTGGGCCGTCGCACATCAACAAGCAACCAAAACATACCAGCACTCGCAACCCTCTTCGACGGCGCAGCAACAGCACAGGGCGGCGATGCAGGCCATCAAGCAGCCCTGGTCGCCGCCGCGGCCGCGCTGCTCCTGGGGAGGCGCCTGTTCGTACTGCATGGGCGGCTGGCCCTGAGGAGGACCGTACTGGCCCTGGGGAGGCCCATATTGACCCTGAGGGGGCCCGTACTGACCCTGGGGAGGACCGTAGCTCTAGAGAAAAGAGAAGAACGCGTCTCGTTAGCAATGGGAGGGGGGAAAAAACTCTTGGACGTATGGACAGGACTGCAAGATGCGACGCCGATTGCCGAGCTTCCATGGGGTGTTTCAAGAAGTGAAGGAGCTCTTGGAATTGAATGATCGATCGAGATCTTGAGATCCCGGGGGGGTGGAAGAGGGGGGGAGAGAAGAGAAGAGAAGAGAGGAGGAGGAGGAGGAGTATTTACAGCTTGGGGTTGCTGAGGGTAGCCCTGCTGAGGGTAGCCTTGCGGAGGGTAGACGCCCTGCTGCTGCTGCTGAGGGTAGCCGCCCTGTTGATAGTATTCCTGGCTGGACATTGTTTGAAGTTGTGACTTTATTTGTGCTGGTTGATCGGGATTGGAGTTGGAGATCGCGCTGCGACGGAGGGTTTTTGGGTGACAAAATGAGAGAAAGGAAAAAACAAGAGAAAGTAGGATAGTATATCAACTAACGAGGGTTAAAAAAAAACGTGGTTTGCAGAATGGAAGAATGTGTGTGAGAGAGAAGAGAGAGGAAGGGAAATTGGACAGAAGGAAGGGGAGCTTTGGAGCGGAAAAGAACCGGCGCAGGGACGAGGACGGAGGTACGAAATGGCAGGTCACCGAGTGCTTGTACTGCCAAGTACCTTTCCAGCTTTGCCGGCAATGCGCAAAGGCACCTCAGAAGGATTCAAGGGCAGCTGGGCATGTCGGGGCATTGCATGGCGATGGACATTTAGCGGGCTACAGCGTTTACTTGGAGTGGGTATGGGGCACAGCAAGGGAGGCTGTGGCGGTTCAGTGGAGGGTCCAGCAGAGGTGTCCACTGAGCTACAGGCGGCCCATGGCGCTATTGTTACATGTACCGGTGCTGCTCTGCTGTGGAAGGGGCATGGAACAGCTTGGACAGCAGCTCAGCGCCCGGGCCCACGGCACTTGTTGGGAGCGATGAAGATGATGAAGATTATGATGATGAAGATTATGATGATGAGAGAGATGGACGAAATGACCCTGGACTGATTGACTCAGGATGGGGAGCGTGCAGTCCATGTCAATGCCAGGCCGGGGGTTGTTTGTCTTGGGGGTGGATACGGAGTGCAGTTGTCGCAAGTCGTGGGCTTCAGAGAGAGAGGCCCAGCGGGCTGGAGGCTGTGTGGACCGTTTGATGAAGCTGCTGGAGATTCCATGTCTTGGCTGTTTGGCTGTGCAATGCAATGGTAATGGAGAAGCCTGTATCAACACCTTCATAGTATTCATCAAAAGCCGGGAAATAATGACGAGACAGAGAAACGACAAGAGACGAGCAAGTGGGAAATGAAAGAACTTTCCTGGGCGGCCTCGTCGGCAAGGGTACTTGGGAGGTACCTACTCAGGTAGAGACAAAGCCCCCGAGCATCATCATCTCAGCCACACCCTTGTTTCGTCTTTTTGGTGCTTCTTCTTCGTCTTCTTCTTCGTCTTCCTTCTTCGCCTTCCCTCGTCAGAGCTTGCCAGAACACGGAAGAAGGCAAGTGCCTGCTGGCGTGCCGTGATTCCGGCTGAGGGTGCCACACCTTCTCCCCCCCAGCCCCTTGTCGCCTCGGCCTGCCATTGGCTCGGCACGATGCGCTGACGAGGCTGGCTGTGGCGTCCTGTCCTGCGAGATTTGCTTCAGATTCCTGCTGCATCTTGCTGGAGGTACAGGATTGACAAGTCATAGTAATACTTTGTTACAGATGAAGTGAGTGGGATGGTTTCGAGATCTAAAGGGGGGGCCATGTTTGATGCTTGCGTCAGCTCCTGAGACGACGCATGCGTGATGAGCACGGCACCAGTCTGTTTGATGGCTTTATTAATGAATGAAAGCTGTTCTTCTTTCGACTTGGGTGATTGAGATGCTCGTCAGATCCTGCAGCTTTCCTACCTAAAAGCAGGACACCAACACCCAAGTCCCGTCAGTAATTGATGATTCTTACATGCGTGGCGCACATTCTTCATCCATCTCGTTTCCCCCACCGGTCCAACTTCTGCCCGCCGACTCCCTCTTCTATCCTCTTCTCTGCCAATCGACTGTCCAGGTACCTATGCCAAGAATTTTGGAAACGGAGAAATACAATTCCCTATGGTATGATCACGGCTGCGTCGTGTATAGGTTCCTCAAAGGGCTTCTGCTAAGCGCTGGAGAAGGCGCTCTTCAATTGATCCGTACCGAAGCAGAGGTTAAGCGCCGCAGGTTCGTCCGATCTGACATCAAATGACGGCAATCATGCCCCTTCCATTGGCTCTTGGGGGCCTAAGCCCTGTCAGTTGTGGCATCTGGGTTGTCCAGTTTCAGCGTGCTGCAGATGAAATGTTCCCTTTGCTTGTAAGACTCATGACTGCACTGATAATCGATCCATTGCTGTCGTCAAGGGGCAGTATCAAAGACTCGGAATAGCCTCGGTGCATGTGCCTTGCTCGTGATGTTACGCCAAAGCAGTGCAAGTTTTAATACTCTCCTGACGCTGGCAGGCATCAGACCGTAAAACTCAGAACCAAGAGAGTCAGAGAAAGTGCCTGCTATTGTGTAACAATGTCTCGTCAATTGAATTACCTATGGCAGCCCCGTTACCTTGATGGCTCGCCATGCTTTCGTCGTGGCTCAATCTGACATCCAGCCTCAGCTCGCATTGGAAGCCATCCAGCTCCAGCTCTGATTCACCAGCAAAAACACCACGGAAAACGCATCATGGGCCGGTCCAAACCCACCTGCTTCAAATCAATAGACACGCCGAGTGCCCACCTCAAACGCGTCGTCAAACGGAGAGCCTCAAAGCACTGCAATCGATGCATTCAATGAAGCATTCTCCCAATATCCCTTGTATACTAATCGTGCTTCTCCTCCCAACACTGAATCACAAAACCACCTACTCTTGACCGCTCGCCTCTCCACCATCAAGGCCCTTTCATTCTCTAAACCCGTCGATTTGATTTTCCAGCAGTGAATCCTGCACCACGGAATGCAGCCTCCAAAACTCCAAAATTCCACCTTCAAAACCGTGGCTGCTCTTCCCCTTTCATGTACTTAACGCGGCCTCCCTCCCTCCCCCCTTCCTCCTCATTGTGCAGGTCTGTCTCTTCCTCTCCCGAATTCACAAAACAGTACCTTCGCCTCTCTGCCTCATTGGGCTCTTTCTGCCGTGCATCTGGCGATTATACGTGACACTTGATTGTCACGGAGTTTGAATATTGCCTCTAGGCTCCAGGCCTGCTTTTGTTCAGCTGATAGTGCAATATCATAATACCTTACTCGGCATCACGAAGAACATCGTCACTCTCAACAGACGTACAAATACGGAGAGAAAGGCTGCCACCGTCCTCGGCAGCAATTCAATCAATCCCAACAATGTCGACGTCCAACGACGATACCATCTCCATCTCCTCGAGCCAAGGCGAGCAGTCATCCGGGTCCTCAAACCCTCACCCTACCAGCAGCACTTCCATCAGCTCCTCCAACAAGCAGAGCCCTGCCGGCTCCTCGGACAAAGAGAACAAGCCCCCCCGAGGCCCGTCTTCTCAGCCATCCGATGCCCTCCTCCCCCAGCTTGCGCGGCCGCTCCTCCCGAGCTTCGACGCCGCTCACCACGGATGGGATGCGTCCAACGTGCCCACGGCCAAGTGCGACCTCTGCCACAAGCAGCGCTGCGGCACCCTGCAAAAGTGCCGCGTCTGCAAGCTCTCCATCTGCCACGACTGCTGCGTCGGAGACCGCCTGAAGAATGATCGCCGACACTCCATCGATGCTGCGGCCGTCAACTGGGATGTGCCGCCGAGCCTTCGGAAGCGGCGATTCCGTGCCATCGAGAGCAGGCCTGAGCCGCCAAAGGGAGTCAAGAAGCAGAGGATCATCATCAAGCGACGAGTTCCGGGACGAGGACGGAGTGGCGAGCCGTCGGCTGCCGGCGAGGCAAGAGACGGATTGGCTTCTCCGAGGGTGATGCTCGACGGAGCTGCTTCGACTCCTGACAGCGAGGGTTATCGAGAGGAAGCCGGCCGGCTGCAACAACATCGAGACTACGGCCACGCTGGTCTCGTGGAAGCTGCGCCTGAACCACCACGGCTTTCTGTAGCAAGAGAAGCCTCCAATCCTACCGCCGGTCGAGCTCAACGCCAAGATACAATGCCTGCAACGCACGATGCTCGCTATCAACTGGAGACTGGGAATCTCGAACACTCGAGGCTTCCTTCCGTACGACACTCCTATGGTGACGACGGCCATGGAAGAAGATACCGGGCGTTTTCCAACGAAGACCCATTTTATGCCGCTCCCGCCAGAGAACAGCAAGCCCGATTTCCTGTCCCTCAGACAGACGGCTACTCTCAAGCTGCTCAATCTTGGCCAGTCTTGCCTCCCATCGCAGCCCTGCTCAGTGGTAGGCTCCCGAGCCTCCCACCCCGCGCCACACCGGAGATGCACAGCCGTCCCCAGCAACGCTTCTACCACGAGGACCAGCCCGTCGCCAGCGAGGCGTGGCCCCTGAACGAATACGTCAGCTCCCTCGGCACCGGCCTCGCCAACGCGGCCCGTACGAGACACGCGTCATCTGGGAAGCCACTGGATCAATGCTTGCGAGACGAGCTCCACGCCGTGTGGACGTCGCCCGCCTTCATCGGCGAGGACCGTGACGCGGGCTTCCGGTACCGCCGTCTCCTTTCCGCGGCGTACTATGCCAGCACCTGTCTGGGTCTGCCGCCTAGGGGGAATGCCGCGAGGGAGTGGATGTGCCAAGAGGAGCAGAAGCTGTGGGAGATGGGGTACGAGTCGATAAAGTCGGTGCCGCTCATGGACTTTTTGCACGAGGTTGGGGTTCGCTATTTGCGACAGGCTCAATGTTAGCAGAGGGTGATGGACAAGACCTGCTGAATCATGGGTTGGCCGGTTTCTTCTCGCTTGTTGATTTCTCAGGGTTTGTGTTTTCTTTAAAAGGTTCGACAAGAGGTTCGGTAAGGGTTGAGGAGACATCTGGAATTGTCTTTCTTGAGGGGCATGTTGAGGAGAGGACATGAGAAAAAAAAAAAAAAGGCGAAAGGAATACCCACGATAGATGAGCCGCGAATTGCTTCTTTTAGAAAGCTTGGTTACTACTATAGGTATGGGATAGGGGGGGATAGACTTAAGATTTCGGGGACGGATGTCTCAGGTCAAGTGTATGAATGGATAGACAATAGGGTAATAGGAAAACAGAGTTGAGCTGAGCTAAAATTGCTTCAAAGTGATGATGAAATTGATCAGGTTGACACATGAAGAGGGTGAAGCTGGTGAAGTAGGCGGAGAACCAAAGAAGGAAATACATACTACGAAAACAAGAGAAACTTCAGGGGAACGAGAGTAAAATGGGCGGAAAGAGAACTTTTGATATATATTCCTTATATATCCTCGTTTTTTGCCCACTTCTAGAAAGCTACCTTGCTTCTGAAATGAGGCTAGATCTAGCCCAAGCATCCATCATTCATGACTTTTAGCCGCCCAGTCTTTTATATTCAGACCGGCTCACTCATCCTTTATTAATGGAAGTGATACACAAGCGGGGGAACACGGACGGACGGATACTCAATGAAATGAGTAAAAAAAAAAGCAAACACCACGGTACTTTTTTCTTTCTTTCAACAATGTCCGAGAGAAAAAAAGAACACTCGGATCCTTCTTCTTCTTCAAACTCGTTACTCCTGAGCCTCCTCCTCAGCGGCCTCCGCCTCGCCCTCCTCGTAGTCGTCCTCGAAGCTGCCGGCAGGCACCTGGTACAGCCGCAGGATGGCCTTGTTGGGGTCCTTGACGAGGACGAACTTGGCCTCCTGCTGCTGCTGCTCGCTGCTGCTGGTGTCGCCCCGGAGGCACATGTCGGCAATGGTGCGCACGATGCCCCAGCCGTTGGACAGCGACAGGTTCATCTGGTTGGCGAAGTCGCGGGGCTTCCAGCCGATGACGCCGAGGATCACGTGCTTATCGTTGGATCGGGGGTTGGCGCGCGAGACGAAGCTATTCACATGGCGAGTTTTAGCAGGAATCATTTCACGGGGGAGATAGAAAGGATGAGGCAAAAAGGGAGTAATAGAGGTGATGGGAAGGGGGGAAAGAAAACGTACCCAAGCTTCATCACGTCGGACTTGGACAGGATGCTCTGCGTCGTCCACCTGGCCAGCTTGCAGCTGTTGTTCTTCATCTCAGTCGTCACAACGGCACCGCGCTGGGTGACGAGCTTCGTCCGCCAGTCGAGGGCGCCGCCGCTGCCCTGGGCCCGGCTGTCGAACTCGTTGAGCGCCTTGATGGTCAGGTGCTGCTCCTCGCCGTTGATGCTGTTCTTCTGGACGGCGTCGACCTCGGTGCGGACAATCAGGTACACGGGCTCCTCCTCGTTGGTCGACAGGTCGAATCTCCTGTACTTGTAGGCCTTGCTGGCCGGGGGGTCGGTGTCCTCGGAGGCGTTGTAGAAGGGGTTGGGGTGCTTCATCTCGACCTTGTTCGTCTCGCTCTCCAGCACGACCTGGTTGGCAAAGTTGTGGTTGATGTAGGTGGCCTCCTCGGCGAGGGCGGACGGCTGGTTGATCAGGTCCTTGCCGCCGTCGGCGGCCTCGAGCGGGGCGTCGGCGGCGTTCTCGTTGACCGTCACCATGTCCAGGTTGGAGTTGTCGCGCTTGTCAAGGAAGATCTTGTTGCCCTGGCGGGTGATGACAATGTCCCAGGGGTAGACGGAGCGGGTAGAGCACATGAGCATGGAGAGGATGCTGTCCGTGGCGAAGATGGTGGCCTCGCCCTTGTCGGCGAGCTCCTGGATGACGGGGTCGGACGAGGTGGTGACGTTGAAGGCGGCGCGGTCAATGGCGACCAGCTTCCTCTCGGAGCCCTTGACGGGCTGCTTGTCGTACGAGCGGTCGTAGTAGTACAGGAAGCCGTAGTCGTCCAGATCCTCGCCATCGTCGGTATCCAGGTTAAGCTTGGCCAGGCGGTTGAAGTCAATCTCCTCGAGGAGCTCCCAGTCGGCCTTGATGTTGATGCTGGCATCGCGGTTGCGCGCCGGCTTGTCATAGTCCTTCCAGCCGAAGCGGCGTCCGCCACGGCCACCGGCACCGCCCCGACCACCGCGGTCGTAGCCGTAGCCGCCCTGTCGGCCGCCGGGGGCTCGCTGGAACTGGCCTCCTCGTCCACCACGGGTGTCGCCCCGGCCGCCGCGCTGGCCCCGGCCACGGGTGAAGATGGCGCCGCGGCCAAACTTTGACTTGGCCGAGTCTCTGACGTTGCTGACGACGGAAAAGCTGGTCTCGTCCTCGGCGGGAGGGGCGTTGAAGACAACGGCGTGGCCGGTGCCGTACACCTGCTGGTCTGTTTGTTTGGCGAATATCGCCTCGTCAGCAATTCGTCCATTTAAAAGATAACAGATATTGGTGGTGTGGCCACTGTACCTCTGTACTGTCGGTTGTACTGCAGGCGTCCACCACGCTCGCGGTCCTTGCCCTCAGCAGTCCAATCGGCCATGCGCCCCAGCTTGTCGCCCTTGGAGAAAGGCGCATAAGGGACGCCGTTGAAGGTGATTTCGTTCGTCACGGGAGGGCCCCAGCCGTCCCCGGGAGGACAGCTCTCGCAAATCTTGACATAGTCAAGAGAGTCGGCCATGTTGGGCGATAGATCTCTATTGCTCCTCTAATTTATCGGCTTCTCGTCGACCTGAATATGAAGGTAACGAGTCGTGGGGGCCCAGAAGAGGAGAAAAGAGAGGATTTTCGCCGTGTTCGTGATGGTTCGCCGTTCCGGCTCTGGGATGAATTTGGTTTCCAACAATGAATCGAAATTGTGGTGGGGTGTGGAGCAGCCTAACGAAAAAGTTCCAAGCCCCGCGCCCGCTGGTGCACCGCCACAACTCCTTATCTTATCGCTTGTGAGTTTCCTGCTTCAGCCACGACTCCTCTTGTCTCAAGTCATCATTCCAGAGTCGCCGTGCATTGGGAACGTCTTCTTAAATACATGCACCTACCTATGCTTCAAGACTCAATTGAGGATTATGAAGACGTGAGCCGCCTTTGCTGCGGTGTGAAGATTCTTGAATTCTAAATTGGATAGCGGAATAGTAATATATGCATCATGACAGCGTGACGGGTAGACAAAAGCCGCCGTTGGCGTCGGCCACCCGCCAATATTCGCCCTCGATCCTTTCGCGGACATCCAAATGAGGATGAGAGGGAATAGAATAGCCAAAGAAATAACCCCATAGCATACGGCAAACGAAGTGGTATGATTAATAGCAGCAAATTTAGAACACCATGGCCTCGGGGCGACCCGAAAAGATATTCTCAATCGCATCACGCAGCTCAAACTCCTCCAAGACAGCGCCGAAACTGTAAACGAAAGTCAGCACGACGAGATGATCACACAAGCCAAGCGCGAAATTCTCGATGGGAGCTTACCCATAACACCTGACTTTTCGAAGCAACTCCCCAGAAATCTTTTCAAAGTCGCACGGGGCCAACTCGGCGAACCTGGCATGGGACAGAACCATGCCCCATGCCATGACTGGCGTGATTTCTCCGTCTAGGTTGAGCTTCTGACTGAGATCTAGTAGCGTGGTTAGGTCGGCCTTGGTGAGCTCCCACGTGCCTTGGGTAAGGGGCTCCTCGCCGCCGCCGTCGCCGTCGCCGTGATGATGCGTGTGTGTGTGGCCGAAGGGAGTGTCCGGTGTCAGGTCTTGAAAGGGCGTGGGAGGGCAGGACGCCATGAGGGCGTGGCCGCACGGCGCGCCGTCGGCGTCGCTCGCTCTGTCAACCAAGAATGGCATGTGCGCCATACAAGGTCTCTCGAGCCTACAATTGATGCCTCGACAAAAAGTCGTACCCGTTAGCATACCGGCCCTTGCGCATCAGGTCCCCGACAGTGTTGGCTCGCGCAGCTAAGAAGTGGCAGCCTCTCTCGAGGCTTCACTGTGGGGGAGGTGAAAGATATGCCTTCGCGGAGGAGTTCTCGTACGTTAGGACAAAGTCAATACCAGCCTGCTCCAGATCAGCCCCGTTGGCAGCAGGCGACAGCTGGCGGTTGTCTGGCGGCGACATTGACATGGAGGTTGAATGTGACGTGCCAGCTGGCGAAAAGCCGCCTTGGGAGCCATGTGCGAAGCTATTGCCCGAGGCACTTACACTCATCGGCTGCGTGACACTGCTCGACTCGTCCACGCCGCCCACTCTTGGAAGCTGGATGCCCCTCTGGGCCAGGATCTCCTTGAGCTGCTTGTTCTCGTCAAACAGCTTCTGCTTGTCCTGGGAGATTGTACTGAAGACCTCCTTTAGCCGGAGGACCTCGTCTTCCAGTGCCTTGATGTACAGCTCCTTTCTCTCGCGGTGGGTACTGCAGACGACCAACAGCTCGTTAGACGTGGCACGCTCCGGCTTATCCCGCATGTTGTGAGCAGATAACTTACCGCTGAGCTTGTCGGTTGAGCTCCTGCCGCCTCGTCAGGGCAGGCTTGCTGTCCGGCTTTGGTCCACGTCGCTTGGGCGGGTTCCCAGCTGTTTGGAGGCGCGAGGAAGAGTCATCAGCCGGCCAGTCCTGCTCACTCATGCCGCCGGGGTCTGCAGCATGTCCGGGATTGCTTACTGCGAGTAACCTTCTTGTCCGACAGGGACTTGAAGAAATTGAGGTTGAGCGACGACAGGACGCCTTTGTCGGTGCCCTCAGTCGAGGCCCGGGAGGTGCTGCCCTCGGCGTGGTCTGGAGATAGCGATGACGACATGGCAGCTCGCGATGCTCCGAAGCAGTGCTCTCTCTGCAAAAGCGTGGAGGAAGGTCCGATTGCCCAGCGGCAGAGCGTGAGAGATGGGATGCTAAAATACGGCCGGCTGCGAACGGGTAAGCCA